TTAGAAGTTAAGAAATTAGAAGTTAAAATAAAGAGAGATAAAGTATAAGTAAGATTTAAATTTAAAAGATTTTTATATTAAGTAGTTAATTATAAAAGCTATTATAGTACTAAATTAAAAAAAAAATATATCTTTTCTTAATATAGTATATTTATAATATTCTTAGTAGCTACTATATTAATATTATTATTGGTTAGTATTAGTACTCTATTAATACTTATTAGTGTTTACCACTATGTCTCTACGGAAGATAGTAGTGCCGCAAAACATACTTTATCCGCTATGGAATTAAAGTGGTCACGTGCGGAGCCTATTTTGATGGCCAGAAACTCCAACCTTCGACATCCGAACAACTTGTCAACTTCAACCTCAACTTCATCATCTTCAGCAGCAGCAGCAGCCATCATCAATGTTGATCACGATGTTACTGAGAAAATAACCAGAGGAGTTTCAACTTCAATCCCAGGAGAGAAAAGTCGTGGCAAGCGAAGACCTGATAATATAGCTTTTAAGCGTTTCGACATGAGTTATTTGAACAACACACCCTGCGACTTGGCAATAATAGAGCAGCGGCTGCAATAATAATTTGCATGGTGTCTGTCTCGTTTTAAAAAGCGACATCGGTCGCATCTTCCTGGGAGATTCGCGCAATATTCCGTACCAGACGTGCGATATCACTTTGCGAGAATGTACGGAGTAACGAATTCGATACTCTGGACCTCGTATGCACATAATCCATAAACACGCCAAAGCAGAATTATTATTGAACAAGATAAATAATAATAATGCCCATTTCCAGTCGTGATCAGAGGCAAGGTGCAGATCATCATCTCGACGGCTGCGACTATTTGACGATTGACAGGACCGAACTGTAACGTCTTCTTGGCGGCCGACAGTAAAATGTTCGCAGCAACAAACAATCCTATAGGCAAGCCTCAAGCCCCAGGTTCGCTTGTGAAGCACGCCGCCATATGGTAGCATAAAGTCTGACGCCAACAAACGATGCACACGACAGATTTCCTGAGCGCCGCTTTGCAACTCTCTTTGACATGTTCAGTTGAACAGCCTCATGATCTTTCTCCAGTGTTCTGCCTTGAATACGGGGTAGAGGGCCCAGCGCCCACCTGTCTTCGGACTCCCACAGTATCCTTGGGCTCTGTGCCGTGCAGGTTTGAGCTTTTTTTATCACACGAAGAGAGTGAGGCCAACTTGGAGTGAGTGCTGGGTCTTGGTGTCTGATTGATTAAACCGAGCCAATGACCGCTCGCTGGAAAAGAGGCCGCTGAGCCTCAGCTAGCAGCGTGTGATCTCACGGCCGAAATTAGTGTCCTAGCTAGCTTTGCTTGAGCCCCACACTATGGAACAGAGCTGCCAGTCATCTCTCTCGCGGAACGAGGATGCCAAGAATACTACCCATCATGGCGAGGCATCACAGCACGCCGCACCTAAGATTGCCAGCATGAATCGCAGGGGTACGGAGCACATCCGTCTCACCATCAGCTGGGACGGGAAGGTGTCCCATAAAAAGGCCAAATATTCCGTTCTGAATAATACCCAAGAAGGGAGGGTTCAACCCCAGGTCATCAGTCAAGCTGGCTGAGATGCTATTTATAAAACTAGTGGGTACGCTAATTTAATCGAATTCTCTCCATATTCCCCAGGGCAGAGATGACAACCTGCACACAAGTGAAGATATCACATATAATTCGGAGCGCAATGGGACTGAATATGGGTTATACGGCATAGCAGCCAAAAGGGGTGCGGAAAAGAAGCCGCCGAAGGGAAGGAGAATCAGAAGCTGTGTTGTGATCCTGCCTGCCTGGGGTGGACCTTGCGCGGGCAGAACACGGAGATACCAGAATAAAGGAGGCTCAAAGGTGCCAAGCTTTTTAGCGTAACCTAATATCTTCATCCCGCTTGGGCTTCAGCTTATTTGGGTCGCGTTGCCTTCAACTCGCCTACTTGCAGCGCTGGCGAACGCGAGACGGCATGAGACTCGAGAGGAGATGTTATGCTCAACCCCTTTGCCGCCTTGGTGCCAAACGGTCATTAACTCAAGCACAGTTAATCTTCACAGAACATTCATCCAGATCGACAATCAAGCCACCCAAACACTCACTCGTATTTGCCCCTATTCTCCCCAGTTGCTTTTTTTGTGATCGAGCCTTGTTGATACCCGATTTGGTCAAGGCTAACAGCATCGCTAAAACAGACGCAGTCAAAATACGAGGAGAGAATGGGAAAGGGGCTTCAAGCATCTTTGAGCTTTTCCCAACTCCAGACTAGTGCCCAACTCCACATGCGCCTTTCCACAAGCCAGAGTCAAGGTTTTCGAGTCCACAGCTCGCTGTGAATGGAGGGCTTCTGTTCCCGGCCAATTAACGTTGTCACCTATCCTGATCATCAGAACATAGCCTCATGTTCTCATGGGAAAATAAAGGCATGGGATCCTGTAGCGAGCTACTCCCCAATTCGGAGTAGCAGCGGAGCCCAAATCCGAGATGTGGTCCTCCTCGTGTATTTTTAGGACAGGTCCTCGAATTTTATATATACCTCCTCCTTCACCCTTTTCTCGTCTCTTCTGTCGCTTTTGCTGAAGGACAGTTTCCAGCTCAACCAACTCCAGTCGTTCTTTTTCTTTCTCTTCTTCAGTTCAATAATTTTAGCCATACCCTATATATCAATACCTCGACATCACTATGCGCTTCTCTGTCGCCTCCCTACTCTTCTTGGGAGCAACTTTGGTTGCTGCTGGCTCCGTCCCCGACGATTCCAGTGCCTCCTCCAGAAGCGCCCACTCGCTCAGCCGAACCGGTAACAACTTGAAGGCTCGTAGCAACATCTTTGCTCGTGCTTCAGGAGATGAGCACTGCTCTGGCAGAGGCGTTACCTGCCAGAGCTGCTTCGGCAGTGGCTTCAAGGAATGCCCTGATGACTCATCCAAGTGCTACAACCCGGACGACCCAAAGTACTCTAGCTGCTCCAGCAGCAGCGGCGGCTCTTCTGGTGGTTCTTCTGGTGGTTCTTCCGGTGGAAGCTCTGGTGGCTCCGACTCCTGCTCTGGACGGGGTGTAACCTGCCAGAGCTGCTTCGGTAGCGGTTACAAGGAATGCCCCAACGATTCGACCAAGTGCTACAACCCAGATGACCCAAGATACTCTAGCTGTGATCCCTCTGGCGGCAGCGGCGGTTCTGGCGGCAGCGGCGGTAGCAGCGGCGGTAGCAGTGGTGGCTCTGGGGGCTCCGGCGGCTCTGGTGGCAGCAGCGGCCCTACCGACGAGAGCTGTGCTCGCCAGTACGGCACTGGAAACAAGGTCTGCGGCACTGACAGCTGCTATAACCCAACTGTGGGAGAGACCTGCTGCCAGAACACTGGAAGTAAGTTAACCCGCATATGACATACCACTAATTGCTGAACCAATATTAACCCCATTCCTTTAGGCCACTGTGATCTCGGTAGAAAGTGCTCCAAGTCTGGCACCCTTTGCTGTGCTCCTGTATGTGACATTCAAATATAACTTTGCATGCCTTGTCCCTGCTAACAGATAAAATAGGGCTCTAGAAACCCTGATTGCAGAGGTATTAGCTCCAATGACAGCACCACTACCTCCTCCAGCACTTCAACCTCTACCTCTACTTCTGGAAGTTCTTACCCAACATCCACTAACGTCTCTGGGTCTTCTCCATCATCTTCGCCAGATACTCCACAAAGCAACGGTGCTGGCTGCCTCTCTGTCAACGTTTTCCCCATCCTTGCCGGTGGACTGGGTGTGATCGCCGCCCTCTAAATTCCCTCCCACTCCCACTCGTCAACAGCATTTCCGCTTCGTTTTTATAATTATGCTATATATATACCTTCACTTCATGCATTTATAATGTTCTATTTGTTCAATTCTCCCTACTGAATCTTTTATATCCAAATAATTTGCGGACAAACTGCACCTTTTCCCAAAACAATTGCGGATTTGTTTATCACGCCTGGTCAGAATTTGTCAATGCTGTTGCATCGGTACTAAATAACTGCATGTGGAATGAAATCATACTTCAAGTGACACTCTTCTTTCTGAATTAAACATGCCAGAGATTCTTAAATTACATTCCAAGTTTATCTTTGTCTTTCCGGGTCCCAGAAGGTGGGTGGTGACCTTTGTTGATCGACAACGATTTCCAAGATTCCCGTTCTGCCTCTAAGATTGAGATCCGGCTTTCCAACTCTTCTATGCGTTTCTCCCGGCTCTTGATCGCCAGCCTTGATATATCCCTTCCCTTAATAATTCCCAGGGTCTTCAAATCGTTCCTATCCAGCAGCTCAGCCAATTCTTCCTTCGCTTTGGGCGTAACGTTAATTTTATGAGCCTCAAGTATACCAAGAGCCTTGGCTGTTGTCTCACAGTGCCGGAATTTCTTATTGATCCTCTCTGCTGAATGATAGAAAAGAGGCGATGACGTAAAGCGCGAAGGAGTCGGGGTGGTAGGGGCCTCAAGCGACGTTTTCTGGGCAGGACAGGTTTCACTTTTTGGCGGAGGTGTTGACTTCTTAGGAGTCGTGAATAACGGCGGTGGTGGTATTGGTTCGGCATCCAAGGCCTCAAGCCTTGAAGCCAGCGAAGGGTAGGAAATATCCGCAACAGTTGTGAAGGAGCTGGTGTCCTGCTCTGTTTCCGGTGATTTAGGTAACTCAAGCTTCCCTTTTTTAGTAGGGCTTTGGTATTTATCCAAATAAGCAGTTATATCTGCGTCTCGTTTCCTCTTTGTCTGAGACTCTGGCGTTAACAGCCCGCCGCGTATGGACTCTCGGATGCGGTTCGCTTTTGGTGTACGTAGTACTGGACCTGGCTTTATATTATCAGGTCGAACTTGGACTGGATCTGCCTCTCGAGCGTCGGTATTCTCCGTCATAGCATCTACTGCACTTTGTGGTACCTCTCGTTCCTTTGCGATATCGTCCCATAGAAAGAATCCGCATCGCATTTCCCGTGGCTTCGGGCATGTATAGACTGTAGGGCAAAAGTATTACCGTTAGCCTGAGCGGAATATCGTAGTAAAATGTATACACATATGCTTACACCAACGCCCATGGTTTTTGCCACCGTTTTTCGTCTCAAAATGGCTTGCTATCCGGCGAGGCTCACAGTCACAATGCCATCTCCCATTGACTAGAAGGCCTCGCAAGGTTTCCGGTTTCCTCCCGGTCCAGGAAGGGCGCTGGCCTGGAGAAGCGTCGCTCTCCGGCTGGCCCGACATACTAGATAGTGAAGGTCATAGGAAGCAGGGTAAAAAGGGTTGTCGAAGACATTGTCGAGGAGGAAGAAGCCGGGTCGAGGACAGTTGAGGGTTGTAGTAGCCATGGCAACCGCCTTTTATCGATCTTATCTAAACTTAGAGTGGCTCCACAGCTGCCGCAACTCAAAAACTGGCCTTAAACACAATCCAACAGCACGCTTGTCTACCCTACTATCCCCACTAAATCAATGCATGTTACTCCAGCGTTGAGCGTTTTCCATGGAGCACAGGCAAAGAATGGGGTGGAGCTTATGCCGTATATGCAAAATTATACATATGTCGTATATAATTCACTTTTGGATCTGCCTTGGATGCTTCTACCTAGTTTCAGAGCCGCCGTGTATTCCCAAAATATAACCACAAAGCTAGAGCCGGAAAGACAGATATATCTTCTTCACCTCTTCTTTATCATGCGAGGACCATCCTTAACATCGATCCAAAGGAGTCCCGTAGCTTCAATATCTCCGATATCTTAGGTTTCACTGGTTCCCCTGCAGAACGACGGAGCCGGTCCTGATGCCTGGCACGGCGTTTGCGTTCAAATTCTATAGGGTCCATATCATCATCCTCAGAGTTTTCATCTGATGGGTCTGAAATGTCATCTTCAATTACCAGGTCTTCCAAGTCACCCTAAAAGAAGAATGTTAACAGGAGAACATATATAGGTAGCCTCAGAGTTTCTTACCTCATGGAGCCCAAAGTCACTGCTTTTAAACGTAGAGGCACCTGGAATCTGCTCGTTAACACCTTCAGCAGCCATCTTCTGCCGGGTTTTATCCTGGTGCCATTTCTTTCTGTCTGAATGCCATTTAATCAGGGCGTCAATCTCGGCGATCGCGATGTCCTTGTCAATCTGGCCAGCAGAAACAGCTCCTTGGAAGAGTGCATTCATGTCAAGAGTGCCCCCACTTTCTGGTCCCTCGCGAAGGAACTTGAGAATATCTTCCAACCACGTCATTAGCGATGCGAAGAGCCCGTTATCATGAATATGAACTTCATGAACGAATTTATAAAAGCTATGCTGATGGCGGGTGCAAAGGTCAATAAATGACTGAACAGTTTGGTTCGGATCGGCAGAAACATCTTGTCTCTGAGCTCGCTCAATGACAGCAATAGCATCATTTGCAAATTCTGCAAAGTCTGTGATGCTATTGTAGACGTTGGCAGATTTGTAAACACGGACCAGAGGCTCGTAGAAGATGGTGAATAAATCACGGAAAAGTTGTAGGGTCACAGGCTGCTACAGAGTCAGTAGGTACCTATAATGGATGCCAAAGGAAACGAGCGGTATCTTACCTCTTCAATAATACTAAGCATCATCATCTTATCTCTTTGCCGCGTGAGCACTTTCAAAAGCTGCTTTAGGTATGAAAACCACTGAGCACCTTGCTGTATCTCAGGATCATTAATCTATTATGAACATGTTAGCAATGCAATTCGAGTGGGTGGGGGAAGCCAAAGCCACGTACACTTTCAACTGCGCTCACCCAAGCGACATAAGAATTGAACACTTTCTCAATTTGCCGTACAGTCAATTCCGGCTCGAAGTGTTCTGACCGCAAGATCACCACAACTATATCAACGTTTTCTGCTTCTGCCTCTGCACGGAGCTCATTCTTCACCTGTTCATCGGCTTCCGTAAATGCTCGAAGCTTATCTACTAGAATATTGTCATCGATTCTCGCTGCTAGGCTATCGACTGACTTTTGAAAAGCTTTCACGCCGTCTTGAATCGCCATGGCGAATATTCGCTGTAAAAGAGATCGAGCTCCAAACGGTTGAGCAAGGAAAAGGTCCAGAACTCCGGCCATCACGGCAGCAGGGTTAGCAATGCGGATGACATTCTTTAAAATCGAATACGGGATCAAAGAGTGTATCCGTTTGGCCTGGGCGAATAATTCCGGAGAATTATCCTCAGCTAAAAAGATATGGTATAGTGTAGCCGCAACCCTGTTGTAGATTGTTTGTCAGAGACATGAAACTGGGGGTTACAAAAGCGAAGGCAGGGTATACATACTCGATACGCAGCCATTCTGCAAACTTTTGATATTGTGGACTCAACGCTTCTACAGAGTCCTTGTCTCTAATCTCCTGAAATAGTTTTGTGAGGCCATCTGTAGGAGGTCGGATCGTTAATAGTGAGTCTCTAGAAGAAGGGTAATAGAAGAATCGACGGATGTTTTACTTACTTCTTTCCACAATATCTTGTCTGAATTGTTCCATATAAACATCTAATTCACGCGCGCGTTTTCGTGCAATCTCGTAAAAGCGTCTTTGCTCTTCAATGCGTTTGGCATCAAGCTCTTTTCTTCTTGCGACATCTACCTCTTCCTCTTCATTTAAGGTGATCGGTTTATCCGTTAGGAATTCCTTTATCGCATTGGAGGAGGCTATTCTATGATTTTGTAGAATCAGTCTCAAAAATGCGCGAAGAGATACGCGTTGCTCCTCTCTGTACAGTGTGACAGTTTCACCCTGTAGCTCTCCTGATGCTCTAGGCGACTGTGAGCCTATAGATTTGAGTGAGGACATGGAAGTTTTATGTTTGAGGGTGCCCGGAACAACGAGGTTTCGAGTAGATTGGCCTTCAGTTGTCTCTAGGGTATTGACAGACGATGTGGACGAAGCATCGTCGTCCAGATTTGAACCAATGAATGACGATGATACCGAGGTTTTATTTTTCCTGGGAAGAGGAGGTATGATTTTCCCAGGCAACTCAGTTCGTAGTTTTTTGTGCAATCTCGCAAAATCACCGAAGCGACGGCCAATGTAGATGCTAGGGCCATCTTGTTGCCGGACACGGATTAAGAATTCCTGCACACGACCAATGAGAAAAGGAGCAGTTACAAGGGTACAGGGACCAAAAAAAAAAAGAAGATAATAGTAACACATACCGCATGCTGGTGATATCTCAAGGTTCGCCTTACGGAGGTTGTTCTGACTGATGCGATGTTAACATCCCAGCCATTGATAATATTTCCTTCGGGCATGTTGACAAGTAGCCCCTGTTCATTTGCCCCCCGGTCAACAACCTCCATTTCTGAGAAGCGTATTCTCTCCTCATACCCAGAGGATGTTGGTATCCCAGAAACCATCATTAGTTCGACCACTTTTTCGCATTTCTTTGCGAGCTTCCGCCTCTTAGTTTCTTCATGTCGATCTTCACTCGATGAAATATTCTTATTAGCAAAGGACTCAAGAAACTAACGTTTAAAAAAGATAGGAAGTTAGCATATCATGTAAAAAATAATCTAGTCGTAGCAAAGCCAGGAATTAGCTGCTAGCCTGGGTAATTCCTTGAACGTACCACCTGGAGACGATCTTGCCAAAACTCCTTCTCATGTGCCTTATCTAGAAATGGAAAGTTCCGGACATGGTTAACGAATATATAACGTAGAATTGGCAATTCTGAGTCAACAGGCGCTATTTCTCCAAAGTCCGACTTGAATGGGGCGCCAAATCGTCGTAACGCAGTTGGAGAATTGAGCTCAACGATCTCGCTCGAAACCTGAGCGCCGACTAACTCCCGTTTGAGATCTAAGTGCCATTTGAAGCGAATTAGCTAAACCGTACTCCCCGGTCGAGCTGTTTGGCCCAGCGTGTGTAGGGAACAGCTTCTGCCGCAGGTACGTACAATGCTCCTGTTTCCCCGTCAATATCTGCGCGGGCAGGTTTCCGCTCTTTTCCGCAGACGTCCCCCCATTTGTATTCTCCTTCGTATTGGGACTCATTATTATCGTAGCTGCTTCAACGTTGCCGTAGTCCTTTGATGCTGAGTGAGGTCGGCGCCTAGCCGGGTATTATGCACCAAGTAGGCGTGCTGGGACGGAGCTTCGCGGATAAGGCAGGAAGGCGTGTGAGATCTGGGTCCGAGGAAGCCTAGTATCAAGTTCTCCTGTAAGCCTCGAGGTTCCTGAAAAGAAATGGATGTATAGAGTGTAGTAGTCGTGACGGCCAAAGGTAGAGGTACTTACGGGGATAAGTGGTTTATACCTGCGTCGCGGCCTTAGCTACGGCGTACAGCTGCAACAAGCCAGTAAACCCAACGCTGGACGCAAGCCCCAACAACCGGTATATATGTAAATTCCACTGGAGGCTCTGCCGCCGCAGCCGTAGAAAGATGCGAGGATGTGCTGGCGACGACGATGCAGCGGGAGGCGTGAAGTTGGCGAGCAAGTCCTTTTTGAGGCGCACGATGACGACTTGCCGGATCGGGCGCAAACGCCTAAACTCCGAGTTTCGCGCGCTTCACAAACTTACAACATCAACATCAACATCAACATCAACGCCAACGACAACGCCAACACCAACGACAACGACAACGACAGCCCTCCCAACGGCCAACTACGAGCCGGCAGCAACATCCATAGCAATAGGAGCCCCTCGCTCAAACACACTCGAAACTACGCCGTTTGCTTTTTCTATTTAAAGATCTAGGTCCGTCGAAGGATGGTAGCTAACAGCCCAGCTGAAGGTGACGACGCCCTTTCGCCCAAGCCCGCCGGCGTCTGTCCATGTGAGTTGAACAGCACTTTACCCCCTCAGTGTGTGTTCAGCAGCAGCTAACAGACACCAGGCGTCGTAGGGCAGCGACTATTTGCTAGTTCTTGTGGCTGCGCTGATACCGAAGCGCTGCTACCGGCCCACAGCAGACGGGGCCATCCATGTCCCTTGGCAGCTTCTGGTGCTTGCAGAGCCACATCAGATCTCGCGCATGTTACGGAGATTCACACAAAGTGGGTGAAGCAAGGAATACCCAGATCATGGCCAGAAGACGGAGTCCATTGCCATAATCATCGGGCGGTGTGAACGGTAATCGAAGGGTCAAGTGTCTCCATACGAACTACTCTGTAGTTATTTAACTACAGAGTCAACTGCATCAAATTACGCCATAAACACAATATGGCTGTCCACAAAAATTTGTTGAGCAATATATGGAAGGTTATTGCGCAACAAGCCGATAATTCGCCCCGCCAGCGGGGGAATGGCGGTGCAGCGCTACTGCAAACAACATCCTTGCGATCCTACACACGACAACTATGAGTCAGTCGCTGACAGCTGAAGACGTCGTTTCGTTTCGGCAACTCAAAAGTACGTGGAGACGTGTCCAGAATAACGAGCTGAAGAATGTTTTACCCAATGCAGTTATTATTTCACAGAATAACTAGCTACAAAAAAAAGTATCTGTTGTCGAAATTTAGTTATTATTGCTAACGGACGGAGGACGAACTGTGCAACGAATAACTAACCTCCTCACCGATCAGTAATGCAGAGAACAATAGCCTAATCCAAAAGTGGAACATTATTGGGCGAGTTTCCAACTCCCAACATGTCACCAAAGGCTGAAGAAGTGGTGTTACACGACACGGTGCTTCACTCCATCGAACTCTTCATTTTTTTTTTTTTTTTTACTACCTCGTAACGGTCATCCCAACTAACTGCCTGAGCACAGCCATATAACATATTGCTGCTCTATATAAATATGTCCGCCCAGTGGCTCGATTTGCCTTGCCTCTTTTCCGGGCACTCAAGGACCCAGGGCAATGGCTTACTGTGAGGCCTCTTCTGGCCAAACATCATAGCCAAAGGTGTCCTTCATGTTCACGAACCGCGAGTGTCTACCCTCCGACACTTTATTGACCGCCTCAAATTCTTCGTCGGATAGCTTGATTTCCTTGAAGTTACTCTCGATCCGCTGGGGATTCGAGCTCTTAGGTAGAACCACATACCCTCGTCTCAGCCCCCAGGCTATCAAAACCTGGGCCAAGGTGTGACCACCCTCCTCCGCGATCTTGTTCAATGTTGGGTTGGTTCCGACCTTTTCACCAGTCGTCGGGACCTGATTCTGGGACCCGAGCGGCGAGTATGCCTGGGGCATAATGTTCTTCGAGAAACAAAAGTCGACAAGCTCGGTATTCGGAAGGAATGGGTGGATTTCGATTTGGTTCACATGGGGAGGAATTTTGGCGAATGAAAGGATTTGCTTTATACCTGGAATGGTGAAGTTTGAAAGTCCGATCGATTTCGCCTTACCAGATTCATACAATTCCTCCATTGCCCGCCATGTCGGCTCCGGATTCTCAGTCAAGCCCTTCTTAACCACATACTATTCGTATAACATTAATCGTTAGATTCTTGGCCCAATCTGCAGCTACTATTCGAAGGAATATCATACCTTGCCGTCGGGGCCGATCTTTGGCATATTCTTATCATCCTTTTCACAGGCGATCGGCCAGTGAATCAGGAAAAGGTCGACATAGTCCAATTGGAGATTCTTCAACGAGTTCTCTAAAGACCATGCCACCTCGTCTTTTTCATGCAAATGATTCCAGACCTTGGTGGTGATAAACAAATCGGATCGCTTCACGCTCGTGTTTTCCTTGAGGAAATCCTGGATCGCTTGTCCAATCTCATCCTCGTTCAAATAGAACCAGGCACAGTCCAGATGCCTGTACCCGGTCCGCAGTGCATGCAGAACTGCTTTGTATGCTTCCCCCTTTGATCCTTCGTTGGAAAAGGTACCGAAACCCAACCCCGGAATGGTGACACCGTTACTCAATTTGAAAGTAATATTGCGAGACATTGTATCAAGCAGCCGTTACCAATGCAATGATAAATGCACTATGATTCCCCCCCCTGTATTGTTATCCCGAGTGATATCTTTCTTGGGTATGGATAGTCTTCTGTTACCCTTTCTGGAGGATCTTCTTTCAAAAAGGACTGGACAGCTGCAGGACGATGTATTCCTCGAGAAATACCTCAAGGATAAAACGAAACCGTGATTGAACCCTCGAATCCTATTGCCTTCCCGCTGCAATGTGCCCTAGAATTTTTCGTGGTTATGGAGAATCGACTCCGTCCGCCTACAGCTATGACGTATTACGAACTCAAATTTTCCCATTTGCCCTTCTCCTGAAAATAGCGGATACTAGTGGATATATTATGCTTACTATATGCATGTGCTTTGAGGCCTCAAACAACCCGGGAGTGGATTCAATGGAGACAGGCGCCCTTGAGCGGTACCCAGAGATAATCGACCTCGTAGCCAACCGGGAGAGCAAATACGTCCAATTATTACCAAGACGGGGAGCAAGGTCCACTCGATCGTCGGGGCTTTCGGGCCAGTGGGGAACGTGGAAGAAAACCACCCCTACAACTCGACTCGGACATTAACCGCACCCTCAGTTCATCTTATCCACAGTGCGCAATTGATGTTGGACAAACAACTCGATGTTGTATCAGGCTATCCACTTTGGAGAGACACCTTCGATGGACAATTAACCACTGCCAGTGAATTTAGATTTGTTTGGGTCCAATCAGAACCTTTGGTTGCCACATAACGTCACATTATGACATGCAATCGTCGTTTCGAACCATTGCAATGGTTTGCAAGAATGTTTATGAGACTACCGCCTGTGAAGATCTCCGAGGGAAAGAAGTCTCTGACTTTTCTCCTCCGCACGAATTTCGGACAAGCCCTTGACAAGTTTCCTCATTCGAATTGGATATATAAATGCCGGCCCCGCCTACAATTGATATCCAAAAATCTGACTGAGCTGAGTCTTTCTTTCACTACCAGTCACTCTTGATTCAAATACTTCCCGTTTGGAAGTATCTACACCTATAACCTTTCCATCATTACCTCTTTTCTCCTGCTCAACGTTTCTCCACAACCACCACAGCCATGTCTCAACCTCAGCAGGACACCGAGTGGTCGAGGAGGGATAGTGCCGTCAAACGAGGGCAACTCAGCATTCCGTCTGACCAAGGGAACGCAATTGAAGTGAGAGCATTGAGAAGTTCGATCAGCGATGCAGGCTCTCTCATGCATAACCTCAGCCTATCCCCTTCGTTTCAGGATAGACGGGGGTCCCGCAATTCTTTTGGCATGGCTCTGCCCATCCCCAAATCCCCACGAGCTTCGAGACTATCCGGCTCTCGAGACCCCGCAAGCCTCAAGCGAGATGTGCTTGCTTCACAGATCCAGGACATGGCAAAGGAAAAAGTCGAAGCAGCCAAGAACATGGCATTTGCTTTCGATATTGATGGCGTTCTGGTCCACGGCAAGAAACTTATCCCGGAGGCTGCTAGAGTAATGGAGGTGTTGAATGGAGACAACGAACTCGGAATCAAGCTGCCATACATATTGCTGACCAATGGTGGGGGTAAGACTGAGAGTGCCCGTGTCGACGAGCTTTCTGGGATCCTCAAATCACCAATTTCCACCGAGCAGTTCATCCAGTCTCACACTCCCATGCAGGCACTGTCGGAATATTATGACACCGTCCTGGTTTGTGGCGGTGAGGGATTCAAGGTCCGACAAGTAGCCGAAGACTATGGATTCAAGACTGTTGTCCATACCAAGGACATCCAGGCATGGGATCCTACCATCTCCCCCTGGAGCCAACTATCAGAGGAGGAGGTTAAACAAGCCAAGATACGCGACTTCGACAATTTGAACTTCGATGCCATCATGGTATTTGCCGACTCTAGAGATTACCAAACCGATATGCAAATAATCCTGGACCTTCTCCTCAGTGAAAATGGCCGCCTAAAGACGAGGGCAAAGAACCCTCTTGCCAACCAGATCCCAATCTACTTCTCTCAGGGAGATATAGTCTTCCCCACTGAGCACGCCCTTCCCCGTTTGACTCAAGGAGCCTTCCGCATTGCCATCGAGTCCCAATACAAGACACTAACAGGCGGAGACCTGGAGCGTGTTGTATACGGAAAGCCAGAGCTGGCAACATACAAGTACGCAGACACCGTCATGCAGCAATGGATGAAGGAAATCCACAATGAACACACCCTGCCCAAGAACATCTACATGGTTGGCGACAACCCTCAGTCGGACATCTGCGGCGGCAACATGTACGGCTGGAATACATGTTTGGTCCGCACTGGCGTCTTCAAGGGAGGTGAGAACGACACCAACAATCCCGCCAATTTCGGAGTTTTTGCAAATGTTCTCGAAGCCGTGCAGGCAGCCGTGAAGAAGGAACTTGGGCAAGAGTTCAAACTCAAGTGGCAGGATGAAGAGGTCAACCCTGTCCTCCAGGCCGGTGGAGTCTCCGCAATTGAGTAAGGAGCAGGAAAAGTTTTATGGGTATTTTTTGCATGCATTTATGCGATTGGTTAAGGTTCTAAACGTCTCCATTTTTTTCCATTTGATACTCGGTTTTTCTTTTTTCTTTTTGGAGACAAGGCAAAAGTTGTCGGGTCTTTAACGATGGGTTACGGGAAATGTACGGATAAATAGACAAATTCAACCAGGAATTTTTTTTGCTTCGATGCGAGAAACTTAAGCCGCGGTGATCTCCCTTAAGATGGACTCAAGATCGTTGATCATGGCGATGATACGGAGTTCACAGTGTGCATTTTGGTCAGTTTATACGAGCCGTCATGAGCTTGATCCCGGGATTAATAGGCTTTGATATACGGCTGATATGTGGATCATCCTGTCTGCCGCTGATTCCCCAGCAGCTAAAACCGATGACCATTGCTTCCAATCCGTGGAAAGGTGGATTGAATGCGGCGTTCAGAGGCTCGAGAGTCAACCAGGACGCTCTATAACACGGCATTTGGTATGACTCCGGGCCTCTGAGGTACCCTAACTCTCTAACCAAATAACCATGTGGATCAGGTTTTGTGAAGTTAGTTACCCGGGATCAGGGATCGAAAGCACTCCTTCGCTGAGAAAAATATCGCCGGTTATTATAACTCATATGGAGTACGGGACGGAAGAGTTGACTTGCCGGAGATTTGGTGTCGAGGTACTCCGTAGTGTGTTGCGGGTGAAATCAACTATTATGTGCGGTTTTTATTCAAGTTTGGGTCTATAGGACCCAGACCGCTCTAAAGAAGCAGCCTATACATTCTAGTTATATGAGGCAACTAATGTGCCAGGCTAACGGACAGGCAATCTTTTTCGGACAACAGGGTTGCTACACAAGGCTCTCTGTGAATTACGTACTTCACAAGGGTTGACGGCATATCAAAGCTCTCTTTGCTGAGAACATTTTCTATAGAGACTTTGATACTTAAGTATTTTAACACGCCCCAAGTATCAAAGTCCCTAAGAGGTTGATAACTAATTGTTTAACAAACATTGTGCCTCTGGTTAGAGTAGCTGGATATGACTCTCTACTATAAACCAGATGGGCAATGATATATGAATGGCCTTGAACTTAGGATCAAGGCCGGCTAAGGATCCCTGCACCCTCTCCCAGGGCAAAGAAGCCACCAGTATGCTTTGTATTGTATAGCCAAATATCACCACATATACCCCGGGTTAATATGTATGGAGGAGGCACGCTGTACCAAGAAATACCTACGAAAAAGGGGGAAGATGGCTTGCCATAAAGCGGAAAGTGTTCATTAATGCATTAATATTAAGTCCTTGAGGATACACAAAAACGGCAAGAAGACAATGACAAGCACAAATCTAGATCGCTTGATAATGCAGCTGAAATTGAATTGCAATTAAGAGCGTGAATTGCAATTAAGAGCAAGTAACAGCATAGGCCACAATACCCTCCTTTACAAGGTCTTCTCGGTCAGAAGTGGCTTCGCTTATTGGGTCTCCACCGCAGCCGCGGGTTCTATAGATATGTGTTAGGATACTGGGCCTGTTTGTATATATCCTAGGAGGGCAGGACTTACGCATAGAGCTGACAAGTGGTCCCCGTAGCAACTTTCAAGGATCCGATAGGGTTGTTGCTATAATATGTAAGCCTTGGTGGACGACATATAAGTGGTGGGAGGGAAATTGAACATACTGGTCTGGGATCATGTAAGAGCAGATCCCCGGGTTTTCGACGACTTGCATATATCCCTCAAAATTGGCTAGTTTGTAAATGGTTGCCTATATAATTCAAGTTAGAAGGTACTTCGACAGAAAGTGTTGGATATAAGTTGTGTTCTTACCAATGGTTGTTTATCCACTGGAGCTGCGAAAGAGGCGGGGATGACGGCAAGGGCCAAAGCCACAATCTTGAAGAACTGCATTGTTGCTCTGAGTGTGTGTGGTTTGTTTAAATAATGAGCGTTTGTGTTGAGCAGGGAGAAGATGGTCTTGATTGTTTGGGATTTTGGTTGTTGTATCTGATCAGAGCCTGAGAAGAGCAGGAAGTCGTCTTCTATTTATGCCTTGCCGGAAGAGCACTGCCAGCAAAGTATCGGTGCTGACTCTGCTCATACGCCCGTCGAGCCGCCGGTCATCTGTTGGGCGAGTATCAACGCCCCGAGGTTTCACAGAGAGAAAAAGCAAGCACTGCAATCAATCGATGGCAAAGGAGCGAAGGCTGGACGGTTACCTGCTTCGAATCCGCAGTTGTGTCTCAGAGCTCTCCGAGACAGTCCTTCCTGCAGAGTACAACCTCCATCCTCCAAAGGCGCTTAGCATTACAGCCTCCGAATCGAATTGCACCCCTCATTCAAATCCGGCGAGGCTTGGAGCAGCTGTGCTGGGGATATCGGTCGCCAATGACGTGGGTTGGCTTGCAGATCGGCAATGCAGCCCAGACAAAGGTGGCAGAGCGCATTGGTCGCATGGGCAGCGGCACTGATCGGCCCGGGATGTACAGGTAGCTTCCAAGATTCGATTGGAAGAGCTGCTGGAATCGCGGCTGCAGGGTTACATGCTGCTGCTCCTCCCGCAGCTTGCCATAAATACAAACTGGCTGTGCTTCAAACACCCGATGAAACGGGAATAACCTGTCAGTTTTGTTTATGGCTTGCCGCGGTTTCAAACCATTGAAAACTATCACGAATCACAGGGCCCGAAGCTGAGAAGAAATGTTGGGCGCTTCCCAGTGCATATGGCAGCTCATATTATCAGACATGTATCCAGAACGTCCGGACTGCCAGCATCACTGCTAAAAATAACCCGGTCCAGAATAGGAGATTCAGTTGTGCATACTACGATCCCCCTGGTATGCGTGTCTCATTTACATCTAAACTGCTGTTGAGACCTCAAAGTGGCGCAGGCATGAATCATTGCCTGGTCAAAGATATCAAGGTCTTCGAAGCAGTAAATGAGACAAACCCATTGCGACTAGCAGCAAAATACTGCAAGTCATGAAGACCTTGTTTCTGTATCCTCCGCCTTTCTCGGTATTAATTGTTAGCAACGATAGCTTGAAACGTGTACGGAGTATGGGCTCGTTGACTGAATGATCAGCCTGGAACGCATGTCTCACCTTCTGTAGTGAAGGCCAGGCCGGCAACAACAAAGCAGTTCAGCGGCAATCGAAATAAAGCATATACCCCGGCTCGATCCTTATCATGGATTAAAATGCTTTTCAGTACACCCATATTTGGATAGTACAACCCAATGCTGAATTCATAGACGCAAAATGCCCAGAGTGTGAGCAGCGTGGTTGAGAATACAACGGCACATGTCAAGCTCATGCTTCCTAGAAATAAAAGAGTAGTAAGCAAACAAGAGGATCTAGACACACTGATGCGATTAAAATCGCAAGAAGGAGGGTTCTGTGGCTCTGTAGATGAAGATGATGACGATAATGAAGGAGTTGTCGATGAATCCTCCCGCGAAGGAGGTGAGACCATTAGCTGAGATGATATCTGAGACCCTAGCATCATGGCTGTCATGAAGCTAGCAAAAATAACCCCGAATGGTGGACTACCAGGGATACCATCATCTTTGCTGGCCGAAATAATCGCAGGTGACCAAAAAACGACGAAGAGATACATGGAACCCTCAGATATCATTGTGATGAACCCTAGTACCATGGTGCGGGTATCTTTAGCCCGAGAGTCAGTTATTTAGTTATAGGCTTTATGGTAGGCATTAAACACTTGCCCTTGATTATCGTCGATAACTGAGTACGTTGCCCTTCGGCAGCCCCCGACCCCGAGTTATCACAATCACCAAGATAATTCTCGTTCTAAATTATGGCCCAGTATAAGCTTTTATTCTGCTATTACGATAAGGTGTCAATACGTACCCATGTCCCTAAAATCAACAAAGAGGCCAGTAAGAGGCAGACAGGACTTGCAAGAAACGGGGCTCTTCTTGAGCCCGTGATTGAGACTAGGTAATTGCTCAGAAGCCCAGATAACACTGCAACCATTCCACTAAGGACAGTCATCGTTCCCAATAGCTGGTTTAGCTCTGTTGAATCGCTCGCGGCCTTCTTTTGATGAAATTCAGCAACAAGCCAAGCCTCGAAAACAGTGAAGAGGAGAGTCGTCCCTATACCACCAAGGACTCGCCCAAGGAATAGAATAAGGACATTCGAAGATGAAACTGTCATGATGCAGGATAGGCTGTATATCACACAGAACGCTAGGCAGGCTTTTCGACGCCCAAAAACATCAGCAAGCTTGCCAACAAATGAGGCACTGAATGCTCCAGATATGAACCCTGTGGCAAAGAGGGTTGCAATGATATGATCATGCAGCTGAAGAGTTTCTTTGTATAACGGGAAGAAATAGGGGCCCTGTATGAGTACGGCCCTTGGTCAGAGTGTCATTCAAACGCAAGGCAGCCTTATTGGGGTTGTGTCGGGAGAGTTAAATGAGATATGGTATCCAACCTGCATCCAGTCCGAAGCCATTGCAAGCACATAAACAGGAAGGAAAATCAGGGCAAGCCCTTTGCTATTCTGCTGATCATGAGCTTGACCCCTGAATAACCCAGAAACGCTGCTAGTCAATTCCCGCAGGCCTGCTCTTCCTTCATTATCGTTGAGACGATAGGATGCAAGGGCAACATTGGCTAGTATTAGAGTGACTAGTGTGCCAGTATATATATCCATGATACACATCCTCGCCTCAACCGTCTGCCTGATGATATTGGCCAGTATGATGTGTTCACTAGAACAGTAACACAGTAAGGGGTATCTTATTTATATATTGGTATGAATCTGATGTTGCTATACCGCTAACCTTGGTTGAAGAGCATATAAGGGAGTTCACCAAGTTTGATGTCTTCTTGTTGATGTCTGGGAGTTTTTGGCTCCAAAGGTTGCCAGCAAGCAGTGGCACGTGACTGTTTAGCTTCCAAGGTTCCTCGATCTATATAAACCGATGGAACGACATATATATTAGGACAGTGAGAGCGGTGATTCTAGTGACAAAAGCAAAGAAAATTGAAGTTGAGGAGCAAGAAGTAATTGTGGAGCCTTGATATTCATACGGCTGTTAAGATCTATATGTCTATGCGTTCTTATCTTTGGACTGCTGTCTTCTCAATCTTGCTCCTTCATAGGCGTATATTCCACCACCTAGGAACACCAATGTGGCACCAGCAAGTACCCCAAATGTAAGGACATTGCCAAAAAGATACACAGAAAGAATCAATGACACGAGCTTGCGGATGTTCAGCACAATAACCACAGTTAGAGAGGATGTCTTTGCCGATAGAAGATAAACGCCACGTATGCAAAGGTATTGCGTCAATCCGTTAAGAAGAAGATAGGATATTTTGATCGGGACCACTGAAAGTATGGGCTGTGTCGATGGGTGGCTGGCAAGAATATGTAAGAGCGGCATCACCGGGACCAGGAATTGTTGAGATAGGCCTCCGGAAGTGGACGCAGCAGCGGAGCTAGCTTTGATGACACTGCTGACAGACGCGGACGCCAGTAGAGATTTCAACTGAGGGTATAGCTGAGGATATGAGGGAAGCAAAAATGGTATGGACAAGGCATGTGAATAGAACAAGCCCTCTCTCCAGTTGTCGCGGCCATATTTCTGGTATAACCAATCCGCATATACTCCCTGGAAGGCAGCTAATACCATTGCCAGTCCAAGAATGATAAACCCTGCTAAGGTCATAAACAGAGAAGACCCTTCGCTAGCCGCTAGCCCAAGATCCAAGGGTTTACCTTTTGCGCTTGCATCTGCAATAGCTGCGGCTACAACACCTGCAGACAGAATTGTAACCGAGATGACTTGCATGGGTGTGTATCTCCTTGAGTTGTATAGATATCCGACAACCATTGAAGCAACCGGACCACCGCTTCTAACAATGATGTGAAGCGGCACTGAAATCTTGAAGATAAATGCAGCATTATTGAGCAAGTTCACGGACATAAAAAATGCAGTGTATATGGCCCATGATTTCAAAGGTATGGCTGGTTTCGAAATGAAGAGAGATTTGAGTCCAGCGGCGGGGGACAGGATAGTCGGCAGTGTAAGGAGTGCAATGATCACAAATTGTGCGAAGGTAATAAGGGTCCCTATTTCATACTATCAGTACCTGCATGTATTGACTAGGAAGGAGAGCCCTGCATACCATGGTTGGGGTCATCTCTACAAATGATAGCCCAAATATCAGCATTCGAAATCTATAGCGACTTGGTTCATCTCCAAGGCAACTCACTGTATCAGAGCCTCAAGGGCAAACACCTATCTTCCTGTTAGCGCCTGACATTAAATACACAAGCAGCAAATTTGCCATACGTTTGAACAACATCCTCCAAATATAAATGCCGTGATAATCACAATATTCAGCCAGGCAGGCACTGTTGATTGCACAATCGCAGATGCCACAGCGGTCGGTTTATGGTCTTTCATACCCAATGATTGTGATTTTGCTACATCGTTTTGTTTGGTAGTTTTCTCAAGCGTCATAGAACCTGGCACGGCATTGGATCGGCGATTTAATTGAGAACCCTGCGGTTCTTCTCGCCTTCCAGTCATGAGCTGCCTACGGTGAAGGAATTAACCTGGGTGATTGGCTGCGGTTAGGATAATGAGCGGCACAAGAGGAGATTCTAATGGTCCGACACCCTTCATACCTGCTAGAATAAATTCTGCCCATATACAGTGACTATTTGAGTGTCACATTCACGGTTATTGCATCGGTTATCGCTTCGATGTCTTGAGGTCAGGTCGCATTTTTAAGATAACAGGAACGGAAAAACTTATCGTCTTATCTTATCTTATCTTCAGATCTTGATCTTATCTCCGAGGTTCCTGAGCCTCAGGTTGGACGATTACCACCAGCATAAAGGTCGGAATAAGAATTTATCATATAATCGAGATGAAGTGAGCACTGGTAGTAGGGCATAATGCATCCAAAATCTCTATTAAAAGCTTATATATCATGTCCTTGAGGAGATGCACAGAAACAAAAAAAAAAGGATTTAATCATCCTCAATATCATCATCACTCAGAATGAGTTTATCCACCCCTTGTTCAACAGCAGGTAAGCCTGTAATACTGGATGTGGCCAGTGTTGGTTGCCACGCTCGATTTTTGTTAAAAGGACCCATAGTTGGAATAGAAGGGGTATTATGGCCAGGTTGAAAATCATCCTCTTCAACTTCTTGGCTTCGCCTTATCATGCCCTTGGGTTGTGTTACTCTTTCTATTTCCTTTCGTTCAGTTCTGTCTTTGGATATAAGTCTCATATAAGGAAGCCGCTCCAAGATGACTTCCTCACGAGATATCATGCACCTTGTCATACCCTGGCTGCTAGGTCCGCTTTCTTTCTGAGCGTGTGGCTGCCGAGCACGAGCACGGATTCCCCAAGATTCAACCCCTTCGGTTCGCTGAGGCACTATGTCAGTAGTGCTTGCATCTGTACAGCCTGTTGTTATACGTTGCGTCCAAAGGGAAATTAGCCCATCCACTTCTTCAGCTTGTCGCCATAGCTTTATTGAGGAAGGGTAGAACATTTTGTGCGCATCTGGCCCACGTCTGTTGACTGGATAAGGAAGATGATATAAGAGCCCTCGCGAAGCAACCTGGAAGCTAATTTCATCCTGACGTAGTAAATCGATTCCAGTTCCGGCTCCCTGAAATGCAACGCGTCCAGACCCAATTCCTCGGGTTGATTGGGCATTCCGACGATTTCCAATTCCCAGGATATCTGCAGCAGAAAGTTGTTCTGAACAGTCATCCAAGGATTCGGTGAATAAATCGCCATGACAGGATGGAGGATAATTTTCATGCAATGCAGACAAAAAAGTCTGGATATCTGTTCCGGTTTCGTTAATTAGGTCCTCAACCGAAACTTGAGACACTAGGTCATGGTGATCTCCAAGTTGTGAAGGAGGTTTCCTAGCTCGTAAGCCAGTGCGAGCTGGAGGCGCAGGGCTCGGTTCCTCCCTTTTATTGTACATTATTTTACCAACCGCGTGGAAAATCCCCAAACTAGCCTCCCTCTGAGTAACCATTTGAAGAGTTTCTGCTTCCATTGCTGTAGGTGGAACGGCAGTTTTACTTGAGCGTTTCAGGCGACTGTTTAGCGTTCCACTATATCCTTCATAGTCGCCGCCCTGAAGACAGATAAACTCCAGTGAGGAAATAGCACTGCGGACATCTCCCATTTCTGCGAGCCGCTTGATGACTGCAGGTCCTGGGATACGCTTTCGGTGAGATAAGCGTGCTTCTTTCTTTAGCACAAGGTCCAAAGCTTTGGTGAGAAATGTAGGTGCAATCGGGTTAAATTCAATAATGCTGACTCCCGGGTGATTTGATAGCTCTGGCCCTAGTAGACGATGAACGGTAAAACTATCGGAAAAGGAAGTACCATCTCCTAGTAACGTCTCAGAAACAATGATAACAACTGGGGTATTTGGGATTTCCGTTGGACGGGCTGCTATCCTAGCAGCAATTGAAGGAAATGCGGAGGCGGCATGGCGCAAAAGTGCAGACCGGAATGCTGTTAACCCGGGTGATCCGGGGGTAAGTGATGATGGAAACTCTTCCACAAGCATTATGCGCCGTCTAGAAGATTGCAACGCAGCACTGTTACTAGAAGTTGACGAAGTTTCGCCGTCTAACTCCAGACAGTTGTATTTCTCACCGCGGCCAAGGAAGTCATCGAACTGCGTCCCTGCAGAGGCATATCCTTGAGCGGAATATTCTGTTCCAGCAGAATTCCTCCACTCTACGATATCATACCCGAGAGCCTTCGATAACAACGAAATGGTTGTAGTTTTGCCGCTGCCCGCGGGCCCCTTTAGCACAAGTATACTCTATATCTGAGTTAGCACGGTCATAGCACAGATTGAAGCAGCACGTAACAGGGTGTCTACCTACGCGTCGACTTCGACCTATGAGAACCTCGTTCAACCAATTCTGCACATCTGCGACTTTCCTCTTATGCACAGCAAGTTCATCCAAATTGGCCGGAGCAAATTGCTCCGCCCACGGCTTCCCAGCTGTCTGTGCTGGCACTAAAGATGGTCCAAACGACGCAAAAGTCGACTGTGAGGAGCCTCCAGAGTCATTGCTATCCGTGTGAAGTATGAATCTTTTCCCTGATCTTGGTTTCCTGTCCGGTTTAAGAGTTGATATTCCATTTTGACTGGGAGGAGGACTGCTTTTCCGTCGATCTAGCGCAGGGTGACCGTGAAAACTTGATATTCCACTTTGACTGGCTTTTTGTCGCGGTTGTGATAGAAACTCATCCAGAGAGTCATCATCTTCAATCATATCCTCTAGTAAGTCATTTTCAAGTTCCAGAAACATCTGCCTTTCCCTCTCCTTTTCCTTCTCCCGTTCCCTTTCGCGCTGTAATCTGCTCCATCTTTCTTCCTCGGTAGCTGGTTGGAAGAAGCTTCGTAGCGATTTACCAGCCTGTCCAATATTTTCATCACCAGTATTCTTCTTGGGTTTTCCGGTGTTCTTGCGTTTCTTCTCTGGAGAAGATATAGGAGTCGTACGTGTTGAATGGACCGAAGATGCCTTACTTGGCGACTTGAGTACGTCATTCAAAGATCGTTCAGGAGGAGGAGGAGGAGGAGGCAGATTCTGCGAGGACGGTCGTGTGGGTAGAGTTGAGAGTGGGAGCTGTAGAGTCCCATTGCGATTGCTGCTGCCTGCGGCCGCGGTTGAAGTCGCCCTTGAGGTTGTCAAAGATCGTTCCCCCTTAAACGTCCTCTGGATTTGAGGTTTCTGTCTTCCTTTGGCTGGAACTGGGCTTTCAATTTCGTCGTCTGAGGAGAGAACTATGTGTTTCCGCTGTCGCTTTCGCGGGGGGGACGAGACCATGGCGAGATGCGCTGGTAAAAAAAAAAAGCACCAAGAACCGGTCGCTACATCCTTTGGCGGACGATTTTCAATGTCTCAAAACAAGTGATGAAACCTGGCTATCTGCCTTGGAATGCTGTTTTTGAGAGAGAGGTTGAAGGCGAGTCTTGAAGATGTTTGATAGATCGCGATGTTTCTTTTTCGAGCATTTGCATGGGGAGGTCGATGTTTGCACTGTTTGCTCTTATTATAGTTATATCAAAGCTTTGTATAGATGAAGAATTAAAGTAATAATAGGGGGTCAAGGGTACAATATCTAATACACCAAGAGAAAGAGAAAGAAATTAAATACAAGCATTAGCATAAGGGTACAGTATAGAGAAAAAGGGTATATAGATTTTTTTCGTCTCCGCAGCAGGTCAGTTTCCTCCAAATATATCATAATAGTAGTCTTCGTCCAGACCCTCCCTGCTAGGGACTTCAGGGCAGTCTCCGGTAAAAGCAGCGTCGTCAAAGCGGACATTCAGCAGTCTGATTTTCAGTCCATAGTTGCTGATCAGGTTGATTAGCTTGTTTGTTTCTGCCGTTATGGGTTGCTGGTTGAGGATCATGAGTAGGCCATCCAGCCATTCGGATGCTATGCTGTGTGACTGAGGGTAGAGAGTGAGCAGCACGACTTCATTCTGTGCTTGTTTGTCGTCATCAGGGTATTCGGTATCCCTGGTCTCAGTTCTGAGAATCGGCGATTCATGGGGTTGTGGCGGAGGCGTGGGTTTGGCCAGACCGTGAATGGTGATTTTGGTTGATCCGCTGGCTGTATGGGGAAGCGTTTTGATAGTCGAGCCAGACGAATCATCCGGAGATGCTGACACATTGGAGACCACGGAAGATACGATGCTCAGGTCGACTTTTAATTGAAGACATGTTAGCAGTGTCCACCAGTCAGTTAAAAAAATAGGAATAGAGACATACTCTTATTAGATAGAGACTCCAGTTCAGGCTTGAAGTCGTCACCTGTAGATTCAAAGTCTCCATAATGTAAGAACCGTCTGTTATGTGATAGCTGGATGTATCTATGATACGTTGATGCTCCTCGCTTGTCCGTTACTCCATTGGTATCCGCTGTGGCCTTCGAGCTGGACTCCGCATTTGGGAACCAAGCGCCTTGCAACAAACACCGGACACGCTGCTCCTTGACGAACTGTAGTGCTTCATGATGCAGCTCCTCTCGGACCTGGTGCAGATGCTGGCCCCATACGTCTTCATATGTAAGCTCTAGCAGCTCCATCTGAAGCTCTCTGAGGCGCTGATACTCAAAATCGGCCATCTCCTCTTCAACCTCCAGCACATCTTTAGTGCGCGAAGCACCGCCAATGACACTCTCGACCAGTATCCGAACCAACTCGACTATCTTTGTGAAATCTTCGACTTCAGCGGCGGTGGATTTCCAGAGTCGGAAGAATGCGTGCAAGCCAGCAACATGCAGTCTAGGCCAATGAAGGAGAATGGGTTTGAACATCTTATCGAAGTTCGTCTTGGCTTCGAGAGCAAGGTAGCTCTTTGGATCATCTATCTCGGCCTTGTCGACTTCGAAATGCTCGTATAAAACAGACGTCACGGCCAGAGAAGCTCGAGCAATGGGACACCTTTGCTCGGCCGGTCGAGTAGACTGCTCGAGGAGCATCTTCTGGAATTCATCTTGGTATCTCCGGACATAATCAGTCAAATCCATCATGCCCAGGAATCCCATTTCCTGGAACTCCCACTGGGGGCTTTCAGATTCGAATCCAAGCCGGCGCCATTTGTAAGGATGATGCCTTTTAGACGACTTGTGAGGCAGAGTAACACCATCTCCGGCTTTGGGATCAGCAGCAGCATCCTTTTCCTTCGCACCAGCGGAATCCTTCTCTGATCGCTCGGGATTGCTAGCCAGGTGGATCCCCTTTAGCGCCCTACGGTGCTCTGATCTCTCCAGTTCAACGGGTACCTCTCTCCATTTCCGTAGTAGGAGTTTTGTAAGGGACTGAAACTCGATGAGCGGGTGGGCTAGATCCTGCAGTGCGCTCCCCTGCATAAGCACATACACCGCGCGAATGACACCTAGGTCCTGTAGCCGCTTGATAAACTTGGGCCATTCGTTCTCGCCTTGGTTTGATATCGAGTCTCTCATCAGCGAATTGATCAGTTGCAGCGCATTGGCGCATAGAGCGTGGTCGGCAGACGACAGTCTCCTGACTAGCATCTCGAGGAACTGTGGGTGGATGGCAATGGCCGGTTTGAGGGCCTGGAAGCCAAACATGCCCGGCACCGAGGCGCGGCCAGAGGTGTGAGGGTGCGACACGATGGAAACGAGTATAGACATTGCGCCTCGGAGGATATTAACAAGCGGGTGAGTGACGATAAGCTGGACAATCTACAGCAGGCTGGTCAGTAACTCGTGCCCTATCCCTTTATCCATACATATATATATTCAGGGGGTGTTGAACACAAACGTACTCTCTCGATTAGATCGGTCTGTACAAACTCCCATCCCTTGTCGACTTCCAGCAGCCTCGCAAACGAGGTCAGACTGTATGCGAGCGTGTTCCCCGAGGCCGTCAGCGAGAGATACTTCAGCTTGGTCAGTCCTCCCTCTGCGATGAAGATGTCCGCGAACGAAGGGTCCCCTATGTTCGACTGCAGCTTGAACACAGCCATCTTGCGCACTGCATCCTCGTCGCTCCCCAGCCGTTCGACAAGTTCCGATATATTCACGCTCTCCATCTTGTTCACGTCTTTATCCGACCGTCCAGCGTACCTCTCCAGGAGGTATATGTATAGTTATGCGTGGCTCTTTCTGCTCCCCTTTATCGTTTGTCAGGAGACCGCCGCCCGACCCTCGAAGCGCCCAGCACACTTGTTCGCCCCCGGCTGTCCCCACGGCGGCTATAGTCGCAAGATGAAGACGGGATCGATCGCGCTGCTGCAGGGGGCTTGTCTGCAGGCTCTGGGGCGAGGGAGACAACTAATGGACCGAAGGGGGTGCGTGCTGGATATAGTTACGTTAGCTCAGAGTTGGAATCAACAGCCACAGCGTCGAGGGGGCTCCTGTAGGGCGCACAGCAGGATCCTCGAGGTCGCTGGCGCTGCTGTGGGGTCCCAATGGCTGTGTCCAGGGCATTAATGCTGGTGATATTGGGGGTAAACAAGATGAATTCTCAGCTTTTCGCTGCTGGCCTTTTCTTGCGCCGAAATCGAGTGTTTCTTTTCTTTTGCGCCCTTTTCGACCCCTGGATAGTCACATGATGCCGGCTGGGGAAATTGGTAGAGGCGACGATGGAGGAAGAGGCCGGTTTAGAGGCGATGATATGTCTATTCGGGGGCTACAATCGATGATAGACACGGGGGGGGGGAGGGGGGGGGTCCAGGCTGTGGTGTTTGTGCCTGTGTTTAGGGGTGTTGGTGGACAGAAGGAGAGAATAGGGGTTCAGCAAGTCTGCCAAATCTACGCCAGTAACACAACTACGACAAGATATATAAAAAGGACAGGGAATAGGTAAGAGTAATTAGTATTATTCAAGCTCCATGAAAGAAAAGACAGGCAGGTAATTAAGTAGTGTCTGCGGTCATGCGTCATTCGTAACTTCATAGATCTATTTCCAAGCACTTTTCTTATTTTATTTGTATCTGTTTCCTCTTCCCTCCGATACGGCGATAGTAGCGGAATTTATGGTAAGAAACGGACCAATTGTCTCTGTATGGACGAGAGAGATGATTGACTTTGATGTCGGAGTGTTGTATTGGCTGTTCGTTGCCATCAAGTGTGAGAATGGGTGTGGTGCTTCCTTAGGCTGTTAGGCTAAGGAGTAGCCGTCTGTCTCGTGGATTGGCGGGATGAGTGCTACTTGAAGATATTCAAGTAGCCCGGCCTCCGTAGATAATGATAAGTGTAAACGTGTAGACGTTGAAATATATCAATAGACAGGGTGTAGATGTCGGCGGGATTTGATGCCTTGACTCAAGGCAAGGCTGGGATGTCGTGGTCAGCCAGCTCGGTTGAGAAGATGTCGTAGCTGGGCAGTAACCCGATCCCTTCTGGAGCCGTATGGAACTATGGAAATGGGTCGCATGTATGCCCGGGCATATAGGTCGGTGAGTCAGCCGCGCCAGCCGACGTTCCATATGACATGTGCAATATCTCTAGCCGTGTTGACCGTGTCGATTACTCGATCGATCACGCCTCGGCTGGAGCTTGTCTCTTCAGTCTCCTCGGGCCCGTCGAGGTCTCCGTCGGGGCTGTTGTCACCATAGCCAAAGGGCATGAAGACGCCCGAGGAAGAGTAATATTTCCCTTCCTCGCTTATAGTAGCCTTGGCCTTTGAATTACTGAACCATTGACTTGCCAGAGAAGGGAGAGATGCAGAAGTGGTAATAGTAGAAGATGATGGCGGAGAAGACGCCTGGTTCATAGATGATGACTGCTGGGCGTTCCACTCGATGTCCCAGCCGGTATTCCAGTCCTCGTCCGCTCCGTACTCTTCGTCCAGGAAGAAGTCTCCGTGAGAGGACGTTCTGGTAGCAGCAGCATGGTAGTTTGACGGACGGAGGGTTTCAGCTGAAGATGAGCGAGACAAGGTAGGTCGTACAGGCCGCGGGGTCTCTTGTTTGGGCTCTGGGGTATCAGGTCGATACTTGAGGGTGGTGGAAGGCAAGTGAGCAATAATCCTACTATCGCTGCTGAAGCTGCTTCGTGGAGTGCTCTGGAAGCTGAGAGGAGGCCTCTCAGGGTAGTATCTAGCCATCACGACGCCGTCATCGGAGGCCTCGTCTTCTTCTACCACAGAGCCGTCTGTGGCATAGCTGTAGTAGCCGTAGTACTCTCCGTCGAACGGCTCATCGTCGTCCTCGACGGCAACGCACTGTGCAACCTCGTTGCTGAAGCTGATATGCCGTTTGTCCGGGATGTCCCCCCGACTCTCCTGGAAGAAGAAGTTGGACACGGAGCTCTCTGAGGGTAGGCCAAGTGATTTCTCGACCTCCTGGCGGGAGACGGGGTAGTCTGCGATGTACCGGCCATCTGCACCGTCCTGGGCCTTGATCAGAGCGTTGGCCAGACGCAAAAACGTGTGGGTGGAGTGAGGCCGCTGCAGAATTGATTGCGAAATGGTCCGCTTCTTGAGGATCGGCTTTTTATCGATAAGTGACGAGTTCGACGCCCCCGGGGAGGAGGGAGTCGGCGACGCAGTGCTTGACCGGTCGTCTGTCTCGTCTCCGAGCACCTGCAGCGGGCCGTACAGCCAAGTGACGTCGATGTCCTTTTGCCTGTCAAATAGTTAGTCCATCGTTCTATTAAGGGGGTAACTGCGTATATCAAAATCGACTGCTTGACTGACCAGTTCAGAGCCTCCGCAGGGAACCATCCGAGACCGAATCGTATCCTTGCCCAGGAACGCCATGCAGCATTCTCCAGCCTGTGCCCACTCTCGTACTCGTCCTTTCTGGCCGCGATGTATCTCCACGAGCTCCAGACGTCCTCCTCGCGCCAGGAATGCGACAGATAGTCAACATGTCTTGATGGTTCTCGCTCCACGAAGCTGTCGTCCGCCGCCCTGCACGCCATGTCTGCACCCTGTAGTGTCCCGGCTGTATACCTAAGAGAGAAGAAATAAAGCAGGCAGCGTAGAGTCGATGTTATTAGCCTGTCACTGGCCTCACCTGCCTTCGAGCTGTTAAAGAAGTCGGTGTAGTCCTTGTAGGCGGGCGGGAAGTAGATAGAGAGGCCGGTTTATATGCGCTGGAAGGGCCAGAACAGACGAGCAGCTATCGGCTTGCACTCCCAATTGACGACCGTCACAGACACCGTCTAGAGCTCTCGGCGCCGTCGCAGGTCATGATATGGCTCAGGTGCTGCGTCGTCTGGCGAGCGGAGGCGTTGCTGATATATTATTTATTGTACCAGCCAGTCTCTGCTAGTGATAAATCGCAACTCACACACACACAACACACACAACCTTTTGCATCCCATGCAAAAAGGAGGCAAAAAGCAAACATGCAGCAGCTTTTTTTTTGCAAAAAAGAAGCAGAAGGCAGAGAGGAAGAAGAAACGACGAGACAAGACTCTGAGATGGGCAGACAAAAGGTACGAAAGGTCAGTCTAGAACAACCTTGGGCTCGCGGTCGGTTACATGGATGAGGCTGCTCCCTTGCTGCGTATCTTTCTCTCTCTCTCTCTCTCGCGGCCGGCGGGACGTTCACTGGCTGGCTGACCCTGCGGCCTCTTGACTCGCCGTCTCTGCAAGTGATCCAGGGCGATTCGAGTTTATCTGAGGTGAAGGCTCTGACGGCGGCGGGAGATATCAGACCAGGAGGAGTCAGAGCCTGTCAAGGAGGCGAAAAACGCATCAGAATCTTCCTGGTTCCACTGCTCTCCGTATTCCGTACCTTATCTGGGGCCCTTTTTTTGCATCGATAGTAATTAGTTGCTTTCACTGACGCCGTCTAGATAGAAGACTCTGCCGCTTATCGCGGAGTTCTGCAAGTACAAAAATGTATCTGGAGGATTCTTGGGCAGATCAAGGAAGCTGGTCGGAGTGCCTTGACTGACTACATACAGCTATGTTATCCCTCGAGCGCAGGAACACAAGACATTCGTCCATGATCCACTAGCAGTTAATGGCAAAATGGGAGTCGACAAGCCTGGGAAAAGCCTTACAAAAGAAGTAGCCCAGAGAGAAAATAGCCGGCTGTCGCCACGGTGAAGCCAGACTGAGAGACGACCAGCCCCGTGCATATAGACATTACAGCCAGAGGGCTAGTTACTTTCTACTTCTCTGCGCAGCCATCTCTGCCGTGACCTCGGCCCCGCCCCGCGGTTTGCAAATAAGTGAGTGACTTGGTTATCGACAGCTTGAGTCAGCTCTATTGACATAATCCGAAGGCAAATAATAATGGGGGAGATATGATGATATGATGCTGGCTGCATATCGACGACCAGATCCCTAATCCCGCGTCTGTGTTGTCCATGGTTGGGAAGAGGGATGCTCCTATCTCGACCATGGTAGAGTACATTCTCACCAGGGCGAATGTAAAGTACATCAAGCTTCGAGCGAAGTTGGAAGCGCCCGTATTTGCTTTTCCCTCCCAGTGCGGTGGTGCGACTGTTATCGGCTGCGCAAGCCGTGTACACTGCATCACCTTCTTGTTCGACGGTACCTGTAGGGATGGTCACCTTGGTGCCAGAGAACAATAACACGACCAGCAAATAGCAAGGTCAAGATCAGGCAGACTCCTGGAGAGACACGGGAAGTCTGAAAAGCCAGACTCTAACTATTCACTTTTCCTGTCTTCGATGGCTCCTGTTAACCGATGGCGTGGCATGGACCTCTTCCTCCGTCTTCCAGGGTTGGTCTTGGTCTTGGGTTCGGATGTTGGAATCGAGATCTAAACATCGGAGTACAAAGCTCCTTTTTTAGCACAATCTTGGGGGATCCAGTTTTTTTCTGTTCCCACCTCTTCTACTCTTTTTTTCTCATCATGCAGCAACATCCCGCTTCTCCCGAAATACTCCGCCAGCGGGTGACGGGGGGCCCCTCCTTGGCCTATCTCAAGGTCGCGATGCGAGGGTCTCCCTCCCCTACGAACTGCGGGGAATTATGATACAAGCCAATTGATGGTGTGATATGTTGAGCTTGGGCAGGCTAAAGAACCAGGCTGCGGCACGGTCTCTGGTTCTGCTTTCGATGATCGGCCTGTTTAAACGTCGGTCTCTGGGTGGTGTATACTCCGTACTACCAGCGTGCATATAACTAGCCGATGATGTTCCGCCCTTCCTTTTCATGTCAAAGATCGCATCCTTGTACGACGAGGCTTGACGAGGGGTTGGTTGGTGGTAGGAGGGGCGCAAAAGAGGCACTAATCGCTTTGCTTGACTGCATGCAATGTCCATCATCCCCTTCATTCAGCTTCCCCTCCCTCCTCTTTCGCCGGCATAAAACGAGGAAATATGCCGCGGAATCGGCATTCCAGGCCATATATCAACATCGCATCATTCTGATACGAAATGTATGGTACGCATGTATGTATATATGGATGGGTGCCTGGTTTCGACGTGGATGAGATGTTTTCTCTGGTCCAGTTGATACGCCATGCCACCCAGCGGCTGGCCTTGAGAAGTCACCCAATTTAATCAGCGCAATGCATGCACTAAGCAGAGTGAACCATGATTCTTAACGGCCGTGCATATAACTATTTACCACCTAGTTTGGATTGTGAGGTGTCTATATGAGCGAGAGCAACTCACCATCATTGCCAGCTTTTATGCTATGCAGAGTAAATGATCAAGAGTCGCTATTCGTGTATGCATCAGTGCAATTGCACGACTGAATCCGAAAGCCAGTGGAAGACCTGGTCGGCTTGACAATGCAAAAAGGGCGTCACATATTAACAGGGGGCCTATAGGAGCAGCGGCTTCTGCAGGAAATCAGGTTGAGACCCTAGATGTCGAGCCCCTTCCAAGCATCGTAAATGTCTATTTATTTGCAGCTCTGTGACAAAGTCGAGTAAGTCGAAGTATGTAAGTATAGATACTCGACAGATAGGCGAGGCTTGGTTGTTTTCCTGGACATGGTTTTAAACGAACTGGTTCGGCATCTTAAGTATGACGCTATGAGCGACCTGCTATTTCAGTCTTGATAGCTCTGGGGGAAGATACCCCCGGACCATCACCCCAGGGCTGGTCGAGACTATAAATGGCAGGAATCCATCCATGTAGTGCAGCGGCATAACTACGCAGTTATTCATGACGTTTGTCTCTCCCGTCTCCTCCGTCGACTTGTATACTTCGTATCAGCGTATATATAATCTCGGCTACTCGGCCAAGCTGGATGTCAATCAACATTGCAATTGAACCAGGCCAGTCGAGACATCGTGTTGTCTGACCTGTTTTCCTTGACTTGCTGTCAAAAGAGCAATGTTCAATGACGCTGGCGAGCTCCGTCTGTCATCGGGGATCGCCTGGTCAAAATAGACTCCGGTGAAACACCGCCTTTTCTGGCGTCCATGATGTGCCGCTGCAACTCTGTGCCAGCATCGCTTCGCCAACCCCAAGGACGACCAGGAAGTCTTCCATCTTCCGCCGTCTTCATGGCCTTTTTCTCTCCTAGATATGGCCTGTTTGTAGTGTTTTTGTCTCTTCATCTTGCAAGCAACGTCGCTTTTTTCCCTTTTCGGCCCAAGATGGTCGGATATGGAGTATATTTAACCCGAAAATCTTAGTCATATCTTAGTCATGTTTATTACATAATCTTGACCGTCCCGCAAGCCAGGAAGAAACGAAAGAAGCAGAAGAAAGCATTTACATTCGCGGTCTTAATTGCTATAGATCATAGCAAAGATATAAAGGGGAACCATGGCTGACACTGAAAATGGAGACGCTGGGACTGCGCCTGCTGAGCCTCAAGCCCGTCATATAGTATACTGTGGAGGTAAGCGTGGATTGAGTCGCGTTGTCTGCCCCTCCAACAGCTATGGTGGGATGAAGGCTAACATTGAACGTGCTTCTTATAGTGTGTTCTCTCCCTCCAGAGGTATGGATTATATCCCTGGGAGATAGTTTTATATAGTCCATTTCCTAAAATTACTATACCTTTATCTTTTTATACCATTTGAACCACCCAGGGGCTCGCGTGACTGACTCGGAATCCATACAATTAGTACTGTGAATTCGGCGGCACAAAGAAGAAGTGCGAAGAATGGCTAGAAAAATCACACCCAGATCTCTACCAGAAGCTATATTCAGATGGTACCTCTACGCTACCTTCCTTTCACACGTACCGGTCGAGTGTCTAACAAATGAGCAGAAACAATCGCCGCAAACCTCTCCGCATTATCAGTTGAAGCCCGTGAGCGAGCAGCAAAAGACGCCGCTAAGAAAGAAGCCAAAGCTGCCCAGGCCGAGAGCCGTGAACATGAGAAGAAAGCTGCCTCCAAGATCCTGATCAGGCGGGTGGAGCGTAATAAGCGGAAATTCGTCACTGTTATATCTGGCCTTGAGGCACATGGGTTAGACAACAAGAAGGTGGCCAAGGGACTAGGCAAGAAGTTTGCGACAGGAAGCTCGGTGACGAAGGCTACTGGTGCTGCTGCTGCAACTGGAACAAACGAGGAGATCACCGTACAAGGAGATGTCAGTGAGGAGGTGATGGAATGGTTACTAGATAATTACAAGGATGTCCCAGAGGACAACTTTGAGTTGGTGGAGGATAAGAAGAAGAAATCCGGGGCTGCGGCTGGGGCGCCTCCTGCTTGAGTTGAGGCTTAACTACGTGGCGAAGGGCATAAGTTTCCTGGTGATGATTATTCTGGGAACTCGCGGGCAGGCATCTTCATTTTCGTTTCTTTTTTACGCTCTTGGAACATACGTGTGGGAGATGCATCTTTTGGTTTTATATTTTGTTTTCTCAAGCATATGAAAGGGTCACGACATGTTTTGGTTGAAGGGATTTGCCGTGTGATAAATAATCGAAACAGAATTTACACATATCTACGAATTGGTATAGATTGAAAGAAGCGACACCACTTTGATTCCGTTAAAACTCCACTCTGTATGGGGGGTATCATATGCAAATGTAAGATATATAGCAAGCAACTCCGGTTTAACTCAAAAGATCCTCCAACTCCGTCCTCATGCTTCTTCTATGGATCTGCCGTAGACCATTTAACTGCGTGGAGATGCCATTCCCATCCTTTGAAACATTGGTAACATCATATCGATCAGTGGCAGGAGTGTCATGGGTACACTGGTATGACTTGCAACGACAAGCTCAGAGTTCATCGATTATCCGCTGCAATGGCTCCTCTAAGGCGTCCAAGTCGAGAGGAGTCTTATAGGCACTCCTTGCACGGCCAGTGGTTGGAGTGCCGGTCGGAGTGCCTGTTGCAGTGTCAATGGCAGTGCCTGTACTCATGGCATCCTTTGGCGCCACACGGGATTCAGAGGAGTTTCCATGCAAGGTAGCGTTCGCCTTGGAGCCAAAGATGGAGTAGTCAGGGTACACTTTACCCATGACTTTCATGCCGACCCAAGCAAGAAACAAGAAAGCAATCGCGGCACCGAGAATCCTCAAGCGCCTGTTGATTTTCGCCTGCCACTTGTCTTCTTCACGGTCCCAGGCATAGATTCTCTGCCGCGTGACGTCGAGTCTGGCGTCCAGCTTCTTCGATGCTTCCTCGGTAGCCTTCAAACGAGCCTCCAACAGCGCAATGCTCTGCAACTGGCGCTCGAATTTGTTGAAATTGTGTACATGCCTTTCCGCATTGCGCATCACACCCTTCGTGCGGTATAGGAATTCTCTGTGCTGCGCCAAAGCAGTGTTACTGAGCCGTTGGAGGCTGTAAATAGTGCCGCGGATTACACTGGCATCGTTGACCAGATTGCCGCAAGTGTCTTCGATTCGTTTGGAGAATGAGCCTGACTTTTCGGCAAGTTCGTCGAAAAGCTCTCTGTTCGCGCTGCACACGTACTGTTAGTATGATATAGCTCCTATACCGGCAATCAACATGTAAAATAAAAAGATAGAGAAACGTACTCTTCAGCCTCGAGTCTCTTCGTATGCAACTCGTCAACACGAGCCTGGGTGACCGCCTCTCTCGTCCTGGTAAACGGGAACCGTCTCGCAAGCTCCTCCCTGTTCTCCTTGGCCTCTCTATCGCGACGAGCTTTCTCGTCAAGCTCCCGCTTCTCCTGCGCCTTTGCCCTCTCCTCCGCCTCTGCCGCAGCGGCGCGAGCTTTCTTCTTGCCCAGGTGGAAGGGCATCTCCGCGACCTGCTCAGGTATGGGGAAGCTCGGGTTCCTCAGATATCTCTCGTCGCGTTCATGCCGTGACTTCTGGTGCTTGTGGTGTCGGCGGCTGCGTTTCTCGGCGTCGTAGCTCCTGTCCTCGGGGTGCTGTTGCAGCGGGCTGGACGGGGAGAAGAGCGACGGGTCCGGTATGCTGGCGTGGTGCGGGATGTAGAGGTTGTTATTGAGCGAGGGATAGGCCCTGTTGGGAGGCAGCAGAGGCGAGGGCTGCAGCGAGGATGGAGCTGGTGAAGCGGGAGAAGCCGTGTGCATCTCGGTGCTTTCATCGGGGCTGACTGCTGCTGCTGGTGCTGGTGCTGCTGTTTGCTGTGCGGCAGGCAGCGCCAAAGGGGGTATCCGGAGGTTGTCCTGCTCCATCTTCTCTTTCTCTGCCTCTGCCTGCTCTGGAGCTGCTGTCTTAGGATTGCTGGTTAGCACTGCTTGCTATTGCATGCACTCCACAGGCAGCGCACTGGAGAAATCGCAGGATGGATGTCTGGGGTCGGTGATTTTTAAATGGTTTTATTAACAGGGGTTTGTTTTTCTGGCTGGGCTACGCTAACTACGTCATCCCTTAGGGACCCTGCAGCAGAGAGTAAACAACAGCTTATTATATTAAGGGGATTGACTGAATTTATAAATAGAGGTCTACCAGGATGATATTTATACTTGGATAATTTATTTATATTTGTAAGGCTGAATCTTTAGTATCAAAGCACTGAGAAGTGTCTCACTGCCATTAATCCTAGTGGAGCAGGTCTCAATGCCTCAAGGGGATAAAGAGAAGGCTGGTCAATTACCACCAGGCTAGAACATTCAGCCATCTCAATCATCTGCAGTTCTAGCTATATCCAGTAGCTAGTTGTATCTGTATATCTTCATGTCTGTGTAGAGCATCCAAGTTCGACTTTTAAAATCCCATTATCATAACCCCAAACTCCAGCGCATGCAAAGGAAACCACCAAAAAGCCAATGTAATCTAAGAATTAAGCAGCTTGTTCCTCTTCTCCCGCTTCCTCATCCGCTCGACTCGTTTGCGGTGCATCTTCTCGGCCAGCTTCTCATATCTCTCTTTCTCTTCCTTGGCTGCTCGTCGGTCCTTGATAGCTTGTATACGGGCCTGAAGAAGGGAAGAACTTTAGTACTAGGCATCAAATACTTTGGCCCTTCAAGCTGTAAAATCAGCCTGGCCTACCTGTCTTGTAGCCTCCTTCTCCTCCTTCATCTCCTTCTCCTTCTCTTTCATCACGGCCATCGCTTTCCGCTCTTCCAGCCGCTTCGCATATGATGTCTGTCCGGCAGTCGGTCTAAAGGCCTTCTTGGGTGCATGCCAGTTTTTACCTATACCAAATCAAAGGATCATCAGCAAGAGTGTCAATATTCTGATAGTAGCAAATAAGACGATAATAACTACCATTCTTGCGCATCCCCTTGGGCTTCGACGATCCTGAGGCAGAAGTCGGAGCAGGCTTCTTCTCCGAGGCCACCTCGACGGAGTCATGTGTGGCTTCCGACATCTTTCCTCTCGTCTGTCTTCCTGTCTTCCTGTCTTCCTGTCTTGTCTTTCTTTCCGACTGCTTTCTTCTCCCCTTCGTCGCTTTCATTTCTTTCTTCTTTTTCGTCGTCTTTTTTTTTTGCTTTTTTGGAGGAGAGAAAAGTGTCCAAAAGAGGACTAGCGTGGGATCTTATCTTTTTGATCAGATAACCGTATTAAGGTTACTCCGAATGCCGAAGAGCCCCATTCTTGATGACTAATCATGTTATTTTCGTAACCAAAAAAAAGAAAAAGAAAAGAAAAATCGACGACTTTCAAGAAGAAGAAGAAAAGAAGAAAGGAAGAAAGGAAGAAGAAGAAGGAGAAGAAAAGCCACAGGATGGGATGGGATCTGCGTTGATAGTACGCTTTAGCACGCCTGTACGGAGTGCACTCGAAGACTCGACCGTCGACAACAACATTTGCTGCGGTGGCTATTTATAACGTCAACCTAAGCTGCCAAACCTCGCATTCTTATCTTAAAAATTCTTACTTTGCGACCAGCCTGTCCGTTCCGCCGCCGTGCAGAGGCATCTGAATCTCGTGCAGACTCTTGCTCCGCTTCACTGGAAGCATGGTTCTCTTCACTGTTGGCAGCTGCTCTATAAGGACCCTCCGATAGCGGCCTGTCCAGTGTCATACTGATCTCTCCCGACTCCCGTTCTCAGCTGCGCAACAGCAACAACAACAATCACAAGCCACCCATCATGGAAGGAGACCCTCTGCCGGCGGTGAAGCAGAAGCCCACTATTCACACTATGAACGTCGAACTGTCCGACCTGCCCGTGAGAGCACAGCATCACGGCATCGATGCGGTCAAGGACATTGTTTTCGGCTCTGTGAGTAATTACTCGATTGTTGTGTGTGCGTAAAGCTTCAGCCTAGCTAACTGTTTATACAAAATAGATCGCTGGCATGGTTGGAAAATACATTGAGTACCCCTTCGATACCGTCAAAGTGCGATTACAGTCTCAGCCAGACGGCCTTCCCCTCCGCTATACCGGTCCCATCGACTGTTTCCGTCAGTCCCTACGGCAAGAAGGCATACAGGGACTTTATCGTGGCATTAGTGCACCCCTCCTCGGTGCAGCTATCGAAAACAGCTCCCTTTTCTTCAGCTACCGCCTCACACAACACTTAGCCCGGGACTATGTTTACGGCGGTCTGGAGAAGCTTCCATACACCGCCCTGCTAGTCTGTGGTGCAGCATCCGGCGCGTTCACCTCGATCCTCCTCACGCCCGTCGAGCTCGTCAAGTGCAAGATGCAAGTCCCCGCGGGTCAGCATCAAGGCAAAGCAATGGGCCCTCTAGCCATCGTCTCAGCTGTGTTTCGAACACATGGCGTTCTCGGCCTTTGGCGTGGGCAGCTCGGCACCCTCATCCGTGAAACCGGCGGCTCTGCGTCTTGGTTTGGCGGCTATGAAGGTGTATCCGCGTTATTTCGACATTATAACCCCGCAGTTTCACTTCAGGGGAAGCAGGGGATGGCAGACGACCTGCCACCTTTGCCAATATACCAGCAGATGATTGCCGGAGCTACTGCTGGCGTTCTCTATAATTTTATCTTCTTCCCGGCAGATACTATCAAGTCACGCATCCAGACAGAAGATATCGCAGCACATTCGGCTAAAAGTGGTGCTAAGATGCCCTCTTTCTGGTCCGTGGGAAAGGCGGTCTGGAAACAGCATGGTATCGCTGGTTTATATCGTGGCTGCGGTATCACGGTTGCTCGATCGGCACCCAGCTCAGCCTTTATCTTTTCCATATACGAAGGCTTAAAGACTCACTTTCAGTAGCTGGAAACCTTATCATTTCTTTGCCATTTTTTACGACTTGATTTCTCGGTACATATATATGCATTGGATGGCTGGTAGATACAGGTGTATGGTGTTTTGGAGATTTCGTTTACTTTGGCCGATATGCCCTGTTCTAGAGAGCTTTGTTTATTTATTGAAGGAAATTTCTATATGTACATCCTTGAGCCCGTATTGACGTCGGAACGAGATGGTGCGTGTTTGATGTTGACTCGCAGAAGGCGGCGGAGTCCGCTCCGGTACTAGCCTTGCACTAGACTTTTCCATAGTTATAAGCAACTAAATATCAACTACATCTCGATATTCTTCAACAATAACATACAAATAAAACATCTACCTCAGTCAAGAGACTTAACCAGGCAGTGCAACTACTCAAAATTCAAGATGGCAGCTTCAATCACCGACGTAGAGGCAGAGACTATGGGCCAGAAGGCCATCGCGGCCAAAGACCGCGCATACTGTTCGTTAATTTCCACAGCCGAAACAGCGCCTGTCCAGGTACTGACTGCTATACAGGCGTCTACTCCAAGTTCCGCGTCGGTGCATGCCTCTTGACCGAGAGTGGCGAGTACATTACCGGCGTCAACGTCGAGAATGTCAGCTACCCGGTTGGCGTATGCGCTGAGCGCTGCGCCATGGGAACGGCCGTGGTATGAAGCTATCAGACCCCTGCACCCCGCATTTTGATCTACTGTTAATACCCAGGCATAAAAGGCGGCTGGCCATACCAGGTTCAAGGCTATTGCCGTAGCTACGGATATCAATCCGGGAGCCTCGCCATGTGGCATGTGTCGGCAGTTGTACGTGGCACCTGCATAGCATCCTTTTTTCCCCACCTAGTCAGGTCAGCTTGTCTAAATGATGTTAACCGCCGACTTAGTATGCGTCAATTCTGTGCATTGGACTTCCCGATCTATATGTATGGAGGGGACGGGAAGTATACACTGACGACCATGGGAGAGGTATATATAGCCCTGCTTCTAATGAAATATGTATATACTGACCTGCATCCGGTATTAGTTGCTTCCATCGTCTTTCAGTCCTGCCGATCTACCACCTCCTAGCTAAATACATGCATACAGCACGATGTAGACAGTGCGGTGAGTGAAAATTCGGTGCTGATATCTAAAAAAAACTATATACAGGATTATCAAATATCAAAATTATATCTCGTACCATATCCTATTCAAATCCGTAACGACTTATAAAACCTATCTTTGCCACCGAAGATTAGTTGAGTAACAGGCCATTATACTACATTCCGTTCAATCTCTTCAACCTGCAGAGAGGTATCACCCTTTACTTCACAAGATGGAGATAACACATCCCCACCTTGGCATATCATCTCTTCAGCCTCTGCCACCTTCTCTTCAAATCCGTAACTATCATCGTCACCAGGAACTTTGAACAGAGCACAAAGAATCCAGTAGGCTAGGCTACCAACCAAAAAGCTAAGAGTCCAGCCTAGCGAGAACATACGATCCGCCGCAGCAGAAAAGGAATTGCCAAAACTCCCTATCAGTCCTGGCAAAGGGAGTAAGGATCCAATGATAAATGCAGCAAAGGCACGAATATTGAATCCCTTGGTAAAGTAGTATCGTGCAGTTGAGGAATGGCGGTATAGATCCGGTAAGTGAAGGTTACCTCTCCGGACGAAGAAGTAATCTATCAGCATGATGCCAACCACGGGACCCTGGAAGATAGAATAGCCTGTGAGGAAACGGAGGAAGCCGCTTGCAGTTCCGACAAAGCGCCTATTTGAATCATGTTAGCTGGTGGTGTTGTATAACAGAAATTAAAAATTACATACCAGGGAACAATTGATAGTGAAATTATCAGCCAGATTACCTGGCCTCGGACGATATTGATGTATTTTGGCGCGATACAGGTGATATCAGCGGCAAAGGGAACGGCGTTGCATGCAATTGATGTTCCCAGGGTCGCAAAAGCCCATGCAGCAGCAGCAAAGAACACACCTGCTCGTGCTTTCGGAGTGTAGCCATGGTCAAGTATACCATTAAGGAGGTCATATGGATTCCAATATGCCTCTCCATACATGTTCTTAACGGCAGCCTATTACGCATTATTAGTTGTAGTCGGAGCAAGGAGATGGCCACATCGAATACCCACAGTGGTAATAATTCCAAATGCCGCACATATTGTTTGAGACAGCGGCAATCCCAAAGCCTGCCCGTATACCTGTGCATTTCGATTTGTGGAATATCGAGCGAGATCAGGAACAGTAACTATAAGAGCGGAGTTTGCTCCAAACACAGCATTTAGCTGAGCAACTAATCCCCATGCAAAGGTAGACGTCGATTTACGTTTCGATTCATCGATGAGTTTATCTGCTGAAACACCTCTGTTGGTGGTAATAGCCCAGCATACAATACCTAGTCCTGCTAGAGGTACGACGATGGCCTTGAAGCTAAACACATGTCGGATTTTGGTAGTATGGATAAGAGTGAAGGGAAGAGTGGTTAGAAAGGCGAGGAAGAAGCCTATCAGCCCTTGAACGGTAATTGCTTGGTTCTGAGGAGGACTTAGCTTAGATATAGGTCGAATAACAGGCCATACTCACTGCGGGTATAGTATTTGGAATCTTGTTCCACCCCGAAAAGACGCAACGAAGACATACGGAAAGGAACTGTCCTTGATAATATAACTGTACACCGCCTGGTAATAATAATCCATATTAGTTAGGGTCAATAGTGCATGCAAGTAAGGCCATACCCCATGCAATGCCAACCAATGCACGCAGCACCACCACAAAATATTGGCCGTATACCCCAAAACTTGTTCTGGACTGTACCGGAAATCCAATATGGTATGCCGCTGCAGCTCGTCCATTCAATACAATCACAACGGAAGTAAGTAGGTTTGCGAACAGAACAACGAGCACTGCATCTCTCACGGTGGCTCCAACGGTGATTAACGAGGCACCTATCGACCACGCTGAAATTGCCCAGGACTCACTCCACCTGTAAGTGCGTTAGAGGGAAGTGAAGCAGGGTACCTAACTGAAATGGATGAGATGAGACTGTATTACCAGTATGCGAAGAAATTGAATGCAGTCCAGGTACGTTTCTCAGGAGGCGAGGGAAACAAATCTTCATTGGCGAGGCTTGAGGAACTCTCTAGTTTAATGGCGTTATGTAAGACGTGCAAAGAGGTGAAGGTATATGCATAGCGCCGGTATTTCGACAAGTCGAAGGTAGGTAGTTTGGGTGTCATTTCACCAACTGCTCTACCAGTTAAGCAGGATGTAGACGGATGGACGAACAAAAGTCACACCACGCCAGCGAGGGTGTATCTATTTAAATGGTTGTAGATGGAAATGGCCGGATACATCTACCGCTTCATTATCTCCGCAGTGCAAGAGGCTGGTAGCGTTTGATAACGTGTATAATAACCTGGAGACTTCCGCTGATAGCACTCAGTGTATTTGTTGCTAGGGGGGAGAAAACCGGGGAAAGCAGGCTGGGCGATCTTCGTCGTCATGTATCCACCACGACTGCGCTTGATAAAGATAAGAGTAGGTTATACTCTGGGGTTTCCCCAAGTAGTGAGATCCATGGCTAGCTAGGTAGTCGGTGGATATCTATTGCTTATCTCGCGGAGCGTGCCGATGAAGTATGGAGGAGATAAGTATTCGGTTCGTGACCAAGGGCTGCCTTCATGGAAGGATGAAATAATAGGACATGTGGCTTTATCCTGGTGGTATCTGCAGCATACGCCTATGGGTATATGCTGCGTCTTATAGAGGCCATCTTCGCGGCTGAAGTTCGATGGTTGTACAGAGGAAGGATTCGACTCGGGCGTTGATATGCACGAAGGAGCGAGTTGTGCAAGTTGAATTCCTATTGGCTGCTTTTAGAGACTGGATGTAACGACCAATAGAATTAGCCTTATTTTTAGCTCTGACCAATAGAAACTTTTAAAACGGCAGTACTGATTACATCATGCATATCAAAGCATCAGATGCACATAAGGGGGTGGACAGCAACAACGGCATCGAAGAAAGAAACCGAACATTTATTCTACCTAGAGCGACCATGAGAAAAAGGAGATATATATGACATATAACACAGGGTTCCAGAAGGTCAGGGGAAAACAGAACAGGCTCAAAGGGAGGACAAAAAAGAAAGCAAAAGAAATATATAGGAGAGTGGGAAACATCTCTCCGCACTGTTCAGCATAATCGTGTCCATTAAGTAAGAGTATCTGTTCCCAGCTACGGGGAAAGAAGTAGGAAGTAGGTAGGAGTTAGGAGTTAGGGTAAGTGAAGCAATCACACGTCTTCCTCTTCATCACCTTCAAACTCCTCAGCTCCAAGAAGTTCGTCCTCATCATCCACAACACCAACATACTCGCCTCTCCGAGCGGCAAAGGCGCCTCGCGAAGCATACGGTCTCTGTCTCTGTCCCCACCATGACCCAGGGAGTCGGGTATACCCTCTGAAACTCCTCCAGAGACTCGAAAATAATAGCGGTAGAGCGGTGATCACAGCCACGGTGCCTGCGACTATAGTGACGGGTACAGAGATTAAGGGGGAGTCTCTTGAGAAGATAGATTCAGGTTGAGACTCGCCCAGTCGGATACGGCCGAATTTGCCGTCCCATTTGGAGAAGGCCCAGTATCCTACGCCCGTGGCGATAGCGACGGGGAAGAAGATGGCGAAGAACAGGCCGAAGCCACCGATGCCGGGGTGTTTTTCGTCGAATTCTTTCTTTTTGTTGGGGCAGGGGCGCGCAACGAGGTGGTCGAGTTGGTGGCCGCCTTCGCAGGTGCTGACGGGGAGTTTACGGTAGCCTGTTGGTTCGAAGTATTCGATGGCCTCTGGGTCGTCTTTGCAGATTTGCATTGGGTCAGCAGGTTTGAGGCCCTTGACTAGAGCGCAGGAGCCGTCTGATTGCCGTTCGTAGTTGTAGTCACTAAGTAAATGTTAGTATTGCGCAATATCGATGCTTTTACGTTGTTAGAGTAGGGATGGGGCTTACCATTCGTAGTCCTGGCGGGTACATTGGCAGTTCTTCTTCTCGCCGCTCAGTCTATCGAGTTTAGGGCCGTTGTAGCACTTTGCCTCAGGCCTCTTGCGATGATACATCGAAACATGACCGAATAGGCAATTGTCCTTTTGCATAGGATGTTTGGGGGACCAGAGGTAATAATCATCAGCCTCGGGAGACTCCTTCTTGAGCACGCACTGCTTCTCTCTCTCCTTGAGACCAGAGAAGTCAACGTTATACGCCACAATCTCATTGCTAGAACCAGGCCGACACCAAAGAATGAAATTCCTCGAAGTATCCGATGGAACGGTCGAGATATCTTCAACCGTCACCTCCTTGTCGCTGAATTCAAAATCCGTCCATGTCTCGCCTTCGTCAAGCGAGTACGAAAGGACCTTTGTCGGCTTCTCCTCCGCAACGACGACGACGATGGATCCCTGGTCGCCGAATTCCCACTGGTATCGACCCTTTTTGATCTGGTGCCAGGTAATGCCCGCATCACGACTCATGTAGGTATCGCTTTCAGCCCGGGGTGTTAGGGAGGAGCCTACATTTCCAACACCAATGATCAAACCGACGGCAGAACCAGAGGACATCGAGTCCCGGTTTTCGCGGCGCTCAGTGAATCCGTGGAGGTGCAGGGCACAATCGTCCGTGCCCTTGTCCTTGACCTTGCAGTCGAAGTTTTTACCCTCGACGTCTTTCTTGGGAGGAGACAGAAGAGCCCACTCAGATCCATCATTGTGCGTGATCAGGGACCTGAACTTCTTCTCTTGCCCTTTAGCCTTCACTTCGTCCGGGTTGATAACTATATTCGCCAGGGCAACGCCCTCAACGACCTGGATCTTTTCAAAGTCAACGTAATCTCGGTCGTTCCTGTTGGCGTTGGGCAGACTGAGGACGTATGATGTGCCGTTGCTATTACTCTTAAGGATACTGCCGAACTCATGCATTTTGGCAGGATGATCAGTGACATGCAGGAAGATGGAATGCGTCGAGCTGTCAAGAACGGTATATGCGTATTCAGCGTCGATGTGATAATTAGGTGGGAACGCAGCGTGGGCGAAGGTCTTGCCGTCCACGCTGGTGAAAGACGAAAGCTCCGTGCCGTTCTTGGTAGCTACGACGATAAACTCGGACATCTTCGCGTATCCGACGATGGGCTTGCCGTCGAAATGGACGGATGTTTTCTTGGTGAACATGTCATCGCTGGAAATCAAGCGGAGGCTCTTGGATGGATCCTCGTGTTCATGCTGCGAGCAGAATATCAGATCGTCCGCTGTAAGTTCGCCTTCCTTGCCGACGAACATGCATTTGCCCACGCCACGGAGGAGCAGATCCCATTCATCACCGCGGTTTTTCGAATAGTACGCTAGATCAGTGCATTTCTTGCCCTTGCAATCCTGTCCGCCGATCCAGATCAGCCAGTCTGGGTGGTCCGGATGGAAGTATAGAGGCAGGGTGCCAAGTGTTCTAGTAATGGGCAGTTTTCCTTCGAAGGAATGGAATGTATGCGCTCTGTCGATGCTCCAGTATGCCTTCTTGCCTTCAGTGAGAAGATAGATGACGTCGTTGTCATATTTGTGGGGAATGTATAGGGAGATGGGCTCTTTGAATTTACCGCGTTGCCATGTTTTACCATGGTCTCTGGTGACGAAGAGGTCCCCATCATCTGTTTTCAAGATGACAGTCTCATCGTCTCCGGAGCTGGTATCACTGCGTTCAAGGTAGCGGTAATTAAGATTCTTGGTCTTGAAGGGGGTTTTTTCGACGGAGATCTGGCCGCTGACGGGAGCCTTGGTGGCATCCTTGCAGGTCCGCTCTACTTCCTTTTCAAGGTCAACTCCGCCCTTCTTGAGACAGTCATCTCCGGGGATCAAGCGGTATCCCGACGGGCCCATGAACTTGTCGTCTGGGTTCTTGCATTTGCCCTCTGGCGGCGACACCTTGCGATGGGGTTCACACTCGTAGTCCTTATTGCGCAGGAAGCCAGCGGCACACTCGAAATCTTCCTTGGTACATTGGCAGGGCTCTGTTTCAGGCAAGGGTTCCTTGAACTTCTCCTTGACGAAGCAGTCTGCGTCTGCTTTTCTTCGTCTGTAGAACTGCTTGTGGCCCATGAGACAGTCCGGTTCGCCCTTTTCATCCAACCTAGCTGGCCAGCGCTCAAAGTCCTTCTTCTCACACTTGCGCTCATGGATGTCGCTAAAGTCAATTGACATGACGTAGAACTTCTTCTTCTCATCTTCTGCTACAAGCAGGAACTGGAGAGAGGTTGAGTCCGGTGTGGTAGTGAGTTGCAAGGCCGTGACTCTGTGAGGCAGCTTGGCCTTCTTCCAGTCCTTGCCATGGTTGAGCGAGTAAGATATTTCGTCCGTGAATATTTTATCCTTGTATTCGTCGAATACGGCGACGAGCAGAGAGCCCTGGTCGCCAAATTCGTACTTGTGAGCTTTATCCAGGGCCTTGCGCCAAGTGACACCGGCGTCGTTAGAAACGAAGGTATCGCCAGTTTCGTACGTTCCGAGCTTGTCTCCGGTATTCCCGATGCCCATGACTAGGCCCGGGGCTGGACTGGAGTATGTCCTACCTATGTTGGACGGCCGGGTGATGGAATGCAGGTGGAGCTCCTTATCGCCGCACTTCAACGGCTTGAAGGTTCTGCCATCGTCAAAGGAGATGCGGCTGACCAACTTCTTCTCCCTGGTAGCACCCTTTTTAACCTCTTCAGCGTTCTCGACGATGTTAACGAGGAAAATGCCCTGGATGCCCGAGACCTGCTCAAAGTCGGTGATCATGTCCTTATCCTCGTTGACGCCGTCGAGGTTCATTGTGAAGGAGGTACCGGTGGAGTCGGAGGTGAACAAGCTTCCGATGGGTACTCTAGATCTGCGCGATGCAACGTTGACCTGGATGCTATAGTTGGTAGACTCGAGGACGGTAAACTTGCCTCCCCGTACCTTGGGGCCACCGTAGAAGTCTGCCCGGTCCCAATGCACGGCATCTTTGCTAACGTATATCGCGGCCTCTGAGGTTCCTACAGACGAAGCAGCGAGGATCAAAAACTTCTTGACAGAAGCCATGTTGTTGACCCCCTTGATGTCCCTGCCGCCCGCCTCGACCGCCACGGCCTTGCGGTCACTGAAGTATGTATCGGAATAGACCAGCCGGCGCGTCAGGTCGAGCGGGGTGGCGTGAGGCCAGATGCAAAACACTCGATCGTCGAGCTTATCGGGCAGATGAGGCTCACCCTCGCCAAAGGCCGGGTTACCCACCGCCCAAAAGCAGCCCATATCGCCTTCGAACAGCCTCTTGACGGTCTTGAAGCCATCGGTGGTATAATACGTAACATGCCTGCAGGTCATAAACTGACACTCCTCTGCGCTTATAAGTACCTTTTCAGCATCCTTTCCATGGAAAGTAAACGGCATAAAGCCGCCGCCATACACCAGCTTATCGGGAACCTCGAACTCGCGCCATGTCTTCGCCGCGTCAAAGGTGACCCAGTGCTTGCGATTGGGCCCGTAGATCACCGCGCTCTGAGTGTGGTATTTGTTTGGGTATAAGATGCCGCTTTTCCCCTCGAGCAGGTTCCATGAGGCGGCGGCGTCGGTCGAGATGTAGAGCTCTGCCTTCTTGCCGGACAAGATGATGGTATCTGTGTCCTCGAAGTAGTGGACGTCCGTGGGCACTTTGTCGAACTCCTTGACTTTGATCTGGGGCCCGTCGGACTTTGCGAGGGTGAAGGAGGCCGGCACGACGCTGGCTAGCAGCAGGCTGCCGGCCAACAGGAGGCTCCTGACGATCATGATGAGCTGTGGGATTGACTGGACGACATAAGTATGGAACTGGAGGGGCCGCGAGGAGGGATTTGCGGTCTCGTATGATATCGGAATCCTAGGATGAAGCTGTAGTAGGGAGTCAGTAGAGGTCGTCGTAGGTCGTCGTAGCTAGGCCAGCTGAGAGCTTGGTAGTTAGATAGCTGGCAGTTTGAGGACTCACCAAGACCAAAACAGTTGCCTTGAACCAGCGATAAACAGACAGCCAGGGATGTCCCGGCAGACGAGCAGAGGGCACCTACTTAACTGGAGTCCGCAGGTGAAATAGCGATATCAAAAGAACAACAGCTGGCTGGCTGGCTGGCTGGCGGTGAAGTTGTTGTCTTCATCGTCGTCGTCGTCGCTTTTCGCTTCTGCAGGCCAGCTTAGAAAGAGTGTCACGTGATGAAACTGAAGTTTGAGGCGAGGCCGCAGAAAGGGAGACGAAGACGAGGACGAAGACGAAGGAGACATGAAGACGGGCAGAAGAAGAAGAAGACGATGATGATGATGATGGCGATGGCGAGTTAATGGCCGGAGGATGGTAGGGTAAGTGGATGCTCTTTGTTGCTGGCTCCGTCCTTACTCCTGACTGCCCTAAGCCTGCCCATCCTCACGCCATCCTCCGTATCCGCTGCCACTTACCTACAGACTAACAACTACACTACGACGACCGTTAAGGAGACGACAGAGCAAAAGAAAGAAAGGAAGAAAGAAAGAAAAGAAAGAAGCCTGTCGGCCGTCCTGGTGTACAGCTGGCGTCCTATCCCTCCCCTCGACGCAGCCAGGTGGCCGCATATCCGTCCCCCATGCACCAGCCATAACACGGCTGATATAGTTCTTCTTTCTCGAGAGCGCAATGTGAGCTATCTCAACGCACCAGTGGACATGCTATGGAGTCGTGAAGTGAGCAATTGAGGTCGACCGAGAGGGCCGGCGTGGTTCGTGGGAGCAAGAAGGTATTTCCGGGCAGACTAGCTGGGATCAGGGATGCAGACATATAGACATGGCATCCATACCGACTACTGTCCAGGGATGAAGCATGCAAGAAAGTTATCTCCTCGTTTGGTGAGACATGTTACTTTTAGCGGTAATTTATTTAATACGACGGTAACGCTAAATAGCACATTCTAATAGACTAATTAATATAATTTTAGTATTTAATTAGTATTAAGTTAATTAGTAATAGAAACTAGGCTTAATTAGGTAAAGTATAGAGAGCCTCCTAATATCCTCTTTTTATATATACTAGGATATTATATACCTTATAGCTATATCTTATTCGAGTAGCCTACTATTTACTATTCTTATTCCTTAGAAGGTATTACTTTTTATACTAGTAATATATATAATTTTAGTATCTATTTAAAGGAATATAAATATACTATAGCTACTTATTAAAATATTAATTAGGGAGCTTTATTTTTAACTCTAATTAGCTAAAGAGCTCCTTATAAAGCTACTTCTAGAATAAAAAGTAGCTAATTAGTAATATAATATTATTTAACTACTCTATAAGAACGTAGTAAATATAATAGATATTAATAATAGATATATTAATAAACTAGAATAGAAGAGATAGCTAGTTTCTATTACTTAGTCTATAAGTTTTATAGCCTTCTCTATATTAATTTACTAGATCTATACTATTTATTTAATAGTTATAGTTATTAATAAGTATAGGTATCTCTATATTTTATTTAGTCTTACTTCTAAAGGCCTTCTAAGTAATTAAAGTATTTATTAAAGTCTCTTGAGGCCTCTAGTATAGCCTAATAATAAATTAATTTAGTTAATAGACTATAGATAGTATTAATATAATATTATTATTTTACTAAAAAAGGTATAGTATATTATTTAAAATCTATATATATATTATATTATATTCTAAAGCCTTTATATACTCCTAGAGCTTCTAGAGAATAGGAGGGTATTAAGTAGACTATATTATTCTATAAGCCCTATAATTAAGCTACCGAAGCTTATAGAAGAGAGGAACTAATATAAAGTAGTTATCTATATAAATAAAATAGAAAATAACTTATTCCTTATTATAATACTCTATTATTTATATCTTTAGGGCCTATATAAAGCTAGAGGAGATTAATAAATATTTAATATTAATATATTTTAGTTACTCCTTATAGATATAACTTAATATTAGCCTACTATATATTTATAATAGGGGGGGAGGATTTAGTAGTTATAATATTATATTATAGATTATTAATTCTATTAATATAAACTCTAGGTATTTAAATATATCTTTAATACCTTATATTCTACTTATTTATATAAAAGACTAAATATAGTTATATTCTATAAGGGTAAAGACCTTATAGCCCTAGTAGATAAGTTTATTTAGTATTTTAACTATATAAGAAGACCTTCTAAAGTATCTTATTATAATTTTATTAATTATAATATTAGAACTAGGTATATAGTACTTCTTTATAGTAGCTTAGAATATTAATATAAGAGGCTTAAGCTTATATAACTAAGAAGTATTAGCTAGAGGCTATTAAGAAAATAGAGAGATATAAATATATTATTTAACTTATTTAAATTAATCTAAGTTTATATAAAGTTATAGAATATAGATAAAATTATCTAGTATATTATTCTACTAGTAATAATATACTCTTTTAGAGTTATATACTTCTATATATATAAGTATTTCTAAAAAGATATAAATCTCAAATAAGTTTATATCTTTCTAAGTCTATAGAGTTTTATCTACCCCCTACTCTTTAAATTATAACTCCTTCTCTCTATATTTTAAAGTAATATACTTATTAATTAATTAATTAATTATAGTAATAATATTAGATATAAAAAAGAGCTAGAATAAAATAAGAGAACTTATAATATTAATATTATCTAGTAGATTAATAGTAGAATATCTCTTCGAAGGCCTTAATAGTATCTATTTATCTAAATTAATTATAGGAACTTCTATAAGTACTTCTTTAATAGTATATTTCTTTTTTATACCTATTTTAGGTAGAAATAGAAAACTAGTTAGTATTTCTTACTCTAGGATATATTTTTAGTAGAGATACCTTATAATATAGCCTTTAGAGCTATATTTAAGCTATTTTTATAGAAGGAATAGGTATTAATATTAAATACGATATCTTTATTAATATTAATAGATATATTATAGATATAGTAATTATATAATTAAGCTAACCTACTAATAACTAATAAGAGCCTTATATTTGCTTATTAATAAGATACGCTAAAAGTAACATGTCTCACCAAACGAGGAGATACGAGGAACCTACGAAGCTAGTACATGCACAACATGTCATATTTGATATGTGCGTACTTACATGCTTCTAAGTAAGTACGCGGGTATCCGTATGCAGGTAAGTTGATTCGGCAGGAAAAAGGAACGAGAGAGACGGTTACGTGATGGAAGTGGAAGAGTGTTCATCTGCATTGGTGTTTCATTTGCTAACTAACTGAGTAACTAAGTAGATGGGTATATATGCTATGTGCAGGCGGATAGAGGGTAGTAGAGAGGAAAAGTAGAGAGGTCCCAGACATGGTATGTAAAAGTAGATATTGAAAAAAGCGGTGGGTATTCAAGACGGAAAGGAAATAGAGATAGATGGACTGGTAGAGTAGAAAAATTAGGAGATGGGTCATCAGGCGTCAAGCAGAGTAAAGTGTAAGTAAAGTGGGAAATGGGAAAAAAACTGGGTATGTATATGAATAAAAGGTAGTATGGGTATGTAAACAGGGTGCAAGCATAGCTCACGCAAGAAGCGAAATGACAAGAAAGGAGACCAAGTAAAGAAAAGAGAGTTAATGATAGTAAGTAAGGTTAAGTAGCTTTGCCCGTGATCTTCCTCCAGACGCTCTTCATCGAGGTCTTTTCCGGCTTCTCCCAGACCGGCGCCTTCTCGTCGACCGGCAAATCCGCCAGTTTAAGCGGATCTTCCTCGGCGGTCATGCTCGATTTCGGCGAGGAAGTCAGCTCGCTTGATCTGAGATCGGGTCGGGTAAGCGTCATCTTAAGCGTCATCTCCCTGCTGCCCATGGGACCCGAGGAGCCGACGATGATAGGCCGCCTGCTCGAGCACGAGGGTCGAGAGTTGACGGAATCGCACACTGATGGGTTGCGCCATGTGGAAGCCGACTGGTTGCTGTCGGGTTTCAAATCTCCGGATGTCTTCGGTCGTACGGCGGTGCGGGGACTAGGCGGACCACTTGCACTGGCGGTACTGTCGAAGGGGGCGATGGACTCTGAGTCGATAAAGGAGGAAGAAGTAGGGGATTCTTGCATTTTCCATTTGCGGTCGAAGGAGAAGGGAGTGCCCAGGTTGTCGTTGTGTTCGAGAGAAGGGAACCCGAATTCGATTGCTTCGTCGAATTTCTGGGGAGAGGCGAGGTAGACTCGTAGCTTAAGACGGGCCTCGGGGTCCTGGTAGAACTGGGCTGGGTGGTCGACGGAGCCGTGGGAAGTATGAGGGAGATATGGTGGTATCAGGGGGGGAGGAGTAGGCCTGGAGACAGAGTGTGGTCGTAGACTGTGGTTGTGGCTGTTGTTATTGTTGTTGCTGGAGGAGCTGCTGCTGCTGATGGAATTGGGCTGGAATGCAGTCTGGCTGCGTAGACGAGGCGAAGGAAGGCCGCTGCCGCTGCTTCTGCCGCGGTTTGAGCCTGAAGATATAGAGAAAGTGCGTCGAAAGGAGGACTGCCGTCTGCTGCGGAAGGGCGATTTCTTGCTGTGTAGATTGGCCGAGGAAGCCGACGTCTCAGCGAGATGGGCGTGGTAGTCTAGCGAGAGATCGATCTCGTCTTCTTCGTCCAGCCACTTGAAGCTGTCATACAACGAGTCATCGTTCTGGTCATTGTTGTCATTGTTGTCGTTGTTGTTGTTGTTGTTGTTGTTGTTGCTATTGCTGTTGTGGTGGTGATGGACGTCGCCATCTACGGCTGACGACATGCTCGAAAAGGAGGACGACCTGGACAACGTAGCCGTGGCCGGCAGCGACAACGAGGACTCGGCAGCGGTAGTGAAGCTGCCGAACTTGTAGAGGGCCTGGTCAGCGGCGTCGAGGATGATGCTGGAGCGCCAGCCGCCGAGGCGAGTCTGTTCCTCGACGCTGAAGTGGCGCTGCTGGACCTTTGGCGGGAGGGACTGAAACCACTCGGAGTCGGCCTGCGCGGTCAGGTAGGCGGTCTGCAGCTGGGCGGAGGGCTTCTGGAGGACGCGGTGGGAGGTCTTGCAGCGTCGCTTGCCGTTGAGAGGAGGCCGCCGTCGGTCTCCTGGATGTCACCGTCGAGTTAGTTGAGGGTATAGCGAAGAAAGGTGGCAGAGTGTATAGGGAGTCCACTGCGTATGGAGAGAGGGCAAAAGAGAGAGAAAAAGAACGACACAACGGAAAAGAGTAAAAAAAAAAAAAAGAGGAACGAAGAAAAAAAGGAGCAACGGAACAGAAGAGAGGAGTGGATAATGGGAGTCTACATACGGGCCTTCGGACTGCTGGGCCTGCGCTGTCTGCAGAGCTTAGCGGGCGTTGACGAAGGGGTGGACGAGGAGCAGCAAGTGGAGGCCAGGGGGGCGCATCGCTGGTAGTCGCTTGGGCGGCGGTCGGGCGAGGAGGAGGAGGAGGCCTGGGCGAGTCTCATCTGCTCGAGGCGGAAGCGCTCGAGGTTCGAGAAGAGCTGTCATCTCATGATTAGCATGTCAATTGCATCTATTATGGCCATTCTTATTATAGTTGGCCGTGTGTTGTGTGCGGTGTGCTGTTGTGGTGGTGGATGTGCATAAGTGGATGTTTGTTAGTGTTAGTGTTAGTGCTGGTGGAGGCCGGCCGGGTAAGACAGAGACAGCGACAAGACGAGAGACAAGGACAAGACAGCCAGAAGCCACCGACGCTGTGCTATGTGAGCAGCGCCAAAGTCAAAGAAGAAGAAGAAGAAGAAGCAAAAAGTGATATCAGAAAAGCGAAGAGGCACCGGAGAGGATCAGGAGGACCGAGAGGAGCGGCCTGAGCAAGGGAGAGACGGCCAAGCGGGCTAGTCAAGGGCATGGCGCTACGGGGGGGGCCCTAGGGGGCAGAAGCTTGCCAGGGGAGCCCACCGGAGCATCGTCATAACGGCGACAGGAGATGAGATGATGGAGCGGATGGAGAGATGCGAGATGAGATGAGATGAGGTGGGATGGGGATGGGGATGATGGAGATGCAGATGATTAAGGGTTATAGCAGGAGGAATAGGGGCCCAGGGGGGTGGCCTTTTGGTAGGCTCAGGGACTCACCTTTCGACGCAGCGCTGGCGGCAGCGAGTCAAACACCTCAAACTCCTGTTCGTCCATGATGGCAGCAGGATAGCAATATATGATCAATCTTCAGTCGTGGTGGTGGTGATGGTCGTCGTTGTAGTTAGTAGTAGTAGTCGTGGTGGTGATCAAAGGTGTACGACGAGGGCGGGCGTCTTGTTATATAGGAGTGCCGGTGCATGCATGCATGGCCAGCAAGCAAAGAAGCGGTGGATGAGCAGCAAGCAGAAAAGAGACGGAGACCAAGCAAGGGCAGAGAGAGAGAGAGAGAGAGACGAGAGCGAGAGCGAGAGGCAGTTGGTTATATATAAAGAAGCATCCACAGCTCCAGGCTTTGGCAAAAGTCAAGGTCAGGCCAGGTCAAGGTCAGGCCGCATCAGCCATGCGCCTATCTAGCTATAGCGGACTGGCTAACTAGCGAGCGTACCTTGATGCTAAATTTATGTCTTTCTTCCTTTTTTTCTTTTCCCTTTTTTTTTGTTGATATCCATATTCCATTCTCCTCCTCAACTCTACTCTTCTTGCTTAGCTTGCGTTCCTGGTTCCTGCAGTGGAGTCCCCTGGCCCTCTATTCTTTTCGCCGTCTCGTTGCTTCTTCTGCCTTTTCTTTTTGCCAGCGAGGATACTCCGAGTTACTACTACTAGTTACTCTTCTTCGTCGTCGTCGTTGTTGTCTTCTTCTCTCCGCGTGGGTGAGCTGGGCCTCCGTCCAGCCCCTGACCCTGCCAAGTTGCAGCCGTAGTCATGGGCATACATACAGCCAGCCTGCTTGCTTTTTCATCATGCATACACATACTTACAGCCAGTACTCCCGTACATAACTAAGTGAAGTATTTATTCAGGTGTACGCTCGCTAAGGATTTGACTCTTTGCTTTTTCGCCTCCTGCTCGTCCCTGAAGCGTAAAAGGGTGGAGGGCCTGGGATGGCCTGCCCAAGCGCTGGGCTCGAGCAGTTACCCTGGAGAGCTAGAGGATTCTCACTTGATGATATGAGTTTACGGATAGAGGTAGAGTCAGTCAGATAGAGTTGGATACAAGAAGGATTAGAGAGAGATAGCTACAGAAGAAGTCACTCCATAACTGGATACGGTTGGCCATGACTGGTTCGGACGAGCCGTGGAGGATGGACGCCGTCGAATGCTTGCTTTTTTCTTCTACTTTTGTCTTCTTTCTCTTCTCTTCTTCTTCTCTTCTTCTTCGTGCTCCTCGAGTTCGTCTGTACTCTTCTGGAGCCCTCATTTTTGAGTCTCTGCTTGCTGACCATGCATGGCACCTCTATATCGAATACTGTGAACTGTGGACTGCATCTCAAAAAGAGATAGATAGAATGCACTTGCTAAGGACAGGGACAGGGACAGGGCATCAGATACGAGCCCCAGGCGGTTCCGAGCGTGAGGTTACCAGCCCCAGTCCTCAACGGCTCTCTCGATATCTCTCTCATACGGGAGGGGAGTACTTCATCACTTCTGGCTATATCAAGTCTCAATAAGAGCTTTCTCTGTTTCATCTCCAGACACTGCAATATCCCATTGACGGTCCTGCCTCTAGCCCGGAACGCCCCTTGCATCCCCTCTCCCTCCCTCTATCTCCCTCTCTCCCTTCTTCTTAGACTGCTTCATGTTGAGGCGCTTTGTAAGTAGATATCTACGCCTGTGCGACTCCCACGTAGCACACTCATGCCTGAATACCCCTGAAAACGTTAACTTATTATTCCCAGGCCAGACAAAAAAGCAAGCAGCCCAAAAGCCAAAAAGCAATACCCAGCCAGAGAAAAAGGAACCATGAACTCGTCATGCCGCTCCTCGTTGGTTCGTTACTCTCTCCCCATGTCCTCTCTACGCGCCGTGCTGAATGTGCTGGCTGCCTGTACGCTGCCTAAGGGGGCTGCTGGCTGCAGTGACTAACCGCCCAGCAACAACTGTAACGAGCTTAGACATCTGGCCCCCATCGATGAATAACTCTACTCTGTTACGGAGTACTCTGTTACCAATAATGTCCAGAGTAGTTGCTTTTACTTCGATGCTGATACATGCCTCGACCGGTGGGGGATCTCCGCATGGGTGTGATCGCTAGTTCATCGGGATAAAACCACCAGGCCAAAGAAGAAGAAGAAAAGCAACGAGATAGAAGAAGTAAGTGACTGACTTTCCTGCCTATCGATCAGTCAGGCCGGTGGGTTTCTCGGCCCAGCCGACGCAGCGTTATTGGCTGTCGTGGCGGGCGGGTTGGCTCGCTGGATGTATCATATCAGAATCACCATAGTCGCTTCGGTTCGGCCTCAAAGGGGGGGGGGGAGGAGACGACGGGATGATCGCATCTAGTACATCTGCATCTCATCGCAATCTCATCGCATCGCATCTCACTTGCATGGAACAAGAACAAGCTTGGGCAGGGCATATCATATCATATATGATCTTACATTACCCCCCCTGGGGTGGTATATTGATCGATGGTACGGAGTAACATCTCACGAACACACCCCCTTTATCTACATCGACAATGCATACAACATACTTCTATCGTTACGCTGTACCTGCTTCGTCCTACCAGCAAGGTTTCAGATAGGATTTTTCCATCGACTGCGACCTGTCGACGGCTATTAACCACAGCAAGTATGGTTACAGTTACAGTTACGCTTGAAGCAATGTCTTCTTTCGTCAGTCGATTCCATGGTTCCAGTTGAGAAATGGCCAGTTCTTGACCTAGATAGACCCGTCAACCATGAACCAGACTGTTAACCGTAGACCAGACCGTTGACTTAGTAGACATCTCGCCTCCTCCCCCTGTATATTAATAGCACATCATAGCACTATGGCCCCGAATTGGCTTGAGAGTCCAGTCCTCTTGACTTTCTGGGGGAGGCAAAATCATCCCGCTCCCTCTCCCTGGGGCTCTGATCATTTACCTGAACCTAGACACTGCTGCCGCCAGCCAGCAGGTTGGCTAGAGCGAGGGCCAAACTCCATACTCTCCATACTTCTATAACTCGAGGTTGCAAAGCCTAAAATGGTCCGCCATGGCGTCCGCCGTCGAACTCCTCCGTTTCGGACGCGCTGATGGGCGGACGATCTTCTTCTTCTTTGATCCTCTTTCAAGCCTTCAAGGGCACCAACAACCAGTCTGGCGCCGAGTCAAGGTTCACGCCTGAGCGTTCGTCCAGTCCAGCCGTAATCCCCATCTTCTGTCTTGCCGGTAAGTTGCTGAACGGTGTGCCCGCAGCCACGAGTCGGGATCATCTCACATGTATGGCGTGTGAAGTAGACCGCAACTTTGTGGCGGCGCAGACAGACGTAGATACTCCCCCCCTGTGCAACACTCTCTTGTTTGAACTCGCCTTGTCCAGTTTCATCTTCCTCTTCTCGTCGTTGTCTCTTTGGACAAAGCCGGCCTGGCTCGACCTGCACTGCACTGCACTGCACTGCACCCCAGAAGACCCTCCCCCCTCAGCCGCAAGCCATCACCACATCTTCCTTCGCCCGTTGAGTCGGGATTAGAATTGAGCGCCGTAGTTAAAAACCCGACTAACTCCATCGCTTCAACTGGCCTCGCACTGGCTGGCTCTAGCTCGGGCTTTGACTCCGACACTTGGGCTGGGTATCCTCTCTATCTAGCGGTCTTCGTTGGCCTTGGATGTGCAAATGATGCGAATCTCGGGCCTCTCTGACGAGTGACACTGGCAAGGCGGGTGATTGGATGCCCTCCTCGTTTGCTCAGCCTGTCAGAGAGCAGATACGGATACATCGTACCTTTTTTCCTTCCTGCGAGAATCCGGCTTGCAGATTTTGACATCCAACATGTCAGAACCACATGTCTGCCACCACGATCTGACCTTCAAAGAAAAAAACATGCCATGCAACACATGCAGGTTCCCTTCCGTTTGGCTGGCACACTCACTCGCCTTCGCCTTCGCATGGCATCATCTCGATGCAAAAAAATTCTGATCTAAAGGTACAAAAAAGGGGGAGAGATCAAAGCACAAAGAAGAACCAACATGTATGAGATAGGGCTGGACCGCCGCATCCGGTCTGGAGAGCGAGCGAGCGAGCGATAATTCGCCATGGGATAGATCTGCTTTGCTCGTCCTGTCTGCCGGTAAAATGCCAATAGTCCAGCTCCTGTCGTGTTGGTTCCACGATGTCACTGCACAGCTCACATATTGGAATAACCACCCAATATTGATGCCGCGGTAGCTTTATTGATTTGATAGCGAGCTAGTCGCTTAATCCCTGTCTGCAGGTAGCCGGGGCAACTCGCTAGCTGGCCTTCAGACAGGCACAGAGATAGTTACAGAGATATCAGTCAACATCGATATCGGAGGCCACGGGTGTGCGAAGAGGCCGTCAGTTGCGCGAAGTTGGCCGTGCCGTGTCATCTGTCGTTATCATCTCTCACTATCATCTCTCACTATCATCTGTATGTATTCGCTGGTCCACCCACCGGCCAAACCCATCAATCACATCGGACATCCCACACGTCATGAGCCCCTATCTGCGCAGTATTCTTCTAGAAAGAAAAAAAGCGGATATCTTTCCATCCTATTTCCCTCATCAGTGGCTCTGCAGCTGCAGAAACGCCGGCGCCGGCGCTGCACGCGTGGGTGGCCTTTCTCGCCTCCGGTTCTATAGACATGGATTTTGACAGCTATAAGCTGGGATTGCGATTTGCTCATTTCCCCCTTCCTGTCCCCGTAGTTGGGGCCTGCATAGCCGCCTCGTTATACCTTGATATGCAGCGAGCCCCAGATGTGTTTCAGAGTAGGAGCTGCTTTTTTACCTTACTCTATACTTTCCTCTCGCCTATACCCTATGGGTGCAAATCTCCACACGCGGCCCTACTGCCATCTCCCTTCGACCGGACCGGATCGGTGACCACACTGCTGGTGCCGGGCGTTAGGCTGAATAGCTAGGGCAGTGCTGAGCTGAGCTTGTCAGCCAGCTAGCTACCTAAGCTACGGCGATCTGCCTTCGTCTGCATGGACGGGTGCGCCGGTTTAGGCAAACGGACCAGCCATGCGCGACTGTTAGTCAGGGGGGGCCGGCAACCCGGCTATTGAAGAGAGAAACAAAGGGAACATGCAGATGAAGATGCGGATTCAGATGCAGCATCAGACGCATTATTTGCCCATCGGCCGATACTTGTCAACTTCTTGATATTATGCAGCGGCCTGAGTAAGTGGTGGCTTTGGCTTTGGGGGCAAGACGACGGTTGATCGCCAAGTTATGCACAATGCTTGCTTACGGCGCAGAACTGGGGTATAGCGCATGCCAGTTATGAAGTCAGAGCATATTTTCCTCATTGACTTGCATGCAGACCAGCCCCGACTGGGCAAATGGGCGCGGGGCCCATGTGTTTCATCTTTCTTCGACCTGCTGGCACTTGGACTTCCACTTCCACTAGCTTGCAGCTTGTCCGGACGGTGACGTACGTAACTCTGTCTACGGGGACCTCCGCTATAGGAGCACTCAGGCTATGATAGAAGGAATGGAATAACTCCTCAATTGGGCTCTGCGAAGACTTCTCACAGCCATATGACTAGCTAGTTATACCCCTTTACGGCCTCCTGCGCCGCCCTCTCCCACCGCGTGACATACCCACCAGCACCCTCGACGTGCTTTCTCTTGCGTCGAAAGCTCATACGGACCCCGTACTCGTCCTCAGAAACCTCAATCATCTCTAACTTGCCATACTCAGGCCAAGTAAGGGGCTCACTAGCCTCAGAGAAATGCTTAATCGTCCGTGTTGTGCGGCGCTCATCTGCCCACCTCGCCAGAAAATCACGGTAGACAGCGATATCCACCCCGTCTTCCAATGGCAGCTTCAATTCCCACTTCTTCATGTTTTCAACCTTGCTTACATCTTGTTCCCAGGGCAGCCCCTCTCGGAAACTCTCGTCCAACGTCAGGGTCTCGTAGATAGTAAACACCAATGCGTCAACGTCGTTGCATCCCCGGGAAGCGCCTTTCCCTCCTATCTGTCCTGATCTGTCGAAATCGAACACCAGCAGCTCTTGAGTGGTGGGATCTATCAGGATGTTCCTGGGCGCCAGGTCCTGGTGCATCAGCCCGTAGCGGAGGTTCAGCTCATCCACGGCATCCGTAAGCTGTTTGAGCCAGCGGAAGTAGAATGTGCCGCGATACTGCTCGAGAGTGCCACCAGGTATGTACTTCGTGGTAAATCCCAGGATGTTATGCGTTACTTCATCCAGCACTATACGGTAGAAGGGCACAAATCGCTTGTTACCCTGTAATGCTTTGAGGATATGCAGTTCTTGCCAAACGTTTTCGACGCGAGTCTGAATGAGGGTATACTTGAAGACAAGTTGTTTCGTTACGCCATCTGTTTGAGAGTACTCGACTAGATCCGTGGCGACATCAAGTCTTTCGACTTCTTTCAGGTTTGACCGGAAAATAACCGTCTCTTCATCCAGTGGCCCGACATAATGGGGATACCTGATTTCCCAAGTGGGATCGTCCGAGGAGACACCGATGAGCTCTCGGTGCTCGTTGGATGTCAGCGTCTGCTCATCCTCGCCCACCTGGTCAGCATACCGGGCTGCAAATTCCTCAATGTAGTCATCCTCGGGAAATGCGTTTTTTGGTCCGTGGATCCGCAGCCAACGACGTCTGTCCCAGTCGATAACTTCCCATGTGCAAGGCCCTGTCGGGACAGGAGAACACATTCCCTCATTGACAAAGAAGCGGTACTTTTGAAGTGGCATTTTTGGGTATACTGGTTGTCTGGTTGTTGTGAGATGATAATATTTGGGTTGCCTCAACTAACTAGTTAAACGCCCATGGGCAGTGCCAAGCACAAGCGCTGGACCCAAAAATAATTTAAGTTGGTGAACACTTTTAACCAAGCAGGACAGTCTCACTGCGATTTAAACAGTTAGGTTATAATGTTATTTGAGATATGAATTAATACAGAGTCTATGCTTAGGCATGTGCATTTCTTAAACCAACCCCCTTTATACACTTACCTATTTTCCCAGGTTAGAGCTCCCTAGACTGGCAACTTCTTATTACTTTGGGTTAACTAGTTAGCGCCTTAAGCCTATCACACACTCATGTTGATGGCAATAAGATGGCGATGCAATGTCTGCAACGAGTGAATTTGTATTCTATACGGGTGATCTACCAAGCTGTGGCCCGTATTAACGAATACCATCAATCAAATTGGTCCATCTATCCTGGCCGTCAACTCGAAGCGCCGCTGCGGGTCCTACCAACATCACTAGCTCCTTACCAACCACATATCAAAAGAAGCCCCTGGTGACTCCGTGCTCAAAAATAGAATATGAATGCCTATCACTACCAAGTCCTTGATACGCCGCAATGCATGAGACTCCTACGTGGCAACCAGTGGTCCTCCGTCAGGTTGACAGACAGGGGAGAGATATATTGGCACCTAATACGAGTGACTCATGCATACAAGGGGCCAAAAACAGCTCCAGCCTCAATGCAATTTGAGCATTGTCAACCAATCCTTGGTTCAATGAAATGCATTGTCTGTGACATTATGCAGGGCTACGCCGTATGAAAGGAAAACCCGACATTAATCACGGCGCCTAAGGCTATCCAATGCGCAGATGATTGGCTACGAAGCATTCCCGGCCTTCTTTTTTCAGTATATCCCGTTATACCCTGGAAGAAAACATCAAAGCACGGCGCGTAGCTGAGTTTACTCGGCCGCTTCTGCCTGGAGAGTCCAGTCTCATGACCGTGTATGAGCGAGAAGGGTAGCAACGCCTTAACTTCGATGTGTGGTCGAGGAACGAGATCATATCTCTGCGAGTTCTATAAAGACAAACCCGATGCCACCTTTATCTTCCTGTATTTATACACATCCATCATCAATATTCAGAGGCTCGAGTCTACAAATCACACTATCCACAAAACCATCTACCCATATTACGTTAACGTTCCATATTCCCAGACCGAATCGTCAATCATGAACGAACAAGTCCAGCTCATCGAACCCGTGGATATTTGTAACTGGGCGGCTGCACACCAAGTCCGGGATAACGCCCTTGACTGTACTTGTGGAATATACGTCTTTGTCTCTTCGATCTGCGGTCATGCATACACGGAACACGCCTTTAAGTGCGGAAGAAGGGTTACCAAATCAGGCAGAAGCGGTGTCTGCAGGAGCCCAGCAAAGCGTACTCTCATGCGCGGTGTTGCTATTCCTCTCAGGTGTACGCTCTGTGGCTGATATACCCGGATATTTTGCTATCTTGGAACGGCTCATTTACCGACGGTCATCTTCATCCTTGCTACGATACATGAGCTATGCGACTCGTCCTGTTTTGCTACATCTAAACCCACCCCAAGTTATACAGTCAACCAGTTATCAAAACGGCATCGGCAAAACTTTCCTCGTCTATTATAGGATAGGAGATTATATTGGTCAGCGTTGAGGTTGGAGAGACACAATTTATGTTCTTTCTTTTATGCGAGCTTGGAGAGTATTTATCACTTGGAGCTAGGGACAATTTATCTTGCTTTACTTTTACTCCACCTTTTATTATTCTCATAAATGTAGGGGCTACTGGGCTAACTAGTAGGGGCAGTAGATTTTAAGTCCATCTCTCCTCTAGTATCCAGATGATAAACTTCAGAATTCAGGTTTAGAACTAGAAAATATGGCTTAGATTTTAATATGTGGCTACGATGGTGTATATGCATGCCGATGACGCTAGGACTCGAGCCCTGGAGAAGCCTCTATCTGCTTTACCAAAGCGGCAGGCTATTTGATATTCTAGCCAGAGTGTCCAGCAAGTTGGGATAGGGGAGTGACTCGTGAAGTTCATCTGTGTCATGAGACTATCGATACACTGCGCGTGCCTATATCCTTGAGAACGCTCATTTACCAATCACTGGTGATTGGATCCCTCGTTGCCTTGTGAGCTTTAGACGAGAGTTCTTCTCTGCCTAGTGCATTGCTTCTATCTCGTGCCACTGGATGTCTATGAATTTCCGACTTCTATACAGAATTTTTTCTTGTGCCTGCACTCGATGGTTAGATTGATTCCGAAACTAGTCATTATAGAGTGCATAACATCCTTACCTTCTGTATTGCACTGCCAACGCGTTTTTTGCGTCTTCACTCCATCCGTCGACTACTCCAGACTCGTTTTCTCCCTCATCCTAAGTTGCATTATGCTGTTGCAAAAACAGGCCTGTAGACATGGAGAAGGATACATACTTCAAGGGCAGACCTGCCAATCGTGTCCGAGTCGCTTTCTTCCATTATGCTGTCTCTCTCTTCAATGCCTTCGCTGCCTCGACCACCCTCATAGTATTGTGGACTAGCAGGTGGATCCAGCGACATGCTGCCATACTGATCAAGTTCCTCATGGTTCTTCGCCATTCCTGGGATAATATGAATCTGAGAAGTCGGTAAAGAGTGTAATGCATTTATGATTAGGGAGAAGGTGGTCGATAGTCCTGCCAAATAGGTAGATGGGCCTCTTCATATAGCTGATTCTTATATCCACCGCAGATGGGATAGGAGAGACCATAACACCCCTGATATAAACCCCTTTTGTTAGCAAGAGACACACTAGAGTGAACCAAAGGAGAGTAGATATCATCCAACAAGGTTCACAAAGGTAACAAAGATGATATCAAGCAGTATAAACATAGACATGGGATCAAATAGTGAATTTGGCTGTTGATAGAAACGTAAAGGATCAAATATTTCAGGTAGTCTAAAGCAATATAAGTTTATTTCTGCGACCATACACAGCTATAGGTAGAAGAGAAAGAAAATAATATCTCCTTCAAAGTAGAATATATGTTTGATAGACATGTCTCCAAAGGATAATAAAAACTGTATGCTGTGTCTTAGAAGAAACTGCTGCTATGTTGTGTGCAGCCACAACAAAGAGGCACCTGCCTGCCTACCTGCCTCGAGGGGGGCCCTTTTCAACCAAGTTCCGTGCAGTCAACCCTCGAGGAAGTCCATTTGGTGCAGTCAGGACACTCCGGGCCGGCCGGATAGCGCTCACCACACCTTCCTCACCCATTTTTTTTTTCGAGGCTGCAGGTTCGAGTCTGGCTGAGAACTCCCTTTTTTTGGCCGTTTAGTCAGCCTGAGGGGGGGATATAAGGTAAGTTAGGGCCGATATTTCTTCAAGAGGAGCAGGATGGCGTAGTCAGGTCACTCCAGCCTTGAGCTGGATAGCGCTCGTCACCTAGCTCCTCACTTTTTTTTTGCCGTTGGTTCGAATACCAGCCCGGGCTTCTTTTTTCCGTCCCTCCTTCTGCTTTTCCAACGCAGCACACGCCACATTCCACATTCCACTTGTCCTTCCTTGTTGACTGTCTGGTATAAGCAGCGGTGGCCATCTTCTTTGAGTTTCTTGGATGGAGCTGGATATCTTCTGCTTTTTCTTGAGCCATGTCTTTTCCTTTTCATCTTGTAGGCTGCCTCCATGTTTTCTTCTCTTCTCTTTCTTTTTAGCACTTTATTTCTGCAGTTATCGCCACATAGGATACTCATAGTCAGGACCGGCATCCACCCTCCATATAACTACAGATTTGGGTATCAGCGAGTAAGGGTATACGGATATCAGTTGTTATGTCTACTTTAATGAGGTATCTGATCATTATACATAGACTGTATATCTATAGCTGCATTTACTCAACAATATCTACACTTGGATGTTGCCTTTATGTTGGTATACTGATATTGTCGAGAGGTCATACTAACGCTCCAGAGCAGTAAGGTATTATGGTCGTGAGGTATAGTGTGTCATGATAAAGTGCTTTGAGGTTCGATGCACTTCTTGAGGGTATGTATGATGCGATCGATGATGGTATTGGCCAGGTGGCGCGCATCGCATCACTCCTGGTTATGTATCCATGGTAACCGACTGACGAGGCTTATGGGTCGGGAAAGCGCGTCCTATGGCTGACAACAGCTTAGTAAATAACAACATGACATTTCACACAGTTAAGAAGCAATCTCTGAGCCATGCAGCGTCAAAACCTCATGGCTGGTATCGCGAGTATTCGTTTGATCTGCTGTTGATGTTGAATCAGACTTTGTTCGACGTTTTATTAGGGTTGCCAAGACATGGTCCGTCCCCAGTGCCAAGCCATGACCGCATATTAATTATAGCACGTTTGAGGATTCAAGTACTTGAAGATCCCCCAGTTCTCTTGAGTTTCAAGAGATTTCTTGTCAGGGATAGACTCCTCTTGCCGGGGGATCACTTTATCGTTGGTTTGTTATATACATTAAAGTATGTTTCTCTCTGCGGTGTCGAGTGTCCCTGGCTGGAGACACAACTCCACACTTCTACAAATAAAGACTGGAGAAATTTCTATGATATTAACAACATCCATTTCATGGGCTAAATCGAAAGTATTCACTTGCAAAAAGGTGGCAAAAATGTCCGAAAGCTGGATAGCGTTGTGCTATCAGCCTGCTTCTGGGGAGATTGACTCTTTTTCTTGATATTGGCCACCAGCCTGGTTACACAGTAGGATATACTCAACAGCCCAGATATAAACTCGCAGAAAAGAAATATATCCATATCCGCATTTCTGCGGCTCGCAGATATCCATCTAGTCGATGCAAGCCCGCAAATCTGCCGCTTAGGGTTTGTGGTCACAAGAGCAGCCAAGCCTAAGTCGCGCTTACATAATCTGGCCATCCTTAACGGCGTTTTTCTGGAAACTTGACCAGATCGTTCGCATCTTTGGGACATCAACAGCAGTTTCGCAGCCGCTCTCGATTCGCACGTCGCATATCTCGCCGCCGGTAGTCTCCAGAAGTCAGTGTTTGGATCCATAGTACGGACACCTGCTATTAGTGGTGAGTTTGTTGCGAGGAGCTTGGCTCCGGGGATGTGAGAAGCCTGCCTGTCGCATTCCTCCTGCCCCCCGCTAAAGTGGCCGGTGGTGTAGCCCTTTCTTGTGAGATACATCTTTGTATCTATTATCAGCTGGTTGCTATGTTTGGGCTAGTTAGTTTTACTTCACTTTTGCATTGGTGCGCATGTGTATTGGCCTCTACAGTTCAGGAGCAATGCCTAGAGCCTATTCCTCTAAGGGGCTGCCCATTGACTTATGCCTCTTTTTGGAGCACTTCACTACTAGCTGTCACTTTTCTCTCTACATCCTTTATTCTTATTAGAAGACTCAAACTGACATATTTCAAAGCTATATAGGTCACGTCGTTTCTGCCTCTGCCCTGCCCAATTCCCGTACCTTTTGCGCGTTGCCAACATTAAATACGGTCTTAGTGGTTGGAGGATAGGGACGAAAAGATGGATGCGAAAGAGATCGAGCTGAAGTCAAAAGCTTTGACCAAAGCCACTGCTTCTGGAGAGTCGAGTGCCACGATAGTTTCGCTGCTGAAGGAGCTTCAGAAGGGGATCCAACCTACCGAGGACCTTTTGCGGTCAACAAAAATCGGGATCATCGTCAACAGGCTCAAACAGCATAAATCACCAGATGTTGCCCGGCTTTCCAGCGAGATAGTTTCAAAATGGCGTGCAGAGGTCAACAAGCAGAAGAAAACTGCATCTCCTGGCTCAAGCGATTCCCCCAAGCCTACTCCCAACGGAACCGGCACTCCTGCATCGGCGACGAACGATAAGGCGCAAAGCTCAAATGTACCGCCAGACAAGCGCAACTGGAAAGCTGACCAGGTTAATACTTCGGTTACCAACGTCAAGGCACGCGATAGCTGCATCGGTTTGATGTACGATGGCCTCTGCCTTGGCTCTACGGAATCCCCCCAGGCGGTCCTGCGAAAGGCAACCGAAGTCGAAGCCGCAGCATTCAAGGCCTTTGGACCCGAGAACAAGGAAGTGTATCGCACCAAGATGCGAAGTTTATTCCAGAACCTGAAGAACAAATCGAATCTCAGCCTCCGGACTCGCGTTCTCACAAACGAAGTCACGCCCGAGCGGTTCGTTAACATGACACATGAAGAGCTCAAGTCCGACGAACGAAGAGAGGAAGACCGCAAGATCCAAAAGGAGAACATGGACAAGGCCATGGTTGGACAGCCCGAGCGAAGCATCAGTAAGAGCTTACAGTGCGGCAAATGTGGCCAGAGAAAGGTTACATACACCGAGGCGCAGACACGCAGTGCTGACGAACCGATGACACTCTTCTGCACATGTCTTGCTTGTGGAAAGTCATGGCGTCAATAAACACTGCAGACCGGAATGCTCTCGTTTCCTTCTCAAAAACTGTCTTAGCACTTGGTTTGTCCTTTTATTCCCCGGAGCTTTTTGGAGGGGGTTGGAAGGCGCCGGCGTTTTACTTCCTCGGGCAAGAATGCTGCTTTTTCTCTCGCTTTTTTCCGTTTCTGCTGAAATGCGTAGCATCTGCGAGCGCATCTTTTGCTTCTTTGCCTTTGACTACAGGCTTCTAGAAGGTAATTCCTCTGGTACTTCTGGTAGGCTGAGACCACATCAGTCTACCAAGAGCTTGCATTTGCTTGGCCAGATGTTCCTCCAAGTTCCTTCTGGTTTCTACCTATCTTTATGATCCCAGCTGTATACTGATTATCAAAATGAACCATCATGTTATTATTTCATATATTTCTTTGCCTCCTCCCTGGAGATCAGTTCACTTCCCCCCAGAGACTATCTATTTATTTATATACATCTAAAGCCACAGATAAATAGCCCATATAACTAGTCAGGTACCAACCGAAACTGCTATAACTAATATGATAACTACCTTGGTGGAATTGCATAGCTAAATAGACAAAGTTGATGGTGATAAAGAGCAACATGAGTCTTTGGGGCATATATCTTCAAGATAAAGAGAGAATGGTTACAGGAGTGGTACATGGTGCATTAACCGGATAATAGGGGGTGGTGATCAAAGCTAATAAGTCTCAGGCAGCAAGAGAGAGTTGGAGATCAAGACATATAAATAGCCTGGCTGACCGGACAACAACAACAGCCATCATCAGACCACAGACCAGAGACAGGACGTCCTGGACATGGCTAATGGCCAGCTAATGGCTTTTATATATATGGCTGCTTGCTAGCTGTATCATTATATATTCCGCTCCTTTGATTATTCTGCAACTCTCACTTGTTTTCTGTTTGTGTTCTTTTTTTTTTCACTGCTTGACCACCAACCTCCTCGCCCCAATGCCAGGAGCAATCAACTGGGAGCCACCAGCTTCACAGGCTAGCTCGAATATCATGGGCATGATGATGCTAAAGAAGCGGAAGAGGGATGCAGAATCCAGACAGGAAACCACCGTGGTGCCTTCGTAAGTCTCTCTTCAAGGCAGTTGTAAAAGGGCTCTTTCAAAACTCTGCTCCTTTGGCAGATCAGATAACTGACTGTTTAAACGGCTTTAGACCTTCGATGCAGACGCCCTCATGTCTTCAGTCAAGGGTAGAACCCTCTTCAACCGGCCCTGTTTGCTCTCGAGCGGACCTGATCTCACCTCCATCCAAACCACGCATAAGACCCTTGATATCACCTTTGAAGAAAAGACGACTGGAACAGAAGACCGTGCAGTCTAAGTCTTCGCATCCTGTTATACTCTACTCTCGAACGGCACAGGCAAATGGGAGTCCTCAATACGCTCAAGATAGTGCCCAATACTTCCCTACAAATGCTACGTCGGACGATTATATTATGAAGAACGCAGGCGATTCCCCTAGAGATGTTCATGGATACCATATACCTGAAGGTGAAGATGATAGATCGATGCCGGAGGTTCGTCAACAGACTGGTTCTGCACCGAATAGAGCAGCTACAGGGGATAAACAGACGCTTGCGCCATGCCACATTTGTCATCGACGCCCTACGACACGGACGGCGCTGGACGCCTACGCGGATTGCGAAATATGCAGCAGGAGAGCATGTTTTGTCTGCTTAAGAGAGTGTGACGACGTTTACTGTCGAGAACGAGAGAGCCATACAGACAGTGAAAGTTTCAGGAAGAAATTTGAACAGGGGGAATATCCTGGGCGGAGGATATGCTCCTCCTGTGCTGTGGAGGGCATCCTTGAGACCGGAGAGGAAGTTGTTCGCTGCCTCATTTGCGTTGAGCATGGGTAGATGGTTGGTAGCATTATTCTCTTGTTCTTTTCATATCTGGGCTTTTTTTTTCTAGCATATTTTTATTCTGGGTTGGCTCTTTCATAGAAGACGTCAAGTCAAATATATCCATTCGGGTGCAATACATTTCTGGCAGATATTCATTGATTAAAAATAGTAAATTTTATGAATAATTTTAAAGGTTACAGGTGTATAGTATTATGTATAGGTAGCAACATCAACGCCTCTAAGGGGGAGTATCATGAAGCAAAGAGAGAAAACGACGCTCTATCGTCCGAACCTCATCTCGGCTCTGGCGTACTTCCACAGCCCCTTTATGAACCTTTGATATTCTACAGCCTCAACCTCACCGGCAATGCCAGTGGTGTGGTCTCCGGTGCAGAATATCTCTGATAATCTGATCTGCCAGGGTGGGTATCCGTCCAGCTTGACATAGGGCCCAAAGATAAGGATGAGATCAGGCTCTGCCTTGATCAATGGGGCAGGCAGGCTGCCAGAAGGGGAATCAGTGCCATTGGTCTCGCTGCCAGGGTCCTGTGGTGAGGATGCAGGGATGGTCATCATCTCAGCAAGTTCTGCATCAATCAGCTTGATACCGATATCCTGCGGTGAGACCTTTCCATGCTGTGCCATTTCTGCCAGGGTCTTGGTGAGGTCGACAAGGGTTTCCCGTCCATCTGTACTCGAAAGGAGAAGGACAGTTATGTTCTCGACGTTGGATTTTGATGCTTGAGGGACGAGTTTAGGAGCATAGAGTGGATGATGAGGCGCAAATACGCCTAGGGAGGGTTGATGGGATGGAGGCCCGTAGTAGGTGTCAAGTTTGCTAGTGATAATCCGGTGTAGAGCTGGAATATGTGATTTCAGGATCCCTATATATACTGTCAGTATATCTAAGGTTCGTTTTGTTTGATATGTGGCCTAGTTCGAACCTGTCTTCTCGTAGATGCTCAACGCAGGTATCCCGGCACACGAACTCCAGGCCGTCAGCTCAGCAACCTCGTCCATGAGCGTCTCGAGGGCATCTTCCTCTCTTCTGAGAGTCAGCACTACGCTGAGATGCTCCGGCAACCTGTCCAATCCCCTGACATCCTTGCGGATCAGCTCGGGCGTCCGATGGTGATAATACAGAATCGCAAGCACCCTGTCCACGACTGCATGGTAGCTCTGGCGTATCCGCGAGTAGATGCTGAAGACGATGTGTATGAGGAAATATAGGAGATAGTAGAGCTTCGACCGCAGGAACCGCCGGACAGGTTTCGAGCTGGCCTTGCGGCCCCGGACAGAAGACTTGCGGACTCGCGGCGGCATCAGGAACGGTTTCACAGCGGCCTCGCGCTCTGCAGCCGGAAGACTCTCGAGCTGTCTTCGCAGCCCCGGGGCATCTTTCACGTACGCCATGGCTGGATTATCTGAATTATCAATGATTATCTGGTTATTCGGTTCACTGTTTGCGCTTCTTGCGGGCGGGAAAGAAGGACGGGCGAGCGAGCGGCGCTGGAAGGGAGTGTTAAGGCTGTCGATAGAGACGAGACGGCATTCTATATGGATATACCATCTGCTGTCGTGCCAAACAGGTGCCAGACAGCAGCCAAAAAGCAGGGAGTAAATAAATAATATGTGTTGATCTTCAAAAGTTCGGCTCTGACGTAGAGCTGCGTGGCTAAGCTGCCTTAACTAGTAGTTAGTGGTGGTGTGGCTAGTAACGACTTCAACACCAAACATCTACAACTCCCCAAGGGAACGCCGGAGACCACCAGCACATTCGATAACGACGGCTCAATTTGCTTGAAGACGATAGCGCTGATGCTGATATGTGATATATGAGGGTGCCTGCCGCAGCTTTACGAGTTCTCGCCGTCCGTTCCTCGCCGCTCCTCCATGTCTGGACTCGGTCGCAAACATGCCGGACCAGAACTACCAGTCTGATATGCGCAGGTCGATATTCAACAAGGGGCCAGACTTCACCTTAGAGACCTTCTCGAGCCGAGACTTCATCGTCAAAGACTTCATCGAGTCCCTGTCCGACGCCGCCATCCAGCGCCGCTCCGGTGGCATCGGCAACCAGCCCTTTGACCCCAAGCCCCTGATCCGCGCCTTCGAGCATGCGCAGCGCCGCCTAACGGAGCTCTCAGGCGACCTTGAGCAGCGTGAGAACGAGCTGTCTGCGGCTGTCCGGAAGGCCGAAGCGCAGCATACTCAGAACGCGAGCAACCTGGGCTGGAAGCTGAACCAGGCCATCGAGTCCTTTCAGAAGCTAGATACCTCCCTGAACGGACCCCGTCGGCCTTCTACGCGAGATGGACCGGGTGGGAATGGCAATGTTGCCGTCGAGACAGGGAAGAAGCTCGAAGAGCTCGACCGGCAGAGACGCAAGGCTCTCGATGCGCATTTTCTCATTGGATGCTGGGACGAAGTGAGTAACCGCGGGGAGCTCACGATGCTCGAGAACCTGCGACGGTCAGGAAGCGCAGAGGGAAAAGTGCGTTCTGCGCGCATTGCCAGGCAACTACTGCGAATAAGCCAGAGACTGGACCCGTTGAGCTGGAGTGAGAGTAATGGAGGCACAGATACCATACCACCGAGCCCTGATGACCATGCGGGGACAAACGGGAATACACCCAAGAGGAGGAACACGCGGGAGATCATTGAGAAGTTCTCTGAAACTCTGGAGAAGGACTTGTTGAAGCAGTTTGACCACTTCTACCGAAAGGCCAACTTTGAGGGCATGAAGGACTGCGCCAGTGTTCTGCAGGATTTCAACGGAGGAGCCTCTGTCATTGCTCTCTTTGTCAACCAGCACCAATTCTTTATCGACCGCAGTCAACTGATATCGGAAGAAGTAAGCGGAGACTCAGAGGCCTGGGAACAGCTCGCTGACCCTGATGCTCCGTCTCCTGGAGTGGAACCCAGCCTGCAGTCGCTGGTTGACGAGGTCCAGGTGGTTGTCCAGGAGGAATCGGCTATCATCAAGCGAGCTTTTCCTTACTACGAACAGGTGCTATGCAAGTTCCTGCAGCGAGTATTCCAGCAGTCGATACAGCAACGGCTGGAATTGGTCTTGGATAAGGCCAGTTCGGTTTCGTCTCTGGCGTATCTGAGAACGCTACAGTCAGCTCGCAGCTATATTAGTGCCCTAGTTGACGACCTAAAGGCTCATGGATTGACCGAACACCCTGACACAATATCCTCACAAACAGCGATCTTCCTCGACCAGCAGTTGGAAGAACTGTTTATTCCCTACCTCGTGGGCACCTCCTACATCGACAGAGAAAAGAACAACCTGGAAGAGCTCTACACATCTCTAATGTTTAAATTCGCTACATTCCACTCCCGACGGAAGAAAACACCGACTACTTTCATGTCCTCTCTTGCAAAATCCGGAAGCGAACTGCTAGCCTCAGCAAGAGATGCATATATCAACAGCCTCGACTCCTCCGACTTTACTCCCACACAACGCAAGATGCTTCTACGAGTTGCTGGTCTCAAGGAAAACGGCGAAATGCAAAAACAGAACGAGATTGAACTCATGGAGGAAGACGGCCAACTAAGTGTGGCTTTTGCCAAACGTATGCTCCGATGGTTGGCTGAAGGAGTAGGCAGAAGCCTAGAACTCAGCGTGAGCAGTGAGACGCCCAAGGACGTGTCTACGCTGCTGAACATGCTTCTATCTAGGATGGGCGAGGGATACATAGAAATGGCCCTCGATGCTTCCCTGGAATCCGCTCATGCACAGGAATCTGGAAAAGCTGAGCCAGACTTTAATTACCTGACTACTCTGAGGACGGCCATTAGTGTGACATACCTGATGATGACGTGTATCAATGCCGTGCTTGTTCCGCTGGCAGCATCCAATATAACCATAAAACGAGATATGGAGAAGAAGACCAATCTTATAATGCACCGCATTGAGGAGAAGATCAACTCCATTGAGCAGAAGACCGTCGATGTGACTCTTGCATGGGTTGCACGAGTTCTTTCCGGCCAGAAGAAGAACGACTTCCGGCCCAAGGAGGGCGTAGCAGATGAAACTGGATGGCTAGAGATGCTCCAAACCCCGGTATGTCTCTTTGGTACACGTACATGTTGCAATACCTCTTCTAACGTTCAATCTAGACATGTGCATCTATCTCTGGTTTCTTGACTCGTCTTCACAACATAACGCTTACATCACTGCCGTCCAGCGGTTCTAATGTCCGAGTGTTTCTCACGGAGATTGCTCTAGGAACAAGGGCATTACTCTTGGAACATTTTAAGAAGTTCCCTGTCAACGCTCCTGGTGGTCTTATGGTTACCAAAGACATGACTCGATACACAGAGTTGTTACGATCATGGAACATAGATGAATCCGTCAAGAGTGTCGGCGGAATACTTGATGTCCTGCTTGAAGTCGGCAGTCTGTTCGTTATTGGTCCACAAGCACTCAAGGAGCGTGTAAGAGCTGGAACGGCCGGGGGAGGCAGTGGTACTTCGACTGGAGGTGGTGGCGGTGGAACCACGAGCGGCAGCCAGAGCAAATCCAACGTCGGCTTGACTGTCCAGGAAGTACGAGCTTATGTCCTTCGCCGTGAGGATTCAGGAAGTGCGGCAATGCAGGATGTCTTCAACGCGTTTTGAATTAATGGGTTAGGGTAATGATTATTTTTGGCTTGAGGTTCTCTCAAACACGCTTATAGAGTGATGTTTATGTCGACAATGTCTAATCGCACATAGGAATACATATAAAATTCTACGCAAATTCTACGCTTATACCTTCTTATTTCAGTCATTTTTCTCATTTTAGCTGTAGGAGTAGAGCTATGTTTCTAGAAAGTCTTGTGCAAAAAGCAGGAGGGAATAGTTCAACCTCGTTTAACTCCACCAACATTACAGATACTATCCCACGAGATGTTCTGTAGCCCCTTTGGAAGAGAAAGGCCCTCAACCGTCCAACTGGCAATGACTATCTCAAAAGTCCAGGCCAAAAGTGCTTTACCCCAATGCGCATTTCTCCCCCATATCGCCGTCTCGATAACGGTCCCAATCCCATTCAACAGGAAGAAAGCAATGATGCGCAAGATACCGTCCAAGGGGAGAACAGGAGCAAGGCTGTACGCATGGAACAAACCCATCAACGAAAACGAAGCAATGATTCCAACCCCCTTTGCAAACGATTCAGGAACGCCGTATTTGGCAGGCAGATGTCGTCGTAAGGGGTCGTATGCGAGTGACCGGCAAGGACTTGCAAATGCTGTGTGCCATGTTTCGCTCCAGAAGGAGGCAAGAGATGAAGCAGTGTAGACCGGTCCAAAGAGCGGAGGGCTAGTCTTGTAACGGAGGAGCAGCTGTAGTGATTCCCAAATGACGTAGATAGCAAGGAGAATCTGAATGGCTTGAACAGTCGGATTGGATAGCGGGAAAAGAAACTGGGTAGCTAGAAAGAAAGCTGCATGTATGACTAGATCGACTGCCTCTGAGAATCGATGGGGAGCTTTGCGTCCTGGTGTTTGCAGTGAGGCCACTCTCTTGCCGAATGTAGTGAAGACCTGTTTGCCGCCCTTCAGGTCTCGCTTCTGGTAGCAGACGTATTCTGCCGTGGTGTCTGCTTCCAGCTGGGCTGGAGCAGGAGCTGTACGGAGGTAATTTGGCGTAAATGATTCATATCTCAGCTCCGTGAAGAGAAGCAGAGCAATGATGCTGTCTGAAGGCGGATTCGGATCGGTGTATTTGGGAGGTGATTTCCTCCGGGCATAAAAGTCCAGTGCCTTCATGCTACCAATTGCAACTGTTACGACCATTAGTATCATGTAGGTTATAGGCAGGTCACTGGCTAGTCATTGAGTCAACTGTGTGAGGCTTACCGGCGAAGAGTTGCAGGCTTCGAGCAACGGAGCATTCCAGCACCACCAGAGTGCCATTGGCAGCGAATGCAAAGATGGCCATCCAATCCAGCATCACAAACACGCCGATCTTCTTCTTCACAAGCGCGTAGAGGGCCAGGTAGAGCAAAGCAGCTGGTATTATCAACGAAACGAGCCCGGTTCTGATATCAGACCCGGCTTCTGACAGGGCTCTCTGAGCAGCCGGCGAGACCTGGGGCATGGCAATCAAGCACTGGGGTATCATCCTGGATTTTCCTTCTGGGCTGCAATCAACCTCTTCTCTCCCTCCAACGCGACTCTCCAACCTTGGTTTTCGTGTCTTTTGGTTGTAATCTCGATGATGAGCGTAGTAGATCTAGCAGACTCGTCAACCGCCGCGCTCAACTGCTGATGGCTGCCAACGAGACGAGGCATTCAACCAGGCAGAGGCTGCAGTAGTGTGGGGAGAAATGTCTTCAGGTATAGGACAGATGTTGCTTTCTTTTTTTATTCTTTTTTCCTGTGTGATTCTAGTGGTATATCGGCGTTTGCATGTGCATGTCCTAAGGGTGGCATCCGGATGCATCTATGCAGCCAGGCGGAGGACGTCCTGCAACTAATATCTCTATAAAACAGACAGAACCTGCAATAAGGTGTCCTGAGTATATATAATACTGGCAGCAATGGCTAGAAGAAACGATGCTTGTCTAGCTGCCAGACAATTGACGTAAGGCTGATCAGCAGTTGGCTGTTGCGCTTGTTCTATAGCAGGAGATCCGGGATGATAACCAGCCATTAAGACATGAGAGATACTTTTATATACAGCCACCCTGTCATTTACTTAGGGCTGTCCATTAGGGTCACAGTAAAAGTGGATAAAGAGGATAGGATTTCTTGGTTCATGCCAAACAGCTGTTCTTCACTAACTAACTATCATATAAGTTAATGGGTGGAAAAGTGCAAAGATGGCCCCTTTACTGGCTGGCCTCAACAGGGGCTTCAAGCGACTCTCGTACGTCTCCTGCATCCCGTTGCCCGGATAGATCGGAGGGCCTTCAGGGCCGAAGGCTGCCCGGCTGCCTGTTCCCTGACCCTGTCCGGAGCCTCTCTTCGGCCGTGTCACAAGCAACGGCTCCATTAATTATTCTAGAATGCTGGCTGGCTGGGTCAATCCTCGGCCTGCGGGATCAGCACTGCATGCATCCAACTATGACGGAAGGCTTACAGTTAGTTTTACTTGCAGGCTCGGGGGAAAAGAATCGTCATTATTGTAGCATTTGTATTGCATTTAGTTACACTTCAAGCCAGACGCTGTTAACTAATAATCAAGAAACTACCGACGGTGCCTGGAGAAAAGAAAAAACGAACGCTCTCTAGTCTATCTTCCGAGAGGTGGTGCTTGCTGGCTATAGCCCCGTAGCAGCGAGTTTGTTGGCCAGTTCATCAACCTTGCTATCCGGCTCCTGGGCAACCTTCTCGTTTTCAGCACGTTCGGCGTCTTTGACGACTCGCTCGGCCTTCTCCTCGACCTCCTCCTGGTCTTCTTCCTCCTCATCTTCGTCCTCTTCCTCCTCCTCGTCTTCGTCTTCGCTCTCCAGCTCATCAAGCTCGTCCAGTCCCCAGGCGGATTCGTCCTCATCCTCCTTGCCCAGCTTCTCCTTGCGCTCCTCAAGCAAGTTACGGAGATCCTCAAGGTTCGAATCCTCCTCGTTCAGCTTATTTCCATTCAACTCAACTCGCTTCAACACGGGGAGCGAGGTCTTTGCCGCCTCAACGAACTCCTTTAGACCCTCGGCGGTAATGTCGTTGTACGCTAAACGAAGAATCTCAATCTTCTTGTTCTCTCCCTTTGCAAGGCTCTTTGCAACTCGTAGTGCGCCTTTACCCTTGAGATAACAGTCACTTAAACTAATCTCACGGATGTTGGGCCATCCGGTAACGACGCGGGCCAGAACCCGAGAACCAGTCATGGTAAAAGTGTTATCCTGCAAATCCAACACTTCAAGCTCAGGAGCATGCTGCAGACCGCCATCCAGCAAGAGCACTATTCCGTCCTGTCGAATGCCGTTCTGGGTCATCCGTATGCTGCGAAGCCCCTTTCCATGGTCCTTTACCATCTTCGCCCACGCAGCCATGCTTCCACTCTCAAGTCTGTTGCGACCACATACTATCGTCTCCAGATAAGGCACTGGAACCTTTGGGTTGGCCGCCCGAGCCTCCTCCTTTTTCGCATGCAGCTCTCTCAGTGCATCCGCAATAAGATTTCCGGCCTTGGGGCCGAGACCGTTATTATTCAATATTAAATGGCGTAGCGGGGTGTGCGCTTTCAAAAACTCGACAAGGGGCGCTTGAGTATTGAGTCCAAACGCATTATCGCTTAAATCGATCGTCTCGAGAGTTTCGACTTCACGTAGAGCTTGTAGAAGGAAGGACAGAGCCTGCGGTATCTCGTCGAGCAGCCGAGAGGTAAAGATATCGGCCAGGTTGGCTGTGTGTAGCTTCTTCTGGGTTCGGAGGACGCTGGCTAAGCGCTCGCTTGCCGGGACACCAAATGTATTCCCACCCAGACGGATCTCTGTAATAACATCGTTCGTTTCCACAAGAGGCTTAATGAACGGTTCCAGATCAGCCGCGGAATCAAATCTCTGTCCCTTGCCCTCGATCGAGAAGAGCGAGGCAGAGGCCATGGTGGGGTAGGTCTCCTTCCTTGAGTTCTAGATGTGCTCCAAACACAGACAGATGTTGTACCCCTCCAACACCGGGAAAAAGGGCGTATCCTTGAGAAGATGTAAGATAGTCGATATCCAGTGACAGACAGCACAGTAGCCGGCGCTGTCGACAAGTCCACAACTGTTTTGTCTCTGCTGGAAAAGGAGAAAAGGAGACAAGGAAGAAAAAAAGGAGGCTCCAAAACACTAAAAAAAGCCCCCACGAAGCTTTTTGGCGGGCGCGATTGATAGGTGACTAAGCCGGAAAGGTAATATAATTATCCGTATTACTAATCCGGACCGACTGCGTGGGTCGCTTCGGACCCGCCGGAGTTAAAAGGGGGCGTGCTTACTCAGCAAGAAAAATGGCCGAAGCTTCGTCGACGCTCAAGAAAAGCATCAGGAGACAGCGTCATTCATTGTCAGGCATCAACATCGACCACGGTTGAGCACTTCTCGCTACACACTCCTTACAGCCCCGTCACTCGTTCTACCGCCACAATGTTTGGTTTTATCTCAGGATTCTGGCCTAGTGAGTATATACGTCTTGCTCTTGGAAATGCGAGTGCTAACTTAGACCGCAAAAAGAGCCCATTGCAGAGGAGAAGCCTGCTGCTGCTAGCCTTGCCGTCCCCAACCAAACCACAAAGCCAAAGGTACGATGCACCGGATATACAGGATACGCTCTTATTGAAACGAAACTCTTGTGCTGACTGATACTTGTCGCTACCAGCCATGCTGCGTCTGCAAAGAAGAAAAAGCCACCCGAGATGATTGCATGCTCTTTTCCAAGTCCAACGACCCTGCCTCAGGAGAATGCTTGACATACGTACAAAAGTACAAAGACTGTATGGCTGGATTCGGATTCAAGGTCTGAGACAATTGTATTGGAAGATGAAAAGGGAATAGGAAAAGCTTTCAAGTCTATCTTGGATGTTGGTCGCTCGTGAATAGGCTTTGCGAGTTACTAGATTAGCCGTAGCTGCGGTTATCTTTATTATGGCTGGTAATCAAATCTAGCTGCTGTATTTCTTTGCTGTATAATATGGGTTGGGAAAAAGAAACGGCTATAGAACGGGGCGCATAATCTGAGGGGCCCTGGGTGCATTGTATTATTATCTCATTTGAACGGAATCTCAATTCAATTCAATTCTATGCTCGTATCATCAAATAAGCTTCGGAGTAAACAGGATAGAGCCAGAGGCAGTTTTCGAAGTCTTCCCTTGCCCTATAGTGGAGAAGTGGGGGATAGGTACTGGGAAGCGTTTTGTCGGACACTTATGATGAACAAGCTGTGTTCTTGTCCATGCAATGTATTATTGATTTGGACATGCCTGTCTGCATTCAAAGTAGCAATCAGTTTTATGGCGAAGGTAGATAATCCACATGAGACTTGCATTATTAGCCGCATGAAATACCTCGAGAGCAGGTAATATAGGGAAGGGATTCAAGGTTAAACTGCCAGAGGGAGGCTGATGAATCTTAGGTTGACATCAAGCCTGGGGGTATCAAGAGAGGAGTTGAGGAAGTGTGTTTGCTATTCTTTGGGCCTTGGTTTGAGGAACTATCAATGAGAAAGTTGGCTAGCTCTTGGGGCCCTTCTGAGTTTTGGAGTCATTCTTGGAGTCCGTTGCGCCTTTGACAACGATATTTTTTTCTTTAACCTCTTCAAGGGGCACTTTTTCAGGAACTTTACGTTTGCGCTTCGGGGTCAAGGATGGCGGCTGCGGTTCAAAGATGACCGCTTGTATGAGTTTCCAGTTGCACCAAAGGTAGATAATTCCAAAGCCCGATGCACCTATTAGTGCGTTCAGGACAACCCATAGATCTGGTTTTGTAGGCGGCGGTGAAACGTTGCTTTCAAGAAGATGCCACCCAAGCATGGCTGCATAGTAAGATATATGGATAAGCTTGGTTTTGGTAAATAGCTCCATGGACTTCTGTGCAGCGCTGCGACTCCTATATAGATCAAGAGACATTGGCGGTAGTCCTAGCAAGTACGCCCATAGGAGCGTAAGGACAGTATAGGGGATGCGTAATTCGTCACGCTTTAAAAGTGGGAACATTGTCCATACACCGAGCATATTAGCCAAGCCAACCCAAGCACGTATTTCTTTGCTAAGTCCACCAGCGCTTCCCAAGAGCAAAGTCATGGGTAGAAGAGGTAGTAGAACGCTTTTCTCATGGACCTGGAAGGAGCATAGGAAGAAACCCCAGCCAGTGCTTGCTAAGGCATAAGGGAGAAGATGGGTCCGAGGGTATCGTCCAATTATCAAACAAGATGGCATTATGGTGATGAGGGTAGCGCCCAGGGCTGCGAGCTTGAGTATGCTGGGGTCGAACTTATTGAGCTTATAGAAAGTGTGGATGGCACACCACACGTTGGCAACCTTGTCCTCGAACAACCCGCGTGCAAATGGGAATATACGGTGGATACACTGGGTAAGCTGTACAACGACCTGATAAAGCCAGGAGGCCTCGTGTATCTGTATTGGAAGTGATTTCGTCAATGGTGGTAGGTTATCAGGCCCTGGGATGTTGCGGTACCAGTCTGCGAGCGATCCAGCAAGGAGGGGTGCGAACAGTACGGCAAAAGCAACGATGGTAATCAGAGCAATGCCGAGCAGCCTGTTGGGTCGAATCCGAGGAGAGAAGCAAATACCCAAGAGATAAGCAAACACAACGGGAGCAAAGTAGAGTGACATTTGCTTGAATCCCAGAGCTGCAACAAAGAATATACTTGCCCATAAAGGTCTACCGGCGTACATGCTTTCAAGAGAGGCAACTATGAAGCCAAGCATCACAGTGTTGTACTGGAAATGCCCATGGTCGATAAGAATTGTAGACGGCTGCATAAGTACCGCGCAGAGAGCAATGGAGCCTGGCCAGGGTCCAACACCTTGCTCACGAGCATATCTTCGCAGAAATATGACAACAGCTGGGATGTAAACTAGGTACTCGGAGACAACAACTGTGGCTCTCATATAAACCCTCAACAGCGGCCCTTCTAGACCACGAGATTCGTCCAATGCAAACCATGCTGGATCGACTAGTTGACCTCTGCATCCTGTTAGGCTCTAGCTCTATCATGCCGTGATGTAGTAATGGTGCTTGGAACATACATCTTCCCTAATAGCCAGCTATGGTAGGCTGTCAATGGTGGGTAATCCAATCCCCAGTATTGCAGATCGTAGAAATACCACCAAGAAGTGGGGAGGTGTATAGTGAGTTCCATCCAGTGCCTTTGGGCTTCAAAGTCGCCGTGCATTGGAGGTACACCATACCCTATACCAGATACATCAGTATGGGCGTATGTGTGAATACATAGATACATACAAAACACATACCCGAGTGACCCCACAACGAAGTCCCCCATCGGAAGAGGCCAACAATCATCAAAACGACGGGCAGAATAAGCCATTGAGATACACCGGACCGCGCAGGCCAGAAGAAAGACACCAAGGGGAAAGCCGGCACATAGGTATCTTGGCCCTTGGACACTACCAGGTCAGTGTTGAGCCCAGATCCCGACAAAGCTCGGCGTTTCTTTCGAGGCCGGCGAGGAGAAAGCGTAAGAGGTGCCATTGTATCAGTAGCAAGGTCCATCCATCAAGGTAAACAGCGCAGCAGACACAGAGAGGTCTGGATTGTACAGATCAAACCATCGGCTTGTCAACTGGTCTAGTTATGTTGTTTGATTCTTGCGATTCTCCATACAAACAACTCGTAAACGTCGCAAGCTTCCTAATTCGGACTTTTAGGGAGTGACAGGATGACTAAGCAGACGGAAGTGCCCTGGATATACGCCAGTCCTTTTTGGGACTAGCGAGCGGAGAGCTAAGTAAAGGCGGTGAGCGTGAAATTTCAAGCGGCAGAAAAAAGCTCGAGCAGGAAAAAAAAAAAAAAGCTTCAAGCAATAAATTGAACTTTTTTCTGCTTTCAAACTTCGCAGAATTTCAACCTCATCCATCAACACTTCATCACTTTTACTTCTCTTAAAAAGACTTTCAGATTCCGAGTCGCTAGAAAGAGCGCTATACGTTCTGTATAGAACTCTTACTGCAACTCGTTGCATTTCCTGTGGGCTTCTGTGGGCTTGTCGCGTGAGATTTTCTTACTAGAGGGCTTTACTGTTCGCTTGTGGGCTGAGGCATTGAGATCTTGACATCTGTGGGATTTTGATTGCTTATATCTGCATTGACATAGACCGGATCATTCGAAAGAGTGTCCGTCTCGTTGGCTTGTGGGTTATCTGTGAGATCAATATTCTGTGGGCTCTTGGTTCCTGTGGGCTTTTGAGAATCAGTTCCTAGTTGGCTCTGGCTGCGTATTACTCTGTGGGCTCTATTTTATACATACTGAGGGTTACTCATTACGTGGGATTTCATCTCGTGTCTTTCTCAAAATATCAAGTGGTGAGTGTGCCCCTGGTGCTGGCTCCCGGTATCTTCTAACGCGTATTGTAGGGAATCAATCAAAATGAAGGCTCCAAAGGTTAAATCTGCTGCAAAGGAGGACAAGGTCCTTAGCAAGGTCAAGGAGGGTGGTGTGAAGAAGTCTACCTTGAAATCGAAGGTCCCTGCTGAGGTTGTCGCTAAGAAGGTTGAGAAATTGAAGAAGAAGGCTCCTACTCCATCCGAGAGCTCTGAGTCTGAGAGCTCCGAAAGCTCTGACAGCTCTGAGGAGAGTGAGGAGGAGGAGGAGGAGAAGGCTGCTCCTGTCAAGAACGGTGCTGCTGCCGCTGACTCTTCGTCTGAATCATCTGACTCGGACGAGTCTGAATCCGAGGACGAGAAGCCAGTCAAGAATGGCGCCAAGGTCGCCAATGGCAAGAAGGCCGACAGTGAGAGTGAGAGCGAGAGTGAGAGCGACGAGGAGGACAGTGAGGACTCTGATGATGAGGAAGAGGTAAAGAAGGCTCCTAAGGAGACCAAGGCCGCCGTCAAGAAGGACGAAGACTCTGAATCTGAGGACTCTGATGACTCTGAGGAGTCTGAGTCTGATGAACCTGCCAAGGCAAAGAAGGTATGTCTACAGTTGCTCTTTGTTCTGTCAAGAGACTTGACTAAGAAGATCTCCAGGATGATGACGAAGAGGATGATGATGAGGAAGATTCTGACGACTCTGACTCCAGCGAGGAGGAAGAGGAGGAAGAGGCTGAAAAGCCACAGAAGAAACGCAAGGCCGAGGAAGATGCCGAGCCTGTTGCTAAGAAGGCCAAGGTTGACGTTCCTGAGGGTGCCTCTGCCAACCTCTTCGTCGGTAACTTGTCCTGGAATGTCGATGAGGAGTGGCTCCGCTCCGAGTTTGAGGAGTTTGGTGAGCTTGCTGGCACTCGCATCGTCACTGACCGCGAATCTGGCCGATCCAGAGGGTAAGCATATCAACTTTTTATTCAATGTTAAGCCGTTACTAACAAAGCTCTTCAGATTCGGATATGTCGAATTCGTCAATGTTGAGGACGCCGTCAAGGCTCATACAGCTAAGAAGGATGCAGAGCTCGACGGCCGCAAGATGAACCTTGACTACGCCAACGCCCGTACCAATGGCAACGCAAACCCACGCGAGCGTGCTGACAACCGTGCCAAGTCCTTCGGCGACCAGACCAGCCCCGAGAGTGACACCTTGTTCATCGGCAACATCTCCTTCTCCGCCGACGAGAACATGGTCCAGGAGCTCTTCTCCAAATACGGAGCGATCCAGGGCATCCGCCTGCCCACTGACCCTGAGTCTGGCCGCCCCAAGGGCTTCGGCTACGTCCAGTTCTCCTCCGTCGACGAGGCTCGCGCTGCCTTGGAAGCCGAGCACGGTGCTGACCTCGGTGGCCGTTCCATCCGTCTTGATTTCAGCACCCCCAGACAGCCTGGTGCAGGTGGTGACCGTGGTGGCCGTGGCGGTTTCGGTGGTCGTGGAGGTCGTGGCGGCCGTGGTGGACGCGGTGGCTTCGGTGATCGCGGTGGCCGTGGAGGCGGTCGTGGAGGCCGTGGAGGCGCTGGAGCTTCCTTTGCTGGCAAGAAGACCACTTTCTAGGTCTGAATCCCGCGATCGACGCCTTATTTCATGTTTCTGTTACGAACGGTAGAGCGTCTGATGACTCTCCAGGTAATGTATAACATCCATCTTCACCCCCAGAACGAAACCCAAAAAAAGTGCCTGTTTCCCGGAGTTCCACCTGTTATGATGATTTCTGTTTCCGGCTTTTTTTTCCCTTGTTACTTTCCTGTTTCTTTCTGTAGAGTGCTATCTGCTTGTCTTTTATGAACTCTTACGGAGTTTCAAAAACAAAAAATGAATCAAAAAAGGAATTTTTATCTTATCGCCGAAGACGATCTTATCTTATCTTTCCTTTCTCCAAGTGTTCTTATCATCTGCTTAGTCATTTGACGTGAACCGTTTGCGGGGTAAAGCCGGATCTTACCACGCACTTTTTGGACAATAACACGACGCACTGCTGCTATTTCCTCCAAAACCCACTGCCTTATGCACACATCCCGCTGACATAATCTGCCATGCTCCTGCGCCTTCACCGCCATCCCGCTTTCGTCATCTTCTTTTCTTCTTCCTCCCTTTTGTCGGTTTCGTAACTACAACACACTCCTTTTATATATACCCAGGACGATATCCAGGCGATGTCCAGGAGTCGCTGGCCCTGTTCGACTGCCTGGGTGAATGAGTGAGACGAGTACGGTCGAGTGTCGAGTACATTGTCGATGCAGATACCCTCTTCCTCGTGCTACAGTCAGGTGAGAGGCCAGTTGCCTCCTGTTATAGGCCATCTCTGACATATTTACGACAGACACCTTTCCTCTTGATCTCTTCGCCCATATCGCTGGTGATTTAGTGTGGATAAAGGGAGTCGCATGGAGCTGGCTTGTGCCGCTACTTTGAGTGCATGTGTATGTGTTTCTCCCCGCCTCCGATAAGAGTCGGCGTGAGGGAAGACTGCATTCAGTATGGATGCTTTTGCCAGTATATGCTGATGTTTGCAGTTATTCTAGCGAAATATCTGGTTTCGTTCCTTTCTCCCGACATCCGTGTACTGAGAGTCACCCGCAAGGTCCGGTTCGTGGCAGCCTAGACCGGTTTCCCGCCGCCTAGAGTGGATATATAAATCTCGCCTTGGTGTGGAGGGAGACTTGAGCGAGATACATGCAATCTACACCGCTCACCACACCACCATGGCCTTGACAAACACATCACCAGAGCGTGGCATACGCCCTCAAGCAACGCGAGAAGGTCATCCTCGCCGGTCAGAAGGTGAGTTCACGTCTTGATCTGGTTCTGATCGGCTTTTGGGGTAGCATAGACCCTTCTGGAAACAGGATTCAACTCCCGTCTCTGCCAGAAAATCGCTACAACTCCTCCCAACAGCCTTGCCGTCCCTGCATGAAACACCTCGTTTATGCATTGATTTATTGGATATCACAAAAGCCTCAAAGCGTGTTACAATGTACTCATTTAGGTATTACATAGATTCTTGGATCGAACTTTCGTCGCAGCCTTCTTCATCTTCCTTGTCTTCGGCCGCCACAACCGACGACATCATCACTACGGGGCTGAGGGTCCAACAGCTTCGAAGACGGCGAGCGACGCACCATCACCACCATAACCATAACCATCGTGCCGGTTACCATGTTCCACCGCAGGACTTGGAGATCGGCTACTCGCATCGTTCCTCGAGCACGACAGGAAGCAGTCAAGATGAGAATGAGGAGACGGAGAGCGAGTCAGACAGACTCTCAAACGACGACTTTCCAACTCGGCTTCAGCCCGATATGAACATGTTACCAGAGATCTCATCTCAGTCAGATGGGACTCTTTCAACCGATGATGATGAGGACGATGAGGATGATACCTCTACAGCGCTGGGATTCAACCCACAGCCCAACGCCTTCTCTCACCCACCAGCCTCGATTAGAACGGGACAATCAGGAAACTCGCTTGATTCGGCGAGACTATCGCAGAACCGACGAAACTCACGGTCCAGCCTGCCCGGCATGGGATCTCGACGGTCCTCAGTCCAGCACTCTCCCTTCAACATGATCTCACCATCTCACCAGGCAGACCACGACGCAGCTCTGCGGGCAAGCCTTTCTACTCTACTATCCTGTGCTGCCGCAGCCCGTGGCCTACCAAAGAACGACAGCCAACCGTCAGTGGCAGAACGATCACCCCCGAGAGCAGAGCCATCGACCTTCCGTCTGCTACCAGGAGCAAACGACACAGAAGAGCCCTTCGCTCGACAGATGCATGCCCCTCCACCTCCAGCATCAGCACCATCCCGATTCCAACCATCAACATCCCCATCCCCCTCTCCCAAGCGCTCACGCTCTCCTATCTCTACTACTGCTCAGGGGAAAGCACGACGACGAGCTAGTCCCTCCAAGGACCGTGCCTCGACCAAGAAGGCTGGACGAGCAATGCTTTCATCATCATCATCCTCCTTATCATCAGAGACTGCCACCTCCAACAGCAGCTACCGCTCCATCAGTCCCACCGTGATGACGTGGGTCATTAGTGCGGGCGTGGTCGTGCTTTTCTCCGCTATCAGCTTCTCCGCCGGCTACGTTCTTGGCCGGGAAGTTGGCAGAGTCGAGTCCGGCCAGGCTCTGTATGGGAACGGACTCAGCAACGTCAGCGAACCTGCGACCAGCAGCTTTGCCACGCTCAAGTCAGGATCTGGCTGTGGCAGAGAAGCCGTTCGGGGTGGCCTAGGACGGTTCCGATGGACAGGAGGTAGCGTCTCCGCATGAACCTGACGTTTTTCTTTTCTTCTTTTTCTTCTTTTCTTTTCTTTCCAGCTTCTTCCCGGATCGACGGAAGCATCCCATGCCCCTCTCACATCACACTCCAACAAGCACAACGAGGTGACAACGAGACTTTTTATATGAAGCCGGGCGAGAATCTAGTTATATGAACGGGCGCCCTGGAAAGACTGCGGCATTTTACAGACTGGCGGCTGGGCTCGGAGTTCACTGGGACACATCGCATTGGGTGGTGTTCTCTTTCATTCTCTTTGACTCGTTTTTCTTTTTTATCTGCTGTTTCTTTTTGCTTTTCATGATCTTCTCATTGACCGGCAAGTTAATTACGTGTGCCGATGCTGTTGAATGGATGTTTATGCCGGCGTCTCTTTTCCATCGTCTTTTGATATCTGCTGCTCCCCCTTAGGCCCCTTTTTTGAGTATCCAATTTGCCAGTACAGCTTTACTTCTTCTGCGTCTTCCAAGTACTTCTTCAAATGACTATATAGCAGTTTAATATATATCCCTTCTCCTCTACCTTCTTATCCTCGTATATATAGACAGCACTAACAGGCCCTTGCTGCCCTTGGCGACGTTTCGCAGCCGAAGATCCGGCCCTGCTTGTCTCTTCCAATAATCCTCTTCGTCCTCTGCTGCCCCTCGTCTGCCTTCTTGCTCCCCCACCTTCGGGATTTTGTGATAAATTCTTCTTCGTCCTCCTTTCTTCCTTCTTTTCTTCTCCCATCTTCATCATCATTTGATATCACCAATTCATCGCCAATCTCCTCGCCCACTTCGACTAGTTACTAGACGGTACGAAGCCAGAAGCCTCGAGGTCGCGAATACAGGGGACGGTCTTCGTCATGGAGCTCCCGTCCCAGTTCGCTATGGATTCATCCAAGAGTCAAGGTATTTGTGGTATATATCATCATATCAGTCACGAGTGACAGGTGTTCGGCCTGGCGTCTCTCGCTTTCGTCCCATCTTGATAACTATTTGATCATAACATCGTAAGATCACTATGGTCGTCTTGATGCCGGCGACTGCGAGACCGCCGGTCGTTCTGAGATTATACTGTCTGAACTTGATCTAGATAATTCTAGCGAAAGGACACACGCGACTTCACTTCTCCCCTTTTCTCTCTCTTCTCATGTTTACCCCCTCTGTACGAGGGTGCTGTGTGATGCTGACAATGACCAGTCTGACCGGCCGTAATCAACCATGTCTACCGACAAGATTACCTTCCTCACCAACTGGTAGGTTCTTCTAACACTATAGCCACTGTGTCTCTGTCTTCTCACATTTGCGTGGTCAATTGATGCATTGCTTGCTGTTCCTGTGTTGTGTCTGAGCTGGAGAAATAACTGTCTGAAGGCATGCTACGCCCTACCACGCCCCCTTATACCTCGCCCAGAAGAAGGGATACTTCCAGGACGAGGGTATCAAGGTTGCTATCCTCGAGCCCAATGACCCTTCTGATGTCACCGAGATCATTGGAAGCCAGAAGGTCGACCTCGGCTTCAAGGCCATGATCCATACTCTTGCTGTCAGTTGGCCCCTTTTCCATTTTTATATTGGGATACCTATTTGACTGACATAACTATGGCAGGCCAAAGCACGAAACTTCCCGGTCTTGTCCATTGGTTCTCTCCTCGATGAGCCATTCACCGGCGTTGTCTACCTCAAGGACAGCGGAATCACCACCGACTTCCGCTCCCTCAAGGGCAAGCGTATCGGCTACGTTGGAGAGTTCGGCAAGGTATGGTACTCACGCATTTTGCTGTATAACTATAGACCACTGTTAACGTGTTGACTAGATCCAAATTGACGAGCTCACCAAGTACTATGGCATGACTGCCGAGGACTACACTGCTGTCCGCTGCGGCATGAACGTCAGCAAGGCTATCATCCAAGGCGACATCGACGCCGGCATTGGCCTCGAGAACGTCCAGATGGTCGAGCTCGAGGAATGGCTCGTCAGCCAAAACCGTCCCCGCTCCGACGTCCAGATGCTCCGTATCGACGAGCTCGCCGAACTCGGCTGCTGCTGCTTCTGCTCCATCCTCTACATCGGAAACGAGAAATTCATCTCCGAGAACCCAGAGAAGGTCAAGAAGTTCATGAAGGCCGTCAAGCGTGCTACCGACTACGTGTTGGAGAAGCCCGAGGCTGCCTTCGAGGAGTACATTGACATGAAGCCCATCATGAACACTGCCGTGAACCGTAAGATCTACGAGCGTTCCTACGCCTACTTCAGCAAGGACTTGAAGAACGTCGCTCGTGACTGGGAGAAGGTCACCAAGTACGGCAAGCGATTGGGAGTTTTGGACGAGTCGTTCAAGCCAAACTACACCAATGAGTTCTTGACCTGGGAGATGGAGCCTGAGTCTGCTGATCCCACCGGTGACCAAAAGAAGATGTGTGCTCTCCAGAAGAAGGTTGCGGAGGAGGGTGGATTCAAGAGAATCCAGGTTTCTGCTTAGACCTCAGGTATCTCACCAAGAGTAGCCAATCATGTCTGATGGAAAAAGGGATATTGGTCACCTTTTCATCCCAAGTCCTGTCTGTCTTTTCGAGTTTCAAAAGGTAGCAGCCACTCATTTATATGCGTGATAATGAAATTATATGAGAAGATATATTCCATATAACCTTTGATTCCTGAAAGCTGTAGAACGTCGCTGGAGTAAACGGAAAATGAAAACATGGTAGAATACAGTTATTCTCTAAGTTAGTGTACAACAAAAAAGTGTCATGGTCCCTTTTGGTCAAACAATGACAATGGTATACCAAATATAATATCAAGCCATCCACCGGGCTCCTCTAGGTATCTTCCACAATACAATGCTTAACGCCTCCTACTTCAAATCCATCTACAAGCCACGCAAGAAGTTAGATTCCTTAATGGCTTTCCGTCTTGCATTACGAGCAGATTTGGTGATTTCGCTTCGAGCTTCGAGTCCAGCAGTAGCTGTCTCCAGGTTATCAGTCGCCGCCTCTCCAGTAGTAGCGGCATTGTACTCGGCGGGCGTGATGTCAGTAGCCTGTTCGTGGACGGGGATAGCACGCGGTTGAGAAGCAGCTAGCGCAGCCATCTTCTTCTCATGCTTCTTGCGAGCCTTCTTGTTCATATCTGTAGAAAAAAAGAACAAACGTCAGTATTTAAAACCCAATTCAAAAAAAGATACAGTATAACAAGACAATTTGGCATTATACGTACTCGAGACATCAACTGAGCCTGCTCCAGTCTCTGATTTCTTTGCAGTCTTATCCAGTAATGTCCACAGCCAGTCTGGATATTCATGGTCTTCTAGCGCAATTGGATCCTGCTTGTTCTTCTCGTAGTTCAATCCAGCTAGCTTGGTACCAGCGGGAACACTGCTGACTATCTTCGGAGCTGCCTTGGTAGCTGTCTTTGGAGAGGCGGGAGAGGCTGCATCGGCTGCTGGTGCTGCTGGTGTCGCAGCGCTGTAGAATCGGTGCGGTTGCCGCGATGGGATGTGAGAATATGAGTATGCGGCCGATGCAGGTCGGGAGGAAGGGAGCCGGGAGAGAAGAGACGAGCGGCACTGTCGACAGATCATTTTGGCGGATGTGTCTTCCCTGCAGTTGAGGGTAACGGAGCAGAGTTGAATTGCAGGAATTCTCGCTTCTTCGGTCTTCTCGTTCGTGAAGCTGTTGAAAGAACGAAGAAAAATGTTTCTTAGAAAGCGTCACGTGATGCATCGGCGGCCCAGGGCTTTGCTGGCTGACCAAGTTTAAAAAAGTCGAAGTAAACATGCAGAGACATAAAACATATGGTGAAAGGAGAATTATCAGCAGTTTAGTTTTCATTCTATATCTATCTACATGGTAGCTAACTAAGTAATCGTCTCACCCGTATAACTCAGCCAAAAAACCAACAGGTCAAACTCTGGGTATAGAGGACCATAAACAGGTAAAAGGGGACATCGATATTCAACCCTGACAGAAGAGTATGCAAAGAGCGAAAGATTCAAGAAGGCGTCTAACCATAGACGAGTTTCTTTATGAAGAAGGCTCATCTCTCTTGTGAGATTTGTCTGGATAATCCATGAAGCTCATCACATGTGGTGGTGTTTCGAGTTCCTGGCATTGTGGGTGCTGCTGAGCTGGGGAATCATGTAGGTTCGGCCGTAAGACAACGCCCTCGGGTGTCGTTACAGTTAATTTCACACTCTGGGATACCTGTTGTGATGTAGGTGAGAGTGAAGATTTATGAGGGGAGAATTCGGCGGTGGAAGAGCCCTCTAGCTCTCGCGGAACTGGTGGTTGCGGTGGGTTGGTGGTAGCTGGGAGTTCTGAAATGGTGGTTATAGCATTCCCAGGACGTACGGCAGAATAAGTACCAAGGCCTCGTAATGGAGTCGAGACAGTGCCTTGCGAGACGATCTTTTCATTCGACCAGGCTATGCTATGTGTGCTGGGGGTGATAGTTGTTGAGGAGCCGATAGAAGGAGAATCGACATATGTTCTCGGACTTCCAGCAAAGCTGGAGCCCTCTGAAGGAGCAAACATTTCTGCCCGACATTTACTTCCTAGGAATCACTTTAGTACTCAATTAATCAAGCAATGCCATTATTTTGAGGACTTACCATCAAGCTCGCCGCATGGTTCACCACAGGGTTCTGGCTCTGGAGCCTTCTCTATGGTTGGGCTGGTGATACTTTCCGCGGTCTCCTTCCGATGCCGACATAACAGCACCGCACAGCTTCCTCTCCATTTTCCCTCTTTCTTCCTCTTGCGCCGAATATGGAACCAGAAGAATGCGCCGCTGAAAAGGAGCAGCGCAATAACCACAGTACCTACAATACCTCCGATGAAGGCTCCTCGACTGGGGCCTGAGTGAACAATTGTTGCCTCCGGCATAGGTAATGTCACTATACCAGTAGCTGGTATAAGCGAAGAACTGCTGGCTGGTGTTGACGACGTAAATGTGGATGTTATAGATTCTGTGGGCATCATAGGTCTGCTGGGTGGTATAGGTGTGGTATATTCCGTGTCCGTCGCAGTCGATGAAGTAGTGATGGTGCTAGACAATGTAGCTCGAGAAGAAGTCGAGGTTGGCCGCAAAGTCCTGCTGGTGCCGGTAGTAAACGACGACGATGTTTTGCTCCCATACTTTTGATCATCCGGACATATCCCAGTGTCGCAAGGGTCTACCGAACAGCATCCTCGGTATGCACCTTTTGAGCAGGCATAAAACTGGGTTCCCCTCTCGCAATCCGTCTCGTGCTGGCGAAACCGAAGTCTCCTATCCATCATATTATCGAGATCCAGCCTGTTCTTTCGTCTGAGTGTGGTCGACCAAGTGTAAAGTTGGTGTTATTCAGAACCACAACCTTTCTCGCAACCGAACACATTGAGGGATAATAATGACAACTCTGGGTGAGATATTATTATCCCACACTCCTCAGCCTTGCAATTTCGGTTCCAGGGCTGAAAACAATAAAACAAGGAGAACAAAAAGTCTCTGCAAATGAACTTCGATTTTCTCTTCTCCGACTTCTTCTGTCTTCCTGGTGAACGAGAACAACTCCTCACGGGAGAGCACCACGAGGATAAAGAAAAGAAAACTCCAGCCGGGCGCAAACGGCACCGCCCCCTGGCAACGCCCCCGCCTGGGTATCCATCGCAACAGTTAACTGAGCCGTCTTATCAAAGCGGTGCAGGACATGTTGCTTGTGCTGCACAACGACGGGTTTTGGCATTGGCAAAGAGTCGCAAACAACAAAAGGGGTGAAGCAAGCCAATCAGCGCTGGGCTGCGGTTGTTGGATATTATGTCAGCATAATCCATCCTATCAGGGTCACGGGTTTAGCGCGCTCTCCGTAGTAGGCAGACGGCCGATGCAGGGGAGGTGTCACTTTTGCCTGCGCTTGGAGAGCGTAATTATGAGGCTGGAAGGTGATCTGGCCGTCGTTGATTGGGACGGAGTATGTAGGAGGTCCATATGTGCATTGTGGTGTGGGTGCCGGTGTTTTGGTGGCTATAGATGGACAGACCCCCTATACGCTAAGGTTGATGGGTCAGGCGTCACTATATGTTGGCGTTGTACAATTCTCTTACAAGAGCAAACAAGTAGACAAATCAGACAAGACAGCTTTTTGATTCTATTACCTATGCTGAGACCTTTTCATCATGTACTATATTTATTATCAAAAAAACAAAGTAACATACCAGGCCAGACGCATCTCGAGACCACTCCGGTCAAAGCCCATTGTTGTCCCATCTAGCCGACCCCTTATCTCGACAGCGCAATGTCATCAATTCGTAAAATAAGCTTGACGGTTTCGGCTGCAAGCTCGACTGCACTAGTGCTCACTAACAAAGGCTGCAAGACACGCTCGTCAGCAATGTTGACCTTGACTCCACCGCTTCGAATGCTGACGCCCGCATTCTTCTCTCCCATTTCGTGGCGATGACGTAGGTCCGTAACGACCTTGATGCTGTTCAACCCTGCGTTCTCGGCAAGGGTGACGGGGATGACTTCCATGGCGCTGGCGAAGGCCTTCCAGCAGATAGCCTCGGTACCAGCGAGCAGACGGGCTTGCTTAGCGAGTGCCTGTGCGATCTCGATCTCGGGGGCTCCTCCACCTGCAATCAGGGCACGCTTCTTCACCAGACATCTCACGACGCAGAGGGCATCGTGCAGGGAACGCTCCACTTCGTCGAGGATCAGGTTGTTGGCTCCACGGGCAACAATGGAGACGGTCTGGGCGGCGCTTGGGGAGCGGACGCCGGTGATCTTGAGATACCTGGATCCAGACGAGCTGATCTCCTCTACCAGGTCGGCAGTTCCAAGCTTGTCTTCGGTGAAAGAGTCAATGTTGGCGATGGGCTTGCAGCCTAAGCTCTTGCACACAAACTCCACTTCATCACGCTCAATATCCTTGACGGCAAGAATCTTAACTCGAGAAAGGAAATTGAGGGAGAGGTCATTGACAGCGTCACGGAGAATCGACTTTTGAATAAGGATGACATTGCACTTTGTCTTGGCGATCTTTCGGATCATATTGAGCAGGTATGTGCGCTCTTCCTTAAGAATTTTATCCATCTGTCTGTAGTCATTGACAACAATCTGATTCTCCATCTGTAGTTATCCAATTGTTAGCATCGGAGAGTTTTAGCGATAGGGCATGGATGTACGAACATCTGGTTTTGGAGGGCTCAGCTGGAACTGGATCAAAGCAATTTTTGCCTTTTCGACCCTGGTTGGCCCGCCTGCACTCTTCATTACAGGTTGATTCAGGATCAAGCCGTCAACCATCTCACTATCCTCGATGGTTCCGCCGACCTTCTTCACTATCCTGATGTTACGTAGATCGACATTCTCAGCAGTCTTTGGGTCAATAACTCGGAGGACGGAGTCCACAGCCATGGGGGAAAGCAGGCTAGAGTACTGGGAGACAATTTTGGAGGACAAAGAAGTCGAGGCAGCTTGGAGGAGTATTGCCCTGTCGGATAGAGAGATGGGCTGTGACATATCTTCAAGAATCTTGACAGCGGCAGCAGCAGCACGCTGGAACGACTCAGAGATAACGGTAGGATGTAGGCCTATACCCAAACGTTAGAAGGCAGATTTTGAAGTGGTAGCATCATATCGTACCTTTGGCAAGTAGTCTCTCGGCTGCACCTAGAAGACTTCCAGCAATAACTACAACTGATGTAGTACCGTCACCGGCCTCAACATCTTGCGCAGCACTCAGATCTACCAGCATCTTAGCAGCAGGGTGCATAACAGCCATATCCTTCAACATGGTATTTCCATCATTCGTCTGTAACCAGGGAGTATCAGCATGAGGGGTGTAGGTCAGTTTGGTATCTTGAAAATAAACGTACGATTATCGTCTCGCCCTTTCCAGTTTGTATCTATAGAAACAATCAGTCAGCTAGCTGAGGAACGGAGGTGCATAATTGCCTAACATACCATCTTATCCATACCCCTTGGTCCAAGCGACTTTTTTGCTATATGTTAGCCCCGCGTTCCACTATGCTCCAGGGCGAAGCTATCGTACCGTTCTTATGGCGTCCGCAACCGCTATAGCAAGGTCAGCAAATGCGTATTAACTGGGTAACTAAAGCGATTCGTACCTCTGGCTGCCATGATGTTCGCAGCGCGAACCGCCATGGGCTTCTCCTTATCCTAGTCAAAACGGTCAGTATAATTCAGGCACCCAGACAAGCGACCAGGCGAAAGAACCTACTTTAAAGGTATTATTCATATTGCCCTGGATCCCTAGAGCGGCCGCCATCTTGAATTCCGTAAACCCGTCTGGGGCAGAGGTGCTGGAGGGTGTTGCGTGGTTGAAATGAAATAAATATTTATTTAATCACACATGTGGAGGTGGAATTTGTGAGCTTCCCATAGAAAATCGAAAGCGTAAGAGAAAAGGACGAGGTTTGGCTGGCTTGGCGCGGCGACCTTCTAGGCTAAAAGCAAAAGCGACCCGACAGCTTCATTTGAGCAAGTCCAACAACAGCTCTCGTGGACACATCAACAAGCCTACGCCACGCCTCTCTCCGGACCGACAGAAGCTCTGCTCTGAGATATCAGCTACGACCGCCGTCTGAACCTGCGTCTACCTTCCGTGTCTGCCTATCGACCCTGTTTCTTTCGCCCGACTTGACTCTTACAAATCGCCAACATGCCCAGCGCCACGGGCCAGAACTGGGAGAAGTACAAGAAGAACTTTGCCGATGACGAAGAGCCAGAGAAAAAGATAACGCCGTTGACAGATGAGTTAGTGATTTGGCCTTGTTGAAGCTTTGCTGCTGAGGGATAGACCGCTGACTTCCGTGAAGGGATATCCATGTGCTGAAGACCTACGGCGCTGCTCCATACGCTGCGGCGATAAAAAAGCTCGAAAAACAGATCAAGGACAAGCAAGCAAGCGTAAATGAGAAGATAGGAGTCAAAGTAGGTTGTCTTGATGCTGTCCGTTTGGAGTTTGGGGTGTTTTGTTACTTACACCAAGACTAGGAATCCGACACCGGGCTGGCGCCGCCACACCTTTGGGATGTTGCTGCAGACAGACAGCGGATGGCCGAAGAGCAACCACTACAGGTTGCTCGGTGTACAAAGATCATTCAAGATGAAAAGGACGCTGAGAAGAGCAAATACGTCATCAACGTGAAGCAGATCGCCAAGTTTGTTGTAAACCTCGGCGAGCGAGTCAGTCCAACAGATATTGAGGAAGGGATGCGAGTAGGGTAAGTTGAGTCTGTCATTATATACTCACCATAAATACTGACATTATGATGAAAGTGTCGACCGAAATAAATACCAAATTCTTCTACCGCTACCTCCTAAGATTGACCCGAGTGTTACGATGATGACTGTCGAAGACAAGCCCGATGTTACATACGGTGATGTTGGAGGAAGCAAGGAACAGATTGAAAAGCTCAGAGAAGTGGTAGAAATGCCACTCCTATCACCAGAGCGATTCGTTGGCCTTGGAATAGACCCACCAAAGGGTGCTTTGCTCTACGGACCTCCCGGAACTGGAAAGACACTTTGCGCGCGAGCGGTAGCGAACCGAACAGATGCAACATTTATCCGTGTTATTGGCAGTGAGCTTGTTCAAAAATACGTGGGAGAGGGTGCTAGGATGGTGAGAGAGCTTTTCGAGATGGCTCGGACTAAGAAGGCGTGCATTATCTTTTTCGACGAAATTGACGCTATCGGTGGTGCCCGTTTTGACGACGGTGCTGGTGGTGATAACGAAGTTCAGAGAACGATGTTGGAATTGATTACGCAGCTGGATGGTTTCGACTCAAGAGGAAACATCAAGGTTATGTTTGCAACCAACAGACCGTCTACTCTCGACCCTGCGCTCATGAGACCTGGCCGTATCGACCGAAAGATCGAATTCTCCCTACCTGATCTAGACGGCCGTGCCAACATCTTGCGAATTCACGCTAAGAGTATGTCGGTGGAGCGTGATATAAGATGGGAGCTTATCTCCCGACTATGTCCCAACTCCACTGGTGCCGAACTGCGAAGTGTTGCTACCGAGGCCGGTATGTTCGCAATCAGAGCCCGCCGCAAGGTCGCAACCGAGAAGGACTTTTTGGCTGCCGTGGACAAAGTCATCAAGGGCAACTTGAAGTTCAACTCCACGGCCACATACATGCAATACAACTAGCCAGCCCGATTTCCCTATATCTATCTATCCTCTTTCAACTTCCGGTGCGGGTGTGGGATTTGGGGCGGGGGACCTAGGATCCAAACGGTGCATCCCGCATCTCCATGTTATACTACCTTTCTTCATTCCATAGAAGCACTCGAGCGTTTCTCTTCCCTTCATCAACGTCGTCTCTCCCTTGCGACGGTCACGAAGTAAATAATGGATTTTGATATAGCTTATGTAATCAAATACAGGAGTATATTGTCACGTGCCAACATCGGGCTAAATCGGGTAAGCTGACCGATAGGCAGTCTCTGATTGGCGGAAGAAAGCCTCGGGATGGAAATGCTTATATAATATTTCGTTCTGCAGGCCAACTTCGCACCTCGAAGGGAAAGACGAAACTCCAAAGGAGCGTCAACGGCCTTTGAAGCAGCACCTTATCAACCCGCCAACGCATCAATTCACCCATTGCAGTCTTTGCACATAGCTCTGCTGGCTGGAGTAGCATCATGAGCTTCAGTGGTCTACGGAGCATTGCTCCAACTTGTCAGGTAGGGCTGATTTTCGGGTTTGTTGATCTTGTACCCAGGTTCTTACTGATCTCAATCTGCAGTTGACTCGGGCACTACGGGACCAGAGGAGGTACTTTTCGCAGACTCGCACTGCAGGTATGTGGCATCATCTACGTATATTGGGACTTATGTGAGGAATTGACCGATTTTGCAGCTCGAATCGTCGCCAGCCAACCTCTACGCGCAAAGGAAGCCTCTCCCTTCGTTTCACAAAAGTACCCCGTCATTGTACGTCTATGGACATCATCTTCCTCGGTGTATGCTCATCTGACTGTTATAGGACCATGAATTCGATGCCGTTGTCGTTGGTGCTGGTGGTGCCGGTCTGAGAGCCGCCTTCGGCCTTGCGGAGGCTGGATTCAACACCGCGTGTGTTACAAAACTTTTCCCCACGAGAAGTCACACTGTTGCTGCTCAGGGAGGTATAAATGCGGCTCTTGGAAAGTATGTTATTTTCACGTTGTGCATTTAGAGGCTGCGGTAGTGTTAACGATCTCTTAGCATGCACAAGGACGACTGGAGATGGCACATGTACGATACGGTTAAGGGTTCCGACTGGCTTGGTGACCAAGATGCTATCCATTACATGACGAGAGAAGCCCCCCAGAGTGTTATCGAACTCGAGGGTTACGGATGTCCTTTCTCGCGAACTGAGGACGGACGTATCTACCAGCGTGCTTTCGGTGGACAATCGCAAGATTACGGAAAGGGAGGTCAGGCTTACCGATGCTGCGCAGCTGCTGACAGAACCGGCCACGCTCTCCTCCACACCCTCTACGGTCAATCTCTCCGCCACAATGCCAACTACTTCATCGAGTACTTCGCTATGGATCTCTTGATGGAGGACGGTGAATGTAAAGGAATTATCGCCTACAACCAGGAGGACGGTACTCTTCACAGATTCCGCGCTCACCACACTGTCCTTGCTACCGGTGGATATGGCCGTGCCTACTTCAGCTGTACCTCCGCCCACACTTGCACTGGTGACGGTATGGCTATGGTTGCTCGTGCTGGACTTCCCAACCAGGATCTGGAATTCGTGCAATTCCACCCTACTGGTATCTACGGTGCTGGTTGTCTGATTACTGAGGGCTCCCGTGGTGAGGGTGGCTACCTTCTTAACTCAAACGGTGAACGATTCATGGAGAAGTATGCCCCAACTGCTAAGGATCTGGCCTCTCGTGATGTCGTCTCCCGATCCATGACCATGGAAATCCGCGAGGGCCGTGGTGTTGGCCCAGACAAGGACCACATCTACCTCCAGCTGAGCCATCTTCCCGCCGAAATTCTCCACGAGCGACTCCCCGGTATCTCTGAGACTGCTTCTATCTTCGCTGGTGTCGATGTTACCAAACAGCCAATTCCCGTTCTCCCAACTGTCCACTACAACATGGGTGGTATCCCAACCAAGTACACTGGTGAGGTCCTCACTCTCGACGAGAACGGAAACGACAAAGTTGTTCCCGGTTTGTATGCCTGCGGTGAAGCCGCATGTGTCTCTGTCCACGGTGCCAACCGTCTTGGAGCCAACTCCCTTCTCGATCTCATCGTCTTCGGCCGTGCTGTCTCTCACACCGTTAGGGACAACGCCTCCCCCGGTGCCCCCCACAAGGAGATCAGCGCTGATGCTGGTGCTGAGTCTATTGCTGCTTTGGACAAGATCAGAACTTCCGATGGATCCAAGTCTACCTTCGAGATTAGAAATGCTATGCAGAGGACTATGCAGTCTGATGTCAGTGTTTTCCGAACTCAAGAGAGTTTGGATGAGGGTGTTACCAAGATCACTGAGGTTGATCAAATGTTTGCCGATGTTAACATCAAGGACCGCAGCATGATCTGGAACTCTGACTTGGTTGAGACCATGGAGCTGAGGAACTTGTTGACTTGCGCGTAAGTTTATTCTCCCCTTAGACATGTTATTGTCTCCCCTTACAATATGTATACTTACACGGGCTTCATACAGTACCCAAACCGCCGTTGCTGCCGCCAACCGCAAGGAATCTCGTGGTGCTCACGCCCGTGAAGATTACCCTGAGCGAGACGACGTCAACTGGATGAAGCACACTCTTACCTTCCAGAAGCAACCCCACGGTAAGATTGATCTCACATACCGTGCCGTCAACGGACACACTCTCGACGAGGCCGAGTGCAAGGCTGTCCCACCATTCAAGCGTACATACTAGACACGTCTAGTTGGAGAAATCAACCTGTAGCAGGTGATGTTCCCCGGTCATATTCACCCCAACCAGGCGAAAGGTGGAAAGTCGTCTTCGGTGACGGTGAATTCTTGCTCAAACACTACCTGTATATAACACATTGATCGCATCTTGTCACCGCGAAGTGGCACATCTTTCTATTGCCCCTTTTCCTACCCGCACGCATTGTACCTTATTCCTCCTGTTATCTTATCTGCTATACGTTCTTGGCGCTTTTCCTTAAAATATAGCAATGCAACCTATTTCATAATTCAGTCTCCAGCGATACACTCCGTATCGACCCACGACTCTAGAATCCTCCAAGTGCCTATTCGTGTTATTGACAAAGAAGGAAAAAATCCGGGGAAGTATCAAACTCTATCTTATTGAGACCCTGCCAAGCTTTCTCCGCTGACCTAAGCTAAGCTCGATCAGGAGGCTCATTATTGTACGACAAAGCGCAGCAGCCTCGAAATCTGAAAAACATTGCCAATAATACCCATCGTCGTGGTTGAAGTGAAGGGGAAGACCTGGAGATATGATCCCAGTCTCTGGGTAGCTTTTAACGATCGCTTTGTGCTGATCTTCACTTAACTAGTTAATTAGAGTCCGCGTGAAGGTGCTAGAGAAGCTGGACAGGATGAGAGTCGGCAGCCGTATCAACGACGAGGAGGCTATGCCCCTTACCGCTCCTGAATCCCGTGCTCGAGACTCGATCGATTCGTCTTCAACGGCCTCTATATCCCTTACTCTCGTCGAAGGGGCAAGCCACGCGACTACGGAACCCTCTAAACCAGCTCATAATCACAACGGCCGTGCCCAAGGCAACTACGCAGAGAAATACCGCGACGATCTCGAAGAAGACTGGGAAGAAGACAACTATATCCCATCAAACGGGAAGAGTAACCAGAGGAGAACATTAATAGTATTCTGGCTGCTGGTGGCTCTTTGTGTTGGAGGCTGGGCCGTTGCCTTCCTGTTCTTCGTTACATCCCCAGGAAATAAGACAAGTACTAGCCCACATTCAGGTTCCAACAGCCCAGAAGGCGATGTTACAAAGCCTGGGATCCCTGCAACTGGCAAAAAGATTCCACTTGATGATGCTATAGGGGGTGTGTGGTCGCCTGCTGAACATACCATATCTTGGATTACTGGGGCGAAAGGAGAAGATGGTTTACTATTGCAGAAGAGTGAGGGGGGGACAGGTCCATACCTACACGTCGAAGATGTCCGAAATATCCATGGCACGCAATCAAACAACAATTCAATTGTCCTGATGAAGGAGTCGGTATTCTTTGTCAATGATGAACGTATTAGCCCTGAAAAAGTTTGGCCATCGCCGGATCTGAAGACGGTGCTTGCTATGACACGAGAAAAGAAGAACTGGAGACACTCTTTTACTGGACTATACTGGTTGTTCGATGTTGAGACCCAGACAGCCCAGCCTCTTGACCCTGACGCTCCCAACGGGAGAATACAGCTTGCGACTTGGTCTCCCACTTCGGATGCTGTGGCATTTACAAGAGACAATAATCTATACATCAGAAACCTCACCTCAAAGTCTGTCAAGGCTATAACAACAGATGGTGGAACGAATCTATTTTACGGTATCCCTGATTGGGTATACGAAGAGGAAGTGTTTGAAGGAAACTGTGCTACTTGGTGGTCTCTGGATGGAAAGTATATATCGTACCTCCGTACGAACGAGACTCTGGTACCAGAATTCCCCATAGACTTCTATCTCTCGAGTCCTCCCGGCTATTCCCCCAAACCAAATGAGGAATCGTACCCATACGTCCAACAAATTAAATACCCTAAAGCAGGTGCCCCTAATCCCACCGTCAATCTCCAATTCTACGATGTTGAGCGTGAAGAGAGCTTCTCGGTTGATGTCAAGGATACCTTGAAGGATGATGATAGACTCATTGTTGAAGTCATCCCAGGTTCCAAAGGGAAGGTTTTGGTGCGAGAAACGAATCGTGAAAGTTATATCGTCAAAGTGGCTGTCATTGATGCCAATAAGCGAGAGGGTAAAATCGTTCGATCCGATAATATCGACGAAATCGATGGTGGATGGGTTGAGCCTTCACACACCACAACATACATACCGGCTGATCCTTCTGCTGGCCGACCCGATGATGGGTATATTGATACTGTTATACATGAAGGGTATATCCACCTAGCGTATTTCACCCCATTGGAGAATCCCAAGCCAAAGATGCTTACGACTGGAAAATGGGAGGTCGTTGCCGCTCCTTCTGGCGTTGACCTGAAGAACAACGTTGTCTACTTTGTTGCTACAAAGGAAAGCCCCATTGATAGACATGTATACAGTGTCAAACTTGATGGCTCAGAGCTTCAGATGCTAAAGGACTCCGACAAATCGGCATACTATGATGTCTCATTTTCACATGGAGCTGGATATATGCTTTTGAAATACCAGGGACCTCAAATCCCATGGCAGAAGCTCATCAGCTCCCCAAGCAATGCGGACAATTATATCGAAATTCTCGAGGAAAACAAGAAGCTGGCTAAATTATCCAATGAGTTCTCCCTCCCGTCACTGCACTATTCAACAATCAATGTTGATGGGTTCGAACTGCCTGTGGTTGAACGCCGACCACCAAACTTCGATGAAACAAAGAAATACCCCGTCTTATTCCAACTTTACGGCGGCCCTGGGTCTCAAACAGTTAACAAAAAGTTCCTCGTCAATTTCCAGACCTATGTTGCTTCCAGCTTGGGCTATATCGTCGTCACTGTCGATGGTAGAGGTACTGGGTTTAATGGGCGCAAGTTCAAATGTATTGTACGACGCAATCTTGGACACTATGAATCCCACGACCAAATTCAAGCAGCAAAGGCCTGGGGTAAAAAACCGTATGTTGATAAGACCCGAATGGCCATTTGGGGATGGAGTTACGGCGGATTTATGACATTGAAAACTCTGGAGCAAGATGCTGGGGAAACGTTCCAGTATGGGATGGCAGTTGCGCCAGTAACTAACTGGCGTTATTATGGTAAGATTCTCTATCGAATCATGACGCAGTATTGTTCTCAATCTGCTACGTTCCAAAAAAAAATCTAACCAACCCTCCTGATAGACTCTGTATATACCGAACGTTACATGCACATGCCACAGAACAACGAAGGTGGATATGAGAACGCATCCATATCAAATGCCACAAATTTATCACAGAATACTCGATTCTTGATAATGCACGGTTCAGCAGATGACAATGTCCACTTCCAGAACACTCTCACGCTACTGGATAAACTGGACATCCTGGGCGTACACAACTATGATATGCACGTATTCCCAGATTCAAATCATGGAATCTACTTCCACCATGCCTATAAAATGGTTCATCAACGTAAGTATTTTAACCTGAGCTTCCTCGGCCATGGCTTTTTTTCGTTTTATTCTAATTTTCTACCCATTAGGTCTTTCTGACTGGCTGGTTAATGCATTTAACGGTGAATGGGTGAGACTTCGTGACCCTAAGCCAACAATAATTAAACGTGTGATACGTCGACTATTGCATCGATAGTTAGAGTTGCCAGATGCGTTTCCTCAGAATGAGGTATTTTGATATCTCCGTTGCGCAACCTCTGGTCTCTTTGTTCACCACTCTTCTTGTGACTAACTATATTTTCTTTCTCCGGCGTTCTCGAGATATATTTTTTTTTTCTTTCGGTGTGTATATCCCTGTAACATGATACGCCAGAATCATTTATAAAGCAAGCGCGGGCCCCATAGATGGATAAGCTACTGCACAATGATATTGAAGTCTCACCTTTCTTTCCTGCCCTATAGAACTCTTTTGAGATTTTGATCCGTCTTTCGTTTCTGGGTTTGGCTGGGCGGCAAGCCTGAACAGCCATCTCAGCAACAATGACGTTTTGAGGAATTGCTCAACACAGTTATCAAGTATCACTTGACCTGCTGTCGACGCCAATAGCGGCTCCTAGCTCACCATGAAGTATGGGCGGGCGTTTTAACGCTTGGACGAAAACTCGGATACACTTTTGATCTTCTGCCCTTCCGTGCAGCTCAAGCTACGCCGGATTACCCAAAGAAGCGGTTTTGTTCCGCACGATGGTAAGGGGTGGAAAAAGTCCTGAGAATGGCGCAAGTAAGGCTTTGGGCTAAACTGCGATTGTCTGATCGCAATAGCTAATGCAGAGCCGAAATTAGGCCGAACCACGTTGGAGTGAACGGCAAGAGGCCGTTGTGAGTAATCAGCCCTGTTTGAAATAAATGTTTAGCGTTGTGATAATTGATTTCTTTTTTGGTGCTCCGTGCAACTGGACAGAGGAACTCTTTCCGAGGTATCATAAACGATAGCCAGGTCAACTGCCTCCAGTGCTTCAAGGAGAAGGAAAAGGAGGCGCTAAGCGGGTCTTTTGCTTAGCAGCAAGGAAACAATTATTTCGATATTGAAAAAAATGGAGGGAGAGAGCTGGAAATGTTGGATGGGCGGGACAGCAGGATACCCGTTGATCCCCTTTTTTTTGTTTACATTCTAAGCTCTGACTCTGCGCCAATTCCTGCGGTTGGTCGCTCCATACAGGGTCAAATTTCAAAAGGATCCTCACTCACAGCTCTAACTGCTGCGGCCCGAACCAACCCCGCGAGGTAGCTAGTGCGGGGGCTCGAGATCAGCCATGTAGAGGTCGGGTGTGACCTCCTCTTCCACGCACGAGAGAAATTGGACGAATAGCAAACCGGGGCTGCAAAACGCATCTTCGGCTAAAATGACAGAAATAGGACGCGGAAGTGAGCGTGTCAGAGGGGAACACTGACGTTGCTGCGTGTATCCTTTTTGGTTAACATGTAATTGCATGATGCAAGAATTGCAGGAGCATTTGAAGACATCCTCATCAGCATGGTCCGCAGTGGGGAAGTACGCCAATGAAAAACTCTTCAAACAAAGGCTATGCATGAGCGGGAGGGTAGATCAAACCCCGATGAAAATTGCCTCCAAAGAACTCGGGCTTGGACACTTTGTATGTATACTTCGTATGTAACTGGAAAATAGAAGAGGTAAACAAGACACGCCTTGAAGGCAGCCCTCTCTCAAACACCTGCTTGCAGTATTGCCGGTCCCAAATACCGCTCGTCCGCTGCATGGGAATTGGCACACTCACCTCAGGCTGAGGTTATTTCGATCTTCAGGCGCGGCGCAGGATGCGACTGATATTCTCAGCCGTGTCTCACACGTTCACATGGACCTCAGAGATATCCGGGCGGCTGGATTCCGTGCATGTAACAAGCAAGGCAAGCCAATTTCATCAAGGCGGCCCGACATGTTTATGCCCAAGGGAAAACATGTCCAGGGTTCATGGTTCATCTCCCGTTACTTTCACTCCAGTGCTGGCAAATATTAATCCACGGGTTTTTGGTTTGAAAGGGCAAACAGACGGCTCGCTCTCATTCTATCTCGCCGCCGTGCCGCAGGAAATCCTAGAGACTGCAGCCAGCCCGGGGAAAATCGCACCGCCAAAGCCAAACATATACATATCGTTAAGAGATGAACGGGCTGAGCTTGGCTGATTTTCCAGGCCCAGTTCTCCTCGGACACCAGGGTCAAGCAGCCAGTCAATCAACGCGGAAGTAGAGGCCACCACTTAGCCCCAGGCAGGCCATCTCTGAAGCTGAAGGCTCTCAATACGGGGGTCCTCCTCCGGGACGTTCGGGAGCATTCCAAGGCGGCCTGCGCCCACCTCCTGAAAGCCAGGCGGGATAGAGGGTCCTGGCAGCAGATGTTAGCAACTGGGCCCGTCCTGGACAAACAACGACTCACCTACTCACTGTCCGTTGTAGTTAATGGTACGGAGTACACTGTAGCAGTGACAGCAGCAGTACCTGTAGTTAGATGGTGTTTGTTGGTTGGTGGAAGAACGGAAGAAGCCAATGAAACCCGCAGGTTCCCACTTAAGGCCGGAACTTCGTCAGCGTCAGCGCCAACCTCAGTCAACTTCATCCCTTCTCACCACCACAATAAACAAACAGGACCAGACATCGCAATCGCCCTTGGGAGCTCGATATCAAACTGCGTGCTATCTAGAAGCAGGAGAAGCTCCTTAGAAGCGCATTTTAGCCTGGCAGAGAGGACCGCTGCCCAGCTCCGCCGCGAGGGCCTTTACAAACAGCTTGCCTGTGCCCAAAATGGCATCTCCAACGATGTCCGCTCCAGCAGCGCCGTCGACGTACAAAGTCGACTCTTTTAATCCTGCCGTGATGGACCATCTGAGGCACATCTACGAGTCGCTGCAGTCACAGGGACAGACGCCTACGGGACCGGACGGTGCAACCCTCTCTGCCTCTGCTCATTTCTTGCAGAATATCCAAAAGGACCAGCATTTCAAAGCTGACCAGCCTCGCGGTGGCCAGCAGCATGGCGTTCTCGACAGCTTCTCAAGCTTCCTGGATTACATGTCAACTGCCTCAGCAATGCCGCAGTTTTCAGACACACAGGCCTACGAAGAGGACCTGTCGTTTCCCATGCCCAATTATTTCATTAATTCAAGCCATAACACCTACTTGACTGGCAATCAGCTATACAGTGAGTCAAGTACAGAAGTATATAAGAATGTATGTGGCTGGATCTGCTTTAATGATTTCTTTTCGCCCCTCCCCTCCCCTTCCTTCTACTGTTCCTCTCCTAACCACCAACTCCTTTATTTTATTTTATTTTTCTTCTTGGGCATTTATAACGCCTCAACATGGTCCATGCTGTCGATCCGCCTCCCCATTTGATACCCGTCTGGGGTGAGGTGTGTGTGTGTGCGCGCTCGCAGACGGGAATCTTCAGCATGGAATGTTCTGCCCGTCATCAGGAGCCAGCCAACAGGGAGTGTATTTCTCGCATAATACGATCTTGAGCCATAAAAAAAAGGCTAAAGTTCGCAGTTGTATGGACTTGTATCTGCTTCGGACTTCCACGCCCACTAGTGACTGTAATGGGCTGAAGATCAAAATCCGGTGATCAATGCAGCTTTTCTTTTTCTTTTGCTCTCTCTTTTTTTCAGCACGCATATTGGCTAGTTTTACCCCCTCTTCTGCACTTGTCCCTCTCCTTGACTTTCTCTTCCCTTACGTTCAATTTTCAATCCCGGCCTATAGGTTGACCCGGATGCTCATGTACGCTTGCTTCTCCTCTTGATTCGGATTTGCCTATTTAGGCTGTTTTGCTCTGCTGCAAAACAAGAACCCCAATATTGCACTGACGATGCTAACTACCCATTAGGTTCTACTTGGCGGTTGTAGATGTCTTGAGATTGACGTCTGGGACGGTGTACTGGACCAATCGAGCTCCGAATCAGAAGACAATCCAGAAGATGATCACAAAAAGATGCACAAGAAAAGACACGAAAAAGCTCAAAAGGAGAGCGCTGGCCTGTTCAGCTTGTCATCTCTTTCAGATCGCTTTGGTAAACTCGGCACCAAAAGCACACCTGATCCTGTGCCTGCTAAGGCCCCGGCAACAGATGCAATACGCTGTGAACCCCGAGTATTTCACGGTCATACACTAACTAAAGAAGTATCATTCCGTGATGTATGTTACACAATCCGTGATAATGCATTTGTAACTAGCGACCTGCCAGTGATCGTCAGCCTGGAGGTTCATGCTTCCCATGAACAGCAAGAGGTTATGGTTGATATCATGACTGAAGCATGGAAAGGGCTTCTTGTGGAGCTCACCCCTGAAATGGATGCCCAGATTGCCAATGGAGACTTAGACCATCTTTCTAACCCAGGCTCCCTGAGGAATAAAATCCTGATAAAGGTGAAATGGGTATCTCCCGATAAAGACGATACCCCGCCTGCCGAAGGGTCCATCGAGGTTATTGACCTTCAGACTGTGGGCGGAGACGGTGATGGAGCTCAGAATAAGGCCGTAGCTGGATCGACGTCGACGAAAACAAAGCCTCAAAAGATCATTCAGTCCCTTAGCCGACTCGGAATATTCACGCGCGGTTATACTTTTCATAACTTTGCTCAACCTGGTAAGCCGCATTCTAGTTTAATTTTAGCCCACCTCCCGTTGCCGTTCCCCGTACCTGGTGCATTGGCCATTTTGCCAGACCAGTTTAAAATGACCCCCGAAAAACAAAAGAGAGAGCCATTGGCTTGTGTTGGCCTGTAACTTGAGGACGTGAAAGAGACTGAACTCGTTGGTTGCTGTGTCCAAGAAAAAGATTACTCTTGTTCCGAGCAAGAAAGTGATACATTCCCTACGGAGTATAATCTACGGATACTGAGTATTAACTTGTACGTTCTCACAGAAGCGAAGATTCCACATCATATATTCTCGCTCTCAGAGGCCGCAGTGAAAGCTGCACACGAAAAGGAACGTCAAGCATTATTCGATCACAACAAAGAATTTATGATGCGAACTTATCCCTCAGGAATGCGAGTAGATTCCTCGAATTTAGACCCATCTTTTGCCTGGCGTCAAGGCATTCAAGTTGTTGCTCTCAACTGGCAAAGTTGCGACAAAGGAATGATGCTGAACAAAGGGATGTTCGCAGGAAGTGGGGGATGGGTGCTGAAACCCTCGGAGTATCGTGGATCGGCTGCTCGCAGCAGTTCGACAAGCTCATCGCCGCAGGAGCAGCTGGCGGCCGCCGTCAACGACGGGGGTCCTAAGAGTGTGCAGGCAAGTACGAGTGTTCGACGCAATGTGAATTTGTCTATTGAAATCTATGCAGGACAGAACATAATGGCGGGGGATGGGAAGTCAAATCCCAAAAGTTTCCATCCATATGTAGCCTGTCATTTGCATGTTGAACGACCCAAGGACAGCATCCATGCTACCAGCAAGGATTATGACAGCAGTGACCCCAACTACAAATGTCGAACTAAAACTTGCAGCGGCGCCGATCCGGACTTTGGAGGCCAAATCCTCCAATTCCCAAGCGCTCCTGGGATTCTTGAAGAGCTCTCTTTTGTCAGGTTAGTGAAAGCCCAGCCAATCACCCCCTTTTCCATCCGACCTGCATATCACAACCAGCGCCGCATCGTTAGGAGGTGTGGATGGGTGCTGATATGTTCGACGTCTCCACATGCCAATGTGATTCCTTTTTCATGGCGGAATCACCTGGTGACTCCTACATACGCCCTCGTAGGGATGTCTAGAGTACGGCGTGCGGGCAAGAGTTTACTGTCCCAACTTGGAGAGGGGACGGAGTAGCAATTTACCCGACACCCTGAGCCGTACCCAAAAGACATAGAAAAAAGAAAAGGGGAAAAGGAAAAAAGCCGCAGTGATGTGCCTGCGACAGAAGCAAAACGATTCTATCCCTCCATCCTTTCTCACTTACTTTCCTCTTTGGGCTGGGAGTAAACGAACCAGACGGCTATCAAACGCGTTGAATCTGCTGTCCCCGTTCCCTCCGCAAAGCCACCGGCAACCCCCACTCCACCCATTGTTCTTCCTTTCCTTTCTGCTTTAATCCACTCCTTAATCGTTCATCAGACAGTTTCGTCACTGACTAAGGACACCCCCGCTGACCGATATTCCTTGGCAGGTTCAAAATTAAAGACGATGAAATCGGTATTGACGATTTGCTTGCATGGGCTTGTATAAGGCTAGATCGCCTACGTCAAGGTTTCCGGTTCATTCGGTTATGTGATACCAATGGGAAACCAACCGATGGAATACTTCTGGTTCGGATATCGAAGCGCGAAGAGTAAAGGATTTCCTCGATTCGGGCTCCTATCTCGACTACGGACTCTTTCCTACGGAGTACCTGAAGGACTGGCCAGTAAAAGCCTGCTGGCTCACATAGTGCGTCGGAGTTTGGTTCTAGTCTGCCGAGAATTTCGAGTAAAAAAAAGAGAGGAAAGGAGGGAGGTCGCGACTGTTGACAAAGTTCGCTGCCCAGCGCTTTTTTTGACGGCGACATACCGCATTTTCGTGGTAACTATATTAAATGGAGCCGATATACTCAGTATATCCTTTATAGCAGCTGGATAGTTCAGGCACTTGTTGTTTCCGAGAGTGCCGTACATATACATGAGAATATATGTCGAGTTGCATATGACCAGCAGTAGTGCATACCTAGGCTCCGTACTCCGTACAGTAAATAATGTTGAAATAGGAATGCGTCAATTCTAATTTCAGGTTCCGCTGCAGTGGTTGATCCAAAGGTGGATACAACTCTGCCCTGTAAGATCGTATACATGAAGACTCGGCACCCAGACAGGCGTATCCCTACACTGTTTTGTGTGCTTCACAAAGTCAAGAAAAAAAAAAAAAAAAATAGCAGCCAGGGTCAGGCCGTCAACGGACAGAAGCACGCCGGACATTACGAGTTTTGGTTTCTCCCAAGCTTTCAGCTATCCAGGTAGACCATGGTAGGGCCGGGGTATACGGCCAGGTCGGGCTCCATTTATACGGCGGCATGGAAAAGGACATGCATCCCATATTGTTTCAAGCCACCACTAGCCGCCAAGTGTGCACCATGTCGATTCATTGCATGAACCGTATGGAGTATCAGCTTCCATGTCGATAGTTGACGGAAAGATGGTACCTCGTTTGTCGACGAAACGTCGCATTTGATCTCCCCCCCCCCCTTTTCCCGTATAAAAGAAGACGAAGAAAGAAGGCTAGAATAGCTTAAATCCATCGATCTCTTGGCCCTTTGCCATGGATAAATGATAGGGGCGCATTTAATGGTAAAGGTACATGGTACGGGTAACATGTCGGTCTGGCTAATGCAAAGGAACCTTTTTTCAAGCAGAGATCCGCTCCCCAAAGCGACGGTACTCGGGGAAGGCAAAGGGCCACAGAGGTAAAATACAAAAAACTTATTTGTCAAATCCTTTGGGACCTTGGGGACCTTTCTTGGCCGTACCTGTAAGGTTTTTCTTTGGATGTGATGCTGCGCCGCTCGACTAGAGTTATCATCAAAGACTGTGCTTTTGTAGAGGGAGACCAAGGAAAAACAAATAACAAGAGAATGTGGTTCATCATGGAGTGTCCATCGAGAGAAGTCCAATAAGGGTGCTTCGTTCAAATTGAAAGAGTTCGACTTGCTCATACATGCATTCCCTCGATGTGTGTACATAACCGTACCGCCAGGCAGGCCTTATCCTGTACGCGCTCCGGTACTCCCTTACGCCGTAAATAGTCATTCTATATATCGATGTGAGATATACTTATTTCAAAGAGTGGCGACGCAGCTATGTGGGGAGATTCCTACCTGACCGTCCCTCGGACTTGACTGCGGGATGGTACTCCGTGTCCAGAGGTCACACTTGCGTAAACCCCATAGGGATGTCTTTTCGCTTGAAAGGAAGGGGGTTGATCCAGATGCCTTATTTGGGTAATATATACTTCTGTTGCTGGGGTCCGAAGAATGCCGCCGTATCAAATTGGTTGCATCTCTCATTCTGTTTCTGTCTCTCTCTCTCTCTCTCTCTCTCTCTCTTTTTTTTTTTTTTTTTTTCCTGAGAATGTTTAAGATGTAGGCTATGATGCAGGGTTTTGGCAATCCCTGACTCGAGCTGTCACATTTCGCTCGTGCCACCCTCGTCATTATGCGGTCGGCCGTTAGCCGCTAGCGATTGTAACTGGTGGATTGCCCCATGTGAGGTCGTACTAGCTGTGGGCCATCATTATTGACCGATCAAGGTGCAGAGGGCCTGCGTGAGCGTTATTCAACATAGAGAAACCCAGAGTTTCCGTGTGTCATAATTAATGTCATTTTGGGCTTAAGGTGCAAGCTTAGCAGCAAACAAAGGAGCCGAGCTGGTTGGATACTTCCCGTACGCATCCTTGACTCCAGAAAAAAAATCTGGAACATAGGAGAAGGGCCCAGGGTAAGGAAAATGTGACGAAGGCGAGAATCGTGGATAGTGTCATTTTAGGCTGGTTTCATTCGTGGATTCGAAACCATTTTAACCTGACAGCACCTCGTATGCTCGAACTCGCTTTGGATATGGTCCTCAACGGTCGACAGGTCCCGGATGAGTGTCGATAGACATCTCAGGTGACTGAAACAACCGTAGGGTGTCGTCATCCTGCTTTTGAACGGTTTGGTACTCGTGGGGGAAGCCCGCCAAATTCACCGCGGACGGCGGTGGACCGCATGAGGGGCGCGACTCGAACTCGCACTTGGAGTTAGAGCTTGGCTTTTGCTAGCCAGCGAGCAAGAGAGCGAAAAAGGACAGATTGAACGAGACCAAGAGGCGAACGGGCAGTAATAGTACGGCATACTCTGTACAGGGGAGAGAAGCATATCCAGGATGAAAGCCCCACAGGGCCAGGATTGGCTCTTTTGGCCCTGAAATTCTGCTGACAGACTTGATAGTTTGGAGCATCTGTTTTTTTTTTGGGGAATTCTAATTATTTTTTCACCATCAGCCATCTGAATCCACAGGGCGTCGACGCTAGGGAGAATATCTGTCTCCCTCCAGTGGGTTTCGTGGCGGCCTGAAATTAGATTTGGGGGAGGATTGAGGGGGGTAGTTTATGACAACTCATCTGTATGAAGGTATTCCTGTATTCCTGATGTATCTCCCATCTCCGTAGAAGAAGCGCAGCCGAAGATCAAGGGGGGTGGGAAACAACCCCGGCGAGAGTGTGAAATTGTTATATTTTTCATTTTCTTTCTTTTTCTTTTTTTTTTTCAGGCTTGATGTAAAAAAGGAAAAAGGAACAACGGCCAGTGCTGGACATACTCCGTACTTAGCTTGAATAATGTTTTTAAAGAAGAAAAAAAGGGTGAAGAATCGCGATTCGCTCCGCCTGTCTGGGAGATAGGGATATCCAATAGATTGGATAGCTGCAATGTTGGGGACCCTCGCCCGAGCTAAACCAGCTTTCTGACATCACATCGCAAATTTAACCTTGTGCATGTCGGCAAATGTATCAATACCCATTTGGTCCCCTTGTTGGTAGCGCCGATCGTGGAGTCTTGCAGAGGATAAATAGTACATACCGCGAACTTGGGGAAATTGGTGGGTATCACAGATATAAAGCTCGTCTGCCTCCGCTCTCTAGAGGCACCGTTGTTTCTTTGACGAAGGCAAAAAATTTCCAACCGACCAATATATATATCTCCTCAGAAAAAAAAAGAGAGATTCTAAACGCAGCCTCCCCCGTCAAACAACACAAGAAAAAGAACAGCAGTCCATCCAAAAAATATTTCTTCCTCACGGCTGCCATAACACCAATTGAAAGCTTTCCTTGTCACATTGCGCCGACCTTCTCCTTTCCCCCCTCCTGAATCTTAAAGAGGACGACTTCGGTATATAAAGACATCTGCCTATCGGCATTCATTCCACTCATAACACATACCCAAGGGAGAAAGACGAAGAACGAGGAAGCGACGAGCACAACAACCAGAGCTGTGTGAACCCACGGGTTTTGGAGGAACATTGTTTATATTGCAGAGAGAAATAGCGGAGCCCTTCATTCACAATGGTTGCAGTCGCTCGTCTCAGGCCAGTTGGGAACGCCGCTAAGCAGAGTCACATTCGATCACAATCCCGGACTCGAAACCACATGTCTCCAGTAAGTTGTTTTGCACCTAATCTTGAAGGGAAAACGCATGCTGATGGATGTCCCCCCTAGATGCCAGGAGTACTCTGTCCAAGCTGCAAGTCGAACGGAGAAGACACATGGGTAATCCCCGGCAAAAACTGCCATGTGTGCGGCACTTCGTGTTGATAGGGTGAGGTACGCTTGTGTTCAGGGGGCAATAAGAGATGCTGCTCCCTGACCTCAGGGTTGAAGAATAGAATGGGCAATGGAGCTCACGGCGGGAATAGAACTGAGTTCGAGCTCACAGATGCCGTCCAACTTGGTCTTCAAGGTTTCGAGAATCGACCGGTCGATACCAATCCAATGGCGTTCAATCGATTCGAGCTCGGTGTGGAAAATTGCGCAAAAAAAGGGGAGAAAGATAAAAATTTTCGTTTCGGACATATCGATCAGTCTGCTGGATCCTGATGCTTTTGGGTGATAGCTGAAGGTTGCGAAAACACATGGCTCCCAAAGGATGGATTTTCTATTTTAATACTTTTATTTTTTTTCCCTTCCCTTTCCTGGCGGAGATAGTGCTGCATTTCACGGGTAGAGGATGGCATTCCTACCTACCCATCACCTGCATCAATGTATGATTAATATGATTCTTGAGGTTGCTTCTGCGCTCCCTGTTGACAGGGAAGATGGCGGTACTGGCGTTGGCAGTTTTCAATTTCACCTGTTTTTTACTGTGGGGTTTTTTTTTCGAGATATTCTTGGAGTCCTGAATGGAGCCTTTCTTTTCACTTCTTTGACAGCGTTTGCCCGTGATTTTCGTGATTCGGTTAGAGAACTTCGGCTGGAGTTGATGTTGATAGTTCGCTAGCGTACCACTCAGCATTAGTTCCTCAAGGACGGCAGGATGCATTCAATGGACTTTGAAGGACTGTATTTCTCAGTTATCTCCGCCATCTACATTGTAAATTCGGTATGCAGACATTGTCAATGGTGGCTTCTCCTCCACCAGCCCTGGAACCTGCAAATAGTAAATGTCCACTGTCCGGCAACCTATGACAACCAACCGGGGGACAGACAGCATCTTCCAGCCTCAAGGGTATCGACCCCCGGTCAGGGATAGTTAAGCTCATGGATACACCAAGGCTGTCATCCACCAGCTGACGTGGGGTGTTGGAGGATAGTAAGGTATATGCTGTTGATGTGACAGTTAACGGGCGAATAACTAACTAGATAACTAACTAGTTAACGTCCAGATAAGCGAGAGGGAGCCTGTCAAACCAGCAGAACCCATCCTTCAGCGATAGACAAGCTGACACCATGCACTAGCCTGCGCAGAGAGATCGAACGGCCGATGTCTGGCCTGGTCGGTCGAAAAGCCGCTGCGGTTGTTTTGCTGGGGTCTTCCTTGCATATGCTGGGGTCGGAATAAACGAATAAGCGACGAGGCGAAGCGCCGTGTACAGACGAAAGGATAAAAATAGACTTCGCGAGCATGCTTTGTGTCGCTTGACGCGTTGAGGACAAAATGACAGCCAGGAGTAACTAACTATTGGGACAGTAATATTGACATAATAATGCTTTCATATATTTTATGGAAGGTTGACCCGGCTGGGAGTATCTGTCACTAATACTCCTCGACAGGGTATGGTCGTTACTCTAGGAGTTAACTCTACACCAAGAAGTGAGGTTCAACTCTGTGCTTCTCCCTTATACCGTCAAGAGCTATAAACAGCATAACCTTGCCTTGAGATTTTCTTATTACAGTCTTCTGGCGGGAGGGGTCTTGATACAGCATTTCGGATTCTTCGGATATCTTTCCCAGAACATCTCAGCTAGCGGAATATGCAGGCTGAAGGATGCTGCTGAAGGGAAAGAGATGGCGGAGGTGGCTGCAGAATATTTTATGATAGCCCTTACTCGGCTGGCTGGAGTTCCCTCAGCTGTTCAGTCTCGTATACCCAAGGCTGCAGCCTAGGCCTTCAGCTGATAGGTGATGTGCTTGAAATCCTACCACGCGGTTGGCCAGTCGAGTCAGAGCTCGAACCTCAGCGCCGGGACACAGCAAGCCACCGGGGTTGGAGAGCTGCAGGATAGAGTTATGCCAGAAGGTTGAGAATTGGTCGATGCTGGGGCACAGAACCTGGTATGTCGTGGATCTTCATGCAGCTGGGTAGGGAAAGCATAAATGACGGCAGAGAGGCCAGGCTGGCTGACTGGTAGACTCAGGTACCTGAACCTGAGAGTGCGGAATCGACTCAAACCGCCCATCGCAGGAGAGGTATCGGCGCTTGACAACTGCATCATGTGCGAGTCATATCAGGCTGATTCAAGGTCAAGGAGTCCGATCTCCCATTCCCCAAACTTTCTACCCGATGGAGGCAATAGTCTAGTGCTCTTTTCCAGCACAGCTTTTATGCATTGATATATGTGAAGTGGAAGACGTAGTTCTTCCAAGGATGTGACAGATGGCATTCCCAGATCTGGGTTTACCAGAGGTTGCACATTGGCCACATGCTTGTAGAACACTTTCATTGCACACTTGGCAGAGACAGAGCGGCAGGCGCTGGAGGTATCCTTGAAGGAGTATCGCAAATCCGTGTTGAATACCCATGCCTTGAAAAAGTCGTTAAATATATATCTCCCCTTGTTTTCGGACAGGACAATCATACCAATAGACCATTATGCTGCTGGTTATCCTCGGAACCACAGTGTATTGCAAATCTCCTTGTTCCTGAACGCTCGACAGATTCAAGCAGCTGAAATCCGACAATTAACTCAGGCGGATGATTTTCCAGTAAGTTCTTCTCGATACAAGTGCCTGCCGCGCGATTTGCTCGGTGTGATATGGAAACGCTGGCTTTGAATAGCTCAACTCCCTGAAGCGAGTTTTGCACTTCGCCAACGGTTGCACCGCAGGACTTACAACAAAGATTTGGCACAGAATGTGGTGAAAAGGAATTATTAGTTCCTTGGTCGAAAGAGGAATCGCCTTTTGCATTCTATAATTGATAGGTATCATACATTAGCCACTGAGACAAACGAGCAGAAGAAACTCATAGAATTAAAGACAGGGCCAGATGGCAAGATTTTCGGCCGCTATCGACAGGGGGTGCATATATTGGTCAGTATGAAGAGGATAATTTTGCCACAGTGGGCGAGGTCTGCCTTTCATGTATGTATCTTAGACTGTATCTCAAATTGGCCAATGGGACTCTGGCTGAATTCAATGCATGGAATACGTCTAGACAGCCGTTATCTGCGGATCTTTAACCCCTCTGCCTTTAGTACTGCCCAGTGATGTGAGCGTGAACATCCAGACAACACAAGAGACCAGTAGATGCGATCAACGATACTATCATCCATCTCTTTCCAGTCACTAATTCCTAGACACAAGGTCCAGAAACGTGTGAAGGTAAGGAGGATGATGGTATTGGTTCAACACACGCTACTTGCGACCCGTGCTGTTTTGAGTGTTCATCTCTGCAGCTCTGGGTGGTGTTCAAAGCTCAGGGTTAACACCGAGGATATCGGCCCTGTTGATCTAGGGCAATTGTATCGGAAATCGGACCACAGTGGAACGTTCCAATCTCCTTCTTCTTGCCCAAATGATTAAATAAAGCTCCTGGTAATATCCAAACTAGGTCATGTAGTCATCACGCCACAGTAGCTGTGATCTGATATATTTTTCCCCCTCTAGAACGAAAGGCTTGTTGGGGTACTTAAAGTCCGCTATGTATAAGGGGCAGTTTCTTACCGTTATTTTCGCCCCCTGACAGTCACCTTGTGTCATAACAAACGAAGTAACGTTGACAAAGACTGTTCCAGGCTTGCAAACAACCCGGTTCGAGGCACCATAGCCCTTGATATCCCCATTCAGGCTCGTAGAGCCCGTATCTCCGTCTTTGCTAGGTATCGGGTCAGGCTTATGACAATGCCATAGGTCCATCATTTCGGCCCAGTCTGCACTAGGGAGATCCTTCCACACAACATTTTGGCCCTCCCTTGGAGGAAATAGTATATTTGTGCAGCCACGGCAACAAATGCATGTCTGCGCAGTCATGCTCTTCGCTGGCCAAGGGCTCATTGAGGTATAATCGTGACATGACGCGACGCCCACGGCGGAACTTGCTTCGTCTATCGGGAGGCGAAAGGAGTATTCGTTCTCTCCACCGTGCGAAGTAGCCTGACCCGCCACCAGATGTTCTCTCGCTTGGGCAGATATAGACAGAGGGAGCTTAAGCGTAAGGGTCTTGTCGGAATGCGATACTGTCACGAGAGAGCGCGAGCTATCGAGAGTGACCAGCGGCCGAGAGTCGTTCCGTACGCCATCTTTAGTGGTAACGTAAAGGCGGATCTGCCGTATATTAGCCAGCAGTTCAGCGTACAACTGCACACATGGCTCTGGAGGAGACGAAGAAGCCATCGCCGTCAAGCTTGTCGACGTTGAGGATGTTCATCTTTCTCCTCCTTACGTTGACCAAACGTTTTGTACTAACTAGTTAGTGCAAACAGTGCAAACAAAGCGCCTCAGCCGCAACCCGCAGAAAGGAAAATAAAAAGAAAATAAAAAGACATCAAATTGTGGCTTGAACACTTAATATATGAACAAGGATGCCAGCTCCGCAAGTTCGTATAGAAAATGGTCACCCTCGAGCAAGGCAGCACAATTCACTCTCTTGCGCCTTACCCCTTGTGGGGGATATTCCAAGGCGTTTCTGCCAGCTGTGGCTAAGCAACTCGACGCAACAAGCGCTGGCGATGGTATATATGTCCTGATATCACGGTCTCACACAGCGGAATAAAAACCAATTTGAATCTCAGCCCACAGGCTGTCCATTTTCTCGTCCATCTTGCAGACATGGAGAAATCAGGATCCAGTTTGTCCTTGCCAGTTGCTGGAATACAACGGCGGCCGGTTCCTCCCCGTGCTCAACCGACTCCGCAGGATGCTCCCCCAGACTATACAGAGCCATCGACTGCTCTCTCCCAGGAACCATCAAGTCCACGAGGTCCCGTTCTATCCAATTCCTATCTACCTCCAGTAAACTTTGCCCACTATCATATCCCCGGGTCAAGCTTATCGAAAGACGGACTCACCATCACTGTGGCGCCTTCAGAGCTCAGCTCCAATCCAGAGGCATTGACAAGATTTATAGTCCAACAAGCTGCATTGCCGCCTAAGCCAGAGGTGCGCATAGTCGGTGTAAGGGATATTACCGGCGTTCGCAAGCTGGATTTTGATATCCGGATAAATATGTTGAACCAAATAGTCCGCCCCCCTGGCCCGTCTTCATCATGGAACTACGTGAAGATTGTTGGCAATCGCTCTGGCGGTTCTCCAGGAGGAGCTGTTGGAGACATTGCTACGTTTGCCGATCGGTTTTGCAGAGACCCGGCTACTAACAAAACGTAAGTAGGATCGCATTGCTTCGAAAATCAACAGGTACTCCTATTTCGTATCATGTCTCCGTGTGCTAATTGTCTTCTAGCTTCATCCTAACCCGGGAAGTGATCAATTGGAACACGCAGATCTTAGAGGGCCGACTACGGACATTGATAGCCTCACTGAACTATCAAGGCCGTGTCATGATTTCATTTCCTTCCACACATTCCCGTGTCGTCGTTCCAGGCCCAAAAACAAAAAATTCATTCTATACCCAGATTGTATCTCTATTCAAGGACCCAAAGCGGTATGATATGGTGCGGTCTATATGGCCATACGCAAACATGGCAGGTTCGGAAACATCTGATGATCCAAGAAGGGTGTGTGCTGTCCAATCAGAAAATAAGTGGTGGGATGAGTGGAAGATGGTTATTGCGCATGCTATAGTTGATGGAAGACAGGGCTGGGTGTCATTAGACGACTTGATTGAGCTTGCTATGAGTCCAGTGAAAGAGCTGAAGCCTAGGGAGCAGGGAGAAAACCCGGAATGGATGACCAGGGCAGTGTGTTTTGAAGCATCCTCTGGCTGCTAGGAAGTTTGCGTTTTGAAATTGAAGGAGGTTACGTTAGCGGGCGTTTTAGACTTTAATAGACCACTTAATCGGTACTGTGTACTCTGATATATTACGGCATTATGCGATGGCTTATATAAAAGCTGACCTACTGCTATCAAATACTACTAACTAGCCAAAATTATTATTATGGAGTGTAATTTTGAACATTGAGTACCACAACCTGGGGCCAGGTTCAACTCAGATTCTACACCCATGGTTCATCCAAGGCCACCAAAGCCATCAAATGTTTCAATAAACTTCACTGCAGCCCGGAGAAAAAACCCTTCCTCATCGCCCCAGGTCTTAGCCGCCTCCTTGAGCGTTCTTAGAGGCTTTATATAATGAGGTGAAATCGCCATCTCCTGGGTTAGAGCCTGTTTATCGACCCAGGCCCAATCTTTCCCATCAATGCTGTAGCATTCTATATCTTTAGCATCTATTTTCGGTCGGAGCTGGGCTATATAAATGGCCACTGCCAATAAAAACCACTGACGGAGTAAAGGGCCATGAAATTTTTTTGGGACCAGTGGTATAATGACACGCAGCGCATGGGTCGTAGTCAGAAGATGGTCAAAGAAAAAATCATGCTGCTTTCCGTTGTGACGAGTCGCCATCAATGTTGTTGCAAGCCGCTGCATGGCATGTAACTGTTCTGTTAAGTTTGCATCTTGAGGAACCCATGCCATCCAATGCTCAAGTATCAACTCCTGGTGTGTTTTCAAAAGTACCTCAACATTATTAGCTCCTGGGCTTCTAAAAATCCCGTCGAACTGCTTATCTCTATGGATTTTATTTAGAACTTCAAAAGGTGAACTAGTGGTATATTTCGGGGCCATGCTTTTCTGAAGATCCGATGGTTCGTCAAAGAGCTTGTGAACATCGTCGTAGCAGCATGAAACCATTGCGAGTGATTCCATAGCAACCTCTCGGCTGGATACTTCGAATGCGTATCCAAGATGTATAAGCGGATGGCCGACTGTAGCAATGAGTTAGCAATTTTAGATAAAGTATATAGAGTAACACTTACAGCCAGCAATCAAAGAGTTTATTAATGGCTTTTCTTCAGAACAAAGGTACTGTAATACTACAGCATTCCAATCATATCCCATGCGAGACAGCTCATCTTCAAAAAAATCCACATAAGCTCTCTGAAACCTATTGATTAGGTTAGTAGAGTGGTCTCCTGGCTAGATCCTTGGTATCTCAAGTAGATCTTACTCTCTCTTGCCCAAAGCTAATCTCCAGTCTTCTGCCTGGCCAATCTCACTAGGTGAAGCGCTCCAGGGCTCTTGTTCCTTGGATTCGGCTTCATAGAGACGGTCCAGGTGATCCGAGCTTCCACCCAGCAAATAGGCGGTAGAAAGGAGCTAAGGACTGGCATTAGTGAAGGAGTATTTTGACAACTGGCAATACGTAGTAGCTTACGTGAGGTATATGATTGAAGAATGAGAGATTGTTATATAGGATAGCATTAGTTGCGTGGTTTAATTTTAGAAGTTGCCGTAGCCGCCTGCCAGGCTTCTCTTCCGCAGATTCGATATCGTGAACTTGGATAGGCTTTATTTCAACGCTTGGTGAATTTCCATCATCCTTCCCCGCTGACGAGAACCAGGAGAATGGCGAGCGGAAGTTGAGCATGGAATCCATGGTAGCTGGAGCCTGCTGGCGGCGAAGGCGCGCAGTGTGTCTGGGCGAGCCACCCCTAAATGATAGCTCAGAACCGTCTAATGTGATAGGAGATAAGTATCAGACATAGGCCCATCTATGACACGTATATTATCTCACAAGGTACCAGAACATGCATGCACATCGCCTTCTGTATTATTATTCTGTTCGTCCTGCAGTTTTGCAACTTCGAGGTGGTTGCGGCTAATTTAAATTAGACGCATGCTTAGGTAATAACTAGCCATTCTTCTTCCAACATCCAATAGAACTGACGCTTTTCAACGTCGAAACATCCAAGCCCCTTTTTGACAGCGACACAGTTGAGGCGCAGGCGCAGAAACGAGGTTGGACTCGAGGGCCTGCGGTGGCATGTGGAACGTCCTGCAGTGGCTGAGGAAAGCTTGCATCCCACCAAAGCAAGGAACATGGATGGCTCGAGATCGTCGACTGAGGGGTTAACTAAGGGGGCAGGTCGTATACCTGATTAGTTATTTACCGGACTGCTTAACCCCAGATTCCTTCGGCATCTCCTTCATCGTCTCTTTTCCCAATCAACGGACAGGTGGAATTGATTCTCGAGTTAACTAGTTAGTTACCATGTCAGTTGACACGAAGAAAAACTACTTTGGACCTCGGGATGATGAGGATGCCGAGGAGTACTGGACAATCCTGCTTGAAGCTGAAGAGCTCGGGGACGCTGAAGAGTGGGATAAGGCATGCGAAGCACAGGAGCGAGCAGTCAAATACGCTGAAGAACACTATGGCGATGATCTTAGTGCAAAAAGTGGCCTTGCATACCTCTACCGACAAGTGAGTCGCCACAAGGATGCCGAAGCACTCGACAGGTACATCCTCTCGGTGCGACAGCAAATCCTCGGAGATGACCATGAAGACACGGTAGCAAGCCTGAATAATCTTGCAATTGACCTGAAAGCACAAGGTGAATATGATCAGTCACTCGAGCTTGACAAAAAAGCCTTGGAAATTATGCTTCGCATCAAGGGCGAGGACTCCCAAACTACGCAGACCAGCATGCACAACCTGGCCAACAGCTACTTTAACAATAAAGATTACCAGGCTGCTCTGGACTTGCACCAACGTGCATTGGATCTCCGGACAAAGACTCTTGGCCCTGAACATTTTCAGACCATCATGACGATGGACCTATTAGGGAGAGATTATGGTGCCTTGGATAAACTCCAGGAGGCTGTAGCTCTCCAGGAGAAAGCCGTGGAAGCTGCAAGGACTCATCTTGGCCCTTCTAATCAGACAACCATCAAATGCAGCCTGAACCTGGCAAGCACGTATGGGCGTCTCAACCAAGCCAATGCCGAGGAAACGCCCGGAGGGACGTGGGAGTCTAAAGGGATCAAACTCCTGGAAGGAATAGTGGAAATGCAACGACAAGGCCCTGGTGAAGAGCATTCTGATACCATTGCCGCTATGAACAACTTAAGCGTGGCATATTTCCATGCTGGCCGACTGGAGGATGCCGTTCCTCTTATGCAGAAATCGGTCAACTGGAATATGAAAAAATTGGGACCAAACCACCCGCAAACTCAAGCCGCGTCGGGCAATTTGGACTACGTATGTGAAAAGCTCGGGATGACTCGAGCTTCAATATTTTAGTTGACGTTGGCATGCCATTTCTTATATAAGTCTCGGTTCATGTCGAATGTTGATGGTTCTGGTTATTTACGGAAGAGATATCTGTTATTCTTAGCATTTTAAGGCCATAACCAAGAGTAACAAGTTATGTTTGGTCATTCCACTATAAAAGTAGACTCAGATATATCGTCTGGCTATTATACAAAAAAATCTATAGCACATATTGGATAAATGTGTCTTGAAAATCGCTGGTAAAGAATTGAGCTCAATTATTTTGATGACTCAGTGCTGGCTAAATGATCAGTTCTGACTATGTAGTCATCGTCTTCTCCGGTATCCTTGGCATCTCCGGTCGGTTTGTTGGAAGCGTTGAGGGCTTCGCCTATTGTCAGGGAGCCATCCGCTGTGATATCCACATCATCTCTAGGCACATCCTCGATTGCCTTCTGCTCGCTAGAAAGGGATGACTTCTTGGTGTCAACAGTCTCAAATGTCTTCCGCACTCGTTCGAAATGTTCAAGCTCTTTCGCGCTGTTCAAGTAGTTAGCAATCGCAAGATAGAATTAAATTACCAATAGAAGAGAGAATCATACCTAACACTAGGAACCAGCTCATTCTTCGCTTCAGTGAAATCTTGCTCCGTGACCATTACAGCAGTATCTTCAGGAGTGGCAAGGTGATCAAAGAAGTATGCTGTTGTAACTGGTCCATTAGGGAGAGCTTTTATTCTTTCATCCACGGCAGTAGCTTGCCGAGTGATTGCCTTGAGCATGGCATCCGAGCAGAGTGCGTACAAGTCGGCACCAGTATAAGTGAACGGCAAGAGTTCTGCAACTCTCTTCAGCGAAAGGTCCGGATGCAGGTTAAACTTGCGAGTCAGAGCTTCTAGAATAGTAAGTTGCTTATCATGGGTATCCGAAACACCAAGGTAGAGCATCTTATCAAATCTGCCGGGTCGTAGTAAGGCTGCATCTAATAGGTCAGGGCGGTTGGTAGCACCAATAACGAAGACTCCGCCCCCATTCTCATCACCACCACTCATACCATCAAGTTCTGCAAGAAGCTGGCTGACAATTCTGTCCATGACACCACCACTGTCTCCTTGGTTACCACGCTTGGGTGCCACAGAGTCCAGTTCGTCGAAGAAGACAACGCATGGTCGTGCATCTCGAGCGCGTTGGAAAACCCTACGGACATTCGCTTCGGACTCTCCAATGTACATGTTCAATAACTCAGGGCCTTTGACGGAAAAGAAGTTGAGAGAAAATTCCGTAGCAATTGCCTTTGCAAGCAATGTTTTCCCTGTTCCCGGAGGGCCATAGAATAGGATACCGCTTCGCTTTTTCATACCCTTCGCAAAGAGTTCCGGCCGTTCAAGTGGAAGTTGGATAGTTTCCATGACAGCATCCTTCACATTGCTAAGTCCACCGACATCGTCCCAGGTAACGTTGGGGATCTTTGGAGCCCCGATGGAATCGGCAAAGTTTTTTCGTGCAGCGTCGACGGCAGCATCAAAATCAGCCTTGGTCACAGATCTAGTAGCATCACCACCTGCGATTTGAACATCTCGGACACTGACATTTGACTTTGCGTCAGGAGGCGCGGCGGAATCTGCGAGCTTCTCTAGCCGTAAAGTCCGTTCAGCCACAGCTCTTTCAACAACGTCGACTAAGTCTCCAGCAACAAGTGCGGCTGTCTTAACAGCTACCGAAGCTAAATCAACATTGGGAGATAGTCGCAAGGCTAAATCAGCCACCGCATTTCTAAGAATACCTTCTCTTTCCTTCTCTTCGGGGGCCGTCATTTCAAGCTCGTGCGTGAAGAGACTTCTAATCCCTTCGGGAACCTTTTCCACGTCGGTGGTCGTGGCAATGACAACTCGAGAACTTGAAACAATTTCTTTTAAGGATGTAACAATTCTATCAGCCGTCAACACTTCAATGTGCTCTATCAACAGAGCAGTGCAAGCAGAACCGCAGGCAAACGCTCTATCTGCTCTCGCCTTCAGATATGCCTCTGTTTTCATATCTCCCCCATTTGCCCCTCCTTCGCTGAGAATGTCATATGAATCAATGGTGAAAGTGTGAAGACCTATATCAGCGCATGCTCGACGTGCAACTGTTGACTTGCCAATATTTCTCTGCGTAGAGGTGAGAAGGATAACAACTGGCTTTAGTCCCAGTTGTATGGCTCTTGGGCTTGTAGCAGCGGCTATCAGCTCTCTCACACGCCTCTGAATTGGAGATATAAAAACTGCAGGGGAGTCCGCCTGCAGCCATGGAGTGGCACTCTGCTCTATACTCGGCTGTGGCGCCGATTTGACGGAGAGCCAGTACTCCCATGTGTTCTTTAGAGTTCCGGGAACGGTTCCAATTTCACTTCCTGCTTGCACCATTCGGGTATTGAGAGTATCAATAGCTGCCACTCCGCCCCACAATTCATGGTCAGGGGCACCGTCTGGCTCTGTGCTGGTCATAGGAGCTGTGACATGGCTGACACGGAACCAAGCCACGCCAACCTTGCTGGAATGACTAGGTTTACCCGAAGAAAGGGCTAGCTGGGAAGGTAATTCATCCTCCTGGCCGACAGCATCTGCGCTCTTGGTCGCAGAGAAAACAGTCCTTCCAAGTCCCTCATCTATACTAATTCCAATCATATCCCCGGCTTTTACCAGCCGCCGTTTCGATTCGAAATGATGCTTAAGAGCAGCAAATATGGCGGGCTGAAGTGCTCTGTCTAGAGATAGAGGCGTAGATATTTTTAACAGAGTGACTTCTTTGGCCGTAGGAGGTGCTTTGGGCACACTGCTACCACGGGAGGCTGCTAGTCCCAGTTTCGAAGGGCCGTGTTGAGCTGGGCCAAGGGACAAGGGAGAAAGTTTTACGTAGCTAGGGCTCTGCAGGTTATGCAGGAGAAGTGGAGGTAAAAGGACCGTTGGAGTGAGACCATGGGGAGGGATCTGTGAGATGCTAGACGATCTTTCTGCCGACTTGTTCATTGCATACCTGATTTTTGGAGGAGATAGGCCCGTAACACCGTAAACCCTTGCGACACGCCAGTTCTCGGGTTCTTCAGTGCTTCCCATTAAGCCGTTGAGACCGCTAAAAGCTAAGGAGGATAGCATATTTCGTTGAGGTTCCTCTGTCGGAGCCACACGAACCCAGTCGCCAGAGAAGCACCCTATCTTGACAAGGGTGTGCACATCAACAAAGATGAATGCATCAGGGTCATCCTCTTCTCGGGGTTTTGGATGGAGGAGCTCATTGGGTATGTGGTCGAGGAGACATTCAGCCTTGAATGTTTTGCCGGAGTGTCTGCCCTGACGAGCAGTATTGGATGTAAAGCTGGAAAACACAGAGCCCGGGGAGTGTATTCCAAGGGACCTTCCACCGAGTCTAGGAGTGGCAGAGGAGAAGGCAGACATTGCTCCAGATTGCTGCTGTGGTAGTTCTGGGGCAGCGAGAGAAATCATATCTTCCAAAGAATCGTCGGAATCATCTGAATCTTCTGAACCTTCTGCCTCACTACGACTCTCCGTCGAAGCCTCCGTATCAGATTCACCAGGAGGCGATGGGCTCTCAGCATCGGTGCCTTCATCAGTGCCTTCCTCTAGCCCCTTTTCTTCTCCAGCAGAGTAAAACATATCATTCGACGTGTCTTCGGTATCATCTTCAGTAACTCGTTTAAGCTGAGTAGGGCTAGAGGTTGATAAAGATTTAGATTGCGGTTTCCGTGCTGATCGCGCCTGTAATAGCACAATCTTGGTTTTTGGTATCAGCCGTCCCTGAGCGACAGGTTCGCAGAATGAAATCCTTGCCGGCGGGGGTGGAGCATGCGTAATGGGATGCGAAGGCAAAGGAAGAGGGATTATATCGCCGTTATGCAAAATATCTCGTTCAGCTAGCCCTCTGCGTATAGCCTCCATCAACCGCTCATCTCTCTGCGTGGCAGAATGTTTCCCCCCCTTGGATATCGTACGATCATGAGACGAAGCCGACCCTTTTCCTTTCGGCCATAAGCCCTGGGACATACGCGGCTTTGTACCGAAGCCTCCTCCGAACTTGCCCTGTATCTCATCAATATCTCGTAGCAAATTTCGCTCTACCGTAACGTATACAGTGTCCAAATGTAGTGGCGTGACATCAACGATATGAATCTCAATTCCACGCTGGGCTAGCAGGAAGGAGGACCGGGAGGGATCGCTGCCTTGCAGCACTTGAATGAAAGGTTGAATTGAGCTGGCGGCAACAGGGAAGTGAATCGCAGCGCCTGAGATGAAGGAAGCTTTCGCCTTTTCGCTGGCCTGCGTGTGGACTGGGACAATAGTCCACTGAACATCTTCAACGGTTGTGAAGTTAGGCACCCAGGGGGCCAAGGCGACATAGATTATCTCAGGGAAGAGTTCGACATCTAAATCAAGGGTGTATGTCAGGGGGCATTTTCGCTTCAGTGGTTGATGAGGAGCAAATCTTACCATGAGAGCCTCGACGGGGAAACAAGTCTACCAGTAGCTCATCTGAAATAACCCCGACTTCGCCTTTTAGACGAATATCAAGCATCAATCGAGAAGATATAGGTCCCTTGTTGTTTTTCCGTTGGCGTAGAGCTTCCTTCCGGCGGCGACGCTGGTGGTCGTCCGCCGCGACCTGGGAGCCATTTGAAGTCATGACAATTTCAATTTAACCACAATCGTCAGCTTAGACGACCTCCATGTAAAGAACAGATGTATTCCGCTAATGAAGCGAGAAAGGTGAAGGGAGACGCAAAACTGAACAGCGCGGTGGTTGTCGTAATTGTTGTTTGTTCAGAAAATGTTCACGTTGGCCCGCAAAGCAAGAAGCTCGTCGAGATGCCGAGGTCCAATCTGGGGAAGCGCCAGCCGACGCCGGCGCTAACTAAGTTTTTGCACATGTACTACACGGGGGCCGCTGGAGTATAAACTGCAGGTAGTAATCCTCACGTGGAGTGGAATAACACCGTTTTAACCTTAGTGTAATCCTCATATTCTACTAATACTTTAATACAGCTCTTTAGTGAAGCGACTAAAGAAATTAATTATAAATAACCAGCTCGATAACTAGGCTCTGAGAGATACAATCACAGAGACTAGGAAGCCACAGCCAAATAAACAACCCCACACTCGGGAGCTCATATTCTTTCACACTCTCGGGAAATTTGTTGACCGTCTCCGTGGACTAGGGCTCCGTCTCAAGCTCTGCCTGTGGTGGATCGAGAATCCATTTCAGAACGTCAAAGGCGACATTTTGGTCGTACCCTGCCTTTGTGAGAGTGTATTTAGCTCTTAGGTTAAGGTCGAGGGTTGGATGTTTTTCCGACGGTCTGATAGTTGCTTGGACGACGCGTACTTTGCCACGTGTAAATGTCACTACAGTAGCCTTGGGGTTGTTGTCAGATAAAGCGTTTATAAAACGGCAAGGTAAACGTACAGTCAATAAACCACCCTTGTATCTCGGCTTGGATGTATAACGGTTCTTTTCAGACGACCAAACCATTTCATTCATCTGGTGAAAGAATATTGAGGTGGCTGCCATTATTTCACTCTTTAGGATATAATTACGACAATCTGCTTTCTGTCTCATATCACGTGCACATGTGTGATCCTGAATGATAAAAGTCCAGTGGTTCTGATGAGGGCAGAGGACCTCGAGCCCATGTATATTGCGGACCTTTTCACAGTATAGCTGGGTAAATAAAGGACCGTAAAGTCTAGCACCAAGTCAGTGAGGTAACAGATGTTGAAAGCAGACGGTGTATCCTACTCTCGAGACTTTACCTGCACGGTTTCCTGCACTTGGTGGACGGCAAATTGCATGAGACCGGCGAACCCCCAGTCGGACGGAATGCCCGGAAATATGTCTGGTTCAGTAACCCTCTGGCACGTGTGAATGGCCCTCAGGAGCTCTGGAGGCGTTGTGAACAGAGTTTCTTGCTCAGTGGTATTCCGGCAGCGCAGACGGATATCGGGTGTCTTCTCCAGCCAGTCAAATAGAAAGGAGGAGTCCGCATAGGTCATATAGCAGAGAAACGTACGGCCCAGAAACGCGGCGACCGCCTCCGGCTGGTTAAACGGCAGTATTTCGGATGGTGCGGTGTCCGTCTGCGCGTCCGATTCCGACATATTTGGTGATGAAGATTGATAAATAACCGTGTATCTGTGGTTAGGTAGTTTGGTTATTATTTAAAGTATGTATGTCGAAGGTGAAATAGGCCCACCGCCGCCCCAGACTTAGGAACTAATTACGTAATAAATACTCTCCAGGCACCACCCTAAAGTTTGTTAGTCAGCTCCCCGCGGCTGCTGCCGCCTTATTATATTTACTCCTCCTCCTCCTCCGGCATCTGCCTTCGAATCTCTCTTCCTCTCGAGTGTCAAAAGATAACTTTGACCTGCTGGCCACTGGTGTAGGCCCGCTCTTTTAGGTCAATCATTTTGATTAAACTTGCCGTCAGAACGGTGCCGCCTGTGATATACCCCAAAGCAAAGGCGAAAGTTTGGCTATAGAATGGCGGCTCCGCGGTGGCAGCAGGCTGCTCATGGCCTCGACCAAGTTCCAGCAAACATATCAGAGTGGCGAGACGCGATATACAAGTATGGCCTTCAACATCGGACCCTCGAGCAGCTGTGCATGGAAGGTAGCGGCTCCCTTTCTCGCAGCTCGCTCTCGTAACTGATTTATCCTCTGGCTAACATTGGTGGTGAACAGGGAAGTTCTCTGCGTCGACAGTTCCAAAGGAAGCACTCCTCACTCTCAGGCCTATTTGGCCCGAAAAGAAAGGCTCTAAGTATGCTGCGGCATATATTACAGAACTAGATTATTTCTTCAATGAAGACCACATCAATGACGCGATAAAACTTATGGAAAGAAACCTACTCGGGCTTGATATGCTCGGGACGCTGTTTCAACTTCTATGTGTTCCAGAGGACACCCCCATCAGCACCCCGCCCAAGTATTCTGGTACTCTTGCTGGGGGCCTCGGCCCATTCAGTTTGCTCACTAATCTGTTCAACCAGCTGGAAGACAGGTCAATCCAGACTTCGATTGAAGAGCGTAGGGTGTTTGGAGCTCCACGTGCAAGCCGATTCTATGATGCCATGCAGCACGCGGCACGGGATAACCCAGAGAGCCCAACATATCAGACTTTTGAAGAGCTTGACATGGTGGATATCGAAATGGCAGATAGCGATGATCAGCCAATCCCAGATTCTCCCCCTCCAATGTTTTCCACAACGGCTCAAGGAGTAGAAGAACCTCCACGTCGAACACCCACAGAAACACTTGTTGCAGACTTTATAGTTACCCTACTTGGTGGTTTAGCAAGCCTTGTGCAGGGCCTGAGTCCTAGGCCCCTCTGTATGGCCAACTCCTTTGAGACTACATACCAATTTGGGCCTCCCAGTCATCCAACCTCTCTACAACACGGCGGTATGCAGTTCCGGGCTCGTGTAGATGGGAGTATCCCATTCAGCTTATCCGTTGCTGGTATGCCACGTGAAGCTGCGATATTTGAAGTTAAACGTGCCCCACGCAAGGGAAGGGGAAGTGGCACTCCTGTCCTGGCACAGCAAGCGATGGAGCATGCAGCATATATTTGGAAATGCCATGCAAGCGACTCAACGGTGATACTACACCATACTTTTACGCTCTTATTCTTATTTGGGCAATTCTTACTGACAAAGATATAGTGGAAAAGTACGCATCGGACGTATCATACCTTTATGGTGGCTCAAGACCATCTGGGCTTCCACATTAGTATCGGGACCTACGATACTTCGTACCTGGAATACATTTTCGGCCCGGGATCCCAGCCAGTTCTCCCTACACGAGGTACCGGCAAATCCCCGTTCCTCCAAATACAAGAGCTGGGCCCATTTAATGTCAAAATTGAGGACAATCTTCGCATCTTTCTGCGTATAATGCTCGCCTTTATTCTGTGGCAACTTGAAAAAGCAAGTGAAGATGCGGTGTTCAAAGAGGTGCTTTGATGACGGGGATCAATGAGTATATTACTTATTTCATCCCGATGTGTTCCTGCTTCAGCATTTTCTGTGCACAGATATTCTGGAGTAGCTTTCATATTTGGAGATTTGAGCACCAGTTCGAGCTACAATGGTTTTGCTCCACCCCAGTCTTAGGAAGCAAATTCATGTCTGAGTCGAAGCAGGACACCCCAGGCAGTGGAATAATCCCAAACCTACTTTGTCCAATTGATATAGATGACCTGTTATCTCTGCTGAATATAATAAGTAGAGGACTTCTTTATTAGTACTGATTTCTCTAGCTGTATGCGCGAGTTCAAGCCATAGGCACCGAATTCCCAAGGCGTTACGGAGTATCCGACGTGATAATTATGATGCATGGAGACGGAAGGTAATACCTTCATGCAGCCTATGGTTCTTGAGTGAAATACTCCTCCGTCTAGGGGCTATTTTATGAGAAGCGACGTCAAGAATGCACCCATCCTGACTGCCCTTGCGTATCTGTTCCCAGAACCATTTCAGTTCGAGGACGGAGTATTCAGGTGTGACTCACCAGACAGGGAAGAATTGCTTTTGTTGGAGAGAGAACCTTCGTGAAAGGCCGAGCCCCCATGTCAGTGGCTTTTTTTGAGCCGCAAACAAGAAATGGATGGAGACGGAGGAGATCGGAGTTTACAACTGTCCGACCCCCTGACAAGGGTTGCTCGATGACGCCTAGGCGCTGTCTCAAAGTGCGTCCCGCCCACGGGGCAGCGAGAAGCTGGTTGGCTGAAGGGGGAAGTGCAACTGGTTTCCCGGGCCAACGAGACGTCCAGAATCTGGCGAAGGATGCAGCTGTGTTACAAGGTGAAGCAGCGAAGGAGAAAGTTGGCCTCTCCATGTTGGCGGAGATAACGAGTTGGTTCTCCACAGCCCGCGAATCCCGGTCTTAATTAGTTTGTGAGTGCGTGTTATTAATGCTGTTCGCGTTGCTAGGCTGGATGAGGCTACCACTGCGGTGGCTGTGTTGTCTCTGCCGCATCACATCCGCAGCCGCGCCGCATCACATCCGCAGCCGCACCGCAACACCGAGCAGCGCCTTTGGGAGTCGAGCTCACCGCCCGCCGCCAGCGAGTCTTCATATCATCTTCTTCAAATCTGGTCTCCTCTCTGTTCTCCTTGTCGTTGTCGCTGTTGTCTTCTCGCTGTTGTCGTCGCTGTCGTTGTTGTTCTTTTCTTTTTATAGCAACATCGCTTAAGTAAGAAACCTTCCCGGAGCCGCAGCGCCGAGACGCCGAAAGTGAGTTTTGGGAAGGAAGGACCCACTTTTCCCATCAGGCAACCGCCAAAACCGAATAACACGCGAGGGAAACTCTCTTTCTCCTTCTTATCTTCCTCCCTCTCGTCCTCCGCCTTTCCTTCACCATCAACCACTTCACCTTCACAGCTCTGCGTCCCCTTCACACACTCCCATAAACAGCAGAAATTCAGTCAGTCCGCTGGACACCCGTTGCCATTCCATCTGCTGGTGTCTCTCTGTCTCTCCGCTAGTCCAGCTCGAGCACCGAGGCTTCGTCGCTTGGCCGCTGATCTAATCCGGGTGATCCGCTAGGCAGCAGCCAGCTAGGCAGCAGCCGTCTCACGTCAACAGGAGCCGACGCTCTCCTGGAGTTCGCTGCCTCGACACAGTCACCAGCTAAAGACAACTTGGTCTCAAGGCCTCTCTGGATCTCCTGCTATCTGATTCCTCGACTTCTTTCGACCTTGAAGTTTGACTCCTCTAGTCGTCCTTGAGTGTTTGTTGCCTGGAAACGGCATATCGGCGTTAAATTCTGTACTCCGGGCCTCAGTGAATGCTGTAAGTATGGCACTTTAAAGACATGGCTACTAGGGGACAGCATCGCTAACATCGTCTCTCGACAGTCAAAGTCAGCGTTGTGTGGCCTGCGTGGAAGAAGAAAACTGGCCAAACGTTGCTGCGAGACCTCGATCTATAAAGGCTGCAGCCGGCTGTCTCCACGCTCTCAAACAAGCAAGAAATAATTCAGTCTAGTTCTGGCCTCCGAAAGAATCAGCTGGTGAGTCATATGGAACTATCCTTTTTCAGCTACCCGCCCTTGCTCACTGGAGTCGGTGTGCAGATTTTGTGACTTGCTCGCTACAAAGTCACCCAGTATGTCCTCCGATCTCAGTATAAGTCCGCGTCGTCGACCGTTTTTGAATGCCAACCTTCCCCGTCTCTCCACCGGCCATTGTGATGGACGCTCCCCCAGCAACTCTTCAAATACAGTTCGCCATGCCACTTTGAGGAAGGAAGCTACATTCCATGTCTCCGCCTCTCCTTCGTCCCCAGGGGACCCAGTCCTCCATTTACCAACCTTGCTTCGTCGTTCTCCAACTAGCCCGGACACTCTCCAGGAACTTTCTGCTGCTAGGGAAAACCGCGTTGCTGGCTGGCTCGGCAGCATTGAGCGCAACTCTACTGGTCCCGGGAACAAGTCACTGTCGAAACAGAGCTCGCTCGAAGATGATAAACGCAACCTCAAGGCTCTCCGAGGTCTCAGCAAACGCCTCACCTCTGCTAACCTGATGGAAATCGACTCGTCTTTTAGGAACCAAGTACAAACTGGACCCCCTGGAAAGGAGAACCTCCGTGCCGAGCTCTCTGATAGCGGTGTTGGCTCTTCCGTTGGTGAAGGTTCGTTGCATAACATAACCCGGAATGTTGCATCTTCTTTGCTGAATACTAACTATCTTGCAGATATTTTGAAACGCGAGGCTCGTGAGTCAGTGGTCTCGTCTAGTTCTACCCTCAGCTCTGGGGGAAAACGCCATATTCAGCGTCACATCCTTCTCCCACTGCTCAAGGAACAACGCCTGAAGAACTTCCACTCCCTTGTCAGATCTGTACCACAGCGTATTCAGAGCAGCGAGATTACCTGTCTTCGAGACGTAGAGAAAACTCTGCTTTATTTGGCTCCCCATCACACCATCTCTAGGTCTTCGTATCTTAGCTTCTGCGAGTTCACCATTCAGTGTGTGCACACAACCGTTGGATATCTCAACGACCACGACCAACGTCGTCCAGCAGACCGTCCCTACACTAACAGGTACTTCCTTGACCTCGTCGAGCAAATTCGCCAGTACGCTGCTCTGATCAGATCTTCCCGGGAGCGACGTGCTACTTCGTCTAACCGTGACGAACTTGACTATTCTTCGTATGTATACTGACTACTTTCTTTCATTCATATTTTGTTGCTTACACTTTCATAGTGGCGAGGAGCTTGTTCTCGAGGGTGGTCTTGCAAGTACCGGCCGGCCAGCCGAACTTGTAAGGAAGAAGAAGGGGCAAGCTATCTCCTTGAAAACCGGGGAGCCCTTTGTTGAACAGAAGCCAGAAGTTCCAAGCTTGAAGCGTGCTCCCAGTATGGAGAATCAAGAGAGTGTCATGCGTTCCATGGCGCGACGCAAGAAGGATGCTCCACCAATGAACATTAATGAGAAGTGCAAGCACTGCGATAAGGTCTTCCGTCGCCCTTGCGATCTTACGTGAGTCTCCTTTACTTACCACTAATGGTATGCATTATGACTAACACTGTACAATAGCAAACACGAGAAAGTGCACACTCGGCCATGGAAGTGCCTTGATACCAAATGCAAGTACTATCAACTCGGGTGGCCAACTGAGAAGGAGAGGGATCGTCATATGAATGACAGACATTCCAAGTCCCCAAAGAAGTACAAATGCCTCTACCCCGGCTGTACTTATGACACCAAGCGCCAGAGTAACTGTAAACAGCACATGGAAAAGCTCCATGGCTACAAGTATGTCCGATCCAAGAACAATGGCAGGGCAAGCCACCAACTGTCTCCTCAGCCAACGCCAACTACAACCAACATCAGCACCCCACAAGCACCCTCAGTTGATATTCCTACTCCTATTAGTGCACAGGCCATGTCTCCATATCTGTCTCCATCTGAGAAACAGTCTACCCCTTTTGAGAAAACTGCTTCCGACAGGTCTCCAAGCATCAGTGTTCAGGACTCTGTCGGGTATACTCCTAGCCCCGGCGTGTATCCGGCTCCAAGCCCTAGTATCTACTCACCTAGCGAAGTGGGTCAGCAGAATACTAATCACGATGACTTCATGCTCTTCCCTGACTCTACGTCGTTGAACGAGTACAACACTATGCACGAAGACTTCAATGCCTTCTATGCGGACCTCCAAGCTGCAGATCCATCCGATACTCTACCCCAGCTTGACACAAACCTCCCTTCTGCTTCTTCTACTCCCGCCGGTAACTTTGCTGCAGGGTTCCAGGCTCAGTCTCCATTAGACCTTGTTGGAAACAATGCAGACCTAGACTTCCACTTTGACGTCACCGAGAATGAGTACACCTCTATGAACCTTCAGCTCCTTAGTCCAGCGCAGTCTATTGAAGCTCAAGCTATGAATTGCCTCCCTGAGCCTGAGAATCTCTGCCTTCCTCTTCCTGCCTTGGACAAGAACTCCAGTATCTCTCCCGCCGGACACGGTAATGTTATGCTTTACTCCCCTGCCTCGTATGAAAGCGACGAGGGCTTTGATGACGGCTTTGACTGCATGAAGATGGACATTGGCAAGCAAACAGGCGACTTCACTCTATTCAGTGGATTCGAGAACAATAATATGTGCTCTGGTCTTGGTGGCAACGAGTCTGAGAGCTGGAATATTTCCAGCATGTTTCCTCCCCTCGGCACTCTCAATGACCAGTTGAATAATGCCAATTGGCCCCAGCAGTTGGGTTCTCGAGAGATTGACATTGACTCAATCATGGAAATGGACGACACCTTCTAAGCAAGGCGAATCTACATACCATATCGTCTTACCCTGATCTATACTCACCATTCAAAGACTATATTTATATTTTTCTCCTATTTGGACGTGGTTATGAAACCTTCCCCACTCATACTCTCAACCAAGCTAGTGCTTTTTTCTCCCTTTCATTTTCCTTAATGGCATCTTGTATTACCCTCCATGTATGTAACTTTTCCCCGTCTTTTTGATTCTTATCCCACTCCCCTATCTTCCCCCTTTGGTCTAGTTTGGACGGATCTTTGCGATTGGATTCCTCGTCATACGAAAGAATGACTTGAGGGATTGGTGGTTGGTGGTTGGGTAGAGTGGATGATCGGTTTAATGGTGCTGTTGGTTAGTTTTAGGACCCCCTCTCACACCTCCAGAAAATATATACAACAATGAAGACATTTCTGCACCCAGGATACTCTCAAAGCCTTTAAAGTAACCTGTAGCACGACTAGCTATACGTAGAGAACATCGTAACATTCAGAAGGATCTTCCATTTTACATAACTACATGTATACATAAACTCCACCGCCTCCCACATGAAAGCCATATATATATCACGGCTCCTTACTTCAACCCCAACCTCTTCTCTTCATCTACCAAATCAGCAGACGTCAATCCCCGAGAACGAAGATCAACCACTCACACCTCCTCATCCTTCAATCCCGACGTAGTGTGATTCGTTTATTATAGAGTTGTGAGATGTAATAAAACAATATCGAAAAAGATATGTGGCAATCAGCGGCGGACGAATCACTTGCGTCAATCAAAAACAAAACAAAGTCATATCAAGACCAAAAAGGAGAGGAAAGAGTGGTGTGCGTTAGTTATACGAGACAAGGAAGCGGATAAATCATAGCTTAAAAGACCAAGATAAGGAGAGGTAAAATAAACAGAGAGAGAGAGCGTGTGGATAGATAATTTACAAAACCTCGCCCACGATCTTCGCGGCCTCTTTATAGGTTTCTAGTAGCTTCTCGCACTTCTCGCGTTCAGCCTTGATGCCGTCATCTTCGTAAAGGAGTTCAGGGAATAGATCTTCTCGGTAAAGTTCGCTGACTAGGCGGTTTTGAACCACTTCTTTGCTGTGGTTGACGAGAAGGTGCATGATGGCTTTGGGGACTTGGTCTGCTATTGTCTCACGGACAATGTTGAAGTAAGATGAAATAAGGCGGCGGATGAGCTCCGTCTCCAGGGCCTCACGGTCTGTTAGGACTGGTTCGGCGTTGTCATTCTGTTCGGTGTTAGTATTATTTATAGTCTAAGGGGGATGGGGAGAAGGTTATTAGGAACTTACGGCTAACGACATATCACCGTACTCGGTTGGAGCGTATTCCTCTTGAGGAGCAGGGAAGTGAGGAATAGATGGAGACCGGACTTCATTTCGACGGAAACTCTGGCTGAAGCTAGGCTCCATTGCATGGCTGACATGGCGCGAGAGGCCAGAGGATGTTGGGGGAGGAGTAGAGCCTGGCAGGCCGTCTTTGCCGAAGAAGTAGTTTAAGAACGAATCTTTGGCATTTCCGTGCTGGCTTCCCAATCGTGGGGGAGAGGCAGACTGGAGGCCGTTGAGAGCAGAGGATATGGATTCAGGATTGCGTCCAGTATGTGGTGATCCAGTCCTGGCTGCCTTCGAGGAATGTCCTCTGACCGGAAGAGCCTGTTGTTTCTCTTCTACATTATCCTCTTCATCAGGGGTAGCGACTCCATTCGCGGCCCCAAGCTCTTTCAGCCGCCGTCTATCCCGCTTTTTCTTTTCTTCGGCAATAGCAGCCTGTTTCTCTTTCTCCTGTTTGTTTTGAATGACAGATGACATGGCGGCAGCTGCACCAAGGAAGTTAGGGTGGTTGGTGTTGATGTATGCACGCTGGATAGAAATAAGAGATTCAACATAGCTTGAGCACGGGCCCAGGCGCTCTCTGAGAAGGTCAGATACGACCTCGATCAGCTTCGCCTGCAGCCTTGGGAATCGAGAAAGTTCGGTTGAACCACAAGTATGGCATATTTTAATAAGTTCTTCATAAACAAGCTCAACGCAGCGCTGGCTGGGTATTTCAAGGAGTTTTATCTGAGGCTTCACAAGCAGGTCAAACGCAAGCTCTGGAACAAAAAGACTGGGTCTGGGACCGGTTGAATTGCGGATGGCGGTTCTAATATCTAGGACAGAGAGGTTGTGGGTGGGGTCAATTGTCTCCAAGGAGTTTCCAAACACGGAATTAAAGATGTAGTAAATCCTTGCTCCGCCGCATAATTCCTTTGTTGATATCTCGGAGGAGGTTCCGTCAATGGATGATATAAAAGAGGAAGCAAACCGTGTCATAAGCTGGAGTATCAGGGAGCCACGATGCTCTCGCCCACTGAATTGTTTGTTTCCGTAGCTGGCTAGCTCCTGCTGGGTTTGCCCCATCAACGTATTGAGGCGGGCTTTGATATCAGGCAGACGGTCACGGATATGTGACATGAGAGTAGAATTCAAGCTCTTAGCAAGGAACTGGGTACCGCATCGGTTTGCCATGTTGCGGTAGGCAGGATGATGCCGGAAGAATTCAGCTTCGGACTTCAATGCCTCTGCCAGAGATTTACCTGCCTGGATATCCTGCTGAGAGCGGTTAACCACTCCAATGAAACCCAGCTTCAATGGGTAGACACGGCCAGTAAGGATATCCATTGCGTTGGTTCCATGGTCCATAAGATCAAGCTTAGTGAGCACACCAATAGTTCGCTTGCCAACAGGATCAACATGACGAGCGAGCTTCAAAGCTTCAGAGTTGACAATGTCCACGTTCGCAGGAGATACAGCAAGGATAATGCTGTTTGGCTTGGCAATATATTCCGAAATCAACGTCCGTGTCTGCTTTTCGATATCGGAAGGCTGGTCACCAATCGGGACTTTGGTCAAGCCAGGAAGATCCACGAGAGTCAAATTAAGCACATGTGGGGAGAAGATCTTCAGGTTTATCGGCTGACGGTTAATTCCCTTGTTATTTCCCGCTATTCTCGCGGTTTCGTTCTCAATCTCTTGTTTTATATGTGCGAAATCGGTGTATTTCCGGCCAGGCTGGTGGTGAAATTCTCCCCACTCTCCGTGTTGTTGGACACTGCCGGCAGTGTGTGGTTCATTTTCGTCGTCACTGTCCGAGGGAACGTTGATGAGCTGGAGAATCAAGGGCCGTCTAGTAACAATGCCGCTTCCTCTGGGTAGGAAGTCTCGTCCAACGATATTTTCAAGCACTGAAGATTTTCCGGACGATTGCGAGCCGACGACTACCTATACAACAAAAGGTGACCCAAGAAAGGTACCAAGTCAGCCAGTATTCTTTTTCTTCTATACTCCATATAATTGTAAAGAGTGATTCAACCAAAGTTTTAGCTTGGGCTAAAACTGGCACTTCGGCAGTTGTCCCTGTATATTGTTCAGGCAGACGTACAATCTGTGGCAAATCCAAGGAATCGTTCCCAATGGTATTGAACACCAAGTCCTGGAGCTTGTTGACGGTTACAAGCAAGTCGTCGCCCAAGGAAGTCATTTTGACGAGCTCTACCGTGTATCCGGGTTATGGCGCGGAAGCACTGTATTTGAGGTTGCCGGGTAACGCAAGGGGCTTCCGGGAAAGTGATAGGAGGGCAAAACAAAGCTGGCGACCGCCAACGTCTCCGGCATAGAGACCAGGGCAGGGAAAAAGAACGGCAAGGGTCGCGGAGAGCGACAGGCAGCTGGAGACGTCCGTCGAGAAGAGCGAAGTTCGAGGTGCTGGGGGAGAGGCGGGCTTCAGCTGGGGGCAGCGGAAGAAGAGGTGTTGATGCTGCTTCGTTGACTTTTTGTTTCGCGATGGCGGCGTCTTTTTTGCCTTTTTTTTTGCTTGTTTGAGTTTAGGCTTTTTGCAGGCGGAGGTTCTTTCTTCCGAGCCGAGGCACGTGAGGGCGATAAAGTCGAGGCAGAAGCAGTTGATAGTATATTACATAGTTCTACATCGGAGAAGATAGAGACGGAGATAGAGACGAGAAGCAGGGAAATGTAAGAATAAGGCTCTAGTGGCTTTTTCATTTACAAGAACTAATCCAGCAGACAAGAAACTGAATGAAAAACAGGCAAACCAAGCAAGCAGGCGACGGGCGCTGCCCAAAACTGTTACTGCCGGAGGAGTCCTCCCTTGTGTGAGTAGTGGTATGTATGTACGCCGAAGAGGATGATACTGCCGTTTAGCTGTCGAGCTGGACATAGTTTGCCGGGAACAAGCCGACCTTACCCTGGTACTCGCCTGTCCACCAGTCCTCATCGGGGAATTCCTACAAGAAAAAGTTAGCGGGGAGCTCACGTCCAACAGCAGATACAAGTGGAATACTCACGATATTGGTGATTTTGGCATCTTCCGGGAAGCTGAGTTCGTTGTCCTCAGCAGCCTCATAGTCGTACAGAGCAGTAGCAGTGTGCTGTGCGGCGGCAGCGGCAGGAGGGGCAGCTGGTGGTGGAGGAGCGGCGGCAGCGGCGGGTTCTTCATGGACAGGTTGAGCTGGTGCTGGAGGAGCACCTCCGGCGGCATCTTCGCCCTCGACAAGTTCGACGTAGTTCCTAGGGAAGAGTCCTGCTTCACCGCTGGAGTTGACTCCAAGCCACCAATCCTCGTCAACCATGTCAATGTTGGTGATACGCTCTCCTTCTCGCAATTCAATCTCGTTGTCCTCTGCCTTCTCGTAATCGTACTGCGCGATAGCCTGAATACCACTACCAGCCACTGGTGCGGCTGTATAAGTCTGCTCTTCTTCCTTTGCTGGCTCATGTGTTTCTTCATGTACGGCCTGATGCTGGGTAACTTCTGGCACTGCGGGCTGCTCCGGAGCAGCAGGGTGCTCATCGCGTGTTGCTCCGCGGCCAACAGGCATTGCTACCCGGATCGGAGAGCCTGGAGCTTCCTCCTGTTCTTCCTCTTCCGGCTCAGCTGCGGGTGGAGGTGGAGGTGGAACCGCACGTTGAGTTTCCTCATGTGCTGGTTCAGGTGCTGGTGGTGGTTGAGACAGTCCCGGAATGGGGACACCACGGCCTGAAGTCGGCTTGTTGCTGGTATCTAGTGGTGGTGGGGAGGGAGCAGATCGTTCATAGGTTGCAACACCGATAGGAGCGGCATGAGGAAATCGGTCTCGAATAGAACCAACATTGCCAGTCTGGGGTTCCTCTTGTTGCTCCTCATGCTTCTCTTGTTCTGGAGCACCAGGAGCCTCTGCGTGGCCAGCAGATGCGCCAGTTTTTGTTGTCTGAACTGGAGCCCATGATTTTCCGGTGTATGAACTCTTCCACCCTGTTTCCTGGCTCTTTTGGGTATCCTTTGGCTGTGCTTCCGGGACTGGGGGTGGGCTAACAACACCACCTTCTTTGGCTTTCTTCTCGGCCCAAAGCTGGGCTGGGGTTTTACCTCCCTGGTCAGCAAAAGTTCGACTGGCAATTCCAACAGGGGCTGCAGCTACTGGGGGCTTGGATTCAAAACCACCAGGAAGTGGGGCTTTAGTCCCAGCAAAAGAAGCTGCCGCGCCAAATTTAGGAGTGACCTTTGGTTTGGGTAGACTGGTCAACCTTTCAGAAGTAGTGAAGGCCGCTGAGCGTTCGGCAAGAGACTTTGGCTGTTCGTCGTTACCACCAGAGCCTCCGGTGGCTGCGGGTGAGATCGTGCTTGGGGAATCACCTTTAGCCTTGGCACGGATAGCAGCAATGTCTACCTTTCCAACAGGTTGATAGGCTCCCTTAACTATCTCTGGGCGGTCGTTAACATTCTGTCCAGATTCCTTTGCCTGTCTTCTGATAGCCGCAATATCAACTTTGCCAATAGGTTGATATCCACCCTTTACTACATCACTCGGTGCCTCTCGCTCTACGGCAGGTCCCGAAGTGGTAGCTGACTTTTGTGAAGTCAATTCCTTCATATTAACCTTGGTAGGTTTGTATGCCGACTCAACTTTCTCAAGCTGTGTTCTGGTAACTGGAGGGGCATCTGCTCCCCATCCATCCTCGTCGACCGGCTCATTCGCTGCGTGGCCGGGCAAGTTACCTCGTACTGTAGGTTTGAACGAGCCAGCGGTGCGGGTAGGGTTAAAGGCTGGCTTCGCGGCGACTGGTGGTTTTGTCGAAGCCGGGGCTGGAACGGAGGCATCTCCGGAATATTTAGCACCAGATGCGTCGGCTACCTTCTGAATAATACTTTCTGGAGTAAGATCACGATCAGAACGAGCAGTGACTTGAACATGGTATCCCTAAATAACGCTGTCAGAAATAATGGTCGATTTGCTTGGAATCAGAACGCAATTTCGCACACACCTGCAGAAATTTGGCGACGGCAGCTAGATGGCTAGTGAAGTAACCCTTGGTTCGCTCAGGGACTCCCTCACCACACCAAGCAATGAGGACATGCTTCGGCAGGCTGGTGTTCGGGTCTTTTACTTTGACAAAACCGAATTGTATTTTCCCTTCCGAGAAGTCCTCGATCAGGTCTACTAGTTCACCCTCTATAAAGAAACTTGTCAGTCGAGTCCTAATAAACCCCTGCAAAACACTATAGCGAAGGTAGACATACCTCCTGTGCTTTGGACCTTGAGTACACTCTCCTTCTGGGCACCACCTTGTTGGAATGCGTTTACAAGGGGAGTTGTGACTGAGAACAAGGCCCATGATCCGTATGTTGGAGAAGCCGCCGCGGGACCGGTTGGAGCGGGAGCGTTCACTACCGACTGGTAGCTCTTTGTTATCGACGGTCCATTAGTCGAGAGATTAAGAGACGCCATGATATGATATCGCGCGCGAGGTAGAAAGCCTGTAAGTGTAGTTCTATCGTAAAGTAGATGCTGGAGGTGGAGTGTTGGGCTGGGTTGTAGCGGGCTTCGTGATGGGGTGATATTCCCAGCTGAGGGTCAAAGAGTGAAGCTCGCAGAGAATATAGAGGTAGCAATGGAGGATGTCACTAGTTTATAAGATAAAGAATGATAAAAAAGAAGCCTGCAAGGCCTAAGTAATGTAGAGACGTGAGAATGACGGTTGTTTTGTCCGTTGATTGTTGACTGGCGGCGTACTGAGGCCGATAAGGACCAGATACGCAAACTCGAAAAAGCGGCGTGGGAAGGTGTGGCGCAGCCGCAGAGGCGCAGGCAGCGTCGACACGACAAACACTGCTATCAATACGCAAACACGACTCTACGTCACAACAACATCTATACGCACTCAGCTTGCAACTTGGTCATGGACTACATATTTCGCTTCATCGTATTCCGTATGCTAGGCTCCAATCTACAAGTCACCGACTCTTTTCAACCTCCTGTGCCTTGGTAAGGTTTCCTTCAAAAAATCCACAATTTCAATAAATTTACCCACCTTTTACTACTTCTATAAGCAGTACGGAGTATACTCTGTTCTTTAGGTATCTACCTGTGCCAAATTCTCTAACTTAGGTGCTTCTTTTTATTTGATGCCTGAAGATTGACGGACAATCGATAGTTCTTATCTGATGATCTTATCTCCACGTGATACGGATAAACCAAAGTCCCGGGAAGCCAAAAAGTTTAATGGGCGAAATCTTGGCATCAAAATTCAAAAATCCGAGGAAGCTTTTGATAGGAAAAAAGGGCGCTTCACAAGAACAAGACCTATCACTTCAACTGCGCATAGAACAGGCCGTTTTCTCGACTATTTGAATACAATTCACCGACACAATGTTGCGAGAAGTGTAAGCATAACCAATTTCATAATCATTCTTGTTACTATGTTTCTGTTGATAACTTGAATACTAACATTGATCAGGGCACCACGAAATGCGCGAACGCGGCGCATCCTCAAGGCCAGAGAACCGCAAGTGATTGAGCCTCCGAAGCAAACACTCTTGCTCCACGGTCCAAAATGCCCTTTACCGCTCCATACAGTACTAAAAACCTTCCACTCGCTCACAAAACCTCACTCTGTGCTGTTCCACAAGAAGAACGAGAACATTCACCCTTTCGAGAACACGGAGAGCCTTGAGTTCCTAGCCACCAAGAACGAGTGTGGAATCGCTATTTACGGCAGCAGCAACAAGAAGCGGCCAAATTGCATTACCATACTACGTATATATGACTCCAAGGTGCTCGACATGTGCGAGCTGCTGCTGCTAGGAACGCAAGCTGAGATGGAAGCCGACGCTGCGGCACAAAAGAATGCCAAATCTGCTTTCCAGCTAAATGTTGGTGTGGGTATGAAACCCATGATTCTTTTCTCGGGAACTGTATGGGCCGACGAGACCTCTGGAGTCTTCAAGATGCTCAAGAGCATGTTTTTGGATATTTTCAAGGGTGAAGAGACCGACAAAATAGACGTTGAGGGATTGCAGTACATTCTCATGGTGGCTGCTGAGGAGCCTCAAGACAGTGGTTTTTCAGCTACCAACAGCTCCTTTCCAGCCATCCATTTACGATGGTACAAGATCCGAACCAGGAGGAGCGGTCACAAGTTGCCTCGCGTGGAGCTAGAAGAAGTTGGACCAAAGTTCGATTTTAGAATCGGTAGAGTCAGAGAAGCTGATGAGGACACTATGAAGACGGCGATGAAACAAGGGAAGAGGCCACAGGATATGGAGAAGACGAAGAAGAATATTGGTATGGACAGCATTGGCGATAAGATTGGACGAGTACATCTTGGTCGCCAGGACTTGAGTGACTTGCAGACTAGAAAGATGAAAGGTCTCAAGCGACGAGCGGGTATCGACGATGAGGATGAGGATGAAGAGATGGGAGGTATGGAATCAGATGAGATTTCAGAAGATGAAAATACAAGTCACAAGCGACCGAAGAAAGAGTAGTTTGTCTGATTGTGTTGAGTGTGTTGCTTTCGAGAGATGGAGAAAAAAAGTTATGCTGGATGCTTTATGCAAACTTATTTATTAGCATGGCGTTATGTTAGGTTGGGCTTCGACAGAACAGGTAGTGATACACGTGCTTTGGGTTGCCGACGTTCTTTTTATCATGGCAAAAAATGTAGACAGGTGTCAAATTAAGCTAATAAGCATTATGTATATTTGGGCCGCAAAGGCATCCGTGCGGAAGTGGGCTGAAACGGTCGTCCAAACGGAAGAAGAAGAAAATCATCAACAACGTCGCTCAAGAAAGGAGACGAAGATGAACATGGAATCAGACCCAAGGTAGGCGTTACAGCGGAAGTTATCAACAATGAACCCCCGATAACACCCTAACCGCGCCAGTGATATTCCATTAAAAGATATTAATAAACAGAAGGATCTAAGGTCCGGCGAAAGGAAAAGAGCTCATGTATACATTGCGGATATCCTTTAGGTCATTTCACACAGGCTATTTCATGACTTATAGGAGAAGAGCAAATCCAGCAAGGAAACCGGATGCCACGACAACCATTCCATACATCTGGCCGACATTCAGGAGAGCCTGGGGGCCTGCCATTCCCTTCTTTGGCTCGTCGGTAGCAGAAGCAGACCCGTCGCCGAATCCGGTGTAGACGGCACCGCTCGTAGCAGAGGTGCTGGTGGTCTGGGTGGCTGTCATGGTAGGCTTAGCGGTGGAGTTTGGTGGAGTGGGACTCTGAGCACCGCATGGGTGATCTTCACGGCAGGCAGACTGGCAAGCATGGTCGCCATTGCAGTTCTTGACACATATGTTGTTGGATTCTGTGCAGATAAAGTATGGGATGGTCTGAGAGTATTCGGTTGCGTTGGGGGTCTTGCCGTTGCTGCAGGTGCAGTCAAAAGTAAGAGTATCCTAATTATGCGAATTAGCTACTATTCCTGTATTCTCTCCGGATAAGAAGCAAGGAGAGCATACAGCATCACAGTCGTTTGCTGAAGGGGTCTCTGAGGTCCCCGGGAGCTGGAGGCAGATCAGAGGGCACGAGGTTTGCTGGGCCAAACACCATTGTTCTGTACAGTAAGAGTTAGCCTTGAGATATTGTAAGACACGTTGACAACACAGATTACACAGATTACTGACCTCTGGTAGCTTTATCCACATCATCTGGGTTAACGACCTGTGCGGAGGCCAGGCGAGCAACAGCAACGGCTGCGAGAAGAGCTTTTGGGAAAAACATGGCGACTGTAGCTAGGTGCTGGGTAGTTAGTTAGCAAAAGAACACGGCTCTAAATATCTCCGCTGGCAGGAAAATATATGATATGAGATTCCACAGTCGAGGAACCGGGTGGTTGTCAAAGCTGTCGACGGGGTACATGCGTAACAACGCTCGTGGACGTACCTGGGGTATGACAGATATGGCAGAAGGTACCAGGCTGATAAGTGTCCACACGTGCGAGAAAAGCAACTAATCAACAGAGCGAGTGACTGGGGCAAAGAAAGGCAGAGCTGATGGCGACTGAAAAAGCGAGAGATGGAGAAGATAAGAAGCAGACGAAGAGAAAGAAGAAGAAGAAGAAAAAAAAAAAAAAGGAGAAGTTCCTGCTCCTCGCTCTTCTGCCCCTTGCTCTCCAGCCTAAAAAAGGTAATTGAGACAAACAAATGTTATAGAGTTTGAAGCTAGCTGTGATTGGACGGCTGCATGACCATGGGATCGGCTATGCTAAGCCTATTCAGGACTAGCGCATCCACTTTGCGGGCAGGCTTCATGCCAAGATACACTAGTCCCATTGAGGAATTAGCTTATGTCATCTTTGACATTGCTTATTTTTATTTTTAGATAAGCTTAAAAGCCAAAAAACAGACGTTGAAGCTGAAGATGAAGGCGATGGAGGTGTTGCAGCTTTGATATCCAGCAGAAAGGAGTGGAAAGGGACTGGTGTGTGGTGAAAGAGCCGAAGTCGAGGTGGTGTTGAGTTTGTTGAGCTTTCTCGAGATCAGACGTGGATCTGCAAGGTTCTGGGGAGCTCACTAGCGACCAGCCGAGGTGGCACTGGGCCTTGGCTGCGTCGCTCTTCACGCAGTTCTCCAGAGGAAAACGTCAAACTCAACCCAACCTTTCCCCAATCTGATAATCTTCAGCAGAACTCCCTGTCATCTCCCCTTACCCTCTCGCCATCAACCGAAGTTATTAGGATTTCTTTCTAGGTATGTTCAATTATCGGTAGTGCGGCCGTCCGCTGTCTCTGCCGCCCCTCCATGGACCGCGGGTGGCCTGGTACACCCCCTATCCTGAAGCTTCCCGGTCTTGTCTCACCCCATGCAATCTCTCCATGTGTGAATTTGAGACACGCATCGATAAGTCACACGGCGCATCCTCCACGTCAGTGTACCAGCCTTCGCTAAGCATGTTGTCTCATGTATAGTTAGCTCTTGTGTACGCTTCCGAAAGCCGGCCTTTCCCGCATATCCGCAAACAGTGCTCACCCTCTCATACACCCTCTTTCCCTTGAAGGAAAAAAAACGCGCAGTATATACCCTCGAAACCAGCGGGACTCCGATACTCTGATGGATGGAGCCGGCCGGATCGCCTCGCGCGCAGACCGCGATGCTTCCGCAGCCACGCCATGTGGACTCCAAAGGCGCTGAGACAGCGTCTATCCCCTCCGCTCCCCGCACCGGAACGCCTCAGTCAAACCCGCAGACAGCTACCCCGCCTTACTGGAAGCACTCGCGCAATATCTCACATGCATCTCACACCTCCCTGGACCGGTCCAGCGGTCTGATAACGCTAGAGGATCATAGCGAGGACCCCTCGTGCGATAAAAGCAAGGGGCTTTGGGCCAAAGACGTAACTATCGACAACTATGCCGTTGTCAAGGGCCAGTCGGGAATCGGGGCGTATGTCGTATGGATATGTAACATTCAGACTCTGGAGGTGTGTCCCCAGTTTCTCTCCTCTGTTGTGAAAGCACAGAACACTTCGGTACTGATGCTCAGAATGTCTAGGGAGCATCCATGGTGGTTCGGATGAGGTTTGTGTCCATCTGCACGTTTAGGCTACAGCATAAAACCTAGCATTAACTCATGGCCCCTTAATATAGGTACTCCCAGTTTGTAGACCTTCGAAGCAAGCTTGCGGAGGCATATCCCCATTGCAAGAAGTCCTTGCCAGTTTTGCCGCCTAAGAGCGCACTATGTATGTTCTACCTACATAAGACACTCATCCCAGTCCTTAAGCTAATAAATAATCTAGTTAAATTCAACGCAAAGTTCCTCGAAGCAAGACGACAGGGCCTTGCCTATTTCTTAAAGTAAGTATCTTTCGCCCCGGAACTATACTTGTCGTCTGCGGCACGTTCTCTGACCTGACCTGACCTCGATTAGCTGCGTTTTGCTGAATCCAGAGTTTTCTGGTTCTCCTATTCTTAAAAATACCCTTTTCACTCACTCTGCCTAGTATCTCATCACTCCCAGCCCCAACTATCACTTAGACAAGTCGTGGTCAATAACAGGCACCAAACAGGCTTTGGTGCAGGCCCTTGGAGTATCCGCCACACCCTTGTGTTATTCTGGGTATATATGTATTTAGCCGTGATAACGCTTTTTAAAATACTAGCATTAACACAAACAACTAGCCCAGTCCCGGGGTCCTGTCCAAATTGCATGAGAGCCCAGGGATTCCCCAGTAGCTTAAATCAGCCTCCAGTGGCGAGCTTTGGTTAAGCCGCCCAAGGGGTAGCTGCCATCAACTAATCAATTAACTAGTTAGCTGAGGACCCTCGGTTCCTGCAAGCTCGATAGGACAGGCGTCTGGCCCCCTGAACCATTAGCCGCGCTGACAACAGGCTTCTGTCCGGCCCTGAGTGACGCTCACTGCATGTCATTTGGGCATTCACTACTGGAATAGACCATTCAAGGAGAAAAAGACACGAATTCTCCTCTCATTCCAGGCATTTTCTCGCATTTTGTAGATTCCTGCTGCACTTTATTGATTAGTCAGCGAGTTGATACCGTAGTGGTACACCAATACACGCCAAAGCTGAAAGATACAAGGGGTAAGTATCGTAATCTCATAACGAACCTCACTCGATGGCTTGCCACCGCGACTTCGAGATAGTCAAGAAAAAGAGGCGACGGCGAGGTTCATATTTTTCGCAGCGGACAAGCTGCCAGGACGCGGATACAAAAAATTACACTGTAAGTGCATGCTGGCTCCACGGGAACAGTGCGAGAGATAGCCGTCGAGAGCCCATACCAGGGAGCTTGTTCTCCTCTCTTCCGCTCTGCCGCCATGGTGCTTGTTGTCTAGCCACAGATTTTTGCCCCCTTGGACCAGGAACCAGATGATGACTCGCACCGTGACATCGCCGCCGTCGTGCAGTACGCGAACCAAGACACAGCGCCAGCATCATCAGCAGCACCAGCAGCACCAGCAGCAACGCGACCAGGCGCCGCCAGGCCTCGCCGAACCGCCACCGCCGACCTCTGCCTCCCCGGTACCTCCTCCTCCGCACCAGGCACACACCCATGCAAACACACACCAGTTCATCTACGCCCACGACGAGCCGCCGCCAAAACGAACAAAGCTACACCATTCCCCGCCTCAGGTGTCGGGGCAGCTCGCTCTGCGCGCCAGAGATGCTCAGGGCCAGTCCAGCGTCGTTGCACGGCCTCACTCTCTACCCCAGCGGCACATACAGACGCAATTGGTGACCATCAGGAGTCCCAGGAACGGCGATGACAGTCCTGGAAACCGTGCAGGTGGCTGTCTATCGTTCGCGAAACCGGATGCTACAACCAATTCTGCCACCAGGACCAGTGACTCGACGTTAGTCCGTCCAACAAGGGCTTCGTTGAGACATTCTCGATCTACACAGGTGGATGACGGAGATATGCCCCTTGTCCAGAGAGCTCCCGGTGGCGGAGAAGATGCTGATATGCAGGGTGTTGAAGCTACTACTAACAATGAAGTTCATCTGAAAACACCGCAGGGCCCCAGTGCCACCACTCCGGCCGGAGGGGAAAAGAGGTCTTTACGGTCTCATGATGGGGGCACCCGGCCTTCAAAGAGTGAATTGGCTATGTATTTCCCCAATTATGAACAGATCCTTAGCTTGGAACCAGCAAAACAAGGTAGGTAGCATGCTAGCCTGGTGTATCCCGTCCGGTTGCCTCCATGCTAACGTATCAACTTTTAGAGTTTCTCTGTGCTGAGACGACAGTTACCCTGGTGGATGACCTCACTGAACCGGTAACACTAGACCATGAAGGACTAGGAACCTCGTCACTGCCACAGAATCCCCTTGAAAACCTGCACAACGCAGAAGTCGTTGATGTTGGGTCATTCGAAGGAACTGATGGTAAAGACCCGTTAGATGAAGATACCTTTTTCAAAGCTCACAGGAGGCTTGAAAGGCAAGAGAAGCAGCTGCGCAATCTTGAAAAGGAGCGAGCTCAATATGAAAAGACCCAACTAGATCACTTACTGGGCGAGCTACAGGGTCACGACTGGCTCCGGGTTATGGGAATCAACGGAGTCACCGACAGCGAAAAGAAGCTGTACGAGCCTAAACGAGACTATTTCGTTGGAGAGGTCACTGCTTTGCTTGAAAAATTCCGAGCATGGAAGGAAGAGGAAAAGCGAAGGCGAATTGAGCGGGAACAGGCCCTCCTGGCGGAAGAAGACGAGCAGTCAGACTCGCAGGAAGAAGACGAGGACGAAGATGAAGAAGAAGCTGAGGAAGAAGATGATGATGATGAGGATGAAGGTGAAAGTGGTCTCGTTGAGGGAAGCTCTGAACGGACGTCAACCACGGCAATTGGTAGTCTCCCAGACCCGGACGATGTCGACCGTCTAGCTGCACACCAACTCTACCAGGAGGTGATATCAGCCACCAAAAACAAGAAACTGAAGGTTCAGAAGAGTAATCAAACCTCTCAACCAGCTAAGCAATCCAAAGCGCAGCCTCAACAGCAGCCAACAGGAAACAAGGGCCTGGACTCTTCAAAGCCTGCAGCGACATACATCGAGCCCAATCCTTGGCCGACAGGACCTTTCCTATCATTCTACTCCAAACCTCATCTCCGAGAATCAGCTCTCAAGAAGCACAAGCGAGGTCGAACGCGAATGGCATTTGGGAAACCCCTGCCGGAACTGGAGGAGGCCTCGTTCCGACTGCCTGATGAGATCCTCACCCCAGAGGCCATCCGGGCTGCTCAGAGGAGGAACAGGCGGATGAGGCGAGAGGATGGGAAACCAGGAAACCGGTGATGTATCTGTCTTTTCAATCATTTCCTCTTCTCTGTATTATGTATGTATGTATATCAATAGGCGTATTCAATGTATACCCTAGGAGCTGGCAGCTGGAATTAAGCAAAGGACTGGGAAGCATTACACTGGACTAAGATCCGAAGACCATATGACACTGCAACCAGCATATACCGCGACTCTTGGTATCTGGATGCTGGATACATTGATGCATTCCTAGCATCAACGGCCACTCTTGCATTATTCGCCTGGTTTACGTCCTACTCTTGATTCAAATCATATAACACTGAGATGGTCATATTTTACACCTTCTATACAGGCCGTTAATGTGTAAGGCTGTGGAAGTCGTTAGGCCTTTACACGCACCTTCACCTTCACGATAGTCTAGGATGGAGGCAAGCCAGGGGTAGCTATCCCTGAATACCCAATGAGGATAAAATTTCGGAGAATATCAGCTACTCCTATTGATTAAGAATATCCGTCAACACCTCTGACCCGCGCCATGGACCTTGTTCGGAGAATCCCTGCGTATGCCGTCTTGCTTTCGCAATGGGGGCCAGTGGTGTAGATTGGTTGATATCCGACAAGCTGGAGGCAAGTCAACGAGTGAATGCTGGAAGTGACTGACCCAAGCTAGGTCACTCTGTTCAGTTAATGCTCAGCCTTCACGGCTAACTAGCATCATTGACTCGCAGATCGCCCTTTATAAATGGATTCAGGCGCCGTGGGAAAAAGGAAGAAACTTGCAAGTTTCATCCTCGTGTGCTGTCAAAGATACATAACGACTCTCTAGTGCTCAAGACCTCGCCACTCTATGGCCCTACGACTTCTGCAAGGCTGGGCCGATAAGAGTTACCCGCCCGTATATCAAGGGGCCCCAGCGCTGTGCTGCTTGGTGTTCCAGAATTAGTTACTATGCCCTCGTCGATGATCTCCCGACCTGGCAAAGAGGAACAAGGAACATGTTGCTCCCCCTGTCGCCAATCAGCGGGCCCGCGATGTTGGACCAGGAGCCTGACAGCATGTTTCTATTAGTTAGTTATATAAAAAAGTCCCTCGCCCAGGGGTCAAGCAGGTACATCCACAGACTCTGGCGAGATTCTATTTATCACATTCTAACCCCTGATTATTAGGCATTAACAAGTCATCAATTTGCGAGGAAACTCAGAGTGGAACAACCAAGTCCGCTGTATTCAGTCTCAGAAGTTGACGATTTATCGGCCAGGCTGGATAGAGATGCAGCCATACGATCCATATTCAGGTTATTGAATAACGCAAGCCGCTTTGCGGGCCGAATGTAAAGTCTATGGCCGTTATCCTACGAAATGAAGGATGTCATCACGATATCTACTTATGACACAAGTTAGCCCGCTTGAACAAGTCAAAGACCAGGTTGTGAAAGAGGTCTCAATATCCATGCAAGGTGTATGGTCATCCATTGCATTCCATATGTGTCATTACCGAGACGATCTTGATGAGCTCAGCGCAGGCCAGCCCCCAGCTACTACATCCAATCTGACAAATCTACCTGAATGGAAGCGATGGGAATTAGGTGCCATATTGGCCCATCCTACCGATTGGCGCCGCCCAAAATACACCAATCTTCCAGACAGGGCGGAGATGCGAGCCCAAAACCCCGGTGGCGGTTAGAGCTCCGGGATGGCGAGAGTCAAATTCTCTAGCAGTGAATACCAGTATCAAACTGCCTACCGCAAATACTCGTTAGTTATTTTTGAGATGCAATTAGAACTCCTTACTATTTTAACCTCGTCCTAAAGCAAATGAGAGTTGGGAGCAGCTTTTACACCAATCTTGGAATAAGAGGGATGCAACTAGGGTACTCCCTAAAGGTAGTCCATAGAAGGTCAGGAAGTCGGAAAGCCACGAAGCCGGCGATATATTTCTTCCAGCTTCTAGGGCTCGTTGTTCATGCATCCATGTAATAAAGGAGGTGGGGTATTTTGAATTTCTTTTTTGACCTCCTTTTTCATTCGACTGATTTAATTTCCCCTGTTTTTTGCTCCCTTGTTTTTTCCTCTTTCGATCAAGGGAATCTTCGAGGGAATCTAGCAGAGCGTCTGGGTGCGAATACGAATCGCTGGGGCCGCCAAATGGTGAGTTACGCGCTGACCTATCAATTTGCTTCACTCACGAGGCTTTCAACCCTTGCAGATCCTTGTTGATTGTGCATATGCAAGAGAGACAAGCAAGAAGAAAGAATTCCCTCCAACGTCCGGAGTATACGAGATGGACGATCAAAATCCCCCCACCTAAGGACATGCCCAGGATGGTTTATGTGGGTATCATGTAAAGGCTTTTGCTTTATGGCTGTACGTCTTCGTGGTTCCCATAGAATGGGGACGGCCACTCCTTTGGCATCTCTCCCGGCTTGATCAGCAAGGTTTATTCCAGCAGCACATCATGACCCCTCCAACTCAGTTTGGTTTAATGAGAGACGATCCGATTTTCTGGCTAAGCACTTGTACCTGCGTGGGGTTCGTCCATTAACTATCATGTGTGGTCGCGCTGCGTCTTTCTTCGTCTTCCTCCCCACGGGCATCGGTAGTTCAAGCTTTCCCCTTGCAACAACACAAGCATGCAACAGGGGAAATGGAGAGTCGAAGCAATGTTTCTGCGCCCATTTCCCAACGCCAGGATGACCGTATCTTTTGGTCATCTGAGGAGCTATAAAACGTTAACTAAAGCGCCCCTTCGACCAGCTACTAGGTAAGTTACGCAGGCGCCCAGCCCCGTTACCAGGTCCAGGCGCTGGCTTCTCTCAAGCTGACTGTAGCTTGCCCGTTTTTCTTCCTTTTTCCTTTTTTCACCCAAGGAGAGACTTTCCTTTTTCTTTTATTTATTTTCTTTTTTATTTTTTGGTGGGCCGTACCTAATCGTAGGCAGAGTAACTATTTAAGTCGCAGCCAGCGGGAAAAAATGTCATGGCTCCACTCTCATGCAGTCTCATGCAGCACCCGCAGGCGGAAAGGATTGAAAAGGTTGCTCTTGCCGCCATCTTTTTACAGCATTCCCAAATGACATCGGTGCTTAGCAGAAGTATGGGTGAGGGAAAAGGTCTGATCCTGTTTTAATCGTAGCGATCATAATTTCCTCAAAGATGGGATTTCGTTAGTTTGCTCCTCTATCATGATCCAGCCTGGCTGCTAGTATATCCGCATGGGTTTGTTTCATGGTGCTTTAATCATGGGTACGGAATAACACTTCCATGCTTCACTCGCCATCTATCTCTGCCCGCTCTCCTGTGAAGAAGCACAGCGAGTCTGAGATACATGAGTTGGGACCTGTCCTCAAATGAGTGGTCATCATATATCGAGAAGGAAGGCGTACTGTACAGCATAAGCAAGGGTGTTGTCTGGTGGGGGGCTTTAGCGGAAGTCGAAGTCCTGAACCAACCCCCCCAAATATCACCTTTGTATGTTGTCGAGGTGAGAGCATGGACGACATGACATTGCCCTAAGTGTCAAATTGTGTGGTCGGCGAACGTTCCACCAATCACATACAATCGTAACTGAAGGATTCCCACAGAAAGGTTCGGCATCTCGCATTTGGCAGATACATAACTTTGTTTCTTTTTCTACCGGTCGGCGTGTGGCATGTCACATTTTTTTTTTTTTTTTTAGTATGTGCAAAACGGGTGTCTCCAAAGCACTGCGAAAAGTGCAACGTATCGATAGTCATTTTGTATCTGCAAATCAAGCAGGCATGGCTTGAGTAAATTTTGTTTCAGAAGAATGGTGTGCACCCCCACGGACAATTTCTCTAGCTCGACTAGCTCGATCGGCAGGTATGAAGGCAGATGGGTATATTATTCTACGCCTGAATAAACTTTCTTGACAATAACTGCTGGTCTGCACTGCAGTGAATATCGAAGCCCAGGAAGTCAATGGCTGATCAAAACCGAGTGCCTTCAGGTGGGGACCTCGTAGCTAGCTTTGCCAGCCTCCCGCCCCCCCCCCCCCCCCCCCCCCCCCCCCCCACGGAAGACGCTAGTTTGCGCATTAACGGCCTGAATGTAAATTCGGAGCATCTTATGAGATCATTCAACCGGCTATTGCTCTTCAATATTTCGACGGTCATGTCCGGCTTATCGAAGTATCAAGATGATGCAACGAAAGGCGGTGTGTATCTAGTCATAATCTGAAAGACAGATAGACAGATCCATCGAGTTAACAAGAAAAGAAAAAGAAAAACGGGATTATCATCTTTTCCACTGCTGGAGGCCCACTGTAGGAGGATATTGGAGCATGGATTGTGGTTTGGCTAAGGCGTCCAGCATCCGCTCACCTTTTTTTTTTTTTTTTTTTGAGCTCTGTGGATTCAAGTCAAACCTCATGAACGATGAAATCTTCTGGAAAAGGAGGAGAGAACTTGTGGCGACGGTCGGTGTTATTGTCTTTTCTTCTTCTCCCAAAACAGAGTCCTCGTTCAGAGATAATGGAGTCTCCCTGGGATAAATAGATGGACACTCCTCGACCTCATCCAGAAATTGGAATTGGCAGGCAGGACGGTCAATATTTTCCTTTCCTCTTCCTTTCTCCAGCATAAGACACGAGCCGCCTTTCTCATTCCCATACACCTGATTGCTCGCGGAAGATGAATCCTGATATTCCAAGCCCAACGAGTTCTATGGAGGTTCACCATGGAAGCCCTCCGCCTGATCCACGTATATTGCAAGACAATGATGTTGCAAGGTCTGGTTCTCTCCTAAGCTATGGTGTAAAGACACAAGTGGTTGCTAATAGTTAAAATTTCGGCCCACAGTAATATGCAAGAGCAGTCTGCGGCCTTGGATAATGGCTCTGACGGCGGAGAACCATCGGGAAGCAATCTCCTGGAGGAGGTGTCGGCAGAGAGTGAGAAACTAGGCTCCTAGAAAGCTGCACGCAAACTTGTGCCGTCTCGAGCTAATAGTTTATATTAAGACACAAAGAATGGCGACCCGAAGACTACCACGAATGGCATGCTTCCGAGATCCGATCCTTCTGATATGGCCAGCCCTCCTAGAAAACGACGCAAACTTGACGCAGCAGGCTCACACATTTTCTGCTTTCCGGAGATCTATGGGCAAGAGTTGAAAATGCGTACAGCTGAAGATAAACAACAGCCTGGCGATGAGCCTGACAACAGTCCCAATGAGAAGCACGAGGTCGAAGCAGGCAATGAGAGTGCAGATGCTTGACGAACAAAGACCCTGAAATGGTAATGAAGGGCTGCAGAGTCCGAATTAATTTCCGGGGAAACACACCAGGATCCCGGATCTACCAATAGGACCATTACCAGACATCGAGCCCGATTGCTTATGCCGATGCTCGTGGCAGCCCGCCCTAGGCTTGGACGATGCCCAATGTCCGTGTATTTGTACATTAGTTGGAGGTTGAGATTAGGTTGCTGGATGGCTCTTATTATGGTTCGGAAAATAATAAACTTGACTCCTCTCTTTTAGTCTGATATCCACCACCCGCCCCTGAAAGGTTCTTGCGCGCCAGGCCCCACAGTGATCAGAGCGAGACGAACCGACCGTTAACCTCTAACAATAACGTATAAAGTGCGGAGTGATGGTCTAATGAGTGTGCCCTGATGAGCTGTAAGGGAGAAACACATCACCACCTCCCCAGTGAGTGTATGTAGACAAGCCACTCCAGCAGTGTGGTAGTGAGCTAAGAGGCGAGGGCGCCGGAAGCAGCAGAAGCGTTCCGCGAGAAAAACAAATACGATATGCATGACGTTCGCCCTCCCCGTTCCGCGTAGTTCGTTATTGTTGTTCGGGGGAGACGGAAGCCAGCGTCCCATAAGGCTCGTGGGCGTTATAGCACATGAGGTGCATTTAAAGTCTCGATCGCATACTTTGCATCCGTGTTTTCGGATTCCACAGATCGAGTTCCCAGTTCACTGACTAGTGAGTTCCATGTCCTGTGGGATTTTCCGGATCCTTCTTGGCGGCGGTCGGTTATAACAACGAATCCTTGATAATAATCAGAGGAGGCAGTAATCGTTTATGTTTGTTGCGGCATCCATTGCAGAAGTTCCGAGATCTGAAGATTGAGATGACAAAATATCAAGTTTTGCAGTAAGGCGCCCATTGAAGCTGTAGATTATGCCACAATCCGTCCTCTATGGGCGAAGCAAGACACTCTGTACGGATCTGCTCTCCCAATGACAGCGCCCCTGCAAAACCAAGCATTAAAACAAAGGCAGTACAAGCCCAGTGAAAATATGATCTGTGTACGGGGCGGATAATGCCCTCCGCGCCAATCAAATAACAAGTATTGATGGGATAGGCCACCGTCGTCGTATGCTAGAAAGCCTCGAGCAATTAAAAATGCGTAGTCCACACTACAATAAGCCCCTTTTGGCTTTTGTTCTCAGTAAAGGGAGTCAAACTGTCTGCACTTAAGAGTCAGGCATTTATGTGAATATCAGGGCGTGTGACAGAGGCTCGGCAGCCTAGCCTCCTCCATCTATCAGGAGATGTACTTAAATGCCCATCTTTTTGTTTCCTAACTGTCTTTGTTCCTCTTCATTCAGGCACTGCACAGCTTCACCTTATCCCAAGGCTTCCCAAAAACATAAGGCTGAACCTCTTACTCTTTGATTCTTTGAAATATCAGACATTTCAACCAACACCAATAAACAAAGACTTGTCCCGAAAGGAAAAACATAAAAAGCCATGGGAGTTCCGCTCGACGGTGGGGAGAAGTGGGTGGCGGAGGAAGAAGAAAAGAAAAAAACGTAGGTCCCTTCGGTGATATAGCGTGTATGACGCGTTGCCATCAATGCTAACCATGGTATTATCAACTAGGTTGGAGTCGTTAAACAAGGCTATAGAGAAGCTGGATGACTCTGCGGCCAAATCCCAGGATAAAGCAGAACCAGGAGATATGAGACGCGACTTCACTGAAGCACCGTCTGAGCAGCCTGCTAATACTTCGGGGGAGGATGACGTGGACCAGCTCCAGGAGAGCCTCGACCTGAACGAGTTTGCAAGATCTCATGAGGACAGTGCCTTTACGCGTCATCTTAACAATTGGCTGAGGTTTCATGGTCTTGACCCAGAAGAGCTAACCACCTGATAGCTTCTTGTAAGTTTTAAGCGTGCCTTGACTCTTTGATTTGGAGCGCGAAACCAAGGGAACGAGGAAGAAACTGATCTTGGCGTGGAGGCAGATAACGAGTTCTTGACCAGAACACCATTCTGAAGTTCATGATCCAACAGAGCATCTAGTGGGCCCAACCAGGCTATTATGCAAACGAGCTCGACACTGTATTGAGTTTTTGTGTGATCACACAAGTGATAGTTGTTTTGTTCCGTTGACGTCTTTTTACGCCGAGTGAAACTACCTTTATGTTTTCAAATTTAACCTATCCTGCTGAGCAGTAATGCGGTTAGCAAGGGTCTCGTCTATTCGTTGTTTATGTGAACCGGATTGATCTGTGATTTCAGAGAGAAGATTATGTCTCGTCATCGCCTCGCAATTCCCAGTGCTTTGAGCTGTCAGAGACAACAACAAAGAGCTGGTGACAAGGCATACGACTAAGGATGACGATACGAAGGATTTCATCATATTATGCATCGGAGAATGAAAATTGTTAGAAAAACTTACAAATCCATCAATGAGTGACCTTTATGTTTCTGTCTTGAAATCCATGGCCGCAGCTAAGCTCTATATTCGGACGGAGACGATCACTCAGAGTGAACAGCCCCGAGAGACAGGAATAAGTCAACGGGTATCAAGTTCATTCTAAGAAGTCAAAGCAGAAACTTTCTCCCTCGTTCCTTTCATGCATCTTCATAACAGATAATTCGTCGTCGAAACTCGGTTGGTGGTTTGAGGGCCTGCGGTGTCTTTACTTTCGGTTTTTCGTTTGGTAGTATTTTATTCAAAGTAGTTTGTGCCGTGGTATCTGTAGTTGTAATGGTTTGATTTGTGTGATTTGGTTGTTTAGGCGGTTTAAGATTTCCCCAATCTTGGTCTATTACATCTCGGGTATTGGAAGACGCGCTATTGGGTTTATCACACTTCTCTTCTTCGCTCGTTTTCGGCGTAGTGCTTCCATTATTACTAGAAGCCTCCTTTTCTAGTTGCCTCTGGCGAAGAAGAGCCTGGATCTCGCTGTGACGAAATATTTGAATCTGTTCCTCCGTGAGTGTTCTTTTCACGCCATCGGGGTAATACCCCAAGCGATCATCATATAAGTCATCATAGTCTGTGGATTGAGCTTCCGTAGTATCGAAAGAGCTTGCAAAGAAGTCAGAGGCTACAGTTGGGTTGAAGTCCTGGGTACTGAAATGTTTTGCATGGAAAGCAGATAAATCATCCTAGTGAAAGATTAGTTACCTAAGATTGATGCAGGGGGTTCTTGAACGACATACACATGTGACGATGGGTATATTCATAGTCATTACTAGTATTTGGTAGGCGCTTTGAGCTCGCGAGATGGACTCTTCAGCTGCTCATTCGCCTCGTGTGCTTGTTGTGAATTCTGGAGGCCGGCAGCAGGGGTGAGGTCAGAATAAGGTCTCGGCCTTGGCGTGTCATATCACGTGATAACTATAAACCGCGGAAAGGTTATAACTAAGCCGTCTCTAGGGTGATCGGGCCGCTGCGTATCAAAACACATCCTATCCTTGCGGCTTCAGGAAGCTCAAGTACGACAGTTTATTCAGTAGTTCGGACTACTAGCGGTACTAGAGGTATACGCTCAGAATACTAAATGTTAGGGAAAGTAAATACTTGCCTGGTTTGAGTGCATGTGGTTGGACAGCTCATGGACTTCATCGTGGAGGTAGTCATACATTTATAAAGACCAGAAAGTGCAACTATCTGCAATATGTTGGCTCCAGGGAAGATTCATGTTCTGTAATCCCTTATAATTCCAAATCTCGGAACGAGACGAGTGCTGCTCCAGAGTCTTCCCTTCTTAGACACCCTCAAGGCCTGCTTCATCAGCGATCGAGGCTAGGAGCGCTTCACTGTATATCTGATTCCCGATTTTTACTTTGACGTTATTGAATTTGATTATAAGGTCACGAGCCGGTAATTCTATGGATGTAAGTCGCTCTTTTTCATCATCGGAAGGCTCTTCGAGCGTCCAAGCGATTGAAATATGGAAACAGTTGGTGTAATCGGTATCAATAGAAGAAGAGGATGATGATGAGTTACGCTGGTGTCCTGCTTGCTTTCCGTATTTTCGTTTTTGCGTACCAGCCGGGCTCTCATATAAGGGTGGTTGACCAAAATATGCAAGACTGCTATTCGAAAGACGCAGTAATTGGTTCAAGCCATTATTTGCGGGGCGGTTCAGCTGAAGGACGAGAAACCACCTTGTGTTTTCAAAATTTGACACCCAGGCTAGCTTTTGGGGAGAGACTTCAAACCTGAAGGATGGGTAAGCAATAGAATCATTGACACAAGGCGGGATACTTACGGTTGGATTTTCGAGTTGTTCATGTAGTCACGAAACTGGTCAAGAAATGATTCTCGTTGCTCTGTCAAAAGAACCACAGGCCTGGAAAGACTGATGTGCAGCGGTAGTTGGGCACCAAGATCGCTGTAAAGGAAGCTATGAATAGCTATGCCGTTCCCTTCTGTGCTTTCACATCCTTTGATAATGTTGGATAAGACTCCTAGTTCGGTATTATTGGGGTACCCTCCAGCAAAAATCAGCAACGTCCGGAATATTCATGTCACTCCTAATCCTGTGTTTATATTTTTGGGTATTGGAAAAATCTACCTACACTCTAGGTAAATGTGAGTTGGCCAGTTACCAACTACATGGGGAATTGCCCTTGTCCTTCCATTGTGAAGGCTGGGATCATCTTGCACGCTGATTCTTGCGGATGTCGAGTACAAATCTCGAAATTCAGTAGGCAGTGGCGGCAAAGCGGCAGCGCGCCCTTGGGATTTTTGCGGCACACCGCCAGGCTCACGGCAGCGTCTTTTTGTCGATCTTGATGCGCTGCCGTCCTTGTTTTCCCGCCCGGATCCGCTTTCAGACTCTGTATCGGAGTATTGGACAAGAGACATGGCTACTGGCCCTCATTGGGCAATCTGGGATTTGTTTGTTGAATGTGAATAGGTTTGCCACTCAGGCACGGCAACTAGACCTAGCCAGAAATCTGTTCCGGTTAGCCAGCGAGTCAAGTTGGTGGATTAGCGACGGATAACATTAACTAACTAATGGTTAGCCATGGCCATGGAAATTTCCAACGAAACTAGCAGTGACTGCCACACCAGTTAACGAGTTATTTTACAGTGCAGATCAACTTCGTGACGTATACTTTATTAGCAATGGTGCATGTGGAACTGCTTGTTTTCAAGAAGTAAACTACCGATCTCGCTACGTGGTCGTGTTATCAGCCGCAGCTGGACCTCCGTCTCTCTCAGCCGGACTGTCCTGCCACAGTGCACGACGTGGAGACCTAACATGTGTGCTTTTACCCTTCTGTATTTGATTGATGGGTACGACAAGTGGTTGATCTATTAGTTATCCTAGTGCTGCCACTCTATACACGGGAACATGGGCTATTATAGCTGGAAATACCCTGTTAACGAGAGCGAACACAGCCCCATAACCAGTGACACGACTGCATAACCAATTTTTGAGTGCATAACTAAATCTCTGGCTTGCACTCTATATCCTTTCTGCCTCGAAACTCAGCTAGCCATGGATCAGTTTACCCTATGAAACCACGTCGTTCCTGAATTTACCGTTCTGATGCTGATTCATAGGCCAAAAAAAATTGAGCGCTGGAGACCTGATAATCGGTATCGCTTGTGACTATTCCCATGGTATTGGTTTATAATTGCTATGTACTGTGGCAAAAATAATGCAAGGGACGGTGAAAATGGCTATATGCAAGCATACAATACAGTTATACCCTGATGAATCACTCTGCTTCAAATTATTATAAATTGGAGATGAACCCTCTTGAACTCGGGAGAATATCCATCTTCCCATCTATTCATACACAGTCTTGTTTCCCAATCCTTCCCCGGGTAAAGGATCGTTGAGCGCGTCTGCGTTTACTTCGTCAACACTTGGTGAATACTTTTTTCGCTTCAATGTAGTATGTCTCATCTGCACCTCCCAAAGTCCATTCTTTACTCTAAAAGTTTGTGGAATAAGTGACTGACAGTATCCAAGTCATATATTCCAGTTCCTTACTGGCGCGATCCGTGCACCTGATAAGAGCCATTATAAAAAGGGCGCCTTGTATAAAGCTGCTACAGCGCCGGAAACCCTTTTGCCCCATCAGGGGTTCCGAAACTCCCTGAAAGGCCAGGAGGCCTCTATCCCAAGTTTGTACAGCTTGTTCCCAGAGTGGTCCCCAAAATTGCACGAAGAGTATGAAAGAGCCCGTGACGAAGTTATCAACCCTTGGCTTGACATGTAAGCGCTCTTTTCTATGTGAAATTGATGTGGAACATTTTCTCACCAGAGTAGCTGGATTGATGATCCGCAAACTTGCATGAAGTTGAAAAAGGCCGATTTTACCATATTCGCAGCGATTGTCTGTGCGGACGTATCATTCGACAAGCTATGTACAGTCGCCAAATCATTTGCATGGGTTAGTATCGCTTGACTCTTGACTCTTGAGACACTTGTAAACCATGCTAATTATTTGACATAGTACTTTATTTGGGACGATCGTATGTATACCCCTAATTGAGAGGGCTATATGATGACTGACCAAGGATATGTGGCTTTAGAATTTGATTGCGGATCCCTGACTTATGATGCAAAAGGTGTAGCAAGCTACTTGAAAAAGAGCAAGGAGTATTTCCAACACCAACTGTTAGAGATCGGGGAACAACCGGACTTATCGAGATTTTCCCAGGAACAGCAAAAGGCATTACTCTGCTGGGATGAAGTTGGCCAACACATCCGCGAGACGTGTAGCAAAAGTAAGTTTTTCTTTTCTTTTCCTTCACTGCACGAGTAAAAGCTCAGACTTCGGGTCAGATTCTGACAGGGAGGATTATTCAGATGTGCGCGAAGTGTTTCTCGACAAGATGCTACGATACGTAGCTAGCGTTGACACAATTGACTCCATTTTCCAGGAAGGAAAGGTCCCTTCGTTAGCAGAATACTGGCAGAGGCGAGATCTTACGGCAGGGGTTTATCCGGTGCTGGCCACTCTCCCGTATGTGACTAGAGAATTTATACTTGCTCATGGGCCTAAACTAAGCGCGAGATAGTTTCGCCTACGATATTGATATCTCGATGGAACACTTGAAAGATCCAGCATTTGCGGCTTTGTGGAGACAGACATCATATGTTGTCCATATGTAAGTTCACGCATGCTCCTTACTGGTATCAATAGGCTAAACGAAAGTATAGCACAAACGACATGCTATCTATGCGAAAGGAAGCAGTAAGTTGCTTTTCTTCAATTATCGTTCTCGACTCCCATCTAAGCTTTGCCACTTTCTAGAGAGACAACCAAATTGAGAACCTTATCCCTGTCATTATGATGAACTATGGGCTGGACTGCGACACAGCAATGCAAACTAGCTTCCAAATGGCAAAAGATGAAGTCAAAGGTATACGTGTGGTAGAACGCATGTTCCAAAAGGGAGGCGAAAATAATAATCTTGAAATACCCGAAAGCCTCGCCGTCTCCTTTACTAAAGGGTGCAAGGACGTTTGCATGGGACTGATTCATTGGAGGTAAGGAAATATAACCGTGACCAGTCTGGCATGATTCTCACTAACATGTCGCAATAGCTGCTCCGGTGAACGATATTTCAAACAGCAGGAATTCCGCGACGATAAGTCGATAACCTTTAGAATATGATCCTCTAGCATTTCGATGGCGTTGGCATAGCCGTGTGGGTATTTTCGGGGACCATTATGGCTGGGTATCGATTAACAAACCGAAAATTAGTACAGCAGGGTCTCTGGGTGGATTTTTCATGTTAATGCTTATCCTCTCATTGGTTTTGGCTGACACCTCAATAGACGTTATTTTTCTTCCCTTTGCTTTGATACTTTCATGACTTTCACTGACGTTGATTCTAACTGCTGAGTAATCACTTTAAATACACGTGATACCCACTTGCGGCTCGGACCATGAATGACTAAGCCTTGCTTGGCCCGTCGCCTGGCCAATCATGTGTCAGGAGAGTCAATGACGTTGTTTTTGCTGATATACATTTCCCAATCCATGGACGCACCTTACAAAAAATTTCCTCAGTCAGTTGTGTCATTCCAGCCGTCGCGCCTACCTGACCTTAACACAGATAAACTATGGCTCGGTCGATGACATCTTGGGGCAAGAGCAGTAGAGTTATGGCAAAATTTGCAGGCCACGCTGCCACCCGGGCAGGTATAAAGCTGGCTCTGACCTCCAACTCTCGGATATTTTCTTTCACATCTATCCATACCCGCTTCAGCTCAGATTACTAGTCACTGGCTATAACAGCTCGCTATACTCATATACTATATCCTTTCTAAAGCAAGCTGTTCTACATATCCTAGCCTTGGCAATAGTGTTATTGCTGCAGAAAAAGCTCGAAAATGTGCCACAAGGCTATCCCTCCTCACCGTCGCTTCTTCGCTGCTCCTTCAGTGCTTGGGTTTGTGGCTGAAGATGAGCCCGGGCGTGGGCGGCAGTTGCACCAACCTGGAGGCCCTTCATCTGTCCGGCGTCAACGTTATGCCTCATCTGAGAGTGCGAGATTGCGCAGCGCTCGCTTGCATAGACAGCCGGACTCAGATCCCGGGCAGCTTACACCTAGCCCGCGTATTCAGCCAGACCGTATTGATCGTCTGGACAATGTGGCTGGCCTCTACCACCATGAAGGGCCGTACGATCCTGTCACGAGAGAGAGGAACGCACTCCCTGACCGTGCTCCCGTCCAAGCGCTTCAGTCGTCAAACCAGGAAGCGCTCAATGCCACTTCGTACGACGGTGGTGCCGGTAATCTCTCCCAGCATTACCCATTAGGTGGAGATGCTGTTCCCCCTCCAGGATCCAGAGATCTTACCGATCGATTCCTCAGCTTCTATCCGCGTACCAACGTGATGGTTGAAGCCCCAGCGCATCTCCAGCGCCGTGCAGGATTTGTAAGTTTAATTACCTTACCATACCTTCATACCCTTGACTGTTAGCAACACAACTGGCTAATGTTGAACAGAATTACGGAGATGGCGATACGCTGATGGATCCATACTATAACCAGGATGACATCGAACGTCGTCGGCTGTTGCGCAAGCGCGCTAGATCTATTGAGCGTGAGGAAGCCGAGGCTGCCGATTCTGCTTCCAAGAAGCGTGATGTTAATAGCCGCTTGTAGTCGTTCTCCCCGTATCCCCTAGCACATTTGTCTGTTAACTGTTATTTGCTCCTTCCTTCCATCCACTTAGACATTGCATTGTATAGAAATATATTCGAGAAAGGGAAAAGGGGAAAGTTTAGCGTCCACGAAACTTTTTACACCACTAGAATGTTAATATACTTTGATATCCGAGTATGTAACATACTTCCACCTAATATAATAAATGTTATAATAATAAACTCTTAAGTCAATAATTTAACTATCATCAAGATGTTAGTTCCACATCTACGTATCAGCTGAATAACTATTTCAAAAATAACTTAATTTGTCTAATCATTCGCTGCCCATAGAGTGAAATGTTTTGATTATAAAATCACATACTTGTTATTATGACTTATTACACTGGGCATTGCTTGAAATCTCATCACTGAGTATATTCAAAGAGTTGGGAAAGAAATTTCGTATTATACAGTTATCATCACACTGGCATTTTTATACCAGCCTAGGAGGGGGTTCTCGCCGTTCTTCGTTTGAGTGTCTTCTAGATATGCCCAACGCCTCATGAAGTCATCGTGGCCCGTTAGCCGTGTGAGTTTACCGGTGATCGCCCGGTACACATCCTCCATTACATTGAAGTCGGTGGGGAAGAATATATCAAAATATCCTTGATGAACCTGAAGAAAAAGCAGAGTGAGCATTATAACTAAAAATAAGTTGCAGAGATTACTTACATATGGAGTTGTTGCTTGAACATTCCTTCTTTGATATCGAGTTTGGACAACTGGAGCATTGAAACCTGGCACGGCGTCTGGGAGAGAGTTGAAGTCACTCGCAATAAGACGGTGGGCTGGGAAATAATCATGCAGAACATCGTAGAACTGCATTAGTCGAGTTGGAATATACTCTGGCAGTGTCATATTTGGCGCAAAAGGAAGCGCTGTCTGCAACTTGCGCCACAACCGGGGTCCTAGTGGGGTGGTAAACGGTCGGCGGGCCGCTGCTTGCCTAACACGCAGGAATCGAGCGGCTGAGCGATCTAAATCCGGAACATAATATTCATAAAACTCCCCGTCAGAGTCTATGAGAACACATCCCTGCCTGGGCTGCCCAGTCTCCATGTCATAACGGATCACATCGTGACCAAAATTATCGAAGACTTCCAATGCTAGGAAAAAGCAGGGAGAGTGAACGTATGTATTCCAGTCGAATATCGACCGATTGATAACCTCAGCATGGCCGCCGTGGCCACCGGCATGAATGGAGTGATTGAGATTCTGTTGTTGTAAATTGGCGAGACTGCTCGAAATCTCGATGATCTTGTACTTCGTTCTTTGATATACTTCCGGCTCAACATCTCGTATGTAGTCCAAAATATTGAGCATCATCGTACCGTTTCCGGCTCCCATCTCGTAGATTATCAGGTCATGGTATGGAAAAAGTGTCAACTTATAGTTCGTAACGAGATACCGGGCGATAGCTTCCCCATAATAAGGGCGGAAGAGCTCAGTGGGTGTGTGCCACAACTGTCTTGTTTCATCGTAATTCGTCTCGTCAAGCTTATCTTCGAATTCCACGTATCGTTGGTCTAACAGTTTGTTAAATGCAGGCCCATCCTCGATGTTATTGAAATCGAAAGGTTCGCCAGGCGAAAAGATAGTCGCGTGCTTCGAGAAGTAGCCGTAATGCGGGTTGTATAGGCTGTCTAAAGAAGATAAAATTAGCAATTGACAGAATAGATTTGTTGAGCGGCGGTTGAAAGCTGCATGATCTCTTCAACTCCCGGGCCCATACCCTCGATGAAATCTCTTGTCAACATTTTCACTCTCCTCGGCCGCTCACGGCGGTTCCGCAATTCCACTGCGGTAACCAACGGATAATCTCTGAGCTCCTGCGACATGTCCTTCGGGAAATGGTCTATTCTATGCCTCCATATCGTGTCGTCTTCGTCTTCCTTTTTTCGCCGGCTCCCGAGCTTCCTGGAGGCATAGCGTGACTGCTGATGTCCACACGAACATGGCTGTAACGAGCGCCGAGCCCGCAATGGCTGGGAATAGGATAAAGACCGAGTCGTCTGATGCCGGAATAGCTGGCGGAAGAGGTGCGAGACAACCGGCGAATCCATTGCTTGTCAAAAGCAAAGATGGCTGTTTGAGCTCGAAGTTCGATGTTTTCGTTTCGGGAGGAGAGAACGAGATGGTCCGAGCTTTTAGTTAACTAACTGCCATCCACGATTTCCACCAGCACCACATAAAGAGTTAATTTGAGCATCTTCAGATTTCTCTGGAGATGACGCTGAAACATCTATGAGGGTCAAGGTAGGGAGAGTAATATTATAGCCAATTCTTTTCAGGATGGAAGCGTCATCTCGCATGCCCATTTATGTGGCTGCTGCTTTCGCAACAGGAGCTATATGCACCATCGCAATTGATAGACTCCTTCGCTCTGAGGGAGGAATAAGCCGGACGGAGCCTGGAAGCGAAGATGCAATGAATGGACTCTCCACAGCCAACGGAATAGAATACCATGGACTCCCAAAGAAACCACAGCCTCCCCCAATAGTGGACGGCATTGAAGGTTGCATCGGGAACACCCCTATGGTCCGTATACGATCTCTATCAGAGGCGACAGGATGTGAGATACTAGCGAAAGCAGAGGTAAGATTAATGTTTCGTTTGCTTAAATATAAACCGTTATTTTATAACCGGTTCCTAATTCTATTCAACAGTTTTTAAATGGCGCTGGAGGAAGCCCTAAGGACCGCGTTGCGTTAAGTATGATACAAGAGGTTAGATTAGAACCTATTCCAAACCAATACCTCTGTGCTAATACCGTGGACTAGGCTGAAGCGAATGGCCTTCTTACTCCATTTGTGGGAGATGCCATCTATGAAGGCACTGTAGGTTCTACAGGAATATCCCTTGCCACCCTGGCAAGAGCAAGAGGATACCTAGCACATATGTATGGAATCAATGATCATACCTTTTCTCTGGCAAAGTACATTATATTTACATATCTTACACAGTTGCATGCCGTCGGATCAATCGACAGAAAAATCAAACCTGCTCCTTAAACTTGGGGCGGTCGTTGACAGAGTTACCCCGGCTCCCATTGTAGAAACGGGCCACTTTGTCAACAGGGCTAGAAGTCTGGCGCATTCCCACGGAAAGGCGGCACAAACTTCGCGTGAATCTTCACCATTTGAAAAGCCAAATATAGAGGCCATGACCTCGGATGCTGCTGCTAAACAAAGCCGGGGTTTCTTTGCAGACCAGTTTGAGAATTCTGCCAACTGGCAAGCCCATTATCGAACGACAGGGCCAGAAATCTATGTACAGTGCGAGGGTAAGTTGGACGCATTTGTTGCCGGCGCTGGAACGGGAGGTACCATTTCTGGAGTTGCACGGTATCTGAAACCTCGAGTTTCGAACATGACCGTCGTCCTTGCGGACCCTCAAGGCAGTGGACTGTATAATAGAGTCCGCTACGGCGTGATGTTCGATACAAAAGAAAGAGAAGGTACAAGGAGGAGGCAACAAGTCGACTCTATTGTGGAAGGAATAGGGATTAATCGGGTCACTGCAAATTTTGAAGCTGGCCGAGAGCTAGTGGATGACGCTGTAAGAGTCACTGATGCACAAGCCGTTGCTATGGCACGTTGGCTGGTGGAGAAGGATGGTATATTCATTGGCAGCAGCAGTGCTGTAAATTGTAGGTCATTACTTGTCATCATACATGCTCTTGCGGGAAGTATTAACTTATTTATCTGCACAGGTTTTGCTGCCGTTAAAACGGCCCTAAAGCTTGGCCCTGGCCATAGAGTTGTGACAATCCTCTGTGATTCTGGAACCAGACATTTGTCAAAGTTTTGGGCGGAGGCAGGCAACGTTGGAGGAGCCGTCGGCACTAAGCTTGAGGACGTTCTTAACGCTAAGGAGTGAAGAGCAAGCGACATCGTGTGTGATACCAGGTCGTCTGCTGGGTTTTCAGCTACCTCGGCAGTTACCGGTTATTTCATGAATATTGGGGCCAAATTGTGCCAGAAGAGGACGCATTAGATACCACCTCTTTGTACAACAGCGCTCCGGGTCTTACCACTTGATAAGAGATGCTTCTTTGGCGAACCAGAAGCTCTTGGTGGCGTGCTGATCTGCACACTAGACAAACCGGAGCTATGCCATGCTCTTTCGAAAGCCTCGGATAGAGGATCAGGACTTTCTTCCCGATTGTCTGTACCTTCAGCAGGTCCGAGTGGAGAATCTTCCACTGTCAGATGCACCGAAGAGTTACTAGAAACGGTTCCAGGCCGTAGTGGGGAAGGAACTGTGACAGAAGGCCGAACTGGTGTTTGAAGCCATGAATCCTGCGTAAATGGTCGCTTTTTCGCTTTTCTGGGAGTTTTTGAATCGACCCAACTTTGCCAGATCGTTCCTCCTACGCAAATCTTGATCCATTCATGCTGTATGTCCACTAAGTTCCTCGTTGGAAATTTAGATTGTACAGTATCCCATGAAGTTTCAGTATCTAGGTTGAAAGATGCAAGCGCCTCTCGATCTGAATCCGTCCACGTTAATGAGGTAGATAAATTGCCACTGATGTGTTTACAGTAAGCATAATACCACTGTCGTAGTTGAGCTGGTGAACGCGAAGGAATAGCCAGGGACACTTCACGCCACGGCTTCCGTTTAGCTAACCGTAAAGTGACTAATGTTTTAACCTCCCGAGGGGTGAGATTTTCAGAGGAGCCTCTTGGAGTCGTTATTTCAGCACTTGGGCTTCCATTAACGGAGCTCAATTCGGGGCCTGGGTCTGCAATAGGTGTATCGACGGCCAGATCGGGCTCACTATCAGGATTTATAATGGGTTGATGTGTTGGAGTCTCGGGGTTTTTCTTCTTGGTAGCCACAGGGGTATCTACGGTAACATTGGCCATTGTTTCCGGTTCACTAATAGTAACACCATTGGCATAATTTTCCGCTATAGTGGCGGTTGGGTCGTTTTGCGGTGGAATATATATGTCTTTAAATTCAGTAGGCATTCGAACCATGGTATCCTTGGCAGGGGTAACGGAATCAAAAGTAGCAGGGCGCCTGGAAGTAGAGGATACAGGTGTATGGTCTTGAATGGGGTCATCCGAATCGGAATCGTTGGAGACCAACTTTGACTTGCATGCTGCAGTTAACTTTGGGTGTTTCCGCTTGTTTATATGGGGTAGTCGCCTGCGTCTTGAGCGAGGTGCGGCCCATATTGATCTATTGTGGTCTGGAGAAGGCGTCCTTTCAATAAGTTGGGTCGTTGTAATTGTCATATCCTCTAAGCTGGCTGATAGGGCAGTTGTTGGCAGCGGAGGTGCGTCCCATAGAGACTCTCCAGCAATATTATTGTCTTCGTGGCCTTTGGCATCTCCGCAGCATACAATGCCCTCGCTTTCAATAAGCTGAGAACTTGGTGTACTAACTAGTTCTTGTGACCTTTTCAACCCTTCCACAGGTAGGGGATTTTCCGGGCAAATAGTTGAAAAGTCTACATTGACTGTAGCAGGTTGTTCCTCATTTCCAGCCGTAGCATCGTAATCATCTTGAATCACCCATTCTTTGAAAAACGTATTCACCGTTTCAGGATCCCCTGTATTGTCCGCCGTCGGCTCAGTATTCTGGCCTAGAGGCCCTTCCTCCGCTTCACTCTCATCTTCTGGATGAAAATCATCCCAAAGTCCTCTTCCAACGTCGTGTTCATCCCCCATCTCCGTGAGATGTCCATTGTCCACAACTATCGTCCCTTTGGCCAAATCTATCTCGTCGCCAACCGAGCTGAAATCCTTCCCGTACTTTTCGAATATGGACTCAAATCGGGACTTTAGCCGCAGGTCGTTCGCCTTTCTAGCTTGGTTCACATCGAAATCGTGCAAAAGGCCGTCGTTTGGGCTGAATTGACCGTCCATCCGGCGGCGTTTGCTTGGTGGTGACATCTCCGTAAATAGGTATCGCTAGTTATGCGCCCGCGCATTGCAGTTTGCTGTAAAGTGGTACTAAGCCATCCGGCACAAACAAGGTCCAGATGAGAAACACTTGTCAAAGAGCAAAACAAACCCTTCGTTGTATTCTCGTTGTGCTGCCATCCAAATGTTTCTTGAACCACGAAGTAAACAGTGTTAGTTGAATCACACGCCAAGAGGGCCAACGTCGTCATAGGGCCAAAAAGTCCAAAGCTCAACTACAACGCCTCCAACGACTACCGCTACTCCCACCATCTACGACAACAGCATGTAGCTGGAATTCTCTGAGAAGCCTGTATAACAGTCATGCTCGCCGGGAAACACAGCTGGAACCATGTATTGCCAGAAATGTCGCACGCCTCTAAAGCTGGATAGTTCTCTTGAGGAGCTTAACCCAGCAGCATACGATCTTCTAGTAGGTAAGTTGAGCTACAACGCCATAAACCACGGGATATATGGAATGATCTAACTGTTCCAACAGGCTCTGTAGGAAAATCTACTCTAAAGCCAGCTGGTCTGGCTCGCTCGCGACCCTCGTACCCTCCAGAGCGCAAAGAACGATATGATCAAGCGTCGCAGCGGGTAACCTCCCCGGTTTATAAAAAAGAGATACCGGCCTCATCACGGCATGGACGAGGTACTCCTGAGTCTGGAGCGCAGGATCCAGCATCTGGAATGTCCTTTGTAATGCTGAATGAGTCCTTACACGCCTCGTCTTACCAGTCAAACGGACCCAGTCAACAGCTGAGGGGAAGACATAAGGGACAGGAGACCTCGGGTGTTCAACCACAAAGCCATGAAATATTATTTGCAGATCAGGTCGAGCGGACGGCGCGGATATTCGAGATAGTATCTGCCCGGTCAGATATTGATCATCCTATATGCACTGACTGTACAGAAATGCTAGTTGACGGGTTGCAGAGCCAACTTGCAACAGCCACAAAGGAGCGGGATGCATATATCTCATTTCTCAAGAGTCTGAATACCTCTATCCCTTCAGCAGATGAGATGGCGGCCGTGAAGGAAACGCTGGAGGCAACCCTCAAAGCAGAAGCCGAGGCCTTTGACCAGTTACTTGAATTGGAGAACCAAAAAAGGGCAGTGGATAAAGAGATCGCCGAGTTAGAGGAAGAGTCAAGAAAACTAGACTTGGAAGAGCAGCAGTTCTGGCATGATCGTAATGCCTTTGCCTTGACGTTATCTGAGTTCCAAAACGAGCGGGACGCTTTAAATGTGAAATACGATCACGACTCCCGGCAACTTGAACGTCTACAACGGACAAACCTGTTTAACGACGCATTCTGTATTAGCCATGACGGCTATTTTGGCACCATTAATGGGCTACGACTCGGGCGACTTGCGAGTCAGCCCGTCGAATGGTCAGAGACAAATGCTGCCTGGGGCCAAACTGTACTTCTTCTCGCCACCATTGCCGAACGGATAGGCTTTCAGTTCCAAGGATACAAGCTACGTCCTATGGGCTCGACGTCCAGGATCGACAAGATCGAATACCCTCAACCAAATCAGTCTCAATCTCAATCTCAATCTCAGTCCACGAATCGGCAGGACGGAGCAAACGGGGCACAAAACAAGATACAGCCCAAAATCACACCCCTTGACCTTTTTTCTTCTGGTGAATTGCCACTAAATCTACCGTGGATGCATCGCCGATTCGATGCAGGTATGGTTGCCTTCCTCGAATGCCTCCGGCAGCTAGGTAATCAGGTCGAAAAGACTCCAACATCGATATCCACTCCCGCAGAGCCTTCGGCTTCTAGACCGGGGAACACGCCACGACGTCAAAATTCAACGCAAGTTACAGGCCTTAAATTGCCGTATGAGATCAAGCGTGATAAGATTGGTGACGCAAGCATCAGACTCGGTTTTAACCAGAGTGATGAGACTTGGACCCGCGCTTGCAAGTATACGCTTACATGCTGTAAATTCTTGCTGGCCCATGCAAGCAATGCAGGTTCGAGCAAGTCAACCACTTGAGGAATTTCTTTGTAGGAAGTCTGATGCCAAATGGGCAGTTTCTTTGTTTTAATGTATTAATATCACTAGGAAATTTAGAAGTGTAAGGGTGTTTGATGCTGTTTGGGTTAATGACAGGTTGATCTAGCATTTTTCTATCAAAGAAAACCAATGAACGATCAAAACATAGTAAATCAAATCATATAATAGCGCATTTCAATCTCACTCAGGCCTGCTTCAAAAAAACAAGATAGAACATTAGTCGTATCAGACAACATCTGGTTGCCTGAGGATAGTACAATTGCAAGCAAAAGGCCGTCCGTAAACACAGATGGCCACACGAAAGAGTCATAAGCAATTTTTCTTAACTTTCATCTCCAGATATTGTCATTAGTGTCATAAATCGTATCTCAGGCGGTGCAGGCATCGTTAACAGGAATCGTGTCAAGGAAAGTAGATGCAAACCGAACGAACTCGAAAGCATCCGAGAAATTAGAAGCTAGGCCAAGGGAGATGCGAATGAAACCACCGGTGGGCAGGCCGACCTCGTTGAAGGAAGTTTCACTCTCCCTCCTCCTTTCCGTCGGCTTTTTGCGCTCCTGAGTCTCGCCGGATACTTTCTGTATGGCATCCGGAGAATCAGACTCGACAGCACTAGATGTTTCCGTGTTTGGCTGAAGGGCAGACCCAACATGCAATGTTATGTTGCGCGCAGCAGCTCGGCGGGCAACTAGGTCCTCGTCGACCAAACATCCCTTCATGTCGACGAAGTTGAGGGCGATAATACCACCACGAGGCAAGTCGGAGGTGTACGGGCCATATATCACCACCAGAGGCTCCCCGTTTGTGTGGGTTAAACCGTTGAGCTCTTTAAGCAGCCAGTTGGTAAGGCAGCTGACGCGGGTATGGATGGCTTCCATGCCTATACCGGCTATATGATTGAGGCCTATGCGGATGGCAGGAAGGGAAAGGAAGTTGATAGTACCGTCTTCAAAACCCTCGTTGTCTCCCAGCAACATATGTCCGTTTGCTTGGACCGAGCTGCCCCAGACAGTACCTCCGGCAAACCAGGGACGGCCCAGTTTAGCAAAGGCCTCCCTGCGAGCCAGGACGGCACCTACACTAGACGGGTGGCCGAACATCTTGTAGAAGGATACGCTGACGAAGTCCGGGTGCCAGCGAGACAGGTCTAGAATGTTTGTAGGGGCATAATTGTCTGCGTCTAGCAAGACATGCCATCCCTGCTCCTGAGCATCGGCAATCCACTCGAGAGGATGCTGGACGCCAGTAAAGTTCGACTGAGCGGGAAAGGCGAAGAGACGGGCGGGGGCCTCGTCAATGCTCTCCTTGCGTTTCAGAGCCGACTTTACCGCGCCTTCGTCACATCGTAGCTCGGGCTGTTTAACCGGTAGATATGAGACAGCCGCGCCCCGTCTCCTGGCAAAGTCTCGCAGCCCTATCACGGGAGGCTGATTGTCATTTAGCAGAAGCAGTTCACCTCCCTCGGTGAAAGGGTAGGCTTCTCCAATCAATTTGAGTGCATTGGATGTGTTGATGGTGAAGATGACGATGTATTCAGATGGGTCCGCCCTGAAGAAGGAGAGCACCCTGGCTCTGGCCTGTTCATCCAACTTCGTGATGGCGCTTGAGGTCGGATTGATGGAATGCGGGTTGCCAAAGACGTTGCTTCGCAGCAGTTCAAAATGACGCTGCAGCTGTGATTCGCCGTGGATGCCAGAGCCGGCATAGTCCAGATATATGCGGTTTTCTTTGTCGAGGACTGGATAGTCGATCTGGCGTATATGGTCCAATCGAAGAGTGTCCGCGTATGTTGGATTGGCCTTGCGAAACGCTTTCTCGGCCTTTCGAAGAGCGCGGGCGACTCTATGTTTGACGATCAAGCGCCTCCGGGCCAATTCGAACTTCTCTAGATATCGATCTAGAGGGAGACATATCAGACTGGAGGATGAGGAAGCCATCGTGCATATATTTCCGTTGGGGAGTATGCACTTCAACCACGCAGCATAGAAAAATGCAGGAAAATGCACAAAAAATGTCCGGCTGGCTCTTCGTTCGATCAAGGGATCCCCAGCATCAAATAGTGTATTCTGGATCAAGGTTGGCTGGCAATCCCCCCTGCACGGAGTATGGCGGGTTATATATGTATAAGTACTGATGTTGACGCCGGCCCTGACAGCGCCAACGCAGCCTCCCGTATATATATATCAGGCCATCCTATAACTCGGTCCCTGGCTGGGCAGCATGCAAGCATCATTTCGAATCCCGCCCGCTCCCATGAACGGGTTTCTTTCCTTTCCCTGGGATAAATTCCGCTCTTTTCCCCAAGGTGACGCTGCAGAGGCCCGCCGCCATGCAGCTTTTAGTGCAGGATTTTCGCTCACGGGCTAGCCTGGATAGGAGAGAGGACGCGGTTATTTGGCTTCCTGTCCGCATGAAAAGTGTCCAGCCGTCAGCCGTGTTCAGGCCAGAGTCGATTGGTTCTGTTGATGAGCGCAAAGCCCGCTGGCCAGGGGCTCCCATGTTAGGGGTTGGGATCGAGCGCCGGAGGGGGGGAACTTTTTTGGCCCCAGAGTGGCCCGGAAGAAGTTCGTTACATGCATGCTCCAGCCTGTGGGTACCCAGACAGTAGTGACTTGTATCTCAATATTGGGTTGTGGATATGGGGGTGTCGTACGTTGAGGGTTGCGTTGAGTGATGAGAGTCAGTCATGAATTGATGATGTGAGGTTGATATATATATATACACAGCGGCCGTTTTCCCACCCCCAACCAACCGGCTTATATGGATAACACATATAGATTTAGCAATAATAATTGAACAAACACCAGGCCAAACACGCTCAAAGACCTCATAACCAACTTAACACCGTCCGAGAGGGAAAGGGAAAAAAAGAAAAGAAAAGATTAGACAGAAAAATGGTAGTTCCTTTTTGGTTTAGGAGTAGAAAGTGGACTTCTGGAAGTTCTCCAGCGAGATGTCAGTTGGCTTTCCCTTGACGGGTTCTGGACCCTGCTTCAATGCAGTCAGGCTCTTCGTTCGCGACTCGGCAGCGTTGCCAACCAGGGTGCTCGTCCTCGTAGCCGGGGCGCTGCTCGTGCTGCTGGCGGCTCCAGCCGTGATTGTTTGCTGCTGTGGCCTGCGTTGAATGGCCTCGAGATAGGGGCTTGGCAGGTATCCGACGGAGCCATCACGGCTCCTGCACCTCCACCATTCGGATGGGTTTCCCATTGGGTCCGACTTGCTCAGTACCGCAACAAGATCGCCCTTTTTCACTGCGAGGTCGATTCCACCCGTGGTCTGTGTATCGGGCGAGTAGTCGTATAGCACTCGGCAGAAGTCGAGCTTGGACGGGTCAATGGATCCCTGCTGCTGGGCTTCGTTGAGGAGTTCCTGTTGTCGTTTTGCTTCCTGTTCTTGTGACCGAGCCAGGACGCGGATGAGCTTTGACATGAGATAGGGGAGGCCGAAGACTGCAGCAAGGAAGAAGAAGAAGGGTTTCTTGGATGGCTTGGGGCGACCGGAGCCGTCGGGAAGGCCTCCATTATTGCCGGTGAACGCAGAGAAGGCAGATGGGGTCAAGGCGGTTGCATCAGCCGGGGGCGGTCTGCCGGTCAATTTGGCAAGCAGTGTCCGCAGCCATCGCAGGAGTGTGAAGATACCCAGGACAGAACCAAGCGTGTTCTTCAGTGTCCCAAACTGCTCTGCAACAGATACCATAGCTACACCATGTTAGTCAAACTCGATCTCGCGAGACAGAAATGTCGGTTTATGGCATGGTTCGTCGACTCACCAAAGAATGAGCTATGTGTGGCCATGTAGGTGCTCTCCAACATCTGCGCAAACCCACCAAACGCACCAACGATGCTCTCGATCATCTGGAACGTCGCCTGTGTGCTCTGGTTGAATGAATGCGTCAAGCTGTTGGGGTCCCCGTTCTGCATTCCTCCATACATTCCTCCCATTCCACCATAACTGCCATACATCCCTCCCATTCCGCCGTAGCCGCCGTACATCGAGCCCATGCCTCCCATCGCCCCAAACCGTGAATAAGGCGATGAATAGTTGTTGTACCCACCAGTATAAGGTGACGTGCCTAGTCTCGATGCGCCATAGGGGGAGTAGGTAGAGGCTGTCTGGTTGACAACGGCGTTCAGCGCGCTGGGTCTGGATGGCAGATCGGGTGCCGAGGAGGAAGAAGATGTAGTGGAAGAAGAAGACGGCGCAACGGCGGTAGTAGAAGACTGAGGTGCAGCAGAGGCCGTTACAGCCCGTTGTGCTACTGAGGAGCCTATATTCATAGTATGACCAGGTCAGCCCGCTGAGTCTTGAAGATTCTGATATTGGTAGATATCTCTCTGATATCAGCTGCGAGGGGGGCGTCACTCTCTCATAAACTGACCTGAAGCTGCAACTGCTGCTCTCTCCCACGGCTTAGGGGGCGACACAGATGCCATCGCGGAGTCTGCGGTGTGTCTGCTGTATGCTGTCCCTTTTGCCCCCCTTTACCCGCGGCGCATCCGTCAAAGCGCGAGTCTGCCCAACAGCTCGTCGGTGATGGCTGGGAGCGGTGTGTCTATATGCGAACGCTAGAAAGAAAGGCCGTGTCGGCTATCCACAGTCTGGAGCAACAAGCAGGTGTTCCGGGGAAGAAGAAGAAGATTCGAATGGGGGTTTCGTGAACAGAGCCGAAACTTCGCTTCTTCTTCTTCTTCTTCTCTTTGCCTTCTCGTCCTTTTCTCTTCGTCGCCGCAAAAACGAGCCGAGGATGTAAAAAAAGTTCCTTGTCCCGTGACTCGCCGCCGCGTCACATGCTTCGGCTTCGGCGTTACTTAGTCCCGAAAGAAAAGGGTGATCACGTGGATAAACGGGCGGTGAGCAAAAAGTAGCAACTCCTCCTTTTCTTCTTCTCGAGATATGTATATATCAAACGACAACAAGTTGATATCTATAGGCCGCGGCTTTGACTGAAGTGAGTGGAGGATGGATATACCCCCGGTGCTCTGTTGATGAGCTGGTTATATCTACTATGCTGTTAAACCTGCCCGAGCAAGTGGAATGTTGATACCAAGAAGCTGAATTGGACCGCGGCAGGTACCTACCTGTATTGCAGATTATACCTGTTAAAACAGCGCTATCAAGATCTACAGAGGGGCTGCCCATCCTCTATCAGAGATGAAAGTGCTGACTTTCTGGAGTGGCGTTTGACGGTTACTCTGCATGCTCACCGGTTAGCAATAACGCCACGGTCGTGGACTTGTGACCGAAGGATTTGTTCTTCTTATTATTACCACAAGGCTGATGGGGAAGTTTCGCAAGATATGCATCTAAGGTGCGGAACTGGATTTTCAATAGACTAGAGTATGCATCCGTAGAGATGTCCCCTCCGGTCTGCTGCATCAGAGAAGGGCTGCTAGGCTCCTTGTCCTTATGATTCCGTATATATACCCTATGCTACGAGGTCTACCCGGCGCTGTAGTCAGTGAGCGACCAATACATCCAGAATCAAACGCTCTTGAGATCGCCGGCTAACCAAAGGGGTGAATTAATTTTCCCGGCCAGGAACATGTTTAAAGAGCAAAAGCTCTGCCAGATAACCATCTCCAGCGAGTCCTAACAATGATGGATCAGGCCATTTGCTATCGTTATTCCAAATTATACAAGGTTCTCGGAAAAATATGTCTATTTTGAAGCGAGTTGCTTAGCGAAAACACGGCCTCGGGGTTTTCGGCCTTACTAGTGGCTTCCATTCGGCTGCTTATAAATGCATCTGCATTCATAATCAGGACAAGTATACCTATCTATCTATATCATGAAGAGTGGTATATAAAACCCCTCAAACAATAAACACTCCTAGATTATCAGCTCACGACCAATATCAATTCTTCAAGCTCTGATTCTATCCTCAGCTTTTACGCACGACAGCATTATGGCCAGCACTACTCCAAGCATCAAGCTATGGTACGCTCCAGGAGCATGCTCCCTCGCCCCACACATCATCCTCAAAGAGACCGGAGTGAACTTCGAACTAGTCAAAGTATCATTCGATAGCATCAACAGCGATGAATTCAAAGCTGTTAACCCCAAACTTCGCATCCCAACGCTATCATTTAACGACGACATTATCACCGAGAACCCCGCGGTCATGATGGCGATTTCAAACCTTGTTCCTGAAAAGCATCTCTTCGGCAAGACTCCACTGGATACAGTTCGTGTGATCGAGTGGGCAAACTATATATCAGGCACGCTCCACGGGCAAGCCTTTGCCGGGCTTTGGAGGCCGCAGCGTTTCACAGCCGATCCCGAAGATCACCATAAGCTTCAGGCCATGGGCATGACGACTATCAAGGAATCTTTCCGGTATATCGACGATAAACTCAAAGGTGTGCATGCTGTTGGTGACTCGTTTACGATCGTGGATGCATACCTTCTTACCATGTACCGATGGGGGCAAAAGATTGGCCTGCCTATGGAATCGGACTACCCGAAACTTACTGCTCTTGTTGTTGAGGCTTCGAAGCGCCCGGCTACTGTGGCTGCCATGGAGGCAGAGGGACTTCCTCCGATATTCAACTGAGAAGATTGGCAAACGTTGCTTTTGAATCGATCATTGTCGTGCATTTCTATAAACCAATCTTGTCTACCACTCGTATAATATCTAAATAGAAATGAATCGGTGTCTCATAAGCCAAAGTAACATGCATTAGGTATCCTGAAGTGGTATTAAACTTATACAATCCGGAATGTAAAAAATAATAATAACATCGAACAATAGAAGTGCCGCCAAACGTAGTGGTTTATAGTTCATCTATATGGGGGAAATGGATCTCCCATGACCTCGGTGGGACTGGTAACCCAAGCCAGAAGTTCCATAGACGGTTAAATTCTAATACCGTGATTTCCCAGCTATACAAATTATAAGTTAGCATGCACATACTCTGCATAGTAAGATGTAAGGGTGACTTACGCTAAGAAAGGGAAGTTGATCCAACTTTTTACGATGAAGACATAGGCACGCCATATGAGGGCGGCTTCCTGTTTAATCATCGTCATGATACTCGGCGATTCATCGTCACCCTCCGAATGGGTATACATCTCGGGCTCGTCATCAATATCCTCTGCAACAGGCTGCTCATCTTGTTTCTCGACCTTAGCCGCCCCAGCCTCGTTAGCAGCGATCTCGTTCTTAATTATGTCCTCGAACTTTTGAATGGATCCCAGACTATGCGACACACGGGCGAGGGTGTTGACCAGGGCAACAAGCTCCGTCCTTCGCAGAGGAGGGTTCTCCCCATTCTTGGTCTCGTCGTACTCGAACAACACCTTCAGGGCTGCACCGTATCCAGCCGTCTGGAGTTTTCCCCATAGTCGACACTTGTCACACCCAATGCAGTCCATCACTCGGCTGACATTTCTGAATCTGTTGCGGAAATCCTCCTTAAGACCGTTGGCAACAGTATCCTGGAACATTGTGGTCTCGTCGAAGATTTGAGGATGGGTTGCCAGGATCTGCGTGAGGCTGTTCATCTTCTGTTTGGTTTCATAGTCCTGGTCTGGGTCACTGATGCAGAAGCTATAGCCCTGAAGGTGCTTCTGTAGTTTAGCAACCGCTCGAGTAAGGACACCGAAGTTGAAATAAAGATTGGCGATCCGTTCTGGGTGTGTGTGAAGCCTCTCTTTGAAGCACTGCATATTAGGACCCCATTTCCCGGTGGTCTGGTTGAAATAATCCCAGCAGAGATGAGTCGATATAGAGGCATGCATTCCACTGATTAGTCGGTGGAAGACACGTTTCTCAAGACATTCATCGTCTAGAGGGTATAGTTCATCACGTACAGCCCCTGAGACTACCTGGTTGACCTCATGGCTTTCAAGGACATGTCGGAAATCATCCACCGCCTGCAGTTGTGAACCCATTGGCGCTCCAAATACGTTGTTTGGAATCAGCCGTGACTTTTGCATTGGTTTGATAAAGCAATTCTCTCGATAAATTGCATTCCAAACGTGTCTTGCGCCTGGTCCTGAGTATCCCGTAAACCTCTCCGGATTGTCCAACAAGCTCACATAGTCACCTTTGCCCGTGGCGCCCTCGTCTTCAGGGACACAGTAATCTCTTTCGTCACACTCATCATCGTACTCCACGACACAGGACTCCTTGACATCTTCGCCGAGCATGCCTTGCAGCGGTTTCTCCTTGGGCCGTTCCTTCTGCTGCTTCTTGCCTGGATGTCCAGCCTTGGGGCCTTCTAGCTTACTCAGTTCCTCTGCTCGCCATATCAACGGTATATCCTTCTCCGACTCCAGCGTACTGACGGCACAAGCGATATTCCCGCACATTCCAGCATCGTCTGACCAGAACGGACATTGTTTGTTAAAGAGATTTAGGCGGTAATAGGAAAAGAAATCAGAATGCTGCGTAAGCGACTTGAGAACCGGTGTAATCTGGCTATTTAGCCCGTCAAACGTAGCGAAGGATGCACAGGCATCAGAAACAGTCGACCGGGCATCAATCTAGAGAAAACATCTCCCATTAGCAAATGGCCCAACCTATATATCGACAGGGTAAAGCGGCTAATCGCATACCGCACACGATCTAGATCTGCTGCTGTTGTCCTCCCCGTGAGCCGGGGCAAGGAGGCTAAACACAGCCAGGTAAAAGAGCTTCGAAGCGCCGCCCATCTTGACTAGCGAGAGGATCGGTCTGAAACTGCCTGTCAGACCAGGTATCGAGCACAGATATCGCGTGTATACGCCTGTTGAGTTGCTGCCTTTGGTGGAGCTTCCAAGATAGCTCCAGCAGACTAGTCAGTTAAGAAGCGATGGATCGATGGTGAGGCCAACGAGGGTGCAATGCCGGAAGGGACCGTGTTTTATATATTCGTTCAAGGAGAGAAGGAAACCAGGCAAGTCTATAAGTCAGGCCATCTCTGCAGCGGTGGTTCGACGGGCGGTTAAGACCTCCTTTTAAGACTATTTTATTTTATTAATCGATCTTGAGATTTCTTCTGCATGGTTTCTTTTTTGTCCAGAAGATGACATGTGGCCTCCAGCCAATCGCCAGTGACGTCAGCCGCCTTTATTGTCTTATTGACGGCTCTTTAGCAGACAGTTAATTGCTTCGTTATTGAATAGAGACAGAGTTGACAGCCTGCCGGAAATATAATTCAATAGGCGGCTCGAAGATACTACTGCAAAGCGCTAAGGAGTGTTGAATCCGCGGCATCCCGGTTTGGTCATGGATGGTGCTGGCTGGCTGTAGCTAGCTATCCTTGCATGCAGGGCCGGCCTGGAAAGGGGGTCCTTTTGATACTCGTTCCTAATATATACCTATTTCTGGTTGATATTAACTAGCTGAATACATTTTATATGTACAGGAGATCGTAGGGATTGAGGATGTACACCGGCAAACGTGTCTGTCTAGAGCTTCGATGCTTGTGCTGTCTTATCTTTCTTGCCAGCTTGCCATCCGAACTCGATAGACTGGCCGATACCAGGCTCGACAATGACATTGACAATGGTAAACTTGTGCTTCTCCAAGAAGCCTGCCCTTGTCGCATCTTCTAGCTCCTTTTCATTGCGCACAAAGAAACCTTGTCCTCCGCACACACTCGCCAGACGGTCATATCTCGTCTCGTATGAAAGGCTGGTAGACCGAAGGCCCTTCTTATCACCAGCGGAAGACGAAGTTGTCTCGTTTAAGAGAGTGGCCTGCTGCATGTTACGCCAGTCGTCTTCTGTCTTGGTGTCACCGTGGTATATACCGGAGTTGTTCATCACGAAGATCAAGGCAGGAATCTGGTGTCGAGCAAGAGTTTCTACTTCCATTGCACTGAATCCAAACGCACTGTCACCTTCCAGGGCGACTATCTTCTTTGGCAATGGCGCCTCAAGCGTACCTTGTGGTTGGGGCAGATTATACGCTGCATGGGCAGCAATAATGTATCCCAATCCGACGCCCATGGTAGCATAGGTACCGGCATCTAGTCTCTGGCGTGGATGTTGCAGCGGGAATGCGGAACGAGAGATGTCCATGGTATTTGCACCTTCAGATATGTAGACAATACCTCCGTTCTCTGGAGGTGAGAGTGAGTTGAGGGTCGTTTTGATAATGTGGAATGCGCGTTGGAAGGTTAGATACTGTCCAGCAGCCGTGGCCTGAAGGGCCTTCTCCTGGGACTTGTTTTCATTCTTGGTGGCAGAGGCGGATATAAGGGAAGGGTAGGAGGAAGGTGAATTAGGTGGCTGATAGTGCCAGTCTCCCAGTGATTTGAGAAGCTGGTCAACCACTAGCTCTATATCGCCAACAATGCCCAGTTCACCGCTTCCAGAGTTGCGACCAATTTCCTCGGCATGTATGTCAACCTGGATAATCTTGACGTCCGGTGACCAGCGAGGCGCCTCACCAAAGTGTAGTATCCAATTCAACCTGCCTCCAAGAAGCAGGACAACATCTGCATTCTTCAACGCAACACTTCGTGCACTAGACGTATTAAGTGGATGAGAGTCAGGTACAACACCTTTTCCCATTGGAGTTGGTAGGAAGGGCAAGCGTGCAGTGTCAATCAGTTTGCGAATGGACTCTTCGGCCCTTGCATATGCGGATCCTTTACCGACCACCACCAAGGGTGCCCGGGCTGCTCTGAGAAGCTGGGCCACTTTAAAAATGATACTTGGGTCACCGGCAGGCTTCGGAGGTGCATGAACCAGCTGGAGGCCAGCGGACGGCAAGCTCCCCGTAGCCTTCCCTTGGATAAGATCTGCCGGTAAATCAACAAAAGCTGTTCCCGGGCGGCCGTACCAGCATGTTCTGTATGCGTCATATACTGCACTCTCGGCATAGTCCACCGAGATAGGTCTGACGGCCAGCTTGGTATGCGGAGTGAGCAACGATATCGCATCCATCTCTTGGAATCCTCCCTTGGTGACCAGAGTAGTCTCCGCCGATCCAGCCAGAATAAGCATCGGGAAGGCATTCACATTTGAATTTCCAATCTAGTAACCAGTCAGTTGATTTTGTAAACAAGAGTAAACATATATATATATATATATACACTGAACATACTCCCGCCATTGCATGTAGTACTCCGGGGCCTCCCACGACCAAGCAAACGCCTGGCTTCCCAGTGATATACCCATATGCGCTTGCCGCATAGCTGCACGCCTGCTCGTTCCTGAACGCGATAAACCGTATTCCTAGGTTGATTGCTTCTTCGGCAATTTCGATAACAGGAATGCCGACTAGGCCGAAGATGACAGTAACACCGAGATTTTTGAGAGCTCTTGCAACGGCCTGCGCACCGGTTGGTTGGCTCATCTTTGATTCCCACGGATTGGCGCTGAGATGCGGATGGGAGCTGATAAATCAAGGCCCTTGGAGCCAGGTACGTTCGTTAGATACGTTGTTTCAAGTGTTGACTCATGCAATTAGAATTATCATCAGCGTCGGGCAGAGACAACCAAGTATCTGAGGATATTGATGTTGATATCGATGTTGATGCCGAGAAATCCCTGCGTTAAGTACGAAAACAAAAGTCCCTGGTTATGCGGAGAAAGTTGGAGAAGTTGGAGAAGTTCAGCTCGCAGCTCGAGACGTCCCGATCGGGAAGGGCGGTGACGCCATCCGGAGTTCTGCCGAGGTAAAACAAAACGCGGCTCAAGTGTTATTCGGACATTCTAAGGGGTTAAAGACGATCATTTTATAGACGATGAGAGATGGAGATAAAGGATAAAGGTGGAGACTAGATAGTGAAGTGAAGACGTGTCTTGAGTCTTCCATTATATGCGAGCTGGCTTAGTAACTTTCATCATATATAGAAATCAATGTAACTATAGGCTGTCCAATGTCCCCTTTACCACCGTACCCAGATATGTAGATATCTTTGCAAGCAACCTCCGCATCCGTGAGAGTGATTGTAAAAGACGAACTCCAAGTCTATTAAGGGCATCATCATATTGCTCAAGCTTTTAAAAGTCAAATTCCTTCTTAAATACCGAAACGTCCATTCCGCTGACCACCATATCACTGAGATCCCGACGACCCATCTGGCTAAACACCCGCCGCAAGGTATCATACAGGTTCGTGCTCTGGTTCTGGCTCACATGGATCATGCGCTCGAGTTCAGCGTCATCGATACCGTCAACACCCTCGACAATCTCCCTTGCTCGTTCACGGCCCTCTTGCTCAACCACCTTGTGCATTGATAGGGCTCCAAGCAGATGCTGAGCTGCCTCAGGGTAGCAGCCGATGTTAATGCAAGATACGCCTAGGTTGTAGCGGGCGCGGACAAAGTTAGGGTTGATGGTGAGAGCCTTCTCGTAGGCTTCGATGGCTTCCTCCGATCGGCCAGAGTTGGCAAGGGTAGCCCCAAGCCTGTTCCAGAGCAGATGTATCTGTCCCTTCTGGTTCGAACTGCCTGATTCTGTCGAGGCCAGAGCGGCTGAGAAGCAGTCGACTGCCTTGTCGTATTCCTCTGCACCGTAGAACAGCACACCCAGCCCAACTTGTACGTCAGGGTCCATGTGCTCGCCATGAGGTGAGAGTTGGGCAGCCTTGATGAAAAGGTCCGTTACCTTCTCGTGTAGCATGTGTCTATCGGTAAAGCCCATCTCCGTTTCAGTTCCGACCTCATTGGGGTCGATGACCTGTGGATACTTGACGGACAGCCATCGCTCTAGGGTTCGGTAGGCTGTCGAATCATAGCCTTCATTGGTGTATGAAACTGCTAGGCCCATGAGCGCATCGAGATTGTTAGGATCCAGCTTCAAGGCTTGTTCCAGCGCTCTGATAGCCGGGCTTTCTTTCTCGTTCTGGGCTTGCGCAGATCCAAGCAGTGTCCATGCCTGGACGTGAGTTGGGTCTTTCTGAACAGCCGCCTCGAAAGCTAGGGCAGCTAGTGATAGGTTTCCACCTTCTTCCAGGATGCGTACTCCCTCTTCAAACGGGTTGCCAACAGCTCGGAATGCGTTCTGATCTTCAAAAAGATAATCCCCAGGTTGGGGGTCTCTGTAGCTATGGGTATTCAAACCACCGTCAAAATTCTCCCACTCGCTGAAATCGCCCATCGCCATATTCTCGATCTTCTCGTCTTCGTTCACCAGTTGTCTAGTTGCAGCGGTTTCAGCTTGAATTCCTCTCCATACATTCTCAAAATCAGCGAAATCGTGCTCTTCTGCGGGAACTGACCTATCCAAATCATCAAGTTCTTTCTCCATGGCAGCATTCGCCTCTTCATCCAAATTTGCTTGGCCGGAAGCATCTATCTCAGCAAACTGGGCTTCCCAATTTTGATCGTCTAGTTCAATCATTCTTCCTTTCCCCTTGATGTCTTGTTGTTGTTCCATCGGCTGCTGTTGAGGCTGCTGTTGCATTGCCATAGGCATATATCCGGGGCCCATCATGCCCATTTGACCCATCCCCATGCCATATCCTCTAGCCATTGGTCCCTGATATTGTGACATCATCGGGCTCGCTGCTCCTGGTACGGCACCTGCCCTGCTTTGTTGAAACCGTGCGAACTCTGATGCCTGAAAAGTGGTGTTGCCCTTCATCATTCCCGGGGCTGGAGATTGGAAGGCAGCCTCCATACGAGCTTGTTCGCCAGGGTCGAATTCTGCTGCCCATGCTGGTGATCCTGTTCTTTGAGGGGAGGGGTGGAAGTTCTCTAGCTCTCTACGCATCTGCTCCATGGCGAAGGGCTGTGCCGGTCCCTGCATCTGATCGTTTTGTTTGAGGAATTCGTCCATCATCTAGACCTCAGAATGAATAAAATGCATTAGCTACTTGGTTTCTGTTAATAAAATAATACTTCCATCACCACTTACATGATCCTGTCCCCCCATCATTCCTCTTGACCGCATCGTCTCCTGACGACCAGGACCAGCACCCGCCAGCCTATCCCGCTGGAGAGACTTGTCATCTTGGACATGTTTTGTGAATTGGGTAAGCGGATTTCCTGCTGTAGAGCACTCGGAACCGCCTAAGAACGACATCTCTCCAGTATATATGTGCAAGGAAAGCCGGGGAGCTCGGGGTAGATGACGGATGGGATAGACCGGGTATAACGTAAGCTATTAACGCTCCGAATGAAGAGCTGAGGACTAGATCTTTAAAATGAGAAAACAAACAATCGACTATAAGACAACGGGTATATGGCGTTAAATGATTTTAAAGGGAGCGTGGATGTAAAATGAGATGTTGTATCTTCTGTTGAGCTGGCGTGGGGAACTTGACTAGTCGCAGGCAAAAGAACAGTTTCTTTCCTCGGCCGTTTTTTGGAGGCAAAAAGCTGCTTACTCAGCGAGCCGAGGAACAAATCATGTGACGCGCTTGCTTATCAATCTCTAGATAAAAGACGATAAGGTGAGCACGGAGCTTGGGGGCGGTGATATGGAATATGATAATGATATATAATGGCCAGGTAGGTACAGGAGAGGACAAAAGCAGCCCGCGAGACACCTCATGCAAAAAACTCGTCAGGAAAACAGTAAAACCTTTATATACTACAGCAGCTTTGAATCAGTTTTTGAAAGCCTGGAAAAGGGACAAATGGGTTCATAGTAAAAACATTCGAGAAGAGGGAGGGAAGCAGGTAGAATTATGGCGCGAGAAGAGTAGGGAGGTCATCGAGGTTGGTTTGTCCCGGGCATGAAAATGAAAGAGGCATGGACAGCATCAAAACATGTCAGACGCTCCGTTTATAAGCCACCAAGCATGAACGCCGAATAGAGATGTAGATTCAGCCTCTAGACTTTGAAAGTATTGGTAAAGTGTATATGCGGGAGAAAGAGATGTCGAGAAAACAGGTTCGAGGATCCATTTAGAGAGCGGCTCTGGGAGCTGCTTCTTCGGATGGGGATGCATTGGTCTCCTGCTGGGCCTCCGCCTCGCCCTCTAGGTTGGCGGCAGGGGCCTTGGAGTTGTCGATTTCACCTGGGCGTCTGGCACTGTGGCTGTAGTCCAATCGGAGCGGGCGGCCATATGGGGCCTGGCCCTTCAACATCTCAAACCCAGCAATAGCACTCTCGACATCAGTGAATTCAGCGTGAGCAAAGCCTCTTGGCATACCGGTTCTGCGGTCAACAGCCACACGAACATCGAAGACGTTGGGAATGTCATCGAAAAGGGCATGGAGGTCGCGGTCCGTGACTTGGTGGGCAATGTTGCCGACGAAGATGGTACGGGTTGGCTCCATCTTTCTCTGGGGTTGTTCATCCCGGAGGTCAACCTGAGCAAAGTTGACACTTAGTTTACGGCCTTCATATTCGCTAAGGTGCATTTCATCAATGGCCTTTTTAGCCTCCTCAACACTCTCAAATCTGACATAGCCAAATCTAGACCGCGCAAGTTAGCAACATAAATTAAGGGAAAGCTACAAAAGGCAAAGTCAGCAACTTACCCTCTGCTAAGGCCACGGCTATCATATATGATTCGAGTTCCCAAAACCTTGCCGTACTTGCTAGCGTATTCCTTCAAGTCCGCAGCGGTGATATCGAAGAGAATGTTTCCAACGTAGACTGTGGCTTTTGGCTGAGGCTCGGGGCGGGAAGGTGGAAGGCCAAAAGAATTTCGCACTGGTCTGACCATAGATTTCTTTTCTTCGACTGCAGGGTCTCTGGCTTCTTCGGTGAAGAGTCGTCGTTGCGAGGCCCAAAGCTGGCTACCCATCACTCTTGTGAATTGGCTCAATTGTGAGCTAGCGGCCTGTGGCTTTGGGAGAAAGGACCTTGCTGCGCTTCCGCCGGCGGCGGAGGCGGCGCGGTACATCGCATGTCTAAGAGAAATCCTATACAGCAACAGGTGGTTAGCATGTTCAATGGCTTGAAATTTGGTTGGGATAAGTAATTATAGATAGAAGGGAACGAACATTGTCGAAGATATGTCAAATAAAGGTCTTATACAAAGTATAGAATTAGAAAAATAGTATCACTTAATAAGACAGATACCAAGAAGAAAATAAACAGAAGAAGGTGAAATTGACGGTTGAGGTTGAAGATGAATTGAAGATGGAGTTGAAGCAACGAAGATTTCGCAGTAAAGCAAAAAACTTTTGAAAAAAAAAGTTTCGACGGGAAAATTTGTACTTTTCCATATTTGGGCTAGTACCGAAGTTTAAATAAAATCACGTGAAAAGCTTGTAGAAATTGTGGAGTTTATTTTGATTTTGATATCAAGGCGACAGAAATAAAGCATTCGTTCATTTGATATGTCTATCATACGAATTCATTCATGACAATGATGTACTTTTGCTTCCGGGCATGGTATTAATGTATATACGTAAAAACAATCAGTTCAGTTAAGTGCTATAAGGATATCGAATGAGGAGAGTTGCATAAACAAAAGCGCGGGATCAAACCAAATCAGGAGGCGTTTGCACCTCCTTGATAGTCGTTATTATTCATGTATGTGGGGTGAGTGGAGGTATTGCCGTTCGCATCATATGTACCATTGCGTAGAGGGTATGTTGGTGGTCTTATAGACATATTTGGCTCGTTCTCAGCGGTAGTCTGAGGCTGGTGTGTTTGCTGGAAGTCCTGCCGTTGATTTACATCTGCCCAGTTTTGGTTGGTGGGATCAAGGGCGGCTGACTGGATATAGTTATCCCAAGCCTCCTGTTGGAAATTTGTTAGTAAAAGAGATATCAGATTTAGTTGATGCGTTATCAACATACCCAGTCGAGGTTGAATGGCTGCATGTCTGGCATCTGACCAAACATGCCAAACGGAGAATTTAGGCCCGCTAATTGGTCTATGTTAGAAGGTAAGCCTCCTTGCTGGGCCGAGGACGTCCGATCAATTCCTATCATGGAATCTCCGAATTGAGGCGGACTTGTTGGTCCTTGGGGCGTTAATCCGCTACTAAGGAGTCCCAGAGTCATAGCAGCACTCTGTTTCTCATCTTGCGGGTCAAAGCTGCTATCCATTGACGTGGTATCTCTATTGTCTCGTCGACAACTTATCTTCTCCAGGAGCAATCCCAGAACACTGGATGCCTTCCATGCGTCCATAGACTCGTCTTTAAGTTCGTTCCAGATGTTATAAGATTGCCGAAGGGTAGCAAGCATCTCCTCCTGCATTCCGCATCCCCAGCCATATGGACTATCACCTTGCCGCCTGTTCGCTTCTAACTGTGCTTCATGGTAGAGATCAAGGGCAAGAATGGTGCTGGCTAGCAGGAAGTCGTGGCCAGTAAGTGACGTAGTGTAATATCTTGGATGAAGGACTCTTCTGCCGGATGTTTTTTCTGCATGCAGCATTGCTTGAAGTCGTAATAGCTCAAGCGAACTATCGATGCAGGCCCGATGTGACAAAGTATACCGTGGGTTTTCGCGGGCCCTTGTTAGATAAGGACGATGTAGAACACATTGGGCTTTGTGGTAGATGCTTTCAACCTGTAATATCAAACTTAGTAAAATGAGATTAGGCAATAGGTCAATAGGATAAGTACATACTGCGATTCTATTCATTATTAGAGTAGACGGTTCATGGGCGCATTCGGGAAGGGGTTTCATCTGCAGCCATTCGGGTATCATTTCGCGGGCATGCCGTAGCTCTCGATCCAACTCTAAAACTTCCTCGTACGAAGATCCTCGAAGTTTCTGTGACTTTTCCAGCACCCGACTAAAGACAGTTGTGAGTCTTGCATGAACAATGGTATACGCAATAGGAGCTGGCTGGTTAAATGGCCTTTCCGGAGGAGTCTCCTTGGAATCTTCATCGAAGTCTTCATCATATAGACATCGTGGAAAGTCTGTATCCGCGTCTCCCGTTCGAATCATACTCGGAAGTCCCGCCTCGAAGGAGAATAGCAAATCCGCCTGTCTAACCCATGTCCAAAGCCGTCGACGCATTTCTCCCTGGAAAACAGATATATTCGGAAACATTTTAGAATCTCGATGATATCCCATTCTCATCCCCAGACGGACAATCATTCCAACCAGGATCCAAACTGACGTCTCAGAATCACAGCTCTGAGAGTACTCAGCTTGTAAATGGAATGCCAAGGTTTCAAGTAGATATCGATGAGGCTTCGTGAAGTCTGAGTATACTAGCCCTTGTGCCATTGCAATCCGGTATGTTTTGGCTATATCTAATGACTTCCCTCGGAATTCTGGGGGTTCGTCTCGTTCTCTGTGGTATGATAGCATCGCCAGCCGAAGCATTGCGAAAACCATTGCTATCCAGACCATACTCGTTTTAGAGGGGTCTTGCCAGTGAGCTTCGTACTACACATCAGGGTTAGCGACAGGAAAACAAAATATTATACGGGTACGTGCATACCTCTTTCCAGAATGTCGGGCCGTGGACAAGCGCTATATAGATTGTTAGTTTTCTTGATTTTATACATTATCAGACAACTGAACTTACTGATAGAGGGGTCGAGGGTAGCAAAGAAACGGCGGAGAAGCATATCTGCAGTGTATTTTGAAGGGAAAGACGCCATAATCTCTGCTTCGGTGGGTAACGACATGGCACCAAATATTAGAGCAGAGCCCTTCAGACCCTGTGTCTGCTTGGTTGCTTGCACTTTCTGCATCTGCTCCTCGTACTGCTTCTTATGGGTAGCCCAGAAATGCTTAACTTCTGAAATCTAGATAGTAAACGCGTCAGTTCATCCGGTTCATGGCATATAAAGAAAGACAAGCCCATACATCATTCAGGATTGTTGACCAGTGTGCCTCGGAGACATAATATGATTTTTGGCTCTGGTTATCCACTTTCATGATTCCAAACGATTTGGTAACCTGTTCCGTGTCACTTTCTTCATCTTTCAAGTCGATGTCTACCGTATTCGTGCTTGCGCTCTGCGGGCCCCGTGAATCTATACTACTATCCCCGGACACGGTAGCAATCGCAGCAGTAGGTCCAGCCGACTGTGCGCCATTGGTCATCAGGGACAAAACCAGGTTCTCCAATCTGTCTATGCGATTCTGCATATCATCTGGCGACGACATTGCAGACTGAGTATTCTGATACCTCCGTCTGTTGGTTGATTGGGCATATGAACAGGAAGCAATGTCATCTCTCTTCACGCAGTTTTCGCAAGGTGTAGCACGATTACATTTCAATCTTTATGGATAGGCGGCAACACGCGTGGTTAGCGAGGCTGCGTGTAAAAGTAGTGCAATTGTGTGGTGTGATAATATAGGCAGCGCAACTTACTTTCGGTTTCTGCATGGCGCACAGGACACTGGAACACGGTTTCTTTTCCGAACAACGCGATATTGGCCTTCTGGAGAATGCGTACTGGGTGATGTTGTGGGCGGGGTGGGCGACATCTTGACAGTATATGTCCACTGACCTCTATTGCGGTTGCAGTACTTATGTGGAGGGAATGAGTGGTTTCTGTGCACAAACGAAAGGAGATCGAACGAAAGAACCGCTCTGATGAAAGTTGGAGGCCCTTAAGTCCGGTTATATCTGAAGTCTGGTAGTTGGTAGCCGAATTGTCAGCTCCGGGTAAGCTGTTGTAGATCACTGAGGAGGGTTGTATATTTGGACCACTGAGAGCTGTCTGGTCTACTCCGGCACCTCGAAGCGGCCTCCCTGGAGTCAGAGGGAGTAGTCTCGCGTAGAATATAAATGAATCCGATGGGTTTTATGCGGTACCGGAAGCACGACTGCGAGAGATGGAGGCCTATCTGGTTGTGAAGTTGAGTATATCAGCATGGTCCATTTTCATCAAAGTGGGATGACAAAGTCAGGCACTATCGCAGGATAGAGTATTCTGAGGGTCAAGAAGGGCTTTCAGCAGTCAGAAGAGATATACTCACGGCGCTCTCAGTAGCTCTGACAGAGTCTCTTGCTTGCTGGGCCGTTTTGCAGATGTGCGCAGAAGTCGGGTTGATGGAGTCTTTTAAGTAGTCAAGGGCTGATCCCGGCCGGCATGAAGACTCATTTAAAAGCACCGCATTTCCCCCCAGCTATTCCGATCGATAATTAACTGCAGAGACAAGACAGACAGGACAGACGAAGCAGAGACGCAGAATCTTCCCCGGCAGGCGTCTCGAGGAAGAAGATACTACTATCGCGGAAGCAAAAGGTGACGATGGCCGACTTTGCGCCGAGCTCTTTTTTCTGGGCTCTCGGAGATAAGCAGCTTTGCTCCTCACTAGTTAGTTAGTCAACTAATCACGAGTAGGAGTACGAGGACAAAGCCACACAGCACACAGCAGTAGTTAATGGCACTTCAATATCGAAACACTTCTCTCTAGAGTAAATAACATGTAGTAAAGCAGGGAAAAGAAATAAAGAGTGACGCTGATGGGAATCATTTCGTCGGAGTTCGTAACCATCGCCCGTGTAGTCGTTTCAGTGCAGTCCAAGCAACGATTTCAAAAAAGAAGATTTCTCCCTAACTAGTAGCCGAAGGGCAAAAGGGATGGTAAAAAAAAGGAAAGAAAATAAGGGCGAGGTAGTGATCATAAAACATAAAGATCTCAGTAGAGAGAGTCAATAAAGAAAGTTGAATAAAGGAGGGTTAAGATATGGGTGGAATACGGTAGATATATTAGCGGAAAAGAAAAAAGGGGGAGTGTTATTCCTGCCGAAAACCAGCCGAAAGAGGCGATAGGAAAAGGGGAGATTTTAATCCTCGTCTCCAAAGCCCCAGTTTCTGGAATAGACGCTCTGGCGAGCTGGGTTGGCGCGGATGGGACGGTCGACGACGGGCTGTTGTTCCTGGGGGTTGTTCTCGTCAAACTTGTCCCAGCTGGAGTCCATCAGCTTGACGACGCCCATACGGCTTCGGGAGACGGGTTTCTTCTCTTCTTCCTCGGCCGCGTTTCCGTTTTCATGCACGAATTCGTCCTTCATCTCCCACTGGGGGTCAAAGATCTTGCGTCTATAAGTGTTGCAGTTGCTGTTGCTGTTGCCGTTGGAGGTACCGTTGGAGGTATTCATGGGTTCTTCTCGTTTCTCATCTTCATCGTACAGATTGTGTTCATACAGCTTCAGGCCTCTGTTATGCGCAGCACCTGCAGCGGCCTTCTCAGCTGGAAGGGGGGTTTGCTCATCCTGGAGCTTGAAATGGGTCTCGGCGTCACGTCGCGGATGGGCGATGCGTGGCTTTGGCTTGGGAGTGACGTTCTCAACCTCGTCGTCGCTCCAGCCAAAGTGACGCACCTCCTGGCCTCGAACGGGTCTTCTCTTGGGCTTCTCGGGAGTGACGAAGTCTTCAAAGTCCCATTGAGAGAGATGCTTGGATGATCGAGGACGAACAGGCATGGGACAGTCCTCGGCCTCTCCAAACTCAAAGTGGCCCGGATGCTTGGACTTTGACTTCTCGCTTGCCTTCTTCTGTTCCTCTAGCACATGAGGCTCAACCTCATCTCCGAATTCAAAGTGGCCGGGCTGCTTGGACGGTCTCACGGGCTGGTCGCCAGGCAGCTTTCCTTCGCCAAACTCGAAATGGGTATACGTCTTTGAGAGGGTCTTGGGGGTACCCAGGACCTGGTCTCTCGACCTGGGAGGAGTCACCAGGGGTTCGTCATCTCCCTGGAACAGGTCATTGTAGTCTCGTGGAGCCGGCTTTGCAGAGAAGGTGGAAGTACGAGACTTGGTAGCCGGCACCGGCTCTTCGACGCTCTGAGCTTCAAAAAAGGATAGGGGAGTCTCTGGCTCCTTTGCGGCCTTCTTGGGTGCTCGCTCTTCCGGCTTCTTTGGCTCAGCCTCAGCCTCAGTTTTCTTCGAGCACTTGGCTGCAGCTGCGATGGACGAGCTGATTAGACGCTTCTGCTCCGCGCTATCAGAGATTGGCCAGTTGTTCCGTGATCCAATGACATTGAGCTTTCTCAGCAGCGAAGCTTGGTCCCAGTACTGGCGGATCTGCACGATCTTGTTCTCTGCATCAAAGTGAACAATATGGATCTATTCCAACAGTTTATTAGCATTGTCCCTTTTTCCCCTTCTTTTTGGATTGAATCCTTCAGGTATAACGCACCACCGGGATTGTGACGGTCTGGTCGACGACGAAGTTATCGTCGAGGGACAGCAGATAAGGCCCCCCGCCGCAGGTGAAGAGCAAGGTGGTCTCGACCTCGAGGCAGAGGGAGTTGGCACCCTCGACGGCGCTGAGAGTGGCCTGGGACTTCTTATCCAGCGTCCGGCGGACGGCCTGCAGGTGCTTGATGATGTCCTGGGATCCAGAGTGCGAGGTCGTGGTGGTGATGTAGTGCAGCGAGGCCTGTTCCGCGAGCAACTCCGGCTCTGGCCTGGCCAGGAAACCCTCGTAGATCGCCTGAAGGGTCATCGTGACGGGCAGCGACGAGACGCAGCGAGAGCTTGAGTACGATGAAGAGGAAAAAGAGAGTGACGAAGGCGGTTGAGGCAGCTCTTTAAGTAGTTTGTGGTTTCTTGTCGCCGGCGAGACGGAGCGAGGGAGAAAAGTTGGCCAAAGGCGTAACCTCTTTTGCGCGCGTTTGTTGTATACAAATAATACACGGGGGAGGGAAGTAAACAAAACCACAACTTCTTGCCAGCCAGCAGAGAGACAACAGAGAGTTAGAGAAAGAAAAAGAGCGTGCTACAGGGGAAGCTGGTTTAAAACGGAACTCTGTCAAGCAGGCCAGGAAGAAGAAAAGAAAAGGGAGACGGAGAGGGAGGGAGAGACAAGGCCGGCTGGAACAAGAGGCAGACCTGGCTTCTTCCTGCAACAACACAGGCGCAAGCGTACTTTGACAGCAGGAAATAACCATCTTAGCGGCAGTGCTGGCAGTGGGTTCGCCATGCAGCGGAGCCCCTGGCCTAGCTTCATGCCCGTCAGTTCACGGCAAACTACGACGTTTCAGGTTCTTCCGCTTGGTTTCTTTTGCTGCCGGGGGTGAATTTCTATAGGCCCGACGTTGATAGTGATGCAGGCCGGGCCATTTTAGACTTCAGGCACCGTTGTTTCAGAGATAGGCCGTTCCCCAGAAAAGGCCCGAGGGAGAGAGCCGTGGCAGCAGGCAAGGTGTTTCGTCGTTTGGCTTGGGGGGATGTGCCTTGGGAGGGAGCTTGGTGTGGACGCGTTTAGTTTCAATTATTTTAGTTTGGTAGAGCTTCTAGTATACAAGTGTTTTTGTTTTCTGGTCTCACACATATAGGAAGGAGAAAGGAAGAAGTCCTCGATACCAGGATGGATGTACGGATGAGATTTTTTCCACCAGGGGGGTTTCCCTCGTGCCCTATGTCTCTCCATATCGCCGAACTGCGGTAGCTCGAGAGCAGAGGTTAAGGGCCTGCATTGGTGAGAAGCATATCCATAATTGGTAAATGTAGGTGGTGGCTGTGCAGTTAGGATGGTTGATGGCGGGCCGGCAGCCAGCGGGCCAGTTCGTGCAAGGATAGTGAAGATATAGAAAAAAAAAAGAGTGTTCGGTTCATTATTACAGAGTCCTGGCAGAGGATAATGCGTCAGCCAACAGGCCATTGTAAGCCGGTGATAGCGAGAGCAAACAAACCCAAGGTAATCTTCTCTGATGCTTCCAATCGCAAACATGTTGCGCACATCATTTCGTAGTCCAATCAACTTTATTCGAAGGTTTGTTCCCGTCTCGATGACCTGATCTGCGTTATCGGTATACTGCGGAGGAGTCGAATCTGGATCCCACTTGATCTCCGGCGGAATCAACTATTTCCAAGTCAGCTTTACCATCTTCCGTTAACCACTCCTCCCGTAGAGAGTGGTGGTAGCATACATGTTTCGAGACAAAGACCGTCAACGGCCCAACCTCGGCGAAAATGCCCTGGTTCTTGACAGAGGTGACGATAGCATCAACCTCCACCGGCAGTTAGCTTCTCGCCGAAAAGAGATCTCCAAAGTATATATAAAAGTGCTCTTGTCTCGATCTCTTACCGTCTCTCCCTTGAACGGCTTCCACACAATGGCACGGTAGACGATGGTGTACTCTGCCAGACCGCTGCCGGGTATGATTTTGCCCTCAGAGATATCGTACATGTCCATCACGCAGACGATGTAGTAATCGCCCGTACAGATCCCTTCCACATCGTCCAGCAGCTTCTGGCTAAGGTACTCCTTCACATGCGACCCGAAGAACGACGGATGCAGCGTCAGGACATGCTCAAGGAAGTGTATGAAGAACATCTTTGCCTCGACGCGTGAGCTTCTTCGCTTTCTTCTTCCTCCTCCTTCCTCCCTTATATCGACCCCCGGCGCAGTCTCGCGGCGCGCGTTCGTCCCGTGCGGTATCGAGGCTCGTCCACTTCGGTGTCTAATCCTCAGCCGCTCCTTAGAGGTTTTTTCTTTTCTCTTGAAGCAGCGCTTTCAGCTGCTCTGTCAACCCACGGCTATCAGTTCATGTCTTTCTCCCCTGGCACACGCTGACCCCCAGCTCCAGTTTCAGCAAGGTCAGAGGTCAGGTCACAGACGGAATCAGCTGCCCAGGCAAGACCACTCCGGCAGAGACAGCGCGCTCGATGCAGGCGACAACCGAAGCCGACGTCCAGGTCCCGGTTCAGAACGTGAATTATTGTGAGTGTGAATGATGCTCGTCGTCAGCTTCGACTCTTTTGACGCTGCAAAAAAACACAAAACTGGCGCCCTTTTTTTATACATCACGTGATATCGAAGCTTAGCCCTTGCAGGGTTTCTTTTTCTTCCTTTCGGGCGGTTTTCGTCGTGTCTTCTTTTCTTTTCGCTCCTACTTTTTGCTGCGAGACAAGAAGCATGAACATCGAGAGCCAGCGGACGGTGGGAGAGACGATTGATGAACCGGTGTGACTGAGCTAGATACGGCTGGTGAGTGGGAAGAGACGAGATTATAGCTGTTTATTGACGACGGCCGGCGGTGGTGGTGCTAACTCGCTTATCTTCACATGCTAATCGGTATACGGCTTTTCGTTTAGTTCTTGATAACTTGCAACGTCTCGACTTCGCCCCTCGTCGACCTCCTCTTGACTTCTTCATCGTAGTAAGTCCAGACTCGGAGAAAACAATACTCGATAGCCGGAGAGATAGCGGATTGAACGCTGGTCGAGAGACAAAAGCAACCATGTTGGACCTAGAGAAGCAGTTCCTCTTTGTATGTATTGATAACCCTGAAAATAAGAGAGAAGATAGAGAGAAATAGGGGGCATGGCTAACGGGTTTATAGTATGGGGCATACCACCATCATCCAGTGAGTGTTGCTCTCTACCTAGATATGGATGAAGGAAAAAAAAAAAGAAAGAAAGAAAGAAAGAGAAAAACTAACGGGTCGATAAAGATCAATGTTATCATCCATATCACCTGCGTGCCAATTATAATGCTCTGCATGTTCCTACTGGTGGGTTCCCTTACACTGAATATAATTGCACATAATAATGGGTGTATGTATGTATATATATACTCTATACTCACCGTGTTTAAAAAAAAATAGGTGGGCAGTGCCGGCCCGCTGTTCTCTGTGCCAGAGGCCATCAGCATCCAGAATCTGCCTCCTAATGGCGGAACGATAGCAGCGTTCGTCTACCTGTTGCTATACATGCTGATGGAACCGGTGGCCGGCGCCATGCTGGCACCATTGCTGCTGAGCGGAACAGCGTACATAAACCACCTCCTCGCCGCCTACGGGCAAACGGCCGTGTACTGGTCGCTGGCCGTGCAAGGAGTCGCCTGGATCCTGCAGTTTGTAGGCCACGGCGTGTTCGAGGGTCGCGCCCCGGCGCTGCTCGACAACCTGGTGCAGGCCTTCTTCCTGGCGCCCTTCTTTGTCTGGCTCGAGGTGCTCTTCTACCTGGGCTACCGCCCCGAGCTGAAGTCACGCCTCGACGCCGCCATTGCCAAGGAGGTCGCCAAATTCAACAAGCAGAAGGCCGAGAAGACCAAGGCCAAGTAGAAACCATTCGCAGGAGGAGAGAGCCAGTCACCTCGTCTATTCATATCCGTCTTTGCTGTCGTGTTGTCCGTCGACTTTATATCCCAAGCTGTAGATTTTAGTTTTTATATCCAATAATACACACCAATACCGTATTGTCAGCTCGCACTTCCGGTTCTTCCCGCCGCAACATCGCCGTCACAGCCTGGCTGCTCGCCATCTACAGCTTCGACTCTGCTTCTCGTCAGTGTTTATCTGCGTAGTCTTCACCGAATACAGCTGCAGAATCCAAAAATACAGCCGTCTTCTGCCTGATATCGCCCTCGCCAGCCCGTACGGTCTGCGTATTTCGCGGTCTCGGCACGCCCGCATGCGGCCTAGCGCGCTTCAGCGAAACTCCAAGCTTGTTCTTTTCTTCGTCGTCCACAAACTTCAACCTCAACTTCTCTTCTCTTCTTCTTCTCTCTCTTTTCTTCCGCTTCTCCTTCTTCTGCCCCAACCGCTTCAGCCATTGCGCGCCCTCTCGCACGTCTTCCCCATCTCTACTCCTTCGTCTCCCCGTCCACAATGTTCAGAAGTGCTCTACGGCAGTCGAGCCGCTCCGTGACGGCCGTCTCTGTCTCTGGCAGAGTCTCCGCTGTAAGAGTTTTCCCCTTCTCCCAACGTCAGGCCGTCACCCTCTGCGGCCGCCCTCGCCCGGACAACGCCCAATTCCATCCTCAATCGCACGGATAAGAGCCATTGAGCTCGCCGGGGCGATGGGTTCGATGGCCTCGTCGGCTTTTCGATGGCGTTGGCAGCTTGTTTTGCTCGGCTGTTTGCCAAATTGACGTTAGGTGTTGTTTGTTGCTGACCCGAGAGGTTTGCTCTGCCTGCAGGTCCGAGCCGGTACTCCCAGCCCCTTGGCCGCTGTGTCCAAGCAAGTCAGATCCTACGCCGCTGAGGCCAAGCCAGCTCCCACTGAGGTCTCCTCCATCCTCGAGCAGAGAATTCGTGGTGTCCAGGAGGAGGCTGGTCTCGCCGAGACTGGTCGTGTCCTTTCCGTCGGGTAAGTCGGGCTGCTGCCCCCCCCCCCAGGCCATTGAACCGGCTCAATGGATGGACACCCGCGTCCTTTGTTGATACTGCTCGATGATGATGATGCTGACTTGCTGGTTGATAGTGATGGTATCGCCCGTGTCCATGGTATGCACAACGTCCAGGCTGAGGAGCTTGTCGAGTAAGTCTCACTCTGATATACGAACAATAAACATTAATTTTTTTTTCCCATCATCAAACTAACAGCAATTGAAAGGTTCGCTTCTGGTGTCAAGGGAATGTGCATGAACTTGGAAGCCGGACAGGTCGGTGTCGTGCTTTTCGGTTCTGACCGTCTCGTCAAGGAGGGTGAGACCGTCAAGCGTACCGGAGAGATTGTAAGTTTTGATATTGACCACATCGTCTTACGGCACACTCCAAGATACTAATATATCTACCAGGTTGATGTCCCAGTTGGTCCCGAGCTTTTGGGCCGTGTTGTTGATGCCCTTGGTAACCCAATTGATGGAAAGGGCCCCATCAAGTCTGCTGAGAAGCGCCGTGCCCAGGTCAAGGCCCCTGGTATCTTGCCCCGAAAGTCCGTCAACCAGCCCGTCCAGACTGGTATGAAGTGTGTCGACTCCATGGTGCCAATTGGTCGTGGTCAGCGTGAGTTGATCATTGGTGACCGTCAGACTGGAAAGACTGCCGTCGCTCTTGACACCATGCTCAACCAGAAGCGATGGAACTCCTCCAACGACGAAACCAAGAAGCTCTACTGTGTCTACGTTGCCGTTGGCCAGAAGCGATCCACCGTCGCTCAGCTCGTCAAGACCCTTGAGGAGAACGATGCCATGAAGTACTCCATTGTCGTTGCTGCTACTGCCTCTGAGGCCGCTCCTCTGCAGTACATTGCTCCTTTCACCGGTTGTGCCATGGGTGAGTGGTTCCGTGACAACGGCCGCCACGCTCTCATCATCTACGACGATCTCTCCAAGCAGGCCGTTGCCTACCGTCAGATGTCCCTTTTGCTTCGTCGTCCCCCAGGTCGTGAGGCTTACCCTGGAGAGTACGTCAATTCCTTAAATTCTTTTGTGATATATATAAAATGTTCGACAACTAACTTGAAAATAGCGTCTTCTACCTCCACTCTCGTCTTCTCGAGCGTGCTGCCAAGCTGAACGACACCCACAAGGGTGGCTCTCTCACTGCCCTTCCCGTCATTGAGACCCAGGGTGGTGATGTGTCCGCTTATATCCCAACCAACGTTATTTCTATCACTGACGGCCAGATCTTCTTGGAGTCCGAACTTTTCTACAAGGGTATCCGACCAGCCATCAACGTCGGTCTCTCCGTCTCCCGTGTCGGTTCCGCTGCTCAGCTCAAGGCCATGAAGCAAGTCGCTGGTTCCCTCAAGCTCTTCTTGGCCCAGTACCGTGAAGTCGCTGCCTTCGCCCAGTTCGGTTCCGATCTCGACGCCTCCACCAAGCAGACCCTCAACCGTGGTCTCCGTCTCACCGAGCTTCTCAAGCAGAAGCAGTACCAGCCCATGGCCGTCAACGAGATGGTTCCCCTCATCTTCGCTGGTGTCAACGGTCTCCTCGACAACATCCCCGTCGAGAAGATCCTCGCCTGGGAGGCTGACTTCCTCGCCCACCTCCGCTCCAACGAACCCGAGATTCTCGCCAAGATCGACAAGGAGGGCCAGATCAGCAAGGACCTCGAGGCCCAGATCCGTGACTGCATTGTCGCCTTCAACAAGAGCTTCTCTTAGAGTTAACCTGTACAACAAGACAAACAAACCGTCCATGTGTGTGATATGATGTGTGTGGGCATGCATATGGCATTTGGTCACCCCTCAGATTCCCTTTCCGTTTTCCCTGACTCTATGTATAGAAAGATAGCTTGTGTAAAATCTCGAGATCAGAAAACACTTATCCCGCTCTAGTCAGAAATTCCATTTGTAATTTTGCCGCTGTTCAACTATTTGGTTTCCCTGTTATCCTGTATTTCCTTTTGTCTTTCCTGTACATTTTCTCCCAAGCCTGCTTGTACTATCAAATGTCGAATGATATATATATATATACACCGGGGTTGATGTCGCTCATGGCTATCGCGGCAAATAGAACCATACTCCCTCTATGGATAAATAAACATAACCACCCCTGTCCAATAATAATATCTACTAGATCTATATTTATCCCATAAAGATATAAGAGTCATCGCCATTTTACTATGCAAGTCGCTAAGTAAAAAAATTAAAGAGAAAAACTCAATTAAAAAAAATATTGCCGCCACTTTTTGCTTCATACCAACTTTTTTTCACTCTCGACAAGCAAACAAACCCATTTCAACCTGCTAATTCTCATAATTATATCTATTCATCATGGCCACGGAACCTGAAAGCGGCCCGGCATCATGCAAAGTCGTCCTAGCTGCCTCTGTGGCCCGCGGGCTGCTGGCCGAAGTCACAGAGGGGCGAAAAGCACTGGATAAGCCACCCCACCTCGTTGGATTCCTTGCGAATACTGACCCTGCGGCGCGGATGTATGCAAATTGGACGGAGAAGACATGTAAAGAGAAGTAAGTGTCTCTGTTGTTGCCTATCTGATTGTTGCCTATCTGATATCTGCCGGTGTGACCGCACCCTGCATTGCTCGCGTGCGCATACCCACACCAGCCGCATATACATCTATCTACATCTACGACGCATCAAAAAGCTAACAAGCCCCAAAATGAATAGTGGATTCCGCTATACCTGTCGAGAAGTAAGCAAAGATGAAATCGAAGACGCTATCATTGCCGCAAACTCCGACGACGATGTAGACGGTATAATGGTATACTACCCTATCTTCAACAACCGGCAAGACCAGTACCTGCAGCAAATCGTCGACATAAGTAAAGACGTCGAGGGCCTGAGCCACAGATATATCTTCAACATGTACCAGAACATACGCTTCCTGGATAGCGCTCAGCAGCAAAAGTCCATATTACCATGCACGCCGCTTGCGGTTATCAAAATCCTCGAATACCTGCAGATATACAACACTATTCTACCGTACGGGAACAGGCTGTTCGGCCATACGATATGTGTAGTTAATCGGTCTGAGGTTGTAGGGAGACCGCTTGCCGCGTTGCTGGCGAATGATGGTGCATTGGTATACAGCGTTGATATCACTGGTGTGCAGAAGTTTACTCGCGGAGAAGGGCTCAAGAAGCGCAGACATGAGGTTGAGGATATGGAAGGGTGGACGTTGAAGGATGCTGTGCCGCATTGTGATGTGGTTGTTTCTGGTGTCCCGGGAGAAGCATTCAAGTTTGACGAGAGCTTGCTTAGGCCTGGTGCCGTTTGCATAAATTTCTCCAGTGAGAAGGTATGTTACCCTCCCCCTGACACGCGGCTATGAATGATAATTGGTTGCTAATGCGTGGGTATAATGTAGAATTTCACTCCAGCTGTTAAGGAAAAGGCATCGATATATGTTCCGGCAATTGGAAAAGTCACTATTGTGGTCCTTCTCCGAAACCTACTGGTGAGTTAATCCCTTGTTTAAGCCTCTTATTCTGCCTGGGTATCATTTTTAATCATTATGAACGTTTGCAGAGATTGTCTCAGAACCGGAAACCAGAAGGTGGCCATCCAGCAGACGCTGTTGAGAAACCAGGTACTCTCGAAGGCACTACGAACTCGTCAAGCTGAAGGTAAGCTGGCTGTTTAAGGTATGAGACTGTAGTTTGAAAAGATATAGACCAAACCCATTTAAAAAATGAATTGTTTATTTCTGTATTCATGAATCAAGTCGTCTTAAGCAAATCTAAGAACTTGGAGGATTGAAACTAAGAGATACGGGGTATCATTTCTGCTCGACTTCGTAAATGGTTTCAAATATCTTCTGCTCTGCAAAGGACTAGGTATAGAGTCAGATAGAGGTATCCATAACATGAATGATAAACAAAGGTATCATTGTTTTTAAAGTCACTGCCTATACATTAAAACCAACTTATTCTAGTTCTTGCATGTTTCTTGGATATTCCAATTCAAACTTACGCCTCGCACTCCGACGTTATTTAGAGGAACCTTCCAACGAAGATGTCTGTACAAGCTTTATCTCATTCTTGAGCCATTCTGAAAATGGTTCAAAGTGTAGGGTGCCGTCTGCCGAAAACCACTTGGAAAAAGGAGCCTCGATTGTTTTTTCCTGTACTACTTTTCCCGAAGCAGAAGTATGTCGGAAGTGAAGCTTGTATGTCGAAGATAACTTCTTCGACAGAGACTGTATTTGAAGCTGTCGTGGAGCCATGTTAGATATATATATATATATATATGTATAATGAAGGGAATACAGGGGACTATACCGTTTCTCCCTTAGGGGTGGTCCCTTCGAACACCTGCCTGTTCTCGACCAGCCATACCCACCCAGTGTATACGGTGTTTAGTATGAAATATGCTACTACGGCATATATCATCCATGGCGCCGTGAACTCCCAACCTTTCGTATAGTCAAAGTAGAAAGAGACTCCAGCAATTGTGACTGCGCAATAGCCTATGATAAGACGGATATCTGTTTTGGTGTGGCTTGCGACAAATCTGTTAGGTTTAGGGAGGCCGAGGGTGAGATATGTTGTGATAGCATCGTCGGAGGTATTCTTGAGTTCTAAGCAGATATTAGCGGACTGGTCTTCAAAATGCAATGGTATATTGTATTGGTATATAGTATTTTGAAGGCTGGGTTCGATCTGAGAATCAGGGACCTACCGGATGAAGCATACACAGGAACCGGTACTGGAGAATTGAGCGGCATTTTGAGAATATTTCGCAATTAGCAGTAGTTACTTCAGAAAAAGCTATGTAGGAGCCTGATTCTCTCTCGGGAGTATCAGAAATCAAGCTGTGTATTGGTCGAGGTCGAATGTCTGGCAGGCACAAGATAGAGCTGCCGTGTTCAATTCGAGGTTCCGCGCAGGAAAGTTATTGAAACGCTAGAAATGTAGGAGAGTACTATAGCAAATCGCATGAATATAACACTCCGTCAGCACTGGCCAAAGCGAACAAATTGTCCGCCGTGGTGTTATGTGTTTTGTCCATCTAGAAGAGCAAACTGGCATCATCAGCTTTGGCGATAATCTATCACGTGACGCATGTTTGGCCCGGACCGTCGAGGATCGTCGAGCTTATCGAGAAGTCGAACTTGATGCGCCTTTCAAGCAGACACTTCCCAGGGACAAGCTTATAGGCAGTTAACATGGCTGCTCAAGGCCTGGATCAGACGATCCTGCGGGATCCAGCTCTCTTGTACGTCTTTTTGATGTTCCTAGTGTGCTAACGATGCTGATTGTTGCGCAGTTACTGGATCCTGGTACCCATCTCAGTGGTCATGGTATGTCAATCCCATTACATCCACTCAATGAGGAGCTTTGGCTGATGCACATAATCAACAGATACTCACTGGTATCCTCCGCCATTATGCCACGATCTTAATGACCAGCTCGCCCAAACCAGCTGCCAGCCTGGCTGAATTTAGGGAACGGCTTGCTCTCTTCCGTGGTGTTAACCTACGCACCAACGCATCTGCCGTTCTTACTCCCTCGAGCTTAGCATCCCGAAAGGCATATCTAATCAACGCTTATAAGACTGGCGCCTTCTTGAAAGACCCCGAGAACCGCGGCGCTGGTGCACCAAACCCAATGACGGACCCCGCTGGAATGGACGCAATGATGGGGATGATGAAAGGGAATATGGCTATGATGATCCCACAGACTCTTATTATGTCATGGATCAATGCCTTCTTCTCTGGATTCGTTATATGTAAGACATCCTCAGCTGCGCGACTACCGCATTACAAACTGGGAGATTGGACTAATTTCATGCTCGTTATATAGTGAAACTCCCATTCCCCTTGACCATCCGATTCAAATCCATGCTTCAGTCCGGTGTCATGACTCGTGATCTTGATGTCAGATGGGTCTCCAGTTTGTCTTGGTACTTCTTGAACCTGTTCGGCCTCCAGTCCGTTTTTGGGTTTATCCTGGGTAGTGACAATTGTAAGTATAACCACCTAACACTTTGATTATACTCACTAACGATTTGAGTAGCCGCCGGTCAAGTGATGCAGCAGGTAGGCGTGACGAACCCTGCTGTGAATCCGTTCCAACCTGGTCAGGATCCGGAGAAAATCTTCCAGGGAGAGGCTGAGAACATCGAGGTGATGGAACACTATTGCATCCTGGATGGAATTGAAGAGCGGATATTACAGAAGGCATCGTAAAAGTCCTGTTTGGATTTTGGATTTTTTACTATTGCGTAATTGAAAAATTCCTTGACCTTTGAGATGTGTACAATGGTTAAAGAGACCTGAATTAATACCACGACTAAATATATATTCCATGCACCACCGAAATGCTAGACAATAACATATTGCTATATGAGATACCAGAAAATTACCTTAACCCCATTAATACCCAGATACTCATAATAAGTGTTTCATAAGTAGTTGAGAACTCCGTTGATAACCCAAACCTCACCATTGGCGACCTCGGAGATCACGTCTTCAACCTCGATGTTACCGGGGTGAATCTGATCAAAAGTTAGAAGCAATTAATCTGGGAACCACTATACATATAATGACTTACATATTTCTTCCCATCTTTCTCTTCCCAAAATATTTTCGCGCCTCCCAAAGTCCTAACCTCTTTGCCAGCCTCCCAGCAGCGCTGCGGTATCAAATGAGCCAAGATGAATTTCTCCAAGTTTTGGTTTGCTCGTTTCTTTCCCGACTCCCCTTCATACGCCTCTTGCACTCCAAAGGTGGCATAATCACTAGGGTTCTCCCACGGTTTATGAGGTAAGCCTTGGACGGCAACGTTGTTCGGGGCTAAAACTATCGTATCCTGGGTATCATTATCCAGACGGTTTGAGATATTCTCATCGCCTCTGGTCATTGAGGCGAAAACGTTGACCTCTCGAGTCTTCCCCAGGATATCTGAAACGCGGACACCTTTGCCGCCAACAGCCTCTTTAGACGGGGGCATGACGAACTGCGGCTTGGAGTCACGGTCCTCGGGGAACCTCCAGTTGAGCCTGTCGATATTATTCCGCTCCGGATCGAGGTTCTTTGGGCTTCTATAATCTCGAGGCAGCAGTCGCCGTCTGGATAGGACGGGAGGATTCCAATGGGAGGAGCAAACCGCGAACAGAGACGTCAACGCAAGAAGTGTATAGAAAATGACAATTTTCATAGCGAGCAGCAAGGTTTAAGAACACATATTATAAACCGGTTTCTAACTTGTGTCTGGTATGGCATAGGCGGTATTCAAATCCATCAACGTCGCCGCCATCGCTCTTTTGATCTCCAGGTCAAGCCTCCAGATATGACGTCAGCAGATCTGTGTCACGTGTGTAGATTGCGGGACCGCCGTTACACGTGATCTTATCGATAAGCATAATTAACTCAGGATAAACTGTAAGCGGGAAAATATTTGGACTTCGTGATGTAGGAAAAGGAAGTGAAGAGGAAGACGAAGACAGGCAGCAGACAAGATGGCTGAGCTGCAGGACTTTATGCTGGTGGCTGAAAAGGACCGGGATGAGGCAATGCGAATTGCTGGCGTTGTTGCGTCAAGTGAGTTTATTGTGTGAGGCTCTTATCGTGATCCCTAGCTAATCTGCGAAATCTAGAGCTTGAGAGCAAACAGACTACACTGATAGACATTGTGAAGTCGTTGGGGGAATATATCAATGATGAAGACGCCAGTATACGTGGAAAAGCAGTGTCCTACCTGACGGCGGTGATAATAGCTCTCCCAGATAAATTCCTGAGCCGACAGCAAATCCAAGTTTTAACGACCTTCTTTTGTGCCCGGATTGAAGATGGCGGTTCTATCACTGGCTTGCGCACTCTTCACGGGATGGAGCGGTTTGATAAGTCCATGGCTCAAGACACATTTCGGGCGTAAGTGTATTTCGAATTGGCTGCGGTTAATTGCTATTATACTAATTATGACTATAGCGTTTATCAACATTCCACGGAATTCCGATCCCGCCCACAGTCACAGCGATTGCAAGTCCTCCATCTTCTAAATGAACTGATGGCAAAAAGCCGAGAAGGTATCCTATCTTACATGGAAAAACACTGCGAATTAGAGCTGGACTGATGAATTCTAGCCATGCGTGAGATGAATGATGAGTCACTTATAGGAATCGTGGATCTTGTAAGCGGAGAGCGAGATCCCCGCAATCTTATGATTGTTTTCTCCATTCTCAAAGTAGTAATGATGGAGTGGGATATATCAGGCCATACTCAGGTAAGGTCATACTCTTTATATTGAAAATATTAATTGGTGATTACTAACACAATAGATATCTCGAAGGATCTATTCGATGCTGCTTACAATTACTTCCCGATCACATTTAGACCTCCTCCAAACGATCCATACGGTGTAACTGCGCAGGATCTGAAAGATAGACTGCAAGCTTGCATAACATCCACGTCTCTTTTTGCTCCATATTCGTTCCCAGCCTTACTAGACAAACTAGACTCAACATCAGCGAATGTAAAGGTAAGGTTCAGCATTTCAATACGATTGTTTCCTTAATCACAACTAACACTTTTTGTCCTTAGCGGGATGCTTTGAAAGCACTCAATGGCTGTGTTGAATCATATGGCCCTGTAACCATATCCCGGTATTCCATTTCTATTTGGGACTGTCTCAAGTTTGAAATACTCAACGCCCAGGATGAAGTCCTTCCTGCAGAAGCTCTGCGAGTGCTACATTCGCTAGCTTCAAAGCTACCCACATCATCAGTGAATGGATCCAATAAATCACCGCTTGCGCAGCTCCTAAAGCCGGTCACCAATGAATGCATTGATCAATTACGAGAGCCACTGCAGAAACAGGCAAAACCGGCACGGCAAATATTGAGCTCATTATCATCTGCATCTGCCCCTGCATTTACCTTGATAACTGAATCCGTTATTCGCCCTTTGATTAGCATCTATCAAAATGCTGACGGTATCTCGAAGCAACGCGAGATTCTGGAAACCTTCGTCGAGCTCTTCAAATCGGCTGTAACAGTCTTTGGAACTTGGACCACCATTACTTCTGACTCCAGCCTTCCAAACCCGCTTGTGTCGCACAAAGACGTTCTTACACAAATATTCAGTAAATCGTTAATGGGCTCCGCGGAAGATGAAAATTCATTCAGGCTCTCAGCGTTGAAAGGTCTTATAGAACTTTCTATTCTACCAAATTTCCTGGAGGATAACGAAATCGGTCTTTTTGTGCAGTACTTCGATGATATCCTTCTCCACGAACGAATTGTTGCGCATGGCGAGTTGCGCAAGGAAACCATCAATGCTCTGGCAAAGATTTCAAAGAATAAACCACAACTTATCATTGATATTACTTTCCCAGCACTATTGGCGACTCTACCTGACATGGAAAATGGAGACGACGAGTCCTATCTATACTCCCTTGACAGTCTGGCACGGATAAGCATTGAAAAGGAAGTTTTCAATACCCTTGTCAGGAGGTTGCTCAGTAAGCTGGATGTTGTGATCAGCTCCAATGGCAAAGGCTCCTCAACCTATACCGCCGCTATATTAACGACAATTCTGTACGCAATGGAGCGTCGTCAAGACCTAGAAAAAGACCCAAACCTGAACTTCTACTACGAGAAGATTGTCAAATCTCTATGCAGACGCACTGCTAAAGCGTCTACAACAGGAGGAACGGCCCTGAACCACCCACGTGTACTAGATACCCTGGGACGACTTTGTAACCTTATCATCTGTCACTTACCACGAGCCACCCAGGATGAGGTGTGCAAAAACACATATGCTCTATTTACAACCGAAGAAGAATTTACACCCGCTCTATTTTCAGAGCAGCCCGCAACCCTCCAGCAAAAACAGATGATAATTATATCAACCTATATCCTTGCCGCATTGCCGAAGGATATATCGCCACTGCCATATACCAATACCGGAATCGAACCCCTTTTGCAGCAAAGCGTAAAAGCTTCAATTTCAGAGGAATCTGATCCTTCCATTCAGCTTGCATTAGGCCGCCATGTTGCCCTATTAGCCAACAAATTCCTTTCCAAGGAGGAAATTCAGTGTGCTTCGGATATTTTATTTTCACTAATACCGTCATCATCACCTACGGCCCTATCGCAACAGACCATTCGAACCATTTTCTGGCTAGCAAAAGCTTTAATACTCCGCCTAGCGCCTTCAACGACACAGATACTAACCTCTTTGTTGGACCTGTTGGATTCCCCGGACACAAAGACCAGCACCCTTTGCGCTAGGGGATTTAGCATTCTCCTTGCCGAAGACAGTATTCTTAACGTTAAAAATGGAGCTATCGTTCGTCTTCTAGTTAAACAAAAGGTATTTACAACCGCTATACCTTTGATATCGGCCCGGGTCCACGATGCCAATACATCCGCCGCTACACACGACAAATCATCATTGAGGAAATCCCATTCTAAAGAATCGTACCTTACTGCGCTGTCCGGTCTCTTATCCACTATACCATCATCTTTAGTAATGACCAAGTTACCGACACTGTTACCTCTTTTACTTCAATCCCTCGACCTACATTCTGCCGCTGACCCCTCAACCCCCGAATTATCGCCCATAACCAGCGGCAATATCAAGTCCGCTACGCTCAAAACACTAGCCATTGTTATTCACGAAAACGGGGTCCAGGTGATAAACGAAATTGGCTATGTGGAAGATCTCGTTACCCGCCTTTCAAGGACGGCAAAAATACACAGCAGTACTGAAGCCGATATAAATGTGCAAACACCAGATTCGTCAACGTCAAAGAAGGCTGGCGTTAGCAATGCTGGTAATCCAGCGAAAGTTCGAGTTCAGGCTCTTCAATGCCTAACTCTACTTGCAAATAACCCAGCTGGACAAGGCGCGGAAGGGGAGAATAAAAAGAGCCTGTCTACAGTGTCTCCCCTGCTGCGGTTGAAAAGGACTGTTCTCAGGGACTTGCTGTGTGTGCTTGATGACCCTAAGCGGGATGTTCGTAAGGCTGCTGTGGATGCAAGAGCGGCATGGCTAAGAAATGTTGAAGATGAAACAAATGATGGCGACGATTAGGGAAGTAAATTCCTTAGAAATAGCACCGCCATTCTCTCAGTTAAAAGAAGGCATAGGACTTCCACGCATTTTGTTTTTGTCCCTACAGATGTTGCCCTTTTCGCCTCGCTTCGTTACATATCAAAAGTTAAACAGATACCTGTTAGAATTTTGATTAATAGCTTTGAGTTCTGAAAAACAGACCATTCCTCAATTTACAGTATGAAATAATAGCAATTTACGTATTCAAATACTGTTAGGGGCAAGCCATCATGCCCTAGAAAGGTTTAAATTTTATCTACAAATAAAATCTACTTTATTCTAGGTAGTTAGGGGTAGTGGTAGCAGCGTAGCTAGTTACCAGTAAGGGCCTAGGTCATCCTGGGTCGGGGTAACGCTCCTGCTAGCATCATCATCGTATTCTCTGCCACCTCCAACAAGGGAGAAAGCAAATGGGCCGGCTCCAGCAGAAGCTAATGGAGATGGGTATTTGTCTTGGATGAAATTGGTAGGTGTGTAGTTGGCCCAACCAACAACGTCAATTTTTTCCACAACCTTTCTTGCAACGCGGAACAGGCTCCCTATTCCAGATGAGCCTATAGTTCGCTCAGCAGTTGTCAAGAATTCATCTGGTCGGTCCGTCTCAGTAATGTTGCCTCCAAGATGGGATTCGGCACCAAGCAAGTCATCGGAGCGCCACGAATTGACCCGTTCTCCAATAGTGAGGTTCTTGTTTGCTTCGAGGACTTCTTCAATAGCCGGGCTGACAATAGACGCTTCGAACCAGAGTCGAGATCCTTCAACCATGGCCTCGGAACCGATAGACCGTACCCGGATGGCGTTTTTGTCCATAGGGTTGTTACCAGAAATCAATCTCTGGACTTCAGTTATCTGGAGGAACACAGGCTGTTCACAGTTGGAATCCGACGGTTCGGAGTTGTCAAGTACATACTTCCCAGTGTACTTGTGGCGTGTGGTTCGTTTCATTAGAATCTTAGTGATCCTGAGTGCACTGTCCTCTGGAACACGAGTAAATAGGATAACTCTTGTCCGGTCTGGGGGAATATACAAGTTATCAACGATGCATTTGACAGTCTCCGCAATTCCACTTTCAGCTGCCGCAATATATTCTTGAGTTCCTTTGACTGTGGCTCGAAGGTCCCAAATATTCAGAGGAAAATGAATATTTGCCGCTCCTAAGACGAATTCAGGGCGATTGATGGTCACAGCCCCAGACTCATCAATAACGATAACAATGTCAGTACTATCCTTCGTTTGACAGTGAAATTCGTAGCAAACTTGACGAGTTGTGGGTTCCTCTTCGAAATAAGGCTGGGTATCAGATTCATCCTCAGCACCAAGCTCGAAAAAATAATCAATATCTGTTCCAGAAGTTGTCAAGAATTGGTTGAACACCGTGGTGAGACCTGGAAGACCATGTCGTGGTCTGAAGAGAGAATTCCAGGCTTTGAGGTCAAGCGTTCGTCCTGTATGAAGCTTGGACACCGAGTTGGTGAGGATAAGACCAAGTTGAATTTCCACAGACAATGTACCAGTAAAATATTGAATAGCATCGAAAACAGGCTTAAGGCAGCCAAAAAGATCTTTGACATTGTTGGTATCAATATTTTCCTTCTTGATAGTTTTTTCCTTTCTCCACTGGCTGGGTTCAGGGGCTTGAGCAGGTTTAGATGCAGGTGGTGTTGGGATAGGTCCCCATGCTTCCAAATACGCGGCCTGTTTCCTTGCTTTTTGCTCAGCTTTTGTTTCACGTTTGACAGAAGCCGCTGGAGCTGGTGTTTTTTGCCCCATAGTGCGATGGAAGACTCTGGTGGCTTCTTCCCCGTCGATAATTTTGGGCCTAAGAAGTTCAAAAGCACTAGACGAGACCTTAGTGGAGAGCTTTAACTTTCGAAGTCTTTCTTCGTTCGACAATAAACCATTAGCAGAATCTGTGTTCTCTTCAGTAGGCAGCTCTGAGGAGTGGGAGGTTCCCATAATCCCAGGAGACGTCATGGCCGAAGAGCCAACCGCCGGTGAGGCAGGCCTGGGCTGGAGAGGAGGAATGGACGGAACCAATATCTGAGAAAACGGCATTGATTGCGTAGAGGGAGCCACAAACTCAGTGTCATCTGTCGATATATCGATAAGTGTCTGTGCTCTTCTCCCTGTTGATTTTCCATACTCTCTTGGGCGTGGATACATAAATGGAACTCCGTTTCCTGGTCGACGTGGGGGCGACTTCTTTGGATGACCATAAGCTGAGGTATTGAATGACTCTGGTAGGATGTTCCTAGGAGGAGGGATAACCGGATGTTGCGGAGTTGCTTTGGGGGCCCTCGCTTCAATGGGAGTTGCAGCCGGCTTCGGGTCTATTTTCTCGACAACGTGCTGTTTAATGATGGGTTGCTTGACAATGGGCTCCTGAAGGGGTTTTTCGACAATAGGCTGTGGGATTTTCGGTGCAGTTTGGACGTTAGCCGGAGGTAGAGGTTGACGTCTTTTTAGTCCCGAAGGAAGCTTGGGTGCTTCAACAACTTCAACAGAAGGTTCAGGGGGGAGAGTACTGTTTGGTTCGGAGACGTTTGTTCCGACAGCACCAGCCTTTACGCCTTCAGTAACCCATTTGTTTACAAAGGATGCTTTCTCATGCGAGAGCCAAGGGTGTTCAACAATTTGTTCATCTTCTTGTTCGCAGTCGGTTTTCATAGACAGTGCCGTGGCTGGATCTTCTTGCGGGGCGGGAGGCAAGTTTGCAAGTACTGACGCATCTCCGAGCTGTTGAAACTTGAAATCATCCCAGATGCTGGCCTGTCCTCGTCGTTGCTCTGTAAGTCGTGGTGGGAAAGCAATGTTCTTCGGGACTTTCAGTTCACGAGAGTCTGGATCAATAACCTCCATAACGGTGACGGACATTGTATGCAGGTGGTTGATCAATTTTGACTCAGGACCATCAACCAAGACACGTCTGATAGCAACTTCATTCAATGTCCTGTATGGAACTATTCTAAGCCTGAACTCTGTAACACCTCCTACATGGAGGATGTTCGCAACTTGAGGAGCCACCATTAGAGACTAGGTAGTAGGTATTAGATCGTATGCCTGCTATAATGATGCCAGGTAAAAGGCACTTACTAAATATGAGTGGACGTTCGAAAGTCGTTCCATGGCGTTCTCAGCTTGCCATTTCTCCATGCTAGTAATTCGAATTCTCTTGTTGCTTGCTTCAATATCTACCTGTGCTCCAGTTGCTTGGGATATAGCAGTAAGTATAGACCGAGGAGCTTTTATAAAGCACTCAACAGCTGCTTCATCTTCCTGCCAGTATTTGACTACGACAGGAAGCTTCAATGCCTCAGGAGGCGGTAGCTGCTCAATGAGTTGATCTTCCTCCTCGCAGCAGGCCTCACCACTCTCCATTTCGGGCCCTGCTGGTACCGAAAGTCGTGTAATTTTCGGGCACTATTTACCTCGTTAGTTGAAATAAGGTAATTTGCTAGAACAATGGGAGTCAAACCTCCAGCAAATCATGTTCCTTCTCTTTCTCAATAAAGCTGGCCAAATACTCAGCAACTGCAGAAGCAGACAGAGATACACTGCAGTTATCAATGGAAAACACCTAGTTTTGTCTCTTGTTAGCTATACTCGGGGAAGACTAGCCATGTGTAGATATAGCTCATGCACCCACATCGTGTTCTGACTCGTATTTGCAGAATCCATCCGAGCTATGAGGTAACCCCCTAAAAGGCAAAGTTAACAAAGCAACTCTTTTCATCTAGCCCAGCTAAGAGTGTAACATCTTTTGAAGGATCAGTTGGTGATATCTCACTTGAAGAACTTGGTCACCTGATCAATCTATATAAATACAAAGAGTCGAGTATCAGCAGCCTATTCATGAATTAATTGAGATAGAACAACTTGTTACTTACACCCTCAGTTTCAAGCCTCCATATGGATGCAACAGTCAGTCTATGGCCCGAATCCATGGCTGAGGCGCGTTTTTGAGCTGTCCTCCTGGCAAACCAGAGCTCAGCCTATCTTCCTAGCTTGAACCGCAGTCTTAGATGAGGAATCGAGAGAAAAAAAAAAGGGCTGCTCATGGGAATATTACTCAAAAGTAGCAGATTGCAGAAAGGAGCTAAGCCTTGAGCTAGGATATCAACTCTTTATAGTCATTCACCTGAGGTAAAAGAAAGTGTAGAGCAAAAGAGCAACAAATCTGATGAGAAAGCAGTGAATTGTCAGCATTCACATGTGGAATAGACAGCCTCATTCACTCAAATCTAAGAAGAAGAGAAGCAAAAAAAGGAAGAGATTTCAGCTTACTGTCTTTCTGGTTGTTTTGGATGTAGCAGAAATAAAGAAGCAAGAGCGGAAATCTGCAGGTGAAACACTGTGCAAGAGCTGAGCAGAAGAGAAAAACAGTAAGAAAGAAGCAGAAGCAAAAGAAAATAATAGAAAAATAGAATTATGAGAAGAAGAAGAAGAAGAAGAAGAAGAGAAGAGAGTAAAAGGAGTGAAAGAGGAAGAGTGAAGTAGAAATTTGGTAGATATTCTACTTCACTGTGTTGGTGCGTTAGCGCCAGCAGACATCCTCGCTAAGCAATGTGGATATTGATATTTGATTATCATCTTAGATAGTCTTAGATAAGATGGCCATGGGTATTTAAGCAGATAGTTTATCCGAGCTGACTGATTGAACCAACTGGAAGGATAGGGATCCTGTATCAGGAGAAGACAGTGTCCTACCATTAAGCTTTGGATTGTTATTGTGCATAGCACACCATTCACGGCCATAAGATGGATATTCATTATAACCATCTTATCAAATCATAAAACAGGCGAAGAGCTAACATACTGATTGTGTAAAAGTAATATATAGATACTCAAGTCTTATAAAAGATGAGGTCGAGTGAAGTCGAATTAAGGCTGGCATTAAAATTAAGCCGGCGGATGGACCCATAGGATCCTCCGGATAAACCTTCAGGGGGGATTAATATGCAGAGTATTAATGGTAGAAGAATAAAATATTAAGTATTGAATAAGCAGTTCTATCTAAGTATCTGCACTAACGTCGAAGAAAAGATATACTAATGCAACCAAAATGCCAATATCAGAATCATTATGAAACTGTACAAGACAGGTATCGAGGAAGATGCAGGTAAAAAGCAACACGAAAAAGGCGATTATGTCCTTACATATTCTTGGCCTCCCCTGCCATGTCCTTCCTTGTAGATGGGATGGATGTAGAAAGAAAAGAATCAAAAAGGGAAGATGGTAAAAAGGTACAACTCAGACACCCTCCCTATGACTAGTCTAATGCTGCTTGTTTCATGCTTTTTCATTCCCAACCAAAAAATGTACTCGTACAGAAGAATCAAAGGAATAAAACGTGAGATCGTGGTTGAGGGAATATAGCCGGAGATAGCGGAGGCCGAGAATGAAAACGGAAGTAGTGGAAGTGGCGGAAGAAGATGTGAAAGAGGAAGATTAAGAGGGAGAGACTTCCGGTCGATACTTCAGGGGTATCCTGGACGTGTCTGTCGAATCATATGTAGGGCCGTCGAGTGAGAAAGTGCAAATGCAAGGATCGGTGTCGGTTGGAAGATGAAGCCGTCCAATCCATGGGGGATGGGGTTGAACATGAAACAGGAAAACAGACAAGTAGGGTAATAGAAATCCAATCCGGGTCCAGTGGTCATGATGGATGGTCCGGTCCAACTCCGAACTCCGGCAACTTGGGATTATGCGAATGAAGTGAACAAATGGTAAAAGGTATCAAGAAGTGGAAGGGAAGTAGAAGACAAGAAGGAAATCCGATCCAGCGGAACTGTTATACACGTCAAACCGGGTGGTTTGACCGAGAAAAAGTAAAAGGCGGAAGGGAAGAGGTGGTGCAAGAACAGGAGATAGCTATCATCTGGCGCCTTTGACGTTTTGCTTGACGTTGACAACCCATTTCATCTTGTCGGTGGCCTCTCGGGCATCCCTCAGCACAGTGTCGACGTCTCGATCGTTCTGCCTTCCTTTCTCCACAAGGTTCTGTAGCACTTCGTCACTGCGCGATTTGTACTCTTCGTACAACGAGGTGATTTTCTCTGTCCGGTCACGAGCAGCTCGTATCTCACGGTCCTTTTGTTCGATAATAACGTCCAGTCTACTGAGTTGATTCTGCCGTTCTTGTTCGCGCTTTATTAGCTCGTCAAAATCTTTCCTGAACATGCTGAAACGGGACTGAAACTCGTTTCTGTCGCGTAATCGGGCCTGGGAGAGAGCATCATATTGGCATTGAGATCGCTGGGCAATTTCCTGTGCTTCTGCAAAGGCTCGCTGGTGCTCTTCGCGCTGTTGTTGGGCAAGTTGTGTGGTTTCCGAGGCGTCGTTTTCGGCCTTTAGACGTCTGTTCTTTTCGCTTTGTGTTTCTGATTTGAGATCTTCTATTTTCCTGTCCTTGCGTGCGATTGTTATCAGACTTGCTTCGTGGGACTGCTCGGAGCTGCGTAGTCGGTCGGTAACGGTCTGTAGTTGTTGTTTTAACACTTCGTTCATGCGCTGAGCTTCTTCGGCTCGGGTTCGGTGGAGGTTGCATTCACGAGTAAGACGTGTGATTTGTTCTTGGAGATTGTGAATAACTCTTCCGGATTTACCGGTCATGGCGTGGCCGATGGCAGAGGACCATTCTGGGGGTGATGTTGAGGGTAGGATAGGATCGCCATTAGTAAGTGGAGATATCGGGCCAACTATCGCTTTCATTTTGTCAGTGTCTGCCTATTCGAATAGCATAAAAAAAAAAAAAAAAAAAAAAAATGGAGGCTGTAGACGGGGTAAACGCACGGATAGGTTCGTCTCGCCTGGGAACACCATTGGTGCTGTAATTTGTGCCATTGGCGCCATCAGAGACATGGCTATCGAAATAACCGTTGGGTGAGTGCATGTTCAGGTTGGTCTCGACGTCGAAGAAAGAGATTTGGGGCGGTGATTCAAAGGTGGCAGTGGAAACGGATGCAGAAATGGAAGCTGACGATGAGGTCGGAGCTTTAACAATAACCACATTAGAGTTAGCACTTGGTCTGCGGAGATGTAGCATCTTTCTGAGCTTCTGGAGAGGCTGTTTCATCGTTCAACGCCTACGGGATGGGGCCGGAGACAGGCAGAGCGTGCTTTGTGGTGCTGTGTTGAAGGGAATTGGCCAGGATGTTTTGGGCTTGAGGAGGTATGAAAGAGGTGATGGGTAGGTAGGTGAGTAGGCAGGTATGAGGATGGAAGAAGGCAGTGTAGTACCGCTGGGGTCGAAATCCCACTGTTTTATCTTGGTCAAACGGGGCCGGGGAACAACTGCGGTGCTGGTTCATTGTCAGATCGGGCAGCCCATGATGCGCCTTGCTGAGGGAGAAGTGGGAGAGGACGGACAGCGTGGACAGACTGGACCTGCTGATGCGTTGGCGCCGTATATGCGCGGCCAGAGATGTATCAAAGAGAGGGTATGCGTGGTTGAATTGAGCGAGACAAACGGCCTGAGATGGCTCCCGGGTGCCTCCTGTTGGCTCTCCCCGTCCGTCTGCAGGGTCATCGACCGCAGTAGCTGCTCGTCCGGTCGCAGAGTTGGCTCGTCAGCTGTTGGATGTCTTGCCTTGACGTCGCCTGCTGGGCTGATAAGATTGATTAAAATTAATTTGTTTACGACGGGAAAGCCAAAAATACATTTGCAGGGCCTGATGCTGAGTCAGCCATGCAGATGAGTCAGCTGTCAGGCTCAAGTGACATGCTGACTCAGCGTGCTAACCCCGAAAGGGGAAAATAGAAAAAAAAATAGAAAAAAAATTTAAAAGATGTTGAGAGATGCGCGATTCGAACGCGCGAATCAAAAGAAATCAGGGTAAGAAATACGATCACGTAAGCCTAAACCTGACGCCATAACCACTCGGCCAATCTCCCATTTACTTGGGCGTTTGGAGGCGCAGTTGGTGAAGTACTAGGGGGCTGCCAAGCTGACTGCAAACAACATAAGAGACTCCTTCCCGGCTTCCGCATGGCATGAGGCTTGATATAGATTTGATATGGGTAAACTGAACCCATCAGGGGCTGGCTTAAACATATCTGAATAGACAAATACACTCGCGGGAAACTAAGCCCATATCTATGGATTTAGTCTCGGCTATGGGGGAACCGTTGTCATTGCCATTGTGATTTATCAGTCTGATTCAAGAGTAAACAGCAAGGAACAGCAAGATACAGGCGAATAAATCGACGATCAAGGCTACTCCTTGTCCCAGTCCATGTCGATGTCTATGTCTTCAGCGCCGACGCACTCCTTGAACTCCCTCGTCTCGACCTCCTTGTCCAGTGCCTCAAATAGTCTGCTGAGATAGACCTTTTCTCCCGGGATCTTCAGGCCAATGTCCATGCCAGAGAAGATAGCCGCTTCAAAACACGACCGAGCCAGCTTGGCGACTGGCGGCACCCCAGATCTATACAGGTCTTTGAATCGCTGTCTCCAGAAGAGCCAGCGCTCAATACTAAATCCGGGCTGGGTAACACCCGCCTGCACCGCAAGGTCACCCGGCACAGTCATACTATTATCGTTGTCCTCCTCACTGTTGATACCACCACCGGAAGCGTGTGTTGCTGTGTAATTCTCCTGTGAGAGCTTGACCAGCTTGCTGTTGCTATGCTTCAGCCAAGCCAGACACGCGGGTAGGAGGTCGTGGACGGTAGGACGAGCCTTGTCGTCCTGTCCATCCTCCGTGACTGGCCTGTCAGTTTCGAGAGCCTGCTTGAATAACCACAATGCACAGCGGCTGAGATCCTTCGGACAGATACCTGTCGCACACAACTTTGCCGTCCACGCAGCAACGCTCTCTCGCTCTGTTGGTGTGAATCCCATAGACTCCTTGGTCCACGAATCCTTCACCTCCTGCGCCAGGTAAGGGAGATCAATCCATAGCCTTTGTCCGTTGGGCAATGTCACTGCCTCGCGCTCCGGCGCAGCTTCTCTGTCTGCCTGATTCTGAGTGAAGATCCCTAACTCACGGGTTTCCGATACCAACGTGACAAGTCGATCAAGTTCGGCACTGGTGGCTGGCGTGATCTTCACTGCATGAATGAGCTCGTCCCAGATATCGTGCAGCTGGCTCTCTATCTCCACCACTTTAAAGTCGTCACTGAAATATCCCCTTCCTACCCCACCGATGGCGTTGCGGAGGTTTTCCCATGTCTCCTGCGCGTTGGCTGGGTCTGTTTCGTAGTCTTTGCGCTTTTCCTCTCGCGTGGAGCTGGGTAAGGCACAAGTTCCGCCGGGACAGTCCATGCTGGCTGAAAGTAATGAAAGAGCAGAGAAAGCAAGGGCGCAGGAAGATGGGGCTGGCGTAAAGAAGACTCAATTTTGGATATTGATCCCGACTGGCAGTCGGCTTGTTTTTGTATGGAACTCCGACCACTCAACGTGGTCTTTGTGACGATACGTTACACTGCAGACAAGCCAGAAGTAACAGTGAACGTATGTAGATGTCAAGGGTAGAATTATAGATGGTGATATTGAGGTCGTGGAAAACTGTCCTTTTCGAGGTGAGAAATGAGTGTCGGTTATGCCGAATTTGGATATAAAGGTTGTCGACCTCATTCCACTGAAAACGCGGACTCAACCATCACAACAACAACAACAAAGATATCAACCAGAACGACGATAACCCGACTCGAAGCTACACTAAAAATCCCTTACTATCTTCGCATAGTACTGGCTGATTCTGTCCTATCAAACGCGGTTCCATCAAAGAATGTTGCTGATCTCGCAGAGTGGTATTCTATAGAGTACCAGGTGTAAGCCCCTTGGTCCTGTTATTTTCATACTTACTGACATTCTGGAAGAGCTCTGTATGATGGTCGGGTTGGAGTACAACTGCGAGCAAATGGATGTACAAACCATTGATGCCGCCGTAGAGCTATTACCAACTCGATACTCGTCAACTCTCCATGCATTGAACCGGAGCTTGCTCGGGTCATACCAAAAGGTTAATTCATATGTCTCTTTCTCCTGTTTTTAGATAACAGTGTTCAAGAGGTGAGGGTATTCACCCGGTATTCAAATCCCGAAGTATGGGAGGACGGAGAATATATGGATCCTTCAGTAATACCTCACACAACTGAGCTGGACCAACACATATCTCCTATAGACGATATGGTCTCGGGGCTCACGATATTACACCGAGCAGTTACACCATGAAGGAAGAGGAGAATAGACGGTGATAGCTGATGTTATATATCTGCTTGCCATCAGATATATAAAGTCTTCATCTATCACTGTTGATGCCATCTTGATCAAGCCATTTAAACCACACAACTAAACCAGGGGATATCTAAACCATCCAAGCCTATATTAGCAATGAAGTTCGATCTGGTTCTTCTCGCCGCCTTCCTGGCAGCTCCTATCCTCGCAAACACCATCCCTGAAGTCAGCGAGGCTGTCGACCTTGCTGACCGCGACATGTCTGCTGTTGACGAGGGGAATGAACTCACAGCCAGAAAGGTGCGGTCTCGGATTCCTAGCAAGGTATTTTCTGCTGTTTTGACGCCATGCTAACTTGGACAATTGCAGAGATGCATTGGAAGATGCAATAAGAACGGATGCCACTGCACCAGGCCCGTCAGAGTGTGTCCATGCAACAGAGTCGGGGCGAGATGCGTTTGTCGCTAGGGTACAGGGTGCTGTTCCTGACCTCTCATTGCTCTTAATGATCTGTTTTCGGTATTTCATCCATATTTCTGGACAACATGTCGACTCTCGTTAGCCTCGGGCACCATAGTCGCCTGAAAAGAAGTACTCAGGGTATGGAGAAATGATATCAATAGTTTTGAATCTTTGAATGAAGGCGATATACCCGCAGGGTTCCCGTTTGGTATCAATAATAGTCATAGCTGGCCACCGCCAGATAGCAGCACCTCCTTTCAAATGATGATATAAAACCTGTCCCTTCATTCTCAACGAAGTATAAAACGTATGTAACCACGGACGGACATAGGGAGGATGCTTTGTTTCAACCAGCCCTTAGGTTGAATCCAATAACGAAACATGCGCTCGCCCCCGCCATGAACTAACTTCTGGCCGACGATCGAGGATTAGGTTCCTTTCGTCCTCAATCCCAGTCCTCGCTATGATCCGAAAAGCTGGTTTATGCAATAATTGATTCCAGGAGCAGGAATGTGCCGAGGAAGAAGCAAGTCGGCCGATTAACCACCCTCAGGCCGATAACTGTTTTCATATAAATTGAAAGCTTCTTGCTCTTCCATGAAAAGCCCTCTCGAAAACGAGAGCATATTATATACCAGCCACAGCCGTGGGGAACAAGATGCCAGATAGTCTGCAAGCCACCGACAACTTTATACGGAGTAGGTATGGAGAAGCTGTGAGTAATAATGAGCTTTGATCTTGAAATCATAATTCGAGGCTCGATTCCCGTGTCGATCCCTATCAATATGCTGATCACGGTTTGTCGGAATCAATTAACTTGCGGCAACGATACCTTGAGCGTGAGCTTGCATCATCGGTAAACAAACGCATAAACAACAGGAAGAGATGTTAACCGATCGCTGAATTTTTGGCGTCTCTGGATGCCTGTCGTGGATGGTGTGGAATTCAGGGGTAAAACTACAACCCCTTATACCAACTTCACCCACGCCAATGGCCACGGATACCCAGCACACGAACAAGAGGACATCAAAGCTTAAGAGGTGCGGGCTGACCGCAAGGCTTAGTTTCTATCTTGTCCCGTCTTGATCCCGTTGAAGAACGGATGGCTATCTGGGCATTCTATATCAGATATCTACACATACGCGCTGCGGCGTATTAATGATATAGATATACTGCTTGTCTGCCCTCTATCAAATCAATCTCTCCACTCTCGTCCAACTTTGCCACCCAATAGCCGTGGGAAGATCAAACGTGCACGACGCTGCAAAATGGGATAGAGTTCAATAAGGACGGTAAGGAGTCAAGTCTGGGGAAGAAGATGGAGGCGGGAGAAGGATGGCTCAAGCCTGGTGCACAAGCATGCCCAAAGCACGGCAACACGAGCAATGCAAAAAGCAATAACTAAGGATCGGCTGGACAAGATGAAAATGCGTGGAATTGATTGATGAAGGGACAAAGGCAGGAGGAAGACGGATAGGGGGCAACGACTCGATTGGAAGGAGATTTGCAAGATGGAAAGTAAAAAAAGATAACAGCTTGTTAGGATAGCATGATAAATGCAGCGTACAGTACTATGTGAGTATGTGGTGGTAAGAGGTAGTGTGTGTGTGTCCTTGTCCTGTCTCATTCCGCTATGTACATCCAATCATCGATCAAACTCCGTCGCAAATGGTAAAAAAAACAAAAAGGTAGAGGATTGAGCCCACCCACCGAAGAAGAGAAAAGGTATTAAAGTTTAAGAAGTAAATATAGAAGAAGTAGAGAGAGCAAATGGTAATGGCATAAGAGGTTTTTCAAGGATCAATCGGTCAATCAAATCACATCGTGAAGAGCCAGCCATGCAAAGAGAGGGTGGACACAGTTAAGAAGTTAAGTAAGCACATCAATCAGAATCAAATCAATAACGACAAATAAGAAAAGTGATGAACAGGAGATGTATGTCTTCCATGTTCGGAGCTCAGAAAGAGCGCGATGCTTAGTTGAGATAAGCGAAGGCGACAAGACCGGCCATGATGAGCGCGAGCGGGCTGGACAGGGCGGTCAACGAGGCTGCGTTTCCAGTTGGAGTAGCACTTGGAGTGAGAGTAGCGCTCTCGGACTGGGAAGTGAGGGTTTGCGAAGACATGGTGGTGTTGCGGTCGCTGGTGGTGGTGGCAGTTCCCATGCTTGGGGTGGGAGAGCTGGGCTTGCTCGTCATGGTGGTCATGGTGGTATGGTTGGCAGAGTTGGACATGGTCATGCTGGCATGAGGGGTGGAAGTAACAGCTGGCTTGGTTACTGGCTTTGAGGGCTCGCCAGAAGAGCTAGACGAAGGAGCGGCAGTAGTGGTGGAAGCAGGGGCAGACGATGGAGCGCCGTGGCCGCCAGTGATACTGAACTGGCCGGTGTAGTTGGTTTCGTCACCCTGCTTGATCTGGAGAGCATAGTCGGGGCCTGAGGGGAGGGATGCAGGCAGAGTGAAGGTGCAGGAGCCGCCAGTTGCTTGGGCTGTTATCACGTTAGTATCTGTCTTTTTGCGCTGGGTATATCATAACATTCAGCTACAAGACTTACAGCACACGGTAAAGACATCGTGGAGGTTGCCACTTGGGCCCTGGCGCAAAATAATGTCAACGGGCTAATAAATGGTGTGTCAGCACTGTGTCTTCTTCAATGCATTTTCAACAAGAATGGAAAACATACAGCATTAGGGTTGCCTCCAGCCCAGGTCACCGTAATGGGCTCGCCAACTCTCGGGTCCTTGGGGAATGTGGTGAAAGCGGGCCTTTCAGCAGCAACGGCGGCAATGAGAGCCGCGCCGGCAAGGAGAGTCTGGAAGAGCTGCATTGTGATGGTTGGTTTGGTATTAAAAAGGCACCGGAAATAGATTAAAATTAGGCGAGGGTATTAGGTATTGACGCGAGCGGGCGCTGTATAGATGTTTTGGTTGAAAGGACAGTGGTAGCTGATCTCGTAAGGACTGTTTGTGTTGCTTGTAGGGAATGACAATAAGCAGCGACACCGTGAGCTGATTAAATTAAAAACCGAGATGAGGAGGAGAAGAGAGGGAAGAAGAGAAAGAAAAAGACGAGCAGGAGGTGGAAAGGAGAGAGAAGAAAAAGGATTCCCGTCTTGCCTCTCTATCCTTTTTGCTTCCACCTGCGCTCGCTGTCGAGGTTTGCTTTTGGCGGATGGAAGAAGCTAAGTGGACTAGCGAACCTTGCCCCTTTAGGCCCAGATGCTGCTGACCCCCTGGTCTATAGCAATTGGGTTTCTTTTCTTTTTTCTTCTTCCTTTTTTTTTTCTCCAGCTTCTGTTTCTTCTGTTTCTTCCGTTTTCTCTTCTGTGCCTCCAGAGACGGCTCCTTTGTTACTCGTGAGAACGAGAGGAGCACGGGGGGCGGATGGAACCAGTCCCATCTTGATCTCATTACCCGTTCGTCCTTGTGGTAGTCTGTACGGGGCATCAGAGAGAAGGGGAGTACTCCGTAGTGCCTGGCAGGGCAGACGGTGAAGACAGTAAACAGTCGTCTGATCCAGGCCCCTATCCAATGTCCGTGGCTCTCGGCCCTTATCCCTGTCCCCATCAAAAAGGCCTATTATTATTATTATCCAACCAGCGGCGTTCCTCGCGCCTCGAAAAGGTCTTCCCCACGTCCAGCACTTCCTTCAACCAGCCCAATACAGCGTTTTTATTTGTGGGTCGGCGCATGCCCTTCTGCAGCGTTGTCCTCCCTGCCCTGTCTGTGAGCCTGTGAGCCTGCGAGCCTGGTTCTTGTCCTCCCTTGAGTGGATTAATAGCCATCCAATGCTAAGCTCCAGGACGGGTTCTTGTGTATATTTGCTTCTTCTCGATTTTATTTTTCCTTTTCTCGCTCTTGTTTTCTTCTTCCTTTCCCCCTTCTTCTCTCCAAACAGCCTTTGTTTGGTCAGCTGGATAGGAGCTCAGAACGTTGTTGGCAGATTACTGTTGGCATTGCGGCGTACATATGTGAGCTGGCTGGCGCAAAGAAGAGAGAGGAATACGGATAAAGAGAAGAGATTGACGGTGAAGTCAAGCGGAGCTGCCACCAGCAATTAGCTTCTGCAGTGAGAGGGACAGAGTACGTATGCAGTATAAGATAGGCTGGTAATGCCGGGTACCTGCTTGGTACCTGCCAGCTTTGCTCCGCTGGCCGTTCTTGTTCGACAGAGTTAGAGCGCATACTGATGCTTGGTCCTCCGCTTGTTTCCTCCTCCCATGTCAGGGCCGGACGAGTTCGATACCCAGCCCGTCGTTCAGACACGGCTCCGCGTTCGCCACCGCCGGGAAGCCATGGAATGGGGACACTCGTTGAAGTCATTTCCGTTGGCTAGTCGAGGTTACATGCCATGTACAGAGTAAGTACTCCGTACGCACCCTATATTCTAGCTTTGTTGCCGCTGCTGCGCTCATTCAAGCTAGGCCGTCCCTCTTGGGATGCCTGTACTGCCTGGTGTAAGACACCAACGCATAATCCATATATTTAACGGCGATCCGTCGCGCTTGATTCATTTTAATATATTATACCGTCCTAGCACTGAGACCTCGTCTCCAGACCTTTGTATATTATATACCAATAATATATAACTTGGACAGTACGGAGTATTAATGCTCCATCCAGGCGGAGTTGGGATTCAACGACTGACGTTGTTGATGTTTGTGTTTTTTTTTATGGAGAAGAAAAGAAGAAGAAAAAAAAGGGGAAAGTTCGGGATATCCGGCTTATATAATTATGTTATGTAATTGTATTACATAAGGAAACGCCAAGAGCAGAAAAGCGCGAGAGTGAAAAACCAACTGGACCATGCCAAGACTTGCCTTGTTCGGAAATATCGCGGCTTCATTTAACGAGGCCGAAGCTGGAAACATAAAAGACACGCACGGCGAGAGTAGCAAGCAAGCAGAGGATGCGAGAGGGTGCGGTGAGAGCAGAGCTGGGGGGACTAAAGCTGCTGGGCTGGAACCTGTTTTGCTTGAGGCTATCGTCGCACAATATTGAGTACTACTATGAAGTCTGATCCAGTTTTTATATGATGCTAACAAGGTCCTATTAGAGATGACGGCCATATGTTAAGCATTGCACCGATTAATTCCATTCATTCGTGCCAAACAGGCTTATACCCAGCTCTACCTCACGATGAGCTTCATTTGGTTTACTCTATGGCAGAGTAGCCTGGACATGGAGAGGAAGGAGGCAAGAAGCTGAGAGTAGTTGCTGCTTCTGCCGATACAGCAACCCGTGGGATAATATTATAATATTTATCTTTCATGGATGCTTCTTGTTTACTCTCTCTCTCTCCATCAACACAACTCTCGTTATCATATCAAGCAGTACATTCGCTTCTATCTCTTCAAGACTTTATCATACCCGTCAGGTCACTCGTTTCTGACACCACACTCGTTACGTGCACACGGCCATCTATATCATTCCTCATTCAAGATGAGTACCGACTCGGGATACTGCAGTTTACAATCTTCTCCATATTACAAGGAGCTGCAAAATGGCTATTTTACAGCTGTACCCGATGTTTCAAGCGCTTCATCGTTCAGCGCTTCCAACTCCCCAGTCTCGCTCCAGTCGTTCCAAACTGGCACGCCACCAGGCTCAATTTCTGACATTCTTGAGACTCGCAAGGAGGCCAAGGAAATACTCCTGATATACCGTACTACCCTGGCTGAGCTTGAGTTAAGACGCATGAGCGGCTCTCGGAAGGGGCTGCAGAGATGGGTCGAGTACTGGACAAATACTTACAAACCGGACTTTGCCCGTCCTCTTTGCCAAAAGATCGAACTGGCCTGTCCGGAAATCAACCGTATCTTCAGGGAGGCCGCCCAGGATGTCTACCAGATCATCAATGAGATTGACGCGTGCATCACGTCCGCCTCTCACCAAGATGAAGTACGAGACTTGATGGCAAGCATGAGGTGCCGTATTCATCGGATTGTCAGTGAACGGCGGGTGCGGGCCAATCAGCTCATGGAATGGCTTAGATGTGACATCGAGTCTACACCCGTGGATATACAGGACAAGATGTTTGATCGGTTAAAGAAGCAGGTCTATGGCCTGGACCCATCAGGCCATTACCACCCTAACCCCGAGGAAGAGGAACGTGAGGAACGTCAGGAACGTGAGGACCAGGTGGAAGAAAATCAAGAAGAGACTATCGAGGAGCGCCTCCGACAGCAGATGGGCCTTTTGAACATGGCTACTCTTCCTGACAGTCTAAGGCAAGTTATTGCAGTGGACAATGCAAGGAGCCAGTGGGCGCATTATGCTACACAAGGAGAAACTTTTGCCATGAACAACGCCGAGGGAGTGGCGTGAGTGGCCCAAGGCACCTTGGGATATTTGCTCGCTTTTACAACAATATTGAACATTCGTTTCAAGGGCTGGATTTCTGTTAGCCTTTCGGCATTATTATGTTGTCAACTTTTCACTACAATGCCTTGTTAATGTTATCATGCAAATATACTTGTCACACACACTCTTTCGTTTTGACCCACATAACGTATCGGTAATTAGAATCAAAATGGCATTGTTGAATGATTGCTTATCATTTCTAACTAAAAGTCCCACAACTCTCGGAGCATATGTCCAGGCTCCGTATCCTCTTCTCTTCCCTCTAGTCCGCGATCAGTAAAGATTCTCTTGGGAATCTGAAACTCCACCACAGGAGCCTTTTTAAATGCCTTCTCCTCCTTCCCCAACTCCGTGCCTAGAAGAGCCTGATAAGAAAGATCCAGAAAGTCCTCAACGTTATAATGCTGCTTAGTGAATTGCTCAGATATAATCCTGGCCAAAGCCGCGGTATTCGGGTGGTAATGAGATTGCAAAGTCTCAATCTCCCACAAACTGCTCTCAATAGCGTTTGTGAGCGTTGGATTGGGCTCACACGCATCAAACGGATCATCCATACCCTCCTCCTCTATCTCCTCATACAGCGATGGATCATGCTTCTTCAAATCCCGATGAATCATAAACGTGCATGTTGGATGGGACTTGAGCATGTTATATATCCAGGGCACAATCGCCACGATCGCAGCAGGCGGCGCATTAAGCGCCAATCGCGAAAGCCGCTTGATAAAGCTCGCTACAAGCGTGGCGGGAAGATGCGAAGAAGCAAGGAAAGTATCCATCAGCCTGAAGAACCGGGACCGATGTTTGGAATGCAGCACATCCCTGTCTAGTAGCGAGTATAGCTTTGTGTAGAACTGTGGGTAGTCCAGGTTCTTCTCCTGGATGAGGTAGAAGAGCCCCGATAGCGAGAGCAAAGAGGTCGACCCGCCTTCGTTGTAGCAGTCTGTTAGAAAGTCCATTAGGAGCTCTGGTTTTGCGAACCAGGGTACGACGACATGCGACATTATGCGGAGGAGGTGTTTGCGTTGCGATTTGGTCATTGGGTTACGTAGTACGGCGAGCCAGGCTGTTTGTACGCGGATCTTGAAGGAATTCTCGGAAGTGAAGGGGCCTTTGTTCTTTGGGCTGATTTTCGAGGTGTCGGTGTAGGTGGTTTCGAAACGTTGCTGGAGATCGGTTGGCTCGCCGATGTTGGAGAGCAGGTCGACTGTGCTGTCGAGTGTTTCTGCATCTCTTTGTTCGGATAGGTAGGTTCTGTTTTTTGTAGGTGTTAGTGCATATAATTGATGCTTGGTGAGTTGGTAGGTGAAAAAAACGTACGCAAGGCGGAGGACGGTGTAGACTGTGATGTCGTGGTACTTTTGGAAGAAGCTGTCCATGAAGTGCGCCCTGAGTTTGTCGTTGCCTGGCTGGACCACGGCAGCCAGGATATCGTTGAAATAGCCACTGGACCATACATTGATGTCTGACCCGGTATAATGAGCGACTTGTTCTTTGATCAATTGCATCGACAAGCTTAAAGCGGTAATCTACCAAAGGTCCAAAATGTTAGTGAATATGCAAACATGCAATGCAATGTGTGCCAGACATACCTGCTGAGAAGGCTCTCCATCCCGCAAGATCCCAACCAAAGCTGTCTTGTATTCCTGGTATCTCTCCTTCAACCATGCGACCAGTATAGTCTCATTCTCGGCTGCGCTCTTGGGGGGGTTCAATTGCCCACCAGCCAGCAACCGGCAAAAGACCCGACAAAGAGAAACCGCAAGAGCCTTCCTTCCAGCCTTATCCGTGCTCGCATCGTCAAGTTTCGAGAGCAAGGTGACGATATTGTTGTAATATTTCCGGGACTCAGCAATCTGGTCCTCGAGCTCTTGTATGTGTTCGATCTCCAGCTTATCCTTCCCGGTCTCTCCCTCGACCGCTCTCCGCTTCATCGACCGACGAGCAGACTCTGAATCGCTCTTCTTCCTCTTCTTCGAGCCTTTCAGCTCCCCATTACCCGCTGACGCCATGGTGGTCCAGCTCAGCGCCCTTATTCAAAAGAACAATATAGATATATATCTATCCCTTCAGCAACTTTTTTCTCTCTCTTATCGCAGTTTTAATCTTTTTTTTTTATGTCGCTTGTCCACACTAGTCCATTTCCGGCTAGCGTCCTGAATCACCCGAACTTCAACTTCAAACTGCAATCAAAACCTCCATCTTCGTCCATCACAGGCTCCAAACCTCTGCATCACCGCATCAACCACCCTCAAACGTACAACTACAATGGCGTCACGGTTGGCTAAGAGCGCCATCGGTAAGTGCACCCGCTACTCGGCCGGCCGCCATTGACCCTCGCACGCCCACTAATCGCCCTCCATCCCAGGCGCCGCTCGTATCCGTCCATCGGTTCTTCCACGATCTGTCCCAGCCCTGACCAGCGTCACTCCGGCGCGATACTCCTCGAACGTCCCCTCCGAGGACCCCAAGAACAAGGCCCAGTCGATCGTGGATGCATTGCCCGGCAACTCGCTTGTTTCCAAGACGGCCATTCTCTCCGGAGCCGCGGGTCTGTCGATTGCCGCCATCAGCAACGAGCTGTATATCCTGAACGAGGAGTCGGTCGTTGCGTTCTGTCTGCTCAGTGTGTTTTACGCTGCGTTCAAGCTTGGTGGGCCCGGATACAAGGAGTGGGCTGCTGCTCAGATCCAGAAGCAGAAGGATATTTTGAACTCTGCTCGTGCGGACCATACCAATGCCGTTAAGCAGAGGATCGAGAACGTCAAGCCCTTGAGTGGTGTCGTTGATGTCACCAAGCAGCTTTTCGAGGTCTCTAAGGTACGAATTGGATCAAGCATTGATGGTTTTTGACTGGTTTTTTGATGGAAGTGGGTGGGATTGACTGATGTTGTTTTGATAGGAGTCTGCTCGCTTGGAGGCTCAGGCTTTCGAGCTGGAGCAGCGAACTGCCCTTGCTGCTGAGGCCAAGAAGGTCCTCGAGTCTTGGGTTTCCTACGAGAGCCAGGTCAAGCAGCGTGAGCAGCGCGAGTTGGCCGAGTCCGTCATTGCCAAGATCCAGAAGGAGTTGCAGAACCCCAAGATGTTGCAGCAAGTTCTGCAGCAGTCTGTTGCCGACGTTGAGAGTAAGTTGGCTTTATCTTTGTAGTAGTTCTGTGAACTATCTACTAATACTATATGCTATAGGAATTGTTGCCTCCAAGGCTCAATAGATGGGGGGACATGGTTACCTTCTTTCCCGTCTAGGCCTAGTTGTCGGCAGTATCATTTGTCAATTTAGTGTATAAAACCAAATAGAAGAGTCGCAATTCTGTGCCAGTATATTTTAACAAAGTTATACATTCTTATTCAGTTATATCTTCCTTGTAGCTTGGGTGGTAACAATATCAAATTGGGTAATAGATATAGATTAATAAGATATAGCTAAGATACATGCAAATCGGGTATGTAAAAAAAAGACAAAAACAAAATACAAAAGTAAAATACAAAAATAAAATGCTCACATAAAATACAGACATAATCTTCATATAATTTTTTTTTTTTTTGGTATTTTCTAGTTCTTTTTCTTCCTATGTTGGTTGCTCACGCTGCTCAGGTGGCTGAGCAGCCTCTCTCTGGCTCCTGGGGGAAGGCGAACGGGGCTAATGGTACGGGCGGAAGATCTGGGATGGGGTGATCGCCCGCTCCTCCCTGGGCGGGAGGCGGCGGACGAATGCCTCATCTGGGAGGCCTTCAAACGGGAGGACAGGGACTGGGTAGACAAGACGGGCCAGCTCGCGGATGCGAGGGCGGTCTGCTTTGGCGGGAGTCATCCCAACGAGAACACATTCCTGCAGATCATCACTGTAGGAATCATCGACACCACCATAGGGGTTTGCACCAGTCCAGTTGACCATGGAGAGACATTGGATGACGGTAGTAGCAGAGAAAACGTCACTTCGCGGGCTGCAGTTTGGGAATTCCGGGGCCATCCAACCTTCAGAGCCGTATGGAGCAAACGGGAGCTTCAGATCTTTCTTGGAGACACTGAGTCCAAAGTCGCCTAGTCTGATGAGGGGGTATTCTCCGGCAATGTCCAATGATTTGATGAAGATATTTTCCAGTTTGATATCGCGATGCAGGATCGGGTTCCAGTTTCTCTTGTCTGGAACGTTGTCATTGACGATCTCCCTATCGTTGCGGAGCCCAGTGTGCATGTAGGCGAGAGCACGGATGAGTTGACGAAAGACATGCCAGAGGAACGCCTCGGGAATCGGTTTTCCAGCAGAGGCCATCCACTGTTTGAAGTAAGCCAGGTTGCCAAGGTCACAGTACTCGAGGAAGAGTTCGCCCTTGTGTGGACTGATGGATGCTTCGAGGTACTTTTCGACGTTGGGATGATCCATGACACGCACGACTTTGACCTCCCTGAGCCACCGCCAGGGCTTCGCCTTCCCCCAGACATAGAAACACTTGCGAACACAGACGTAGCCGTCCTTTTTGCGCTTGACTAGATCGACGGACTTTCCACACGCTGGTGCTTGGGGGCGGAGCTCGACGACCACGTCGTACTTGTGCTCGAGGTTATGGTGAACAATCTCTTCAAACTCTGGGTATGCACCTTCCAGAGCCTGGACTGACTGCAGACGAGCACGGAAGGCTTCAGACTCGACCTCGCGTCTGGCTCTGTCTGAAGGAGAGCTTTTCTTGCTTGAACGCATCTTTGCAAAGAGGTTGTTCAGGAGAAGTTCACTGTTTCCTGCAGTTGGCGTTAGCTATGGGGCGTATCAACTTCAGAGACGCGTCTCTCTTACCTGTTTACGCGTAGAACGGCTCTTCTATCCTTGTAGAGAGAGCTCTTCGGTGATATCCTTTGCCGAGTCTATGACCGGCTCTATACGCGTCAGTACGTGCTCCTGGACCATGGAAGAAGAGGGCACTTACCAGCTTGAAGAAGATAAAGGTAGCAGACAAGCTGAAGGGTTGCCAGGATATGATGTCTTGAGGCTGTTCTCTGTGGTAAAAGGGCTGGTTGACTGGACAGTGAGCCTCCAGTAGCCAGAGAGACAGCAGCACAGCTACAGCCAGTGTTAGCAGAAGACATCCTGAAGGTATCTTGATGGTGTTTTTGATGAAAGCAGCATCTGTGAGAGAGAGAACAAGACTGACCAGCCCAAGCAAACGTGAGGGCACTCTCCCAGAGGACAGAGAGTGCAAGGAGCTTCCAGGAAGAGTTGGGCTAGGGAGAAGCAGCTTTTGTAGCAGCCAGAGAAGGGAGAAGCACGTGGTCTGTCAAGCCCTAGAAGTTGTTGATATCAAGATGAAGTTGAAGATGAAGTTGAAGTCAACAAGAAGAAGATGGTGATAATGAAGAAGAAGAGAAAGAAAACAAAAGAAGAAGAAGAAGAAGAAGAAGAAGAAGAAGAAGAATTTATAGACAGAGACAGCCCACCTGCCTGAAGAGGACGAGTCAGGCTTCACTCTCTTCTCGGCTCGTCGTCGACGACAGACAGAGTGAAAGACAGCACAGTCTTAGTCATGGACAGTCTTAGTCAGAGACAGAAAGGATGGAGAGAGAGGAAGTTGTAGACAGTCATTGATAGTAAGTGAGGATAGAGAGGATGGAGAGGGCAGAGAGGATAGTAAGAGAGGCCTTCCACAGTCAATGCAGTTGCTGATATTCATTCGCAGACAGGGCATTACTGCAGCTGGGCCTTGAGACTTCGGTGACGTGGGATATCTATTAAAGCATCATCATGGAGTGGCAGACTGGAAGATTGGCAGGGCAAGGTATAGGAGTGACGCCATGCTATACACGACTGGTAGGTGGTAGATCTTCTTAATCTACTACCATAGCTGAGACGGCATTCTAAAAGGCAGAGATGGGTATGAAGGTGGTATATTCTGCTGTCCTTGATAGAATCTCCTGGAAACAACATGGCTGACGTTGGTATTTGGAGGTTTACAGGGTAGTTACGCGCCGATAACATCTCATCAGTGGACGATATAGTTATACCGACAGTGCACAGACAGCAGGGCATCGACGGCTGCAGTTGAGACAAGCAAACCGGGGACGGAGTCAGGTTGAAGTCGAAGCTGGGTCGGAAAAACGAAGATCAACCGCGAACTCAATCGCTGGGCCAATAACCAGTTAACTAGTTAGCTAACTCAAGTTAACGAGTTGTCAAAGCTACTAGTTATTGAGTTACGATTTGATAACCGACCGCAGCGAGCTTCAAGCCACCGTCACATCGACAACCGGACTAGACGTGCAGTGAATAGCACTCCCAGCCATCGGCCAGAGACCCAGTCTTCCCGCTGTCCCGTTGGAGACTCATAGCTATGCCGATTCCTGATAGTAAATAATAGAGTCTGTCTGTGTCAGGGGAGAAAATACAACCAGCCATGATAATGAAGGCCGATAATGTCCCTGCGCCTCGTCTCCACCGTAGACTGTTTGATTCTAATTGGCCCTGGCCTGTTTCCAGCGCTGGATGTTGCTTGGGCTGCGGCGGCTTAGGGGGGGGCTTACGCGCCCTGGGCAATCTAAACCATCCATCCTTCACGGAGCATATATAAACAACACTTATCGCCATGAAGAAGCGGCTAGAGCTCCTGTTTTGTCTTCTCGTTTCCTCTTTAAACCCCCCAAGATTCCCCGGATAAAGCGCAGACTTCTTCTCCTTTATACTTATAACCAGCGTGTAGACCAGGCTATACAGACGTCATCGCGGATACTCCGTCAGCCTACCTTGGGAAAATCATCCATCCATGCCGCTGCTACGGCTTCACAAGAAGTCCGACAAGGACGCCGCCGACATGAACCACCCCCCGACTCAGGCCTCCGAAGCGCCCGAGTTTCGCATCATCCGCTCAGATACCTACACCGAAGAGACAATCGATGCACCCCCCTTCCAGACGGTAGAAAGCCCCGGGACATCCCCGCGCAAGTCCTTTGGCTTCTTCCGCCGGTCCATCGACAGCGGGCGCAGCAGCCAGGACTCCCACTCGCCGCGGGAAAGCCGCTTCTCACGACTGCATATCGGCCGTCGGTCGAGGTCCGGCAGCTCCTCGTCCGTCAATATACCGGATAACCTGCCTGAGGTGGGGGATACCGGGGACGAGCAGGAGAGAGAGGCCCAGTGGGAGAAGCGGGCGACGATCCTGGTGCAGGGCGGATCACATTCCCCTGCCTCGCTGGGGGTGCAGAAGGGCAACAGATCGCGAAGCTCGAGTGTTGGCAAAGTGAACGATCCAGAGGGAGATGTACGTTCTTCTTGCTACTTTGTTCTTACTTCTTTGCTGGGAGAGCGCAAACTGACGGCCTGTAGGAAACTATACAAGAAGCTATACGGCTGCATGAAGCTGGGGGTAAGCAACATCACCTCTTACTGCGCGCATGTCTATTGCACTGCTAACCCAACCCCCTTCAGATCTAGAAAAGTCAACGCATATCTTTGGAAAGCTGGCAGACCCCCAAGGACAGAATAACGCCTTGAGCCAAGTTCTCTTCGGCCTGGCCTTACGGTCAGTACTCCACGCAATATCTACTTAGACTTAAACTGACTCCTAATCAGACACGGATGGGGATGTCAACCCAACGCCGAAATGGCAGTCCAATACCTTAGCGCCGCGGCGTCGAATTCAGCCTCCATTGAAGAAGAAGCCCTTCGCGCCGGCATGGTAAAAGGCGGCGCGGCAAAGGGTGAATTGGTGCTTGCTATCTATGAGTTGGCAAACTGCTACCGCAACGGATGGGGTGTGACCAAGGATCCCGCTGCTGCTAGGCAGTATTATGAAACGGCTGCCAATCTGGGAGATACAGATGCCATGAACGAGGCCGGATGGTGCTATCTCGAAGGGTTTGGCGGGAAGAAAGACAAGGTAGGCCGCAGTGTCACTGTACTGTACTATACTGTTTTGATAGACGTTGATGCTAATGCTGAGAACCTAGTTTACTGCAGCCAAGTATTATAGGCTGGCCGAACAGAATGGGAACAAGACGCTGGGGAATTCTTGGTATGACATCCTCCAGCTTTGGTTTATATACTGAGAGAGATACTGACTGCGATTACAGGATCTGGAAGGATAAATATAATCCGAAATAATACCTCTCCAGATAAACCACCCGTTGATACAATTTGGACACGATAGTTACGACCATAATGACGATAGTAATGAAACGATCTCTGTCTTACAAGTTATATGGAATATAATTCTCCCTACATATCAACCACCCTACCGAACCCATAGACATACAAAAATCAAGAAAGCGTAGTTCTTGTTTCCGAAACACATCAACACCACAAAGTATCCAATCCAACCAGGCTATGAGAAATAGATGAAACAGTAAAAAAGGAGCTTAATTATTCTGCTGCGCTTTCAATATCGCCGCGAGTCGTTTGTAATCTTCCAGCAGTTCAGGGATGTCCCCTACCTTTAACTCCGAGGCATCTCCCATATCCAGGAATTTCTGGATTCCAGGGGCTCCTTTGGTCACGGAGGAAGGGCCTGGCGACTTGGCTCTAGTGCTAGACGTCGCTGCAGCAGGGTCAGGAGCCCGAGCCAAACCACGGATCATACTGGGAAAATGGCTAAGGGGGTTCAGCGAAGTTCCGAATCCCCGGACTGAGCCAAACCCTTGGTTTGTGCTACCGGTACTAGACGGGATAGTAGGTGGTGGTGTGGCGGTAGACGACGCAGCAGTGTCATCTGATGCATTCGTGTCAGATCTATTGGTGCTTGAATCCCGTTTGGTGGTGCCTGGTCGTCTTCGCCCACCGACCAGCTCAGCCAGCCGATCATCAAGTGGCTGTCTGGAAGAAATGGAAGGAGTTGGAGTAGGTGTACGATCGCCTATATTCGACCCATCCTCACTCACGGCCTCGTCGGACTGAACAGTTCCGGCCTTCACTTGTACTAGTTTCCGTGCATCGTCGAGGGTCTTGGGCACAATGGGCGTACCAGGTCGTGCATTATCGCCCTGGGATATCTGGACTTCCTTCAGCCTCCCGAAAAGGAATGCAAAGCTGTTATCAAGCGTGCTGCTTATGCTCTTTAGCCCCTGGTCGGCGGTACTTCGCACAATATCATTTGCTGCTCCGAGAGCCTTTGCTGGAGGCTGGAAGAGATCGGATAGTCGTTGCTGAGCAGAAGGGTTGGTGGGTAGGGTAGGCCGTGCGGACGGCGCAGTGCTAGTGGTGTTTGAAACTGTGGACGGGCTCTTCTCAAGAGCCTCATCTGAGCTGGAATCCATGGGTGCAGGGTGTAGCAGGTTAAGGTCGGGCTGGTCAATAGGCGCCCTGCCTTCTTCCATACGAAGGTTGGTCAAATCGACGTTCTCAAGGAAGTCGATGGCAGCCTCCAGGTTTGTGAGACAGTATGCGGTTTCACCATCAATCTTACTTGATGACCTGAATCGTTGGATGAAGTTGAGGTTGCTGATGATATTAACCCCTTCCGGCGGCGAGAGGATAAGGGTATAGATCAGGGTAGGAAGAATCTCATCTGCAGATGATGAGGATGGGAGAATGTTTGTCAACGCATCTACGATTGCCTTGTGAGCGGCTACGAGCTGCTGGAGCTTTCCAAGAGGGTATCTCTCGTCGTTCATCCGTATCAAACATTGACGTGCTGCTGCAACACACTCCTTCGGATCAACCGTTTCTTCAGCACCTTGTTTGGATATGTCTACTCCAAGGTCCTTCAGTTCGATGCCCATCACCAACAAGGCAGCCGTCTTCGAGCGTAGCTTTTCGTCTCGAACATCGTCTATCGTGCTCCGGTGCCGCCAGATCTTATCATAGATAGTTTCGCATGCTCTCCGCTCAACAGCCTCTTCAAGAGCATGCTGTTTAAACTGGAGCAACTTCCGCGCCTTACGCTTCTCTGCCACTTCTTCAGCTGTGAGCATTTGTTGCTCAGGTGTATCCTTTTGCGTGCCATGGGAACTCGTAGGACGTCTTGAAGATCTCGATGCCTGTGACTGAAGAGAGGACGCAGAGCTGTTACGGTGCAGCCGGGACGCTAGGGTAGAAACATGCGTTGAGATATGAGATCCAGCTCGGACGTAGAAGTCCTGGAATAAACCCGAGAGTGTATCTATCGATGGAGGTGTACTGAAGGTTTTCGCGCTGAGGGAAGCGATGAATCTGCCATTCAAACGCAAAGTATTAGTTAGTACCGGCATTCAAAAAAACGAGGAGAGAATATCTTGCGTGCACTTACCTATCCGTCAGGCTAACCAGCTCTATCGGGAGCTCTGCGAATTGCTCGGGAAGCTCAGCAGGCGGCGGCTGTCCGGCAGCTGGTTCTGCACCCTCACCCTCCCCCTGAGACCCCTCAGGAGCTTTCTTTTCAAAGACATCTTCTGGCTCTTCCACCAGTCCGTGTCCAGGTGAGGACAACGGATCCTCCGCGACCACCTGCATGGCTTCACCCACGCCCTCGGCTGTCGAATCTATTCGAGAGAAAGGACTGCTGTTCTCAAGCCGGCTGAACGAGTTGGAACCCCCACGCTTCTGCATCTGAGACGAGGAAGCGTGATCTTTCTTTTCTGACATCTCTGCTCCCTCCTGCCTCCGAGGATCAGGCATCAAACCATGGGTTATTCAGATGATATGTGACTTAGCTCCCCCTGTCGTCCCTTCACACGGATGCTCCCGTTCTTGTTCAGTGTTACACTTGGGCGTCAAGTAGGGCCTTCACGGGATTTCTCTTGACGCTGTACAACACTCTCCGGCGGTTCCCCTTCGCCGTCCACATTAAAATCGACGTCAGTGCCAGCCCGTCGTCCCCTTTTCTTTTTCGTCCCTGTCCCTGCGAGCTAGACAGACGTCCAGCTGGTCCCGTCCCTGCCTTGCAGCTTGATATATCAACCATCCGAACAAGGTTCATCCTAGCCGCGCGGGTCGCCGGAGATAAGATAATCCGTGACGTCATGTGGGCCGCTTAGTCAGAATCCGGGGGCCTTTTCTCGGGGCTTCTGGCGTCACTCCAGGCTCGCTCTCCATCCCGGCGTCGACGACCTCTTCTGCTGTCCATCCATCAACGCCAAAGGTCTTCCACAGAAGGCGCTTGTTATTATATTCTTAGACGCCATATATATCTGTCAGTATTATGGGTAGCAGATACCTATAGCCATCGACCGTTTTTAGCTGCATGATGTTGGACTCGTGATAAAGAGGTCTAGTTGAACCTGCTATCGACCACGATGTTGCCGACCAACATCCTACTATCACTACTCGCCGTTTCGTCGTCGTACGCATCGGCTTCTCCTCAAGATCGGTATGGGGCAGATCAGATAGCTCTTGTGCCGTCCGAGGAGGCTGGAGAAGAGCCCCAGTCTCTCCGAACTACTCATCAGTTTGTAGGTGACTCCCTTGATCCCGGGGGCGATGATGACGACAAGCACTAACACCCGGAGTAGTCACTTCGGCATGTATTCCATCACGGCACCTATGAGGACCCTACGCTACATAAACGCCTCGATGTCGAGCCCGATGCAGATCTATGGATGGAGTCAGAGGATGGCCAGAAGGTTGAGCTGCCAAAGACCTTCGAGGCCTCGGGACAGCCGGTGAAGATTCAACGACTTACCGATCGACGACCGGAAGTTGTGGAAGGTAGGCTTCAGGCGGCTCGAAACCCAGGCCTCGCTAGCTTTATACCTCCGCCGGAATGGACGATAGACGATGTTTCCGGCCCCGATATAACTGATAGGCAGACTATTCTTAGTCTGGCAAAGATGACTGCCAACGCCTATATTCAAAAACCTGGAACTTCACAATGGCTAAGCCTGGAACATACCCCTTGGAAACACTCTAATAGGTTCGGGTGGGAAAACGATGGCCTCCGGGGCCATATTTACGCCGATAAGGGTAACACGACCATCATCATCGCCCTGAAGGGGACATCTGCCGCTCTCTTCGATGGCGAAGAGACTACAACCAATGACAAAATCAACGACAATCTCTTCTTCAGCTGCTGCTGCGGGCAAGGTGGACAGTACTTCTGGCGACAGGTTTGTGACTGTTATACGACAACTTATACGTGTAACATCACCTGCGTAGCCTCGTCACTTAGGTCCGAAAATCGGTACTACAGGGCGGCTCTAGACCTCTTTGCAAATGTGACTGAGCTTTATCCAACGTCGAATGTTTGGATAACGGGCCATTCACTTGGCGGTGCAGTTTCCAGTATGCTCGGAAGAACATACGGACTTCCTGCTGTAACATTCGAGGCCGTCCCTGAGGCACTCCCCATTTCACGCTTGGGTATTCCCGTGCCTCCAGGAGGCGATCCACATACGCCAGATGCTGACTACTCGGGCGCTTTCCACTTTGGTCACACTGCCGATCCCGTCTACATGGGGAGCTGCAACGGCGCAACGTCAATCTGCACGCTAGGCGGTTATGCAATGGAGTCTGTATGTTTCACCGGCAAAAGATGTGTATACGATACAGTCCAAGATTTAGGCTGGCGTGTTGCTATCGGCACCCATCGAATTGTCAATGTGATCAATGATGTACTTAAAAAGTACAAGACTGTCCCGTCATGCCAGCCGGATAAAGCATGTGTCGACTGTCCTAACTGGAAGTTCTTCCGGAGCAATGGCAGCGAACACACCACGACAAAAACGACAAGCACTACCCCAACCGCCACAAGGACCGAAACATGCAAGACTCCTGGCTGGTGGGGGTGCCTTGATGATACCACTAGCCAGACTAATCACCCCTCCACTTCGACGTCTTCCACCTCGACTAGTAGCACGTCTACATGTAAGACGCCAGGATGGTTCTGGTGCAAAGATAAAAGCACCACGGAGACAAGTATAACGACAACCTCGGGAACTACTTCCAACCCTCCCACAACTACACCAAAGTCAACCTCTGCTACCACTACTACTTGTGAAACGCCAGGGTGGTTCGGGTGTAACGACCCAACAACAACATCGACCACAACAACGTCGACAAGCCCACCCCCCTCCTCTTCATCCTTCTCCTCATCGACTACCACTACCTGCAAAACACCGGGAATCATATGGGGGTGTAACGACGTTACTAGCACAACTACATCATCCTCCGCAGCAGCTGGAAGTACGTCAACCTGCAAAACGCCAGGAGTCTTATGGGGCTGTAATGATATTACAACTCCTGCATCAACTTCCGCAGCTGCCAGAACCACATCAAGCTGCAAGACGCCTGGAATCTTATGGGGTTGTAATGATGTGATTACAACTCCTGCATCAACTTCCGCAACCTCCAGCACTACACCTACTTGCAAAACTCCTGGCATCCTATGGGGCTGCAATGACATCAGCACTTCTCCGACCGCCGGCACCTCGACTCCCACGCTGATGCCACACATCAGGCCAACAGCAACTGGTTAAAACGTGGGTACCTCGGTCTGAAATGTTGATTTTTTAGTTTTATTTTTTTGGCTGTGGGCAATAGTTTGCCATCTCTATTGCAATTTACTTCTATCTCCAAACAACCCTGAAGAATGAGTTTATGATAATTTGTTCCGGCTTTGACTGACTCCTTGGCATGTATTACCTGTTGCCATCTTTACCCGGGGCAGTATTGAGAGAAATTGGTATCTAGTCTGGTGTTATTTGGCTGCCTGCTATCGTTTTAGATTTTGTTTTGTATGGCTATAATTGGTTGATTTCGGCATTGATAAGGGTATCACAAGGCAAGCGATTTTAGGAATATATTATTTATATTACTAGACATCTTTTCCACCACTTCCTTCCCTGCTCCAGCTCCGTTTTGCAAGAACAACAGCTTTTTACGAGACTCTCCAAACACCAAGGAAACCATCGTGACGACAAGCTGGTGGCCCATTGCAGCGAGCATGGGGTTGTTGCGGACAACAGGGCCCCTTTTTTGAAACATGGATCCTTACTCAGTCCTCCCATGCTGGACGATAACTCAAGCGTGCCATGATTCGAACAACGGAGGGACATACGAACCACACACAACAGCAGACGTCAGCCATGGTTCGCTCTCCCCTTCCTTCGCCAACCAGGCGTTCGTCCGTCCCGCCGCGTGATGAAATATTTTGTCGACCTTGAAAGAACGATATATGTGGTTGTAAGCTACTAGTGTCAATAATCATCCACTTCCGAGCCGGGGGTCGACCAGCCACTAATTCCCAGACAGGAAATGAGTCCAAAAGCCTCTCAGCCCAGAAACGCCGCCCTCTGCTCCATATTTTTGTTTTACGTCCATCCGTCACTTTTGGTGGCGGCAGACAGGAGCTTGACTATTCTTTTTTTTTTTTCATGAACCCAGAAGGTCTTGACCAGCCAGACAGAGAGAGGGCTGGGGGTTGCAGCGGCACAGCTGGCAAGGTTCCTTTGCCCTTTTTCTTTTCTTTTCCTTCTGCCCTGCCCGCTGTCTGCGGGTGAGATGAAGCTGGCCCGGATCTTCTGGACGACAACCACTAGCAAACGGACGATCGCGTTGCACTGAGAAGTATCCTGACGACCAGGGCAATGCGATGAGTCTCCTCCGATACGAACAGTGGCGAGCTCTTATTTTCCGACTTCTCAGGAGTAAATAGGAGTTGTTAAATCCGGGGAGAGCTGGTGCACGGCTTGCTTAAAGAACATCATGCCCGACCTTCGCGCTGGGCTAGCTTGAAAATCGAATCAGTCCAAGTTTTGGTGCTTCTCTCCGCATTCGTTACCAAAAAAAAAAGGTAGGATCCCCCAGCGGGTGCGGCGACGATCAGATCTGGCCAGCGTCGAGTCGAGTCGAGAGTGCGTCAAGCCTGTATCGAGAGTCGTTTGATGTGCAGATCGGGCCAATACGCTCCCGCCCGCCGTCTTCTCCTCTGCCACACTTGAGGAGAGGCAATGCGCTGTGTGACGTTGTTTGTGAGACGTTAACGAGAAAGACTGTGATATAACTCTTGTCAACTCCGTGACGGACTGTCTTATCTCAGGTCTCTTTCAACGGGCGTGCCTATTTTCCTCCTGTTCCTGGGGCATGGTAGAAGAAGGGGAGAAGCGCGCGGCAAGAGACGAAAAATGGAACTTACCTTCATCACTATCCACGGCAAGTTGTATCATTTCCTTAAGTCTTATTTTGCCTTCCCCCCTTTTATTGTTTGTAGCTTTGCAGCTCTTGAACCAACATCCCCAGCCCCCCTCCTCTCTGCTGTTCACGATATGGTTCTAACGAAAAGTGACAGACCTCTCTCCTGATGCCCGCACCCGCTACGTCTCTAGTGCGATAGAAGATATCCTTGGCTACCTTCCTCCAGAGGTGCTCAACAGGCCAATATGGGAGTTCTTCCACCCTGATGAGCTGTCGCAGGCGCGTACGATCTATTCGCGCTCTGTTAGACATGATAAGGCCGCGGGGTTGAACTATTTTCGAGTCAGGCACAAGCATGGCCACTGGGTTGCATGCGAGTGCGTCTTTACCATAGTATGCGATGTCCTGATTGCCAGTACCAGCGTCTACCATCGTGGCAAGCGAAGCCAGAGTAAGCCCCTCTATACCTCTGTCTATGTCTGAGAACATGCTAATCATCTAATGTAGTGCGGGCTGCTGATGCTCCTATTGTGCGGCGATTGTTTGCATCATCATCTCGCGACCCTCGCTACCACATGTTGAGCTGCATGTCTACCAAGTTCAAGCCCTCGCCGGCCCCAAGCAGCTCATCGCCGTTTGCTGCTCATGAGCCGCGCGCAGCGCTGTTCTTGAATCGTTTCACCCGCTCTGCGGCCGTCATATACGCCACCCCCAGTATTGTTAACGTCTTAGGCATACCGCCTTCCTCTCTCATCTCGACAAGCTTTTACTACTGCATCGAGGAATGCTGTCTCCCCCAGGCTGTACAGTGTCTAGAGAGCGCCAAAGCAAACGATTCAATAGCATATCTACGTTTCTGGTTCCGAGACCCTACCGACCACTACAATACATACTCCCATCCTCCTCCCGAACGACGTAGACGATATACCAACGCTGAAACCAACTCCAACACCTACGACTACAACACCTACCCCTCACAGTCAGGCTGCGGACAAGGGCCAGGATCAGAAATGCATTCCCTTTCTACACCTTACGGCAGCAGTTCGCCCACTCCCTCACAGCTGTCGAACCAACGACCCTCGACCTCATGCTCTACCTCCCCTTTCTCCCCTCATCCTGCTCCCATAGAGCTTGAAGCCATCGTCTCGTGCTCGTCTGACGGGCTCGTAGTGATTATTCGACGCGCAAGGCCACCGATACCCGGCTCTGTGAAATACCCTGGCCACCCGATCTACGGCCGGGATGTATGTTTCTCCACGCCTGTATGGTCGACCTCCGACGTGAAGCCAATATATGCTACCGTCGGGCCCTCTGCCGATGGCACGGAGACCTACGACGAATATGGCGACAAGAGACTAGCGCCTGGTGGCCCAGAGCCCGAGGCCCTGATGAACATAATTCGAAACGTGATGCACACTTAGCCGACCAACCTCATCAACCTTAACTGCGTACCCTTCAGCCAGACAAAGCCATCCAGCTACCCAGCTATTATTGTCTGACTTTTATGCCTTGCTTTTCCTTTACCTTCCTTCTTCGGACAGCTCTCCCGCCCGTCATCAATATCCAGGTTATGCCCTCTTTGCACCTGAACGACATAGCTCCTCGTTTCACCTAATCCCTCCCGTCTCAACTTCAGACATCACACTTACGGCCTCTATATTAACCTACTCCATCAAGCTACCCCTCGCGTACTTCTCGGCTCGGCTAGTTAGGTTTCTCCTCTTTCTCATCCTTCGTTGCCGTTCGTTGACTCCTGTTCGATCTTCGCTCCTCGCTCTTTGCTCGCGGTCACGGTCACGGTTCTGTTTCGCCATTTCATCTATCTCATAGCGTTCCGCCTTGTTGTTTCTGCTGCTGTTGCTACTGTTTATCAGAGGGCTTCTTACTATTGATGGTTCTAGTTACGGATATGTCGCCGCTCTACTTCCTTGCAATGTATAGACAGACCCCTTGTTTCACTCGTTTACCCGCTATAGTTTTTCAACGGCCGTACCCGATCTATTTATCTATTTTATTCAAGTAATCTACTAATGAAGGGAGAAAATAAAACCAACGTTATCATCACGACTTCTCATCGTTGCATTATTTATGTGGTGTAGTCATAGTTAAAACAAAAATATCGTAGTTAAAATAACTTGCTAATAATCATGAGGCCCATGGAAGTAAATGGGTTGGAAGCAGAACGGCCAAATCACCGTCCCAAGCAAGACAATAATCAACGACAGGCTTGAGCGTAGAATAGAAGCTGAAAAGGAGAAAGAGGAAGATGAAAAGAAGTGATAAGAAAGCGTTAACATCCTGAACCACCCGAACTTTTAATCGATCCTTTTGCCTTGCCCATTTCCGTTTTCCCATCCATAGAAAAAGCGAATCCGATGGTATCAAAGGTAGGTAAATGAAGTAAATCAACCAAAGTAAAGCAAAAATCAAATCAACCAGGTATTTGCCAAATAAGGAAGAACAAGAGAGAGAGAAATATTGAAATAAGTAGGAAAAAAATTATTTTCTTTCTTTTTTTTTCGAGTCATTTTTTTTTTCTTTCTTGTCTGTTTAATTTGATTGAGTAAAGGAAATTGACATGAAAACATGACTTGACCTGACTTGATATCAGGTACAGAACATATATAGCATGTAGAAGTTATGTTAGATGTATGTTAGATGTTTCGTAGGTATATTCATTGACGATACCTTGATCGTCCAACTTTCGAGATTCTCTTTCTGTTCCTCTTCCTTACGTGTTTTTTTGCTTCTGCTGCCCCCTTTTGTTCATGTGTTTTATATACTGACCGTGACGGCCGAGATTTAAATTTCCAGATCCTCGCATACGCTGCTCGAACTAGTTGAGCTGACGCTGCGTTCAAGCTTGGTGGCTGTTGACTTTGCATCGGAGCGGCCGGTGATTTGTTTTGATGGCTCCCGAGCAAGTTCGGTTGTCTTGGTACATATCCATGTGGAGGCGTACATGTTTACACTGGTAACGTTAGCAAAAACAAGACTAAGACGAAGTGTGAGGAGTAATGCGAAGGTAGAGACGTACCGATCGATACAAGTGCCGGGGAATCGAGCGCCGACTCTCTTTGTGGTGAAGCCGCACTTCTCAAAGACGGCGATGTACCATGGTTCGATACTGGCGGAGCGTAGTAGGATGCGGCCGCCTGTCTTGAGAGCGTGGTTGAAGGCCGTTGCTTGTGTCGCTGCGGCCTGGGAGGATGGGTCAAACCAGTCCATGGAGTCCATTACCTAGAAGATGTTAGAGGAGAAGGAAAATGAGAAAAGCAAGATATCTTGAACTTACGACTGCGATGGTTAGTGTGCCCGGGGTGATGCGGGAGATGACCTCTTGGATCTCATCTGTGTGAATGCGTAGGCCGTCAAAGGCGCCTGGGGCAGAAAGCTTAGTGTGAGCCTTCTTGGTAAGGTAAGTTGGCAGACTCTTCTTTGAGAACTGTCCAGACAAGCAGAGCAGGTAGAAGTAGTTATCGTCGCTGAGCAGGGTCTCTCTGACGACCGGGTCGAGAGTGTTGACGACGTATTCCCAGACAGCCTGTCCACCTAGACCCTTCTCCTTTGCGGCCTTGAGACCGCCTTCGAGCTTCTCACGCTCCATGTAGTCTGTTATGATCATGTTTCGCTGATTGGCAGGTACACCGGCGGCCTTCCATGCGAACCATTCGGTTCCAACAATGGCCCAGTTAAGTGGCTTGGAGAGGAGGACTTGTCTGATGCGTGGCCAGAGAGCACGCTGTTCCTCTATGGTTTTGGCAGCACACATCTTCTTGACTTCTCCGGTGAGGCCGAAGATGGAGAAGAGGTATCGGACTAGCTTCAGGGCGTGTCTGGACCCGCCGGTCTCATAGAGGCCGTGGCTGGAGGAGGTGAAGACGGAGGCATGGTCGAGCCAGAACTGGAATGCCTGGGAGGAGAGGTGTGGGGAGAGATGGGAGATGAGCAAGTCACGGAATCCAGCGTGTTTGCCCTCGCCGAAGATCTTCCAGAAGTCGTCGTGGGAGAGAGCGGTGAAGGAAGCGACCTTGAGCTCGAGAAGATGGTTCTGGTTGGGGTTGAGGTCAACGGCGTGGATACGGCGGGGGGTATTGGGTCCGCAGAGGTAGTCCAGGATGTTGTCTCCGGCGCTGGTGATGGCCAAGATGACGTCGTCGGAGGTGATGTTGAGCAGGCGGTGGTCGACACGGGGATCTTCCCAGGTGAAGGCATAGATGTACTCCTTGTTGAACTGGGTATGCTTGGTGAGGAGTTCGTTGTAGCAGATACGCCAGTGGTGGTGCTGGTAGAAGAAAGATGGCAAGGGCAAGTTGGACGACAGGTTAACAATAGCAGACTCGTATGCCTTGGATCGGACTTCTGGGATGGTGCGCTGGACTGCCTTGGAGAGCTCTGAGCGGTGGTGGGTTGGCGAGAGGTATGGGGACTCGGTCAGGGTGGCGTCCAGACGGGCGATGGCGTCGTTGTCGTTGAGAGTGAGGTCCTTCTGGCATCCGATGAAGATATAGTAAGGAATACCGCCGAGTAGGTAGTTGCGTTCACTGGCAGAGATGACGGTTCCAAAGCGGTACTCGAGGTAGTCCCTGCGAGCAGCCTCGAGGTTGACACGGTCGACGTCGAACCAAGCGCGCCAGAAGACACGGCCGAGCCAATTGACGTGGCGGTTTGAGACTCCGCCGGTGTAGTTCCTAGTAGCCAGGTCGACGATGTTCTGGACTGTTCATCGAAGAAAAGAAAAAAAGGCAGAGGTCAAAGGTCAGCTGTTCTGCCCATCAGATAATAAAAATAAAAATAAGCTTATCAGCAAGGTTCGGGCCGCACCGTAAAAGTCGCACACGCCGATGGTGCCGTCGTTTCTCAACAGGGAGGACAGAGAGTCAACAACCGAATAGTAGTCTGTTTTAACGTTGGTTAGCACGTAACTGAATAGAGAGACAGCAAGGGTTTTTACCTGGGATCATGGACAGGGAGTAGCTCATGGTGATGAGATCGGCCTTTGCTTCCTGGCCAGGAACACGGAACTCGCGCGCATCCTGGCAGAAGACAGAGACGTTCTTCCATCCGAGACGGGCAAAGCGCTGTCTGGCGACCTCGCAGAGCGACGGAGACAGGTCAACGAGGTAGACATGCTCGAAATACTGCTCGACGTCGACGAACGCTGCCATCGCCTCGATGTTGTACCTAGCTTATGTAAGCATAATAACACTTTTTTCGGCATTTCTGGACTCTTTTTTTTTGTACACACCCAGTACCGCCGCCAATCTACAGACGTTAGCGGGATAGAAAAGATGAATAGAGAGAAAGATAGAGAAAGAGAAGAAGAAGACGTACGTCAACCCAGACGGGTTTGTGGTCCTTGGAGGCCATCTTGAGTCTCAGCTGCGCCGCGAGGAGGCCGAGCATGTCCTCTCGGCCCCTGAGCAGACGGCGTCTAGTCGCATCGTACACGGAAGCCTGTTCACACAGCGTCAACACCAGTCTATCATAAGTCTCGTCGCCGTCAGGTGCGGGGGCGCCGTTGTCTCGCCGTCGGTGGTGATGACGATGATGTGGAAGTACCTGAGTCTGGTAGAAGTTCTCGAGCGCCTGCTGCTGGCCCGAGGGGGCGCCGGCGGAGGACGGGGTATGGAACGGCTTGATGAAGTTGGCGTAGATGAAGCGGCAGTAGACGAGGAAGCCAGCCGGCTCCTGCTGGACCTTGCCGTCCTTGCCAGCGGCCGAGGAAGAGGAGCCGGTCACGGCGAGGTAGAGGACGAGCACGGCGAGGAGGGAGGCGCCGAGGACGATGGGGGAGGTGAGCAGGCCGCCCATCGAGGCGATGGAGGTGGTGGCCATGGCAGGGAGAGAGAGGGAGAGGTGGTATATCTTGTTTTTTCTTTTGGACTATCTAGCAATTGACTGTAGGAAATACAGAGAGCAGAGAGTAACAAGCAGCCAGAGCAGAGAGTAAGGAGAGAGAGAGAGAGAGATTAAGGGGGGAGGGGGAGGGGAAGCTGTTGGTTATGTATATCCAGCAGCAGCGCAGTAGGAGAGAGAGAGAGAAAGCTAAGAACGACGAGAGCACGAGCAAGAGACGATAGAGGCAAAGAGAGTTGGAGAGAGCAAGAGAGAGCAGGCCTATCAAGCACACATGTGGCCCAGCAGCGCGAAAACAGCACGGAAGAGCAGGAGAAGGCCAGCAAGTCACTAAGCTAGGGTCGACTAGTCAGCGGCAGTTGGGTCTTAAGTAAGAGATGGAGATAGCTAAGACTCAGACGCGGCAGAGCCAGAGGCAGCAGACTTTCAGACTGATATCAACATTAACACTAAGAATAACACTCTCGGTGTCAGAGTCAGGGATGAATAACACTTTTGCTCGCTGGCGAAAGCTCCTTGTTTACCCGGCGGGGCTGCTGAGTCAGTGCTGAGTCAGACAGGGGAAGGGGCCCGCCATTGACCAGTCAGAGCGCGTCTTTCTGCCCATGGAGCGTCCACTGGCGGAGAAGAGGGCGGGCGGGTTCCTTGCTTAGTCATGCAGCGCACCTTCGCCCTCCACCCAAAAGCCAAAAGGCGGTAAGTGGACAAGTCGCAGCTCGCGCCCTTGACAGGTGGACTTGCAGACGTGGACGGGGAAAAGGGAGCCTGACACTGGCCTCAGACCTCAGACTGCGGGCTGTCACAGCTTGGGGCATCTCCTCGGCTTCCACCTTGCTCTCACAGGCATCCCTTTGTCTCCTCTCTCCTTTTACTCTCTTTCTCTCCGCTTTCACTCTCATCATTTACTCTTTTTAATGCACTCTTTAATGCACTCTTTAATGCACTCTTACTCGTCGTGCTTTTGTCCCAACAAGTCGCGCAACCCCGCTCAACGGTTCTAATTACAGAAGTGGTCAAAGCGCGGCCTGGGCGCCCGCGGGAAGTTCTCGGTGGAAAGATAGTCCGCTCCGAGGAGTTGGATGATGACTAAGCAGCGGGCACTCAGACGGGAGCCCGACAGGAAGAGCATTCCAGCAGGTACTTCTTCGTATACGAGCAGAGGCCGATACTTAGATGTTGGGTGACGAGGATATTCAAGCATATAAAGGGAGGAGATACGGAGTAGTACTGGATGATATACCTACCATAGACTCACTCAGATAGAGATACTATACTTACCTCCTACCTCCTACGTGATACAATGGCATCATCCCACGAGATCCTCCCCTGCACCCCAGCAGACACGCTTGAGATGGCCCGTCTCGAACGCGCAGCTTACGGCCCCGAACCACTCACGCTTCTCATGTTCGGCGAGCCTGCACCGTCCGCCATCAATGCGCGAGCAGATAAATTCGCCCAGATGATGGACCACCCTTTCTCGCGCTGGTGGAAAGTCATGGCAGATGATGGCAAGATAGCCGGCATTGCGCTATGGAATTTCAGAACAGACGAGAACTGGATTGAGCAGCTTGACGGACCCGAAAAGCCGAACGAGTACGTCGAGACGGGCGAGGAAGGGCTACCGGAGTCAGGGTATGCGGCTCGCAGGGCATTCTTCAATTGGCTTTATGGTGTCCGGAAGAGGAGGATGGGCGGGAAACCACATGTTTGTACGCTTCGAAGACCCCCTGCTCGAAAGAGGCCCAGGAGGTCCTTGGGTTAAAAATATGACGTTTTTTGTGCTAATAACTGGTTAACTAGTGCTGAATCTGCTTGCGGTGCATCCGGATTGTCAGCGGCGAGGCATCGGCGGGGCGCTCGTGAAGCATGGCCTTGAAGAGGCGAGGAAGTTGGGCATGCCGACCTGGTTGGAGGCCTCGCCGGAAGGGTTCCCGCTTTACAAGGCACATGGATTTGAGATCGTGGAGCCCGTAGCCTGGACGCTGGCGGAGTATGGAGGAAAGGAAGAGGATGGCAAGGTCGAGTCGTGGGGGATGATCAAGGAAGCTGCTTGATCTTATCTTATCGTCATTTCACTATCATCACGTGGTGATAAGATTGTACATACAACGGCATGGAACATGGACATATAGGCGAGTTGTGTTGATATAGGAAGAAGAAGAAGAAGCAAGTCTACTTCGCAAACTCCGCACCGTACTCGTCTACAATCCACTGGCAAAAGGCTTCCCACTCTTGTCGCCACAGCTTCATCCTCTCTGCCTTGACGCCACCACCCTCATACCCTTTATCGATACCCCCCACCCACTGCTCGTCATCCTCATCTTCAAAAGCAGCATACCGCACACTATTCTCTGCCAGCGAGCCCAGTCCCGCCAGCCCCAGGTTCTCCCAGGCCTGCACCGCCTGCCAGAAATCATGAGACATACCTGACGTCCCCTGTCCCAACAGCGCAGGGTCATCGTTGCTCAGCGATGCAGATACCCCGCGCGCCAACAGGGCTGGCAAGGGATGTGCTAGGACAGTGGCAGTCAACCGCAGCACTTCGTTGGAGATAGGACAGCTCTCAACCATGATGCGGCGCTGCTTGACAATGTCGATTAGGTGCGGGTGTTTGAAGAGCGAGAACGCATGACCGATTCGTCGGGTGTTGAGCAGGATCGCGTCGTAGAGGTTGCGGTCAGTGCTGTCACCGTCTCCCAGGCATTCACCGGCATGGAAGAAAAAGGGTATGTTTAAGTTCTGAGATACGCACTGTTGCCGGAACCACAGGATTTGAGGCATTAAGGCCGCGAGCGTTTGGCCCAGGTCTTCTTGGCCGACCAGGTCGAAGCCAGCTACCAGATGAGGGTGTGCCTTTTTCGCTTCTAGACAGTCCTTCATGCCTGGATCCCGTTTGTTAGCTAGAGCTTCACATCCTACCATTCTCCACATCCATCGACTTACTGGTAACTATAGAATCGGCATCTAAAAATCGTAGAGCAGTCCATATGAGTCGGCCACCCCAGAAGTTCTTGCCTTCCTCCGTCTTTTTAAACGCTTCAATCTCCTCCCCCATCACGGCAACACGGTAATTGAACCCTGTATCCGGCACATCCTGCCCCTCCCTGGCAAACGGTGAGCCAAATACATCACGTATCTCTACCCAGCGCACCCCGTCCGCCGCCAGATTCTGTAGCATCTTCCGAAGAAATAGCCGGTAGACAGGCTCATACCCCAATAGCGAGCCCAGCGTGGGAAACGCAGCGGCCATCTTCCGCCATACCTCGTCCACACCCAGATGGTGCTCGATAGACGATCGTTCGCTTATTACACTTCGGTCGTAAAGCCAGTTCACGAATCCCTGCCGGCCAGTTGACGGGAATGCATCAGCTGCTTCGGCGGCAGGTACGTACGTATCTGGCTGGTATTCAGACGACCAGATAGATACATGGCTCGAACCTGGCTTGGGAGTGATATATTTGAACAGTACGACTGCCCTGGCCCTCGCAGCCTCTGTATCCAACGCCTCAGAGGCACATACATGCATCCCCTCGACGGCAAGGATCTGTTCAAACAGCCAGTCTACCTCTACCATGGCGCCCAAGTGACAATGCAACAACGCCCCCTTGGGCATCCGCTTGGCTATTCTCCACAGATGCGTGGATTCAAGCTTCCGCTTGGCTAGCCCGAACATCATGCCTGGGTACAGTTCGATGCCTTCTTCATTATCTGGATTGGACGGATCATGTTTCCAGATCGAAGCGTGCTCTGCCTCTCGGATATGGGAGACGATGGCACATGCTTGGCTGGCGACGGGTGACAGAGCATTGCGAAAGGCAGTATCTGTATGGATATATTGTTTTTATCAGTCTTTGCTGCTTTGCTTCATGGGTATATTCATGCCCTGTGGCGCGTGAGCGGGGAGATTACGGGCCAGGGGAGCAATAGTTATCTAGTTACCGCTGCGGAGGGAGAGTTCCTTGGATATCAGGGCGTCTCGGGCGGCGAAGTGAGATGCCAGCGCGTCGGCTTCAGGTCCTTTGTCTTCCATGGTGATAGTCAATACGTATATGATGCGGTGTCAGTGTTGTTCGGCCTCCTCCGGACGTGAGGCTGCAACTTGTAGTTGTGACTACCACCTCGTATCCGCGCGGATGTCTGTGGGTCGTTGTGGAAATAGCCGCGACGCGGATCATCTTAGCTTCCAAATTTTATATAAGTTAAAGGGAGCGAAACACAACAAGTTTGATCTTTGAAAGATGCGAGTGGAAGAACGACACATACTACGGCCCAAGACGATGTCCGGCATAGGCTCCTCTGCCGGCAGTAGGATTAAGGCAGGGTCGTCATCACTTATGCCATCTTCTTCAAAGCCAGAATTTCCTTTCAAACAGATATTGGAAGACCTCTTTCGGGATGGAAGCTACTCAGACATGGAAATAGTCTGCAATGGCTTCACTTTCAAGGCCCACCGCGCAGTTGTATGCACGCAGTCTGACTTTTTCAGCGCGGCTTTCAAGAGTGACTTCAAGGTTAGTCGATTGCCAACGATATCCCTAGCTCCCAGGATCAAGATCGGCGCTGAAGTGATAACAAGGAAGCCAAGTCGAGAACAGTCGAGCTGCCTGACGATGACTTCGAGACTATCGAACGGGTTTTGTCATTTTTATACCTACAAGAGTACGATGAAAACGGTCACTTAATGGCCTTGGACTCCAAAGCAATTGTGCCGTCTTCCTCGACCGATGGCTCAAATGCAAAGAAGGACGAAAAGCGGACTAAAACGACTGATGCTGGCTTAAATAACGTCCGGGTTTACGTAGCCGCCGACAAATTCAGGATCCCTCTCCTGCAAAGCCTCGCAGCAGAGAAGTTCACCCGCTGGGCCAACAGCAATTGGGATTCCACGGAGTTTCTGAGAGACATTGAAGAAATAATGACAATCACACCTCCCCATGATCACACCCTGCGAGACATCCTTGCAGACGTTATATCGAAGAATCTGCAGTTGTTTGCTGCTAATAAGGACTTCCTTGCTCTAATAGAGAACTTTGGCGGTCTTGGATCAGCAATTTTGTTCAAGCTTGTGGACTCGGGCCTCGTGAAAGCGCCTGAACCTCAGAAGATCTTTTCTTCACCGTCAACATCCTTTGGCAAGACGAACGTGAGGGCCTGTAAAGGGTGTATCAGTCCGCTCACGGGCTTCAATATAGAGTACCACAACGGGAAACTTCGTTGTGGTACATGCGGGACGCGGAATTGATGTGAGGACAATCCATTCGTCTAGCGAGCGGCTTATCGTGATAGGATCTGGGTCTGGAATATTTCTTCCAAAGAGCTTTTTGTATTTTCTTGCCAAGATGTATGACATAGTTACACCCTTGTTGGTGTCTAGGCACCTGCCAGCCGAAGAGCCTCAACTCTACAAATAGAACTGCTGGACCTGGTCATTATTGGTTGTCATCTAGGGCGACCGTCCAGACCATGATTAACCCCCGAGCCACGGACGATTACTATCGATTACAACCGCTCCAAGTCAAGAGGAAAATCTTCCAATACAAGAAACAACGATGCTAATGTTGTTGGCTGCTATATACCCGAAGAAGTCGGCCGGAGGTCTTGAGTGTACATAAGATGGCAAGCATGTCATTGATTCCGACCGTATGATCACGAGATGAAGGTTGATGAACCAGATATATTGGCCATTAATTTAGGCAAGCTCTATATATAGGAAAAGGGTTCACTCCTGCCACATATGCAATATTTACCAGTCTGGCTGAGTGCCATCATACTTGTCAGGACCGGCATGGTTCTCCCATCCAGGAACTAAGACATTGAGGAACTTTCCGTTGTCTGCCTTGTTGACAGTAGACACAATTTTCAACACGGCAGGGGAGCTTTGGCTTACGGTCAAATCAGCCTGTTCACCGCCCAAGTCGGTCTTCACCCACTGTTATACCTATTAGAGTGTGATGCACGAAAGGTTGTTCTGGGTTACTTACACCCGGGGAAATTGCAACGACAGTAAAACCTTCATCCTCGAGGGCTAGTGCGTATTGCACTGTGAGCATGTTAAGGGCTGCCTTGGAGATTTTATATGACGGAGCAGGCGCAGCCTTGAATTTTGCTGCCATCCCAATGGATCCCATGGTCGTGGACCTATACGGTCTTACTACTCTATTCAGAGATTGATGTCTTGCAGATATACTCACATGGTGAAGATTTTCTTCATGGTACCATTCCTCAAAAGTGGGAGGAATGCACTTGTAACAAGATGGACGCTGGTCACATTGGTATTGAATGTTGCGTTCAGATCGGTCCTGTACCTGTCCATCAGCTACAAACCAGAAGAATTGAATATTCCAAACAACTTACATGGCCTCAATACCATCAGGGATGAAATTCAATACGCCAGCATTGTTGATAAGAATGTCCAGCCCTTTCCCTCCAAGTGACTTCTCAACTTGGATCGCTGCAGCCTTTACTTTCTCAGGGGATGTGACGTCTATAGAGACGAACTCAATGCGGCCAGCGGACTTCTCAATCAATTCCTTTAAAGCAGGAGTCTCCGTACGTGCGGCCGCGAAGATGATAGACACCTCGGTGACAGGCTTAGCAACCAAATCTTTGACTAGAGTAAGGCCAATGCCGCGCGAGGTGCCGGTAATAAGGTAGGAAGCCATGGTGTAATGTAAGACAAGCCTGCTAGCGGGGGAAGTAACTTGAGAAACGTCGGGTAGATGATTTTTGAAGGGTATTCACTTGTGTTTCTTATTGATTTCCTTGTGAACACCAAGGGGATTCCCTGGCTTTATATATCCGTGGCCATTTTGAAGGTGAAGCAAGATCTAGATGTTACTTCTTCGGGGATATCAAAGGATCCTTCGACCTGCTTTGAAATCAACAACCCTGGCGAGGTTCATGCAATGGATATCGCTCTGTTTTTGGACCAGTTTGTAATATAGAGTCACAGAATTCATAGTGATCCTCGTCGTTGACACGGCAGAAGATGCAGGCTCGTCTCATTTGGTGATACTTGGAGTAGAAGTTTGTATCCACTTCCGCCGCGAAATATGCCCAGAAGTAACCAATTGTGCAGGATGCGGCTAAAATAAGAGTACCCTGCTGCAGTATAAGCATTGCAGGGCAGTCATTCTCTCTGCTCAATGGACACTTTGGTCACCATTTGGATACGACTTGTTATACGAAACACTTTTCGCTATGCATTGATGTCTGGCACCCGAATGGCCACATCAGTGACCACCGCTCCATAACTCGTATTTATGCTGAAAAGACATTACCGCATGATTCCCGAAGAGGATTCCGCTGCATCTAGACGAAGGACTCGTCGGGAGTATACTACAGTGTTCGTAGTTAACTAGGCTCCCTTCTGTGTACTCCGTATGGTCAAACAAGATGTTGTATCCGCTTCCCTGTTTGTTGCTAGTAAGCTCCGGGGCAAAGTGTATAACAGCCTCTAGTATAAGTGGCAAGAGTACGGTCAACTGCTATGCCGATGTACCCAGCCTAACTAAACATAAAGAAATAGACTAGAAAGGTACTGCGAGCTATGAGAGTTCACTTTACGTACCGTGAGCCAGAGCAGAGAGCCTAGAGCTTGTAGCATCACTGGCAGCAACTGCTCGCCACGAATCCACCTCCCACGGCCATGTCCCCAGCTAGAGCGAGCTGGCCATGGATGCTGGACGAGATTTACTGGTATTCGCATATCTCCAAATAGATGTTCAATTGGCCCTTCCTTGATCAATCATAAGACATATGATATCATATATATTGATCCTGTTTCTACATCGTGGCGAATATGGGCAAGAGTTAGTATATAAGAAGGATATAGATACGATCTCTCAATGTCCCTCTACCAGGAATTACACCAGGAATTCATCAATTCAACAAAGAAGCAGAAACAAGCAAACAAAGTACAACCATCATGTCTGGAATCGGAGACAACTGGACCACTTCCCAGCGCCGCTCTCAGCGCACCACTCGCAGCGCTGCCCAGGGAGGTCAAGACTTCACCGAAGAAATCAACGAGGACATCTTGTCCACCGATCCCAACTCCCAAGCTCAGAGATGGGAGTCCAAGAAGTACACCCAGCGTACTCACTTCGACGATCAGACCGAGGCTGGTGGCATGGGCTCCGCCGGCTCCCGTAACTTGCAGGGTGGCCAAGGTATGAAAGGCGTCGAGGACACCTCTCGTTCTGGAGGAGAAACGAGTGGCATGCAGGAGGAGGGAACTACTGGAGCCTACCCGGGGGCCTCTTCCCAGCGTCAACAGACCTCCAGAGCCACTGATGATCCCGGTGAGGGCATGGCTGGAATGAGCGGCAAGAGTCATGGATATGATGACCAAAGCTACATGACGCAGGACTATGGAAGACAGGGATTTGGAAGCCATACTGGGCGTGCAGAGCCCCCCGAGAACCAAGAGACCGGTAAGTTTATCCTGTTGACATCGCTTGTGACAGCCATTGCTGATGGTGTATCTTTAGGTGGTGTGCTCGGCACTCTTGGAGAGAAAGTGAAGGGAGCTATGGGCGATGTTAGCAAGAAGGCTTCAAAGTTCAACGAGTAATTAGTTGCCATCAGATTAACAAGGTTGCTTTGGAATGGTGTTGGTATCCAAAACAGCCAAAATGGACACACCCAATTGTGATTGGAATGTAGGTATAATGAGAAACACCAAAGTAGTTTAGGGTAATCATGACAACTGTTGAATGAAATGCAACAAGGTTGCTTGATTGTCTTTCGGGCGAGGTCTTTTAAACATATGATATTGCGCTGTTCTGTAAAGCCTTGTAATAAGCACGTTCTAGGGTAATATATATTGGTACACAGATCACTCATGAGACCACTCAGGCTTCTTCTTCTCAGCGAAAGCAGTCATACCTATTCGTCTCAAGTCAGCATCTAGTTCAATATTGTAAACAAGTAATAGACCTACCAATCTTCTGGTCCTTGCTTCCAAAGAGACCGTGGAACAGTCTTCTCTCGAACTCGACACCTTCCTTCAGCGAAAGCTCCTGGCTCTTGTTAACGACCTCCTTGGCAGCAACAACAGCAACACGGCTGTAGCTAGCGATTTTGCTAGCAGTCTCAAGGGTAGCCTCCATAAGCTCGTCCTTGCCACCCTCAACAACCTTGGCGGCTACTCCCCACTGCCCAGCTTCCTTTCCGCTGAAGGTATTTCCAGTGAGGATAAGCTCCATGGCCTTGCTCTTACCGACGAGCTTGGTCAGACGCTGAGAGCCACCGGCTCCGGGGATAGTGCCGAGCTTGATCTCTGGCTGTCCGAAGGTGGCCTTGTCGGTGCAGTAGATCATATCACACATCATTGCGAGCTCGCAGCCACCTCCGAGAGCATATCCGGATACCGCAGCAATGACGGGAGTTCGGATTGTGTTGGCAAGATGCGACCAAGGAGCAATGAAGTTGTCGTTGTAGGCGGCAGCGAAGGTGAGAGGGGCCATTTCCTTGATATCGGCACCAGCTAGTAATAAGTTAGAAGGAGATACTCCTACGTAAGCCATTGCCCATCCGTAATGCGTACCTGCAAATGCCTTCTCGCTGCCGGTGATGATTATAGCGCCAATGGTCTTATCTTCGTCATACTTGGTGAGAGCCTCGTTGAGCTCCTTGAAGAGAGGGCTACACAAGGCATTGAGAGCCTTTGGCCGGTTAAGAGTGACTAGAAACAGTCAGTAATATCCTCACAAGCTCTGCGGTAAGGATTGTCAGCCGTACTTAATCCGACGCCGGGCTTAGGAGTAGATGTGAGGATGTACTCGTAGGCTGGGGATCCAGTCGAGTAGAAGCGGGAGATGTATGACTGCAATGGCCGGGCAGTCTGCGAGGCCACGAGTCTTGAGCAGCGTCTGGCAAACATGGTGTGAGATTGTATATCTTGCCAATTGATACTTAGAGATAGAAAAACACCTCTGTCGACGTCCGTCGGCCTGTAGGTCCGAAATCAACGATGATGATGATGATGTTTTGTCCCTGCCCGCGCCAAAACTAGCGCCGAGGCAGAAGGAAAAGCCGCGGCAAGCCGCCCCGAAATTTGATCACATGACCACACGTGACATGATTGGTCGGCTTATATAATTAATTCCCTATTAGGACTGGCGCATGCGTCAGCCTCGGTATCACGTTGGGCCGTGCACTGTGGCTGGTGTATGCCAAGAAATTTTGCTCCAAAAAGTTATTCAGGATTTAATATTAATTCCATCAAACACCGTCGTCGTCACCGAAGCCGTCATCTCTCCCAGTCTTCGCATCGCAAGCCTCAGACATAGACAGGACACCTTTCAACACACACCAAGCGCTGGCTATCTCCTGCCTATAACCCCACACTTTCACCGTCACTATGGACCGCCCAGAGCCAGAGAACAGCCCCTTTACAGCGGTTTCCGCGCAAACCTCAAAGTTGAGAAGAGTAAGTGATGCGACCTTGCGGACCCTTTAGTTGCCATGTTCACCCTTGCGCTGTTCCTGTGACTAAACAAAGTTGTAATTTCTATAGCAATATCAAGCGTATCTCGATGCGTCAACCCCATATACCATGTACCGGTGGATAGGCACCGGCGTCATGCTCCTGCTTTTCTTCCTTAGGATAGTGCTGGCGCAAGGCTGGTATATCGGTATGTTATCGCTTGACGTATCCTACCCACGAAATCAAACCTAGCTGACCTTTGCGACAGTGGCATACACTCTAGGAATCTACCTACTCAACCTCTTCCTCGCATTCCTCCAACCGAAATTCGACCCATCTCTTACCCAGGATACTGGACTAGAAGAGGGTGACGCCGGTGCGTCTCTTCCTACCAACCAAGACGAAGAGTTCCGCCCCTTTATTCGACGACTTCCGGAGTTCAAGTTCTGGCACTCGGCAACCGTGGCTATCACTCTGGCCTTCTCCTGCACCTGGTCTCAGATATTCAACATCCCAGTCTTCTGGCCAATCTTGGTCGTGTACTGGTTGATCCTGTTCTGCTTGACGAGTACGTATATCCTCTCGGCATATCTAGTTATTTCTCTCTTGCCTATCTAACAGAGGTATGTAGTGCGACGACAAATACAACACATGATCAAATACCGATATGTTCCCTTCACCTTCGGCAAGGCCAAGTACGGCCGCACTTAATACGCCAGCGTTCGACCGATTCTCCTTACATACCGCTTTACTTCCTTTTCCTACATTAATGTGAAAACGGGGTTTGGATACATATCGACGATTACGTATTTGCAAAGGGACACCAACGACAAAAACGAAAAAAGTTACTATGATTGAAAAGACTAATTATCCCTTTGAAGAAATTCTTTTGCACCCTCTATTTACTCTCTTCTTCCTCTTTTTTTGCTCTTCTTTGTACAAACGCCTTCCGATACACTGTCTCTGTGTCGTGTTTTCCATATCTATCCCCCTTTCACCTCTTATCCCCTTTCAACTCCTGACCCGGCAAGTCATTGGAATACTTACGCGTACCTCCGTGTCTTGTTTGAGTCTCCTTTAATTTGAAAAGGCTTAGGAGGAAGAGGGCGACGCGGCGATTCGTCGTTGATTGGTATGACCAATTGTTAGCAAGGTTTTAATCTTTTTTTCTTTTCCTGTGGCTTTTCTTTTTTTTTTTGGCCTCCTTCACTTACTTACGTCTCTTGGATTACACTCTTTCTTTTATGCTATGGTTGTTGTGGCTTGGTCGATTGCAAGGCCTCTGTTAACTTCTCTTCCTCTTTCCCCCTGCTATAGAATACTGATAGAGCCATGGTAATCCGTTAATGACAGCGTGTTTCCCTAACAGCAGTGTATAGGAATAATTGACTAATTTGTAGCAGTACGCCGTGTCTGGCGGCTATTCATCGGGACTAAATTTACAACCCCGATGACTGCAACGAACACCCCACGGGCGGTCGTGGAACCGGAGAAGACAGCCATGCCTGTCATGGAAATGCAAGTAATACCACTAATGACCCCCACCGGCCGATCGACTCCATCGCAAGGGGCAATGGCGTAGTTGGGAGCGCGTTTGACTGAAGAAAACTTCAGGAACAAGGTATTTCTACCTAGTTGATCAGAAGGTCACCGGTTCGATCCCGGTTTGCCCCATTTGAGACTCCCCAGTCATCAATTCTTTTTTGTTCCTTTCATGTTTTTGCTATACGGCCCTTCACAAGAGAGAATTTGAATGATAAATACCCATCACCGAGAGCCGCACACCTAGGTTTGTGTGTGTGGTCAGGGCTTTTTTCGGCATCGAGCGTCATGTGACCCAGCCATGGCCCCGGCCGGGCCTCTCAAGTATCGCAGCAACCAACAGGCGCCTCGAATGCCAGAGCATTAAAATACGGTTTATTCTGAAACTGAGAATATCTTCATACCGCTGTCAGCCGAGAATAGAGTCCGAGAAGAGTGGCCACTCAGTTTGTTGCCGAAGATATACCCAAGAAATCTGCAATCGCGCTGGCGACTTAGACCAATGATTCCCTATCGAAAACTACATATACACTGTTCGCTAGCATTGCGTATAGATATAGAACTTGGATGATACCACAGATCCTCGAAGCTAATCCGAGATAAGTAGAAAATGAAGAAAAGGGTCTATTCATTGTTATTGCATAGTCGAGTTTTATATCTTTAACTGTGGCTGATGTAACTAAATAGTTGTCTGAGGTTAGCCAGCGATTTAGTAGCAAGCAGTAATAGGTTTGTATACCTCTTTAAGAGCATGACATTTAAAGACAGTGAAGGGGAAAAAATTTCTAATGAGAAATAATTACGGACCTTCAATTTACATCGTCTATAATACGCCTTGCGATGTCCTGCAAGACAGCCATGCCTGCCAATGTTGAGCCCGCTGCTTGTTTATTTGTATTGTGCGGTGTGGGTGTTGGATCCTTTGGAAGGGACCAGCGGCAGCAGAGCCAGGCCTGGCCATAATGCAGAAAGTGTCCAGCGTCACCATGCATTGGGGCAATGGCGTAGTTGGGAGCGCGTTTGACTGAAGAAAACTTCAGGAACAAGGTTTCACCTAGTTGATCAGAAGGTCACCGGTTCGATCCCGGTTTGCCCCATTACAATTTTTTTCTATTTTTTTTTTATTTTTTCTATTTCATTTCAGCCGGGTGATGATTGATAATAACAACGATGGAATAGGCCGAGATATATGTGTTTTCGTAAAGTAATCTGTCTTTGGCGTTGGCGTAGTGTTGTGTTGTCGAGAATTACCTTATTGGGTTGTTGGGATTGTTTCCATATTTTGAACAAATACGCAGTTATCAGTCTAGTGAGATAAGCATTTCGCTTCTTAGGCTAGAGATGGGCGATCTGATTCTGGGCCATGATTTGATCTCAATCTCGAAATTCATATCAAACGACCTGCTAAGCTAAGACAACGGGAATATACATTAGAGACGCGGCTGTGGTTTCGAAGAGACCTCCTTTTCAGTGGCCTTCTCTATTCTGGCTCCAAGGTCTCGGTTGACCCTGCGGAACATCTCATAAGTGGCTCTCCTGACCTTCTCGTTAGCCCCCGCCAAATGGCCTGCCACGTTCCCTACAAAATTATCCTGTTGCCCCTTCTCCTTACCCATAACTTTCCACAGCCTGCCTGGCTGGACGAAATCTTCGTCAGTAACGGGTATTTGCTTTGAAAGGACAGCTCCAGCCCACTTCTCGTGCTCTTGGCTGGCACGAACGGGGCGGAACGCCACTTTCCTGAAGCTAGACGGGTAGTTGGGGTTTGCGCCATGGTTGCCGTCAACAGACATATGACCATCTCGTTGGTAAGGCGTGTATACCTTCAGAGGGCAGTTCACTGGGATCTGGGTGTAGTTTGTACCTAGACGGTGGCGGTGGGTGTCTGGGTAAGAGAACAGACGGGACTGTAATACTGGATCAGCTGAGGGCTCGACACCCGGTACAAGGTGGGAAGGTGAGAATGCGGCCTGCTCCATCTCGGCAAAGTAGTTCTCTGGGTTTCTATTCAGAGTAAGTTTGCCAATGCGGCGGAGAGGGACTTCGCCATGCGGCCAGACCTTGGTGAGGTCAAAGATATTCCACCGGAATTTCTCGGCGTCGGCTGGGGAGAGGACCTGAACATAGCATGTCCAAGATGGGTTCTGGCCAGCCTTGATGGCGTTGAAGAGATCCTCGGTATGCCAGTCTGGGTTTTCAGCAGACATTCGGACCGCTTCATCATTAGTGAAGTTCTTGATACCCTGGTCGGTCTTGAGATGAATTTGGACATAGTTGAAGCCGCCGTCGGGTTTAATCCACTTGTACGTGTGGCCAGAGTAACCGTTCATGTGGCGGTAAGAATAAGGCGTGCCACGGTCCGAAAATAGGTGCATGATTTGATGGGCAGACTCCTGGTGTGTGGACAGATAGTCCCAGAACATATCTGGATCTTTGAGGTTTGTTTGCGGGTTACGTTTCTGGGTATGTATGAAGATAGGGAATTTGGCAGGATCACGCAGGAAGAAGATGGGCGTGTTGTTGAAGACCCAGTCTAGATTTCCTTCTTCAGTGTAAAACTTGATGGCGAAGCCGCGAGGGTCTCGTGCACTATCTGCCGAGCCCTTTTCACCGCCGACTGTGGAGAAACGAGTGAGCAGCTTGGTCTTCTTGCCTACTCCTTTGAGCATGTCTATTATGGTCTGGTATTGCAACTCGTTAGTCTTTGTGCTTCTGGCTGGCCTACTAAGCTCCATGTCTTACAATGTCAGAGATGTCATCGGTGACTTCAAATTCACCATAGGCTCCGGCTCCTTTGGCATGAACAACTCGCTCGGGGATACGTTCGCGATCGAAATGTGCGAGTAGGTCTATGAGATGGAAGTCCTGTAAGAGCAAGGGTCCATTCTCGCCAACCCTCTGTGAGGACTCAGGGTCCATGACCTAGGGCCTATTAGTTATATTTCCTCTCCACTTATAAACAGGATCGAACAGTTACCGGACAGCCATTAGAGGTGGTATAAACCGGAACCTCATTGTAGCGATATGTGCCTAAGGAGCTATATGTCAGCTTATGTAGGCCAGGTACAAACGGCTAAACTCACTCGGCTTATCGTCGGCTCCCATGGTTGTTGTCAACGTGCTCTGTTAATATGCACTTTGGTAGCTATTTGCGTGTGTAACACCACTGCAGGTCGAAATAGATCAAGGGGAGTGAGGCCATGCATGACGATGGAAACGACCTCTCTTATACCCCGGCCGGAGCTCGCCGCGCTGCCAACTCGATCTGAAGGCGTTACAATAGCGGGTTCCCGTGCGGGGAGAAGAAGCCTATAATACGGGACATATACTTCCTTCGTTGCTGGAATAGGTACCAATCGGCAGTGATGTCACTGTTGTTGCACGGTAACCGGGTGAACTGGTACTTGGACAGTACCTTGTCAATCAAGGTCGGTGAAGGTTTATGTTATTGTTTAATGCGTAACCAAGCCATCTTCGGCTCGTGAGAATGCGGGGAGAGCTCTCCTTCTTCGGCATCTCGTGCTCTCCTTCATTCTATATTGTCTCCCACTCTCTCGCTGTTTCATAATATCCAGATCGCGATGAGTTCCCAATGTCGTTGATGGTAAAAAAGACGAGGTAATGGCAAGGCCAATTGGAGGGCTATTATTAGTCAACTATAATAACTTTATTTGATTGGCCAGTAGTAGCCATTTTTTATTGGTTGATATAACCTTGGCAGAGTTGAGCACGGACGATTATTTGTAATGACTAAGCTACAGCCTCGGCTGAGAAGAAAGTTTATCGATAAGGGCAAGAAAGCAACAACATCAGCTCCAAGCAGAAGTTTCGAGCTGCAAAGAAAACGAGAGCTCGCGAGCGACTCGTTGTACACTCATTTTCGTTCTACCTATTCTCCTATAATGGTTCAATCAATTCTTTCCGCGCCTACAGTTCGAGTACGAGCTTCACCTTTTACCAGGGAAAGCTTTAGGCCATTCGGGACAGCAGTCGAAACACCTCTGCCAGATACACTGAACACTCCACCAAATTCCCTCACCAGCTTCAAGTCTCCTGATTGTGCCGCTGAATCAGCTAACCAAGGCTCTGCTGTGAAATGGAGCCCGATATCACCAATAACTGAATCATATGGAGAGAGCTCAAAGAAAGGGGAAGCTCGCATGAGCATGTTCTCATGCTTCCCTCGGGAATTGCGCACCCCTCTATCCCAATCTGCTCCCTCATCGAAAGGATTTTCCGGACTATGGAATCAGAATCTATCAGGACTATTTGACGTAAAGTTTCTGGAAAGACATCCGTACACCTCACAGTCATTTATTCCCATATCGCGGAGTCACAATCAGGACCATGCTATAAGACGAGACACTGTGACTGAAGATGTCTTCTATTTGGTCATTGTTGCTCCATCACTAGTAGGCCAGGTGGATTCAGCAACATCGATACACGATCCTCCAGATCTCAAAAATCTACAAGCATTCGTTGCTAGGCCAGGTCAGGCAGTGACTTATGCGGCCGGAACATGGCATGCTCCTATGGTGGTTATAGGGAGGCAGAGGATAGATTTTGTTGTTGTTCAATATGTGAATGGAATCGATCGCGACGATTGTGAACTTGTTGGTTTGGAAGACGGTGTTGTCGTGGAGATTGATGCCCGCTCGTCAAAGGCAGTAGCTAAGTTGTAGTGCCTGGCCAGGTTGCTGGCTAACAACCATTCTTCTACTATTACTATTATAAGCCTAAGACAGACGAAATTATTGGTTAATACATCTTTAGGTAACATTATCGCTTTTACGCACTGATAACCAAGTAAAGGTAGGAAAATCGTAATAATTAGTCAACTATGGGGTATCAAAGATCTATGAAATATGGGTCTGGGCACAGGTAGGGACCTAACTAAACGAGATAATGGAAGAAGATATATGAAATGGTGGGTATAGCCAACACGCTATCAAGAGGCTGAATGGGCTGACTTGCGACAGTCTTCTTCTACTTGATGGCCAAGCTCTGTTCCCATGGCTGGCATTTTTTTGATCACGTCTTCGGCTACATCGATCACACTTTGAGGTAGGCCAGCAAGGTGAGCAACCTTGAGTGCATGAGATTGTCGATTAACTCCAGGCCTTAACTTATGGACGAATGAGAAACCACCGGATGAATCCTCTTTCAGGTCCGTACAATATCTGCCAACGTGCTGGAAGTCCGCTGTCATATCCGCCAAGGCGTGGAAATGTGTCGCAAACAAAGTGCGGGCTTTATTCTCATTATGAAGATGGTGCAGACAAGCAAAACCTACTGCAGTTCCGTCTTCCGGGGTAGTTCCTCGGCCAACTTCATCCATTATCACAAACGAGCGAGGAGTGGCATGTTTTAGGATGGAGGCGGTCTCCAGCATTTCAACCATAAAGGTTGATTGATCGCGAAATAGATCGTCGGCTGCTCCAATGCGGCTGAATATCTTATCCACAAGCCCTATCTCTGCGTACTCAGCTGGAACATAGGAACCCACTTGAGCAAGGATAGTTATTAGAGCATTTTGTCGAAGAAATGTACTCTTGCCAGCCATGTTGGGCCCAGTGATAAGTAGAATTCGCTCCTTACCCCCTACAAAGCAGTCATTGCTGACAAAGGGGCGACCTTGTTCTTCGACTCCAAGTTTAACGGTAGGATGCCTACCGCCGATGATTTTGTGGCTTAAACCATTGTTAACAATCGGCCTAACCATTCCTTGTTCTTTAGCCAAAGCTGCAAAAGAGCAAGCTACGTCAAGTTCGTCCAAAACACTTGCATTGCGACGAAGTTTGACTAGGTTCAAAATCACCATATGACGTAGCCTCTTGAATATGTGTTGTTCCTCAACTCTGATTTGTTGCTTCATGCTTTCTAATTTGGCACCTAGTTGAGTCCAAGATGGTAAATAAAATGAGCGCGTGGATTTCGAGGAGGAGACGGTACGTGTTACCCCTAGATCTTCTAGGGATTTTTTCATTGCTTTAGTCCCTTTCATGTGGACGATATGGCCAAGACCAGGTGTCCACTTTAGGCTGAGCTGTGCAGTGTCTAACGTCTGCTGTAGCCTTTTCGTTAGCTTAGCTTTCTCAGAGTAAAGGTTCTCAAGAGCATCATGTAGATTTCTTAGAATCTTGCTGGCATCAGGTCGCATAATCCAGGCGGTGTCACTGGGGGAGTCAGGTCCACTCGGCCCCTTTGGCCCATCCCCTTTTGAATCCTTCACTTTTTTGGGCATTGCATTAAGGTCTGCATCCGACCCTTCACTTAACAACACGTCATGGGCGAGGGCCGAATCGCCAGCGGCTGCATCCTCTTCCACACGTTGCTTTTGTAGAAGCATTTCTTCATCAATTGAATCTTGTATGGATCGTGACAGTTCTCCTGGACCATGTAAGTTAAAACGGTGTAATAAAGGTCGAATGCTTTTAGAGCTGCTGATATCTCCTTCAGCGGCGGCTTTGGATTCCACGGCTGTGAGTTTTTGTTCCAATATCGACTTAATATCGCCCGAAGCATCAATAGCTCGTGAAAGACATATAAGATCATCCGGTAATCCTCTCCCAAGTGAGAATTTCTGCACTAGGCGTTGGGTATCATAGCTGCGTTTCAATAACCTCATAATATTTTCCCGTAAATCTTCGTCTTCCAACAGAAGAGAAACTAGATCCAGACGCTCATTTATGACCCCTAAAGAGGCTGATGGTGCGGCTATACAGATGTCTGATTAGAAATGATATAGATGGGGCAGTAAGTGGACCACTTACTCAGTCGTTCCCTTAGCAGCCGGGCACCGCTGCTTGTTGAGGTTCGCCGCACTGCATGAAGCAGGCTTCCCTTACCAAATCCATCTCTTGCTGTTTCCAAGATTTCAAGCCCCCTAAGACAATTACGGTCGATAGACATTGAGTCCTCAGCTACTTTTCGGCGAGGTGGCTGAAGCCTCACGTCCGTTTGTTTTATTTGTTTCCTGACATATTCAAGGACCATCTGGCAGGCAGATACTTCCTGAGGGGTAAACATAGAAGCAACCTCTGAAGATATTGGAGAATCAAAGCTAGGGTTCCACTCTGATAGTGGTTGAATGTTCTTGGGACTTTGAAAATACGTAATGGGCTGGTGCTCCTGGACAACCAATGCCTCCAGTTCCGATCGTAGGGGTTCCTCTATACCTTGATCGACTAGGATTTCACGGGCCCCTATTCGTGTAATCGCAGAAGCAAGCATCTGAGGGCTAGTTACCTGGGTTAGAAAATCTCCAGTTGACAAGTCCAGCCACGATAGGCCAATTATGTCAGAGTCGGGAAGGCAATTGAGCTGTCCTCGGGTTACTTGATCGTCTGTACCAGATTGTAAAGAATTGAGGCTGGGATCGACATGTATAGAGAGAAGATAGTTGTTTTGATATTGGTCAATAAACTTTTCGTCAATCAACGTGCCAGGTGTGACGATACGCGCAACCTTGCGGTCGAACATCAATCCACCAGCTTTGGCCTTGGCGGCGGCGTCATTGGCAAACTCTTCGCTAATAGCCACATTTTTCTTCATTTCCTGAACCAAAGTCTTGAGAAAACGGTCTAATTGAAAATAGGGAAAGCCAGCCATAGGAACAGGCCCAACAGCCGTTTTCTTGTACGCCAATTTTAAATTTAACAAGCTGGCATATTCCTCAGCTTGATGGAAATAGAGCTATTAAGCTAGTTAGTTGTCAAGGCAAAACTGTGCCGCGTATGTTGTGCTAAAGCCCAAGAGGGTCCTACCTCGTAAAAATTCCCAACTCTTGTGAGAAGAACACAGTTAGGAAACTTTTGCATGTTATATTTAGCTCCCTGGACAACAGCAGGATATTGTGGAACGTCATCGGTAAATGGGGCCAATGGTTTCTTGGATTCCAGGGGACCTTGAGCAAGATCTGACAGTCTTGCCGCCGACTTCGTTTTGGCACCACGCCATGATATAATTGGATATGGGACCTTAAATTGTAACAAACCAGGTCTTTGGGTATAAAGTAGGCTTCTAGGGTATAAAGACGGCCTTGATATACGTCCACGAACGCTTAGAAGCCTCATCGTATGTTTGCAGCATGGAGTCGTCAGTCCTTCTCCTGCCGACTTTTTGATATCGCGAATTTCCCCTTTTGGCGCCCGGGCGTCTAGCTATCACATGACCAGAAACGCTAATCTGTTTTTGGGAAGCTTATCGCGCTTATGTAATATTAGAGCTTTTGACGCGGTTCAACCAGAAATTTGCAAGCTTTGGGAGAGCAAGATATCAACTTTCACAATTCTCGAACTCCGTCCCTTTCGTTTTCGCGGGGTTTCTTCTATCAACGGATGGATCGCAGCTATAAGTTTTTGTTTTTAGGTTGATGCGGTCAGGGTATCATTTGCCCTCTTAAACGAGTGAACACGGAGCTTCAAACGGGAGTGTTGACCACCGAGTTACCCTCAAGATGGCAGACCCTAATAATGTCGCGCAGTACAAGTACTCGGCGATGTCCAACCTGGTTCTCCAGGCGGATCGCCGATTTGTTACTCGCCGTGCTGATGAGGTTACGGGTGACCCAGAGTCCCTGGCGGGCCGCCTCAGTATCAAGGATATGGGTGTCCACGCGATGCGTCCAGAAGTCAAGCAGAAGAAAGCATCTGCCCCAAAAGACATTGAGCGTGGAGGGATAAGAGAAGGCGCCGACGTCTTGAAGCGGGAACAGCGCAAGAGGAAACGAGGAGAGCAGGCACAACTTCGTGGTGTGGGAATATTGTCCGCCGCGGATGCCCTCATCGAAGGCCTTAAATACCGACCGCGAACGGCTGCAACCAGAGCTACATATGATTTGATATTGACGACAACGGCGAGCCACCTGGGTGATGTGCCGCACGATGTCATTCGAAGCGCCGCGGATGCCATCCTAGAACTCTTGAAGGATGAGAACATGAAGGATTTCGATAAGAAAAAAGAAGTGGACGATCTTCTGGGTGTTACTATGGGCCCGAAAGAATTCAATGAACTGGTAAATCTTGGGAAGAAAATTACAGACTATGACGCTCAAGACGACGATGAAACAAATGGCGCTGGCGCAGAAGGCGAGGATGGTGCCGAGCTAGATGAACGTCAGGGTGTGGCTGTCGTATTCGATGAATCTGATGAAGATGAAGATGAAATGCGGCCCGATGCAGAAGTTAAAGATGAAGGAGAGAGTAGTGAGGACGAAGATATGTCTGATGAGGGACCACCCGACGAAGGTGAAGCTGCCCAGAATATACCCGAAGACGTCATGGGCATGGGGGATGAGGATATGATCATTGACGCAGGAGCCGGAGTCGCCGCTGGAAAATCTGACGCCGACACTAAAATTGTGCCCGCACGCGAGATCGATGCATACTGGCTACAACGACAGATTGGAAATATTTACTCAGACGCTCATGTACAACACGAGAAAGCTCAGGAAGCTTTTACTCTAATGAGTGAGCAGTCAGAGGATGGTACCCCAAAGCCATTGAGAGACGTTGAAAATGACCTGATGGAACTATTTGACTATGACCATCCAGAGCTTGTCGGAACCTTGGTCCTTAACCGTGATAGAATTGTTTGGACGACAAGGTGGCGAAGGGAAGCCGAAGATAGTGATGCCAGACGTCTCATTGAAAACCAAATGATAGAAAGTGGGAACCGACTCCTCCTCGATGAACTAACTGGCAAGGTCCAAGATGCCACTGAGCGACCTGGGAAAAAGATGAAAGTCGACTCAATGGATGTTGATACTCCTATGGCTAAAAAGGAGGAAGAGGATGAGGCTAAACCAAGGACTATGGTTGGTGGACTTCCTCCATCGAAAGTCATCAATCTTGAGAATTTGGTTTTTGACCAGGGTAATCATCTAATGACCAATCCCAATGTTAAACTTCCTCAAGGCTCCACGAAGCGAACATTCAAGGGCTACGAGGAGATTCATGTTCCGGCACCCAAACCCAGACGTGATGACGACATCAGGAGGATACCAATAACTGAGCTTCCAGAATGGTCCCGGCCAGGTTTCGGCAACACCGACAAGTTGAACTTGATTCAGTCAAAATGTTTTCCCACAGCCTTTAATGACGACGGTAACATGCTGATTTGCGCTCCCACTGGATCTGGAAAAACTAATGTGGCTATGCTTACGATGCTCCGTGAAATTGGGAAAAATAGAAACCCGGAAACTGGTGAAATCATGCTTGACGACTTCAAAATCATTTACATAGCTCCATTGAAAGCCCTGGTTCAAGAGCAAGTAGGGAATTTTGGGAAACGTCTCCAACACTATGGCATCAAAGTTTCTGAGCTCACTGGTGACCGTCAATTAACTAAACAGCAGATAGCAGATACCCAACTTATTGTCACAACTCCAGAAAAGTGGGATATCATAACAAGAAAAGCAACCGACACTAGCTATACTCGCCTAGTTAGACTCGTCATTATCGATGAAATCCATCTGCTTCACGATGAGCGTGGTCCTGTACTGGAAAGCATCGTCAGTCGAACTATACGAAAGACAGAGCAAACTGGAGAACCCGTTCGCTTAGTCGGACTTAGTGCGACTCTTCCAAACTATCGTGATGTTGGCAGTTTTCTACGTGTTGACCCCATCCACGGGCTGTTCCATTTTGATGGTACCTTTCGACCATGCCCACTAAAGCAAGAATTTATCGGTGTTACGGACAAGAAGGCCATTAAGCAATTGAAAACAATGAACGATATTTGCTACACCAAAGTCCTAGACCAAGTAGGTGCGAACAAAAACCAAATGCTGATATTTGTCCATTCACGAAAGGAAACCCTTAAAACAGCAAGGTATATCCGAGATAAAGCAGTTGAGATGGAAACTATTGGGCAAATTTTACGAAGCGATGCTGCCAGCCGTGCTATCTTGGCTGAAGAGGCTGACTCAGTGAATGATCCCGGACTGAAAGACCTGATGCCATACGGATTTGGAATCCATCATGCTGGGATGAGCAAAGCGGATCGGACATCTGTTGAAGATCTGTTTGCAGATGGTAGTTTGCAAGTCCTTGTCTGTACCGCTACGCTTGCGTGGGGTGTCAATTTACCCGCGCATTGTGTTATAATTAAGGGAACTCAAGTCTACTCTCCTGAAAAAGGCAGCTGGGTAGAGCTTAGCCCCCAGGATGTCCTTCAGATGCTTGGGCGAGCAGGTCGGCCCCAGTACGACTCATTTGGCGAGGGTATAATAATCACCACACAGGCGGAGCTTCAGTATTACTTGTCACTACTCAATCAACAGTTACCCATTGAAAGTCAGCTTATGAGTAAGCTTGCCGACAATCTCAATGCTGAGATCGTTCTAGGGAATGTTCGGTCTCGTGAAGAAGGAGTGGAATGGCTTGGCTACACCTATTTGTTTGTCAGAATGCTTCGTTCTCCTGGACTTTATAGCATCGGCGCCGATTATGAACACGACACCTCGCTTGAGCAGCGCCGTGTGGATCTTATTCACTCTGCGGCGATGGTCCTGGAGAAATCCAACCTTGTCAAGTACGACAGGAAAACAGGCAAACTCCAGGCTACTGAGCTCGGTCGCATCGCATCTCACTATTATATCTCTCACAGCTCGATGCTCACATATAACCATCATCTACAGCCCATGATTTCTACCATTGATTTATTCCGAATCTTCTCGCTGAGTGAGGAATTCAAGTATATCCCTGTTCGACAAGACGAGAAGTTGGAATTGGCAAAGTTGTTGAGCAGAGTCCCTATTCCTGTCAAGGAGAGCATTGAGGAACCGCACGCCAAAATCAATGTGTTGCTACAAGCTTATATTTCACGCCTAAAGCTAGATGGGCTCGCTTTAATGGCTGACATGGTGTATGTCACCCAATCTGCCGGTCGAATCCTCCGTGCTATATTCGAGATTACTCTCCGGAAGGGTTGGTCCTCTGTTGCAAAAACAGCGCTGGATCTTTGCAAAATGGCTGAAAAGCGGATGTGGCCAACCATGACTCCCCTTCGCCAATTCCCAAGCTGCCCTCGGGATATTATGCAGAAGGCTGAACGGATTGACGTCCCCTGGGCAAGCTACTTTGATCTAGACCCACCACGAATGGGTGAACTTCTAGGCATTCCTAAAGCTGGACGTATTGTATGTGACCTTGTTTCAAAATTCCCCCGCCTTGAGCTGCAGGCACAGGTACAGCCAATGACTCGCTCGATGCTCCGTGTTGAGTTGACTATCACACCTAATTTCACCTGGGATGATTCGCTGCACGGAAATGCAGAAGCATTCTGGATTATCGTCGAGGATTGTGATGGAGAAGACATTCTCTTCTATGACCAGTTTATACTCAGGAAAGAGTATGCAATCTCGGAAATGAACGAACATCTCGTTGAATTCACCGTTCCAATCACCGAGCCCATGCCACCCAACTATTTCATTACTCTACTTTCTGATCGCTGGACACATTCAGAAACCAAGGTTGCCGTTGCGTTCCAGAAATTGATTCTTCCCGAGAAATTCCCTCCGCATACTCCACTCTTGGATATGCAGCCTGTTCCTGTCAAAGCTTTGAGACGGGCAGATTACCAGGGTCTATATCCCAACTGGGAGAAATTTAATAAAGTCCAAACCCAAGTATTCAAAGCACTCTTTGATTCAGACGACAATGTATTCGTTGGTGCCCCCGTGGGAAGCGGAAAGACAGTATGCGCCGAATTCGCCATTCTTAGGCATTGGTCCAAGGAAGAATCGCGGAAGGCAGTATATATCGCTCCATTCCAGGAACTTGTGGATCAAAAACTTGCTGATTGGACCGCTCGCCTGACAAGTGTTGCTGGTGGTAAGTCAATCCAGAAACTTACTGGAGAGACTACCGCCGACCTCAAGATCCTTGATCGGGCAGATCTCGTACTTGCGACACCTATACAGTGGGACGTCATTTCTCGACAGTGGCAGAGACGCAAGAATGTCCAAGCTGTCGAGCTCTTCATTGCAGATGATCTGAACATTCTTGGAGGGCAAGGAGGTTATGTATATGAAGTCATCGTTTCACGAATGCATTATATCTCCCTTCAAACCGAACAAGAACTGCGGATAGTCGGGCTTAGCGTTCCGTTGGCAAACGCCCGCGACATTGGAGAATGGCTTGGAGCAAAGAAGCATACCATTTTCAATTTTAGCCCTCATGTCCGGCCGGTTCCTCTGGAACTGCATATTCAATCTTTCACGATACCCCATTTCCCATCCCTTATGCTCGCTATGGCGAAGCCTGCATACCTATCCATTTTACAACTTTCACCTGACAAGCCGGCGTTGATATTCGTACCAAGTCGCAAGCAAGCTCGATCGAGTGCTCTCGATCTATTCACTGCCTGTGTTGCTAGTGAGAATGAAGACCGATTCTTGCATGCCGATATTGATGAGATAGCTCCTCTACTCGACCGGATCGAGGAAAAAGCATTGGCGGAATCGATATCTCACGGTATCGGTTATTACCACGAGGCCTTGAGTACAAGCGATAAACGAATCGTTTCTCACCTCTACAAGATTGGCGCTCTTCAGGTTATGCTTGCTTCTCGGGATGTATGCTGGGAGCTTGACCTTACGGCTCATCTCGTCATCATCATGGGAACTCAATCATTTGACGGCCGCGAACACCGATATATCGATTACCCAATTAGCGACATTCTCCAGATGTTTGGCAAAGCCACGCGACCTCGTGAAGATAGGATCGGCAAAGGTGTCCTGATGGTTCCTGCTGTAAAGCGTGAATATTATAAAAAATTCCTCAACGAAGCACTGCCTATGGAGAGTCATCTGCAGCTTTATCTTCATGATGCGTTTGTGACGGAAATAAGCACGAAAACAATCACGTCTACTCAAGATGCTGTCGACTGGATGACTTATTCATATTTCTACAGACGACTTCTCGCCAACCCTAGTTATTACGGTCTTACCGATGTTAGCCATGAGGGACTGAGTACTTTCTTATCGGAACTTGTTGAGAATACCCTTAAGGAGCTGGCTGAAGCACAAATTGTTGACATGGATGAGGACGAAAACATCTCTCCTCTGAACGCTGCCATGATTGGTGCCTATTATAACATCTCCTTCATCACTATGCAGACCTTCCTTCTTTCGCTTTCTCCCAGAACGAAACTTAAGGGTATGCTTGAAATTGTGACTTCTGCTACAGAATTCGAGTCCATTCAAGTACGACGCCATGAAGACTACATTCTTCGCAGAGTTTACGATCGAGTCCCTGTCAAAATGGCCGAGCCTGCCTTTGACTCGCCACATTTCAAAGCATTTGTTCTTCTCCAAGCACATTTTTCACGTCTCCAGCTACCAATTGACCTTGCAAAGGACCAAGAAATCATCCTTGGCAAGGTTCTTAACCTCCTTAGTGCCTGCGTCGATGTCCTTTCATCTAAGGGCCATCTGAATGCCATGAATGCCATGGAGATGTCGCAGATGGTTGTCCAGTCGATGTGGGATAGAGATAGTCCGCTAATGCAGATTCCCCACTTCGGTCCAACTGCTATTAAGGCTGCTAATGAGTTCAAGTATGTCCCTGTTAATATCTCACAAATCAAAATTTATAGAAATGCTAACAACAGTGCTAGGATTCGTGACATCTTTGAATTTATGGAGGCTATGGACCCATCGGAGAACAAAGACTACAGCACCCTTGTCAAGCGTCTCGGCCTTGACAACAAACAGCTCGCCCAGGCTGCTGCCTTTACCAACAACAAATACCCGAACCTGGACCTCGACTTTACTGTCCTTGAACCAGAAGAGATCACTGCTGGTGAACCAGCCTATCTCAAGGTGAAGATCGAGCGAGAGCTAGATGAGGATGAGGAACCGGATACCACGGTATCTGCTCCATTCTATCCTGCAAAGAAAATGGAGAACTGGTGGCTAGTGGTTGGCGAGGAGAAAACGAACAGCTTACTCTCTCTCAAGAGGGTGACTGTTGGTCGGAAGTTGGAGATGAAGCTTGAATATGTCGTGCCTAGCCCCGGAGAACATGAGTTGACGCTCTACCTCATGAGTGACAGCTATGTCGGCGTGGACCAAGACCCTACCTTTAAGATAACAGCTGCTGAGGGTATGGATGAGGATGAAGACGAGGAAGAGGAAGATGAGGAGTAGATGTGCTTTTAATTCGCTGCATTTTTACCCTGCTTCAAGGTGTTGGTTTTTTTTTTTTTGGCATTCACTCTTATAAAAAAATGCATGCATGTATGTATAACTGATTGCAATATAATTGTTTCCCCCAGTTCACCTTGCCTTCTATCCCTTGCCTTCTATAAAACGGCATCTATCAATTTGTCCATTCAAAATGCAAATTGAACATCCAGATTTTGGTTGCTCCCGCAGCCCGACAGCTGGTCACGTGGTTCCCCGCATTTCCGCAAGGTTCCTGGCTTGGAGCTCCCTTTTATAAAGAGCCGAAGAGCGCCAACAACATCCAACTTCTCTTCTCTCGCCTCTATACTATTTTATACAACTCAGAATTGACACCAGATAGCTTTTTGGTAAGTTAATTGCGTGGTAGGGCTCCTTTTTGATCACGTATTAGTTATACAACCCTCACGCGGGCCCAAGTCCAGCAACATGACGGTACACAGAGCCAAATTTGACCCTGAGTATGACCTGCACTCATGTACTTCCTCGAGATTATAAAGATTGACAAATTATAGGGTCCTTCTGAGTGCACCACGCCGCTCAGCATGTGTGCCAAACCCGGCAGGAACGCTTCTAGCCTATACACAGTCAACGTATAGCTTCGAATCCCATTCATCACACACGGAATTAATTATCCTTGACCTCGCCTCAAAGAAGACAAGGGTCCTCACCAACTCCTACAGTGGAAGTCCGCAATGGCTGGATGATAACCAGCTTATTTGGCTGAAAGAGGAGAGCAACGGAAATACAAGTTTCATTGTCACCGAGGTTGCGGGTGATTCTAAGCCCTACGTTGCTGGCGTGATCCCCGGCACTGTATCGAATCTCAAGGTTACTAGGTTGTCAAAAGACCACTTTGCTTTTGCTGTCAGTGGAAAAGCAAACTCAAACGGGACACTCTTCAACCCTTCCAATGTGAAAAAGCCTGTCAGCTCCGGCAAGATCTATACCTCTCTATTTGTGAGACACTGGGATGAATATACTCAAGATGAGAAGCAAACGATATGGATTGGAACGTTACATAAGTCTTCCCTTTCTGGACCTGACGCATCGCAGTACTCTGTGTCCGGTTTAAAGAATGTGTTCAAGCTATTCAATCTCCCTCATCGTGTTGAATCTCCAATTCTGCCCTTTGGCGGATCTGATCATTTCGACATTTGCCCCAAAGGAGTGGTCTTTGTTAGCAAGGACCCCACTCTTAACGATGCTCTTCACACTAAATGTGTCTGTTATGTGTGCCCCATTCCGTTTGCTACCTTGACCGAATCCGTCAATCCCATGGAAGCGAAGGCAGTCACGGCTGCATCACTTGAGGGCGCTTTAACTTCCCCGGTAATATCTTCGGTCAATAACACACTAGCTTTCCTTGCCATGCGGGAAGATGGATATGAGTCGGATAAGAACAGGGTGGTTATAGCAAAGGGCGTATTTGACCAGGAATCAGAGACTATTGAGCTTTTTGCCAGTGAGGACAACAAGGGCGCGTGGGACCGCAGCCCTAGCTCATTGGTATGGGCCCATGACGATTCTTCACTTATAATTAAGGCAGAAGATACTGGCAGGGGGCTCGTCTTCCAGGTTCCGATGGGAGATGCAAAGGCCTTGACTACTGCCAACTTGCTCAATATCTCCTCGACTGGTTCGGTTGTGGATGTAGCTTCCACTCCTAAGGGCCTTTTCCTCACAAGCAGCAGTCTTGTGGAAAGCAGTTTATACTCATTAGTGGAAGCTAAACACCAAGGAGAAACCAAGGAAATCTCGTCGGCTACAAATAACGGTTCATCCTTTGGTCTGTCGCCATCTCAAGTCAGTGAAACTTGGTGGAAGGGTGCCAATGGCCACCCTGTCCATGCCTGGGTTATTAAGCCCTCCAACTTTAAACCAGGCGGAAAATACCCTCTGGCATTCCTTGTCCATGGTGGCCCCCAAGGAGCATGGAACGATCAGTGGAGCACTCGATGGAACCCTCTAATCTTTGCCGAGCAGGGATACGTGGTCGTCACACCAAACCCCACCGGAAGCACTGGTTATGGACAAGGCTTCACTGATGCCATTAGAGGGTCTTGGGGTGGCCTACCTTACGAAGATCTAGTCAAATGCTTTGAACATATTGAAAACAATCTCACCTTCGTGGACACTGACCGGGCTGTCGCCTTGGGCGCATCGTACGGTGGATTCATGATGAACTGGATTCAGGGACATGAGCTGGGAAGGAAGTTCAAGGCTTTGGTCACTCATGATGGAATTTTCAGCACTAAATTCTCCCTGGCCGCCGAGGAGCTGTACTTCCCTATTCATGATCTCAATGGGATCTACTGGAAGAACCCTGAAAGCTGGATAAAATGGGATCCCTCCGAGTTCATCAATGAATGGAAGACCCCTCACCTTGTCATTCACAGCGAGCGTGACTACCGACTTACAATCGCTGAAGGCCTTGCTCTTTTCAACGCACTTCAGCTGCGTGGCGTGGAGAGTGCCCTTTTGACATTCCCGGATGAGAACCATTGGGTCATTAAGCCCGAGAACTCCTTGCTCTGGCACAGAGCTGTGATCAACTGGATCAACAAATATGCAGGGCTCCCCCTATGGCTTGACAAGGAGGGCAATAACTGTTTCCCGGAAGATCTGACTCCAATGAAATAACCACTCCAGCTGTCCTCTAAGCCCTGTTAATACGCACCCTACCATATATTTTTTCGGAATAACATGCTGCAAAAGATAAGATTACAACAGGTTTAAGTCCAGACCAAGTAGAAATGAGATATAATATGTTTTTTTGTCTTCTCTAGTAATATACAGGTTCTCAACAAGGAAGCCTTGTCTGCCGGCAGACGAGTACAGTCATAAAGCCATAAACACATAAAATCATAACGTCATAATGTCATGTCCATAAACATCCTGTAATTCCCCCAAGGTCGTTGCATCAAATAGTCATGTAGCCGATGGCATGTTGGCAAGGTAGTATATGAGAGCCACTATTGTCTAGTCGTGGCAGTTGTTCTTCGGTGAGACGAAGACGGTTGGACTTGGCTCTGCGGGTGTGGAACGTGCTAAGAGCCGCTATCCGCTGTTTCGGAACAGTCATCCGGAAAGCTTAAAAAAGCATATCTAAAAGATGATATCACACAGAGCAAACACATCAGTGGAAACAGTTCGAAGCTGGCGGGAGAGAAAGGGAATGAAAGAACATACCTTGCTTTTGGGAATAATCCCGCCTTTATTCCCCCCCAGAATACAGTGTTTTTTTGTTTTTTGTTTTTTGTTTTTTGTTTTTTGTTTTGTTTGAAGGCGCATGCATACAGTGTAATCACAGTGGTGTCGAACTTCGCACTGTGCGATCATTGTATCGACGCTGGGAGAGAGTAGTAAACGGTTAGCAAGTGATTAGATCAAGTATGGGAGGATATGATAACTGAATAGCATACCTAGAAGCGAAGGCACACGCGCCTTTATTCCTTTTTTTTTTTTTTTTTTTTTAGTTGGTCTCGGTGTATGCGTATCTGATCTTCGTGATCCATCTTTGGATCGAGGACCTCTTTGAGGCCAACTCCTTGCTAATCTCGGCCGCTCGGGCCGCTCTCGCCTGTTGACTAACGAGAGCTTGTTCGACGTATTGTTGGTATGCCACTTCGCCGAAAGTGGCTCGGATCGACTCCGCCTCTGGGGTAGAGCAAAGGAAGTCTAAAAAGGGGGTGTCCTCGGTTCGGTTGAGGGAGTCGGCGAGGGAACCGATTGTGGGCAGGGCGTGAGAAGGACCACAAGTGTACATTTGCGTGTATGCCATACTGGCAGTGACAGGCGGGTAGACGTGATAAGATATATGTACAGGTATAAAGTATCACGGGCACACCAATTGACGAGTGTGCGGATCAGCAAGAAGGTGAAGCAAGTGGGTGGGCGACACACGCACAGGAGAGCAATACGGGGAGAAAAAAAAGAGGAAAAAGAAGAAAGGGAAAGGAAGACAGAGAGGAAAAGATGGGGTTTATATAGGCGGTTTTGACAAAGTTGCTGAATATCTGGAACCGGCGTCATATATTCCTAATCGGGATATCGAACCAGTGGTTGGTGTCATAGTCGACGTCAGTTTGGAAGCTCATGGAAGCGAAACGGTGGCGGATATTGAGGAATAGGAGTAGGCAGACGGTGATGATGGGAGAGGTAGGGGTAGAGGTAGGGGGCCAGGAGCGTGAGAAGGGGGGATAGGGGAGCAGGTTAGAACAGATATTGATAGTATAGTAGAACAGGATATTGTATTGGTATATCCAGGAGACCTGGTGCTAGCTATTGTACATAGTGATGGCAACGTAGGCACTGGAAGAGACCACGGAGGTGTTGGATAAGTAGTATATGGCCATGTAGGTAAATGGTATAGCGGCCACAGGATATTTCGTAGCTATACAGACGGATATACCTATGAGTCGTAGTGATATAGCTGTGTAATAAGCGGTGGAGGTGGAGCTGGAGTTTGATGCTCTTGTTGGGATAAAGTAGGTAGTCGAGGAAGGCTGCGGTGGAGCGTCAGAGAGTAGGACGGCCGGTCTTTTTATGTAGACTCTTTGCTTGTAGCGGAATATGGTAGAGATAGAGAGTCAGGCAGTCCGTGTGAATGTTCTCCGGGTCGTGATAATGCCTGTGTTGGCCCGTTAATGAGCGTATCTGCACCTGCATTACGGTGGCCCAAGGAAGGAGAGACCCTCTGTGGCGGCATCAGTATAGCAGCAAACAGCCTCTTGATGGTGAGATACGTTGAGCTTCACGACTTCTAGTGTGATAAGAGAGGAAGAATACGCATCAGGCGATCTTTCTGCCGATGTTTCCTATACCCCTTCCCACGACACTGAGAATTATCTCGCCGTCGTCAGAGTCAGGGGCGTCTCTCACACCCCATCCGGCGGCCCCAAGCTTGCTCAAATCCCTGGCAAGACGGACAACGGTTTCATCAGAGACGACATCACGGCCGACCTGCAGACGTCCTACGTCCTCTGAACCCATAGACATGAGGGTGAGCATAGTCGGAGCCGCAACTTTGGACACACAGCCACCGGTAGCAATCGACTCCAGCAGCTGATATGCACACTGCTTCCCAATATCTTCTGGAGGCTGTCCGCCAGAGGGTGGAGAGGCTACATCAGCAGAGTACAGACAGCCGGTGGACGATTCGGCTACGAGAGAAAGACCAAAACCCACGCCTATCTTCTTCTTAGCAGCAGGGTTATTCCTCTCTGGAGCAGGGACCAAGGGAGCAGATGAGACGTCAGAGAAGATATAGGTATCAGATACGAAGGGGTTGAGGACCCCTCTAGCCACATCAATCATGCGTGCGTTATTGCTACCAGAAACGCCAGTTGAGTACGCTACCCCACGGATCTTCTTTACTCTGCCGGGATTCAAGAGATGCAGGGTCTTGGGAAGGCGAACTTGGTGGCCGAAAACAAGCTGCACCTCCCCGCCGCCTCCCTTCCCATTAGGCCCAGGGTTTGACCTCCGCAGCACACGCAATTCAACGTTGTTGGAAATACCAAATTGAGCATAGAGCGGGAGAATCGCTGTCCGCACGCTATCGACGGACATATCACCCGATGGGGTAGAGGAGGTGATGACGCCAGGGCCGGTGAAAAGGACATTCACGGGGGCCTTGGAGAAGGGGGCAAGGAGGCACAAGGGGAGCAGAAAGTAGCTGACTCCGCGAGTGCATCCAGCCGGCAGCTCATGTGTAACTACGCCGCGGCTTGCGCCCACTCCAGCAGCACTACCCGTGATCAGGCCGGGTTTATAGAGCAAGATGGTGCCTGTGTAGGAGACTTCGAGGTGGGAGCCATTGGTGACTGCTTCCAAAAGGCGCAGAAACGAGATTTCGTAGGGCGTCAGGCCGGGATTGAGGGAGGCCGAGCGGATCTGGGAGACGTGAATAGCCCTTCCGGTGATGGTCGACAGGACCAGGCGAAGGGCAAGACCTTCATGGCCAGTGAAGCGCACCGGGGGCTGTGAGGTGGCGGCCATTATATCAGGTAGACGAGGCCAATTCGATCCCTATCGAGACATCTCCTTGCGTTGTCTTCGCTGCCTTTATCTAATTCCACAAGATATCAAGCATTCGCAGCAAACATCAACAAATATCAACAAATATCAACAAATATCAACAAACAATCAATATTCAACCTCGCTGTCCGTCGTCGTTTTTGAATATCAAAGAAAAAAAAAAAAATATCAAAAAAAGAAAAAAAAATCCCGGAGAGGATAAACTTTCCGCCGAGACGAGGCTTTTTATTTTCTTTTTTTATTTTTTTATTTTTATTTTTATTTTTTTCTTTTCTTTCGCGGGACAAAAAAAAAAAATCGGAAAAAGCAAAGAAATAAAAAAAAAAAGATCCGGAGGAGAAACGAAGAAAGCGAACCGAGAGAGAGTCATAAAAAGTCCGAGTCCTTGCGTCGTCGCTGCTGGTCTCTTTTTGTATAAAGAGAGAACCGGCCCGGGTCCTGACATGCGAGCGCCTGGCGCGGAGAGACGTCTGCTCAGGGTGTAGATGGGATGTGCTGGCCTCGCCTCGCGTGCCTGAACTACTACAGCTTCTTAGACGGCGTCACAGCACAGCACAGCACAGCACAGACGAATAGAAGAATACTTGATATACAACGATGTTGCCTCCTGCATTGAACATCCCCAAGTGGTACGTCTGCTGAAAGACTCCCCGAGACTGCCGGATGGCGTCTGGTGCCTGTTTGCTGACCTCTCCCCCCCCCTCCCCGAATGTGCAGGCTGAAGGAGAACGGACATCTTCTCAAACCGCCGGTTAGCAACTACTGCGTCTACCACCCGTCGTCCAAGGCCACGCAGGGATACACGGTCATGGTGGTGGGCGGGCCCAATGCCCGGACCGACTACCACATCAACAGCACGCCGGAGTTCTTCTACCAGCACAAGGGCTCGATCGTGATCAAGGTGGTCGACACCTCCACCAGCCCGCCGACCTTCCAGGACATCCCCGTCCACGAGGGCTCGCTCTATCTCCTGCCTCCCAACACCCCGCACTCGCCCGTCAGGTTCGCGGACACGGTGGGCGTGGTGCTGGAGGTACCCCGGCCCAAGGGTGCCAAAGACACGCTGCGCTGGTACTGCAGGGAGTGCAAGAGCATCGTCTGGGAGAAGAGCTTTGTCTGCACCGACCTGGGCACCCAGCTGAACGGCATCATCGACGACTTTGCTAACGACGAGAGCAAGCGTGAGTGCAAGAAGTGCGGGTGTCTGGCTCCCGTCAGATATGGGGATGGCGAGGTCGTCCAGCCTCCTCGTTTCCTGGAAGACGAATAAACGGCTTCTTCTTCTTCTTCTTCTTCTTCTTCTTCTTCTTCTTCTTCTTCTTCTTCTTCTTTGTTTCGTTGCGGTTGCCGTACGCAATCTAACTAACAGTGGGAAATGGGGAGTGGGAGTGGGAGTGTGGGATCGGCGTTTGCATAGATTCCCCCCTTTTTATTCTTCTTCAATCTGGGTTGTCTTCTTTTAAGGCCCCCTTGTTTCTTTCATCGAAGGGTATTCGCGCAATGATCCAGCAATGCCTTGTTCCTTTTTTCTTGAACGAAAGGGTGAAAAGAAAAGAAAAACAGCAGAATAATACCTCTCTTCTCTTGTGTCTCTGCCTTGCTCGGCGTCCCTGTTCTGATGTCAGTATACCACGGTATCTCCCTCCAGGTCCAGGTCGCTGGAGTGATGATCACCGAATAATGTCAGGGATAGGGATATCATGCATGAGAAGAAAGAGTGGATAGAGAAATCAGATGTGTATGATATTGATTATAGACACTAATAGGGGGATAAAGTAAGTAATTATTTCTTTTTTTTTTGGCCAGTCCTGGTACATGGAAAAACGAAGAGAGAGTGAGTGTGTGAGTGAGTGTGTGAGAGAGAAGCAAAACCCCAACTGAGTCCGAAAGACCTCTTTCAAACAAAGCGAAGCGAGAGAAAAGCGAGGTATATTAAAACAAAAGGGAATAAAAAGGGTGGGTAAATGTAAAGGAAATAAAAAAGGGAAAAAAAACCTGCAAGGCTATGCTGAACTGGAAGCATGTACACTGGGAGAATGTCGGGGGATGGGTATACCGTGCAATCGTATACCGAAAGTCATGGTTGAAAAGCAGATGGAGTGGTATAGGGGGGGTATGGTGGGCATTCTTCTTCTTCTTCCTTCAATGAACATGCATCATGGCCGTGAGTCAAGTGCCGAAAATATCAGAGGCCATCAGTAAGTATTAAAGAGGATATAGGACCGTAATAGCGAACGTCGGGACAGTCGCAAATAAGCAAGAAAAAGGAAGACTGCGCCGAGATACTCGCATTAAATAGCAGCAGATGGATGACACGCTGAAGAGAAAACAAAAGCGTTATGAATGAGCGTGAACGAAGTCTGGTCTGTTCTCAGTTTACTCGTCAAAGGGGCAGTCGATGCTTTCATGGCCGTCTCGTTCACACAGGGCACACCATTTCGACTCATCGATGACGCCAGATGACTTTCCAGCAACAGGCGCCATGGACGAAGAAGGGATGCCACCAATACCCTTGAGGCCTTCCAGCACGACGTCTCTGCCGGTCCGCTGGGAGCTAGGGCTGCCCTGTTTGACAGACGCGGACGCGGACGCGGATCCGTTAGCCTCTGGAGTGGTGGACGATGGCTTGCGGGTGGAGGAGAAGCTGCTGTCCATGCTGTCATGAAGCGCGGAATCGATCGAGGCCTGGACAAAACCGCTTCTCTCCGGTGGCCCGGTCACTGGCGGTGGCTGGGTTGCGGGTTGAAGGCTCGCCGGGTGGCTGGTTGGCTTGCTTGCACCCATCGTGCCAAACATATTGGTGCAGGTGAGGATGTCATGTCCGCTGGTCTCGCAGATCTCGCACCAGGCTGCACTGCCATCGTCCGTGCTAGACGATTGGGCATCAAGGGTGTTGCCCTGGCCAGGAGAGTTCTCGGTCCAGTCTCCGGGGACGATCGTGCGGTCCGAAAGCGTGTGTGCATGGCTTGGTACGCTAGGGCCGGCCCTCTCGCTGGCCGGCTGTGCATTCTTGTGGACTCTCAGGGGCGAGGTGGTGATTGTGCCACTGCGGGTATGTCCACGAAAGGCATTTGTCTGCGCCTGGCCCATTTCGACCTCTTGCTGCAGCTCGCTGATCCGCTGGGTTTTATGCTCCAGAGCGGCTTCGAGCTCCTGAATACGTAAGTCCATCTTCGACAGCTGGTCATTGGCATCATAGTCTCCATCAGACGGCCCCTTTCCTTGTCCTATGCCGTTTTGCTGGAGGAACGCTTGCGAAGTTGGGTCTCCACGGCTGAGGGAGTGAATGATAGCTTTAAGCCCGCGAATCTCGTCGTCCTTTTGCTCCAGGTCTCTGATCGTAGGATGGTGCCTACTCGACCCTTCAGCTGAGGACTCGCCGTCCTGGAATGAGCCTGATGATCTCTCCCGTTCTTGCTTGAGCTCCAAGCGGGTTCTCTCAACCTCTCCACGCAGGTATTCGACTTCACCCCTGGCCTCAGCCTCTCCTCTCCTAGCATCTTCGAGGCCTTCCTCGAGTTCGGATACGAGTTCCTCTAGCTGCTTGAGTTGCAGGGCCACTGTCTCGACATCTTCGCCGCGAGACTGAAGCTCCCTGTTTGCCTGGAGCAGCTCTTCGATTCGCTTCTCGTATACCCGCTCAGTCTCGGAAGCTGCTACTTCGAGAGTATCAAGGGTACTCCTGAAATCCGCCCTATGGCTATCAAATTCTGCCGTGAGAGCAGATATCTTGTCGTTTTTCTCCTTCAGCTGTGCTCTGACCTGGAGAGCATCCAGCCCTTCCAGCTCGGTGACACACTGCTGGAACTCTGCAAGGGTTGCTGCCTGGACCTCCAGTTGCTTGTCACGCTCACGAAGCTGCATTTCCAGCTCCCTCGTCCGGTCGTTTATATCAGAGTCTTCGAGGGCGGGTGTGCGAACAGCATCCGTCCGTTTCGGAGTTGTGCTCTCCATGCTGATCCTAGATGACGGTCTGCTCGCCGGTCTACTCTTGAGCGGCGTACGTGGCCGTCCATTCATGGGAGGGCCCTTTGGCATACCAGACGGCGTGCGTAGACCACTAACATTCAACTTTGGCGATGGTAGAGGTGCACCCTTGCTGGGTGAATCCGGCCGCGGCAACGAGGGCCGTCGAATCCTTGGTCTGGCAGTCGAGGACAGGTTCAACCCAGGCCCAACAGATCTACTGAAGTTCGTAATCGACGGGCCACTCCTCGCAGATGTTGCTGTCAGCTGTGGCGCTACCGCTCGTCTCGTCACGTATTTCGAGTTGTTCATGGGCACGAATATGCCCGAGCCGGGGATCGAGGTCGTAAAGTAGTGTCTTCCGTCGACGTCTCCGCTGTTCTTCCCTCTGCCAGCCAGCTCTGGCGCCAGCTCGACGCCAGCAAACCTGCCCGGCTTGCCTGCTACCGGGCCCAGGAACCTCACTGTCCCGTACATCCCACCTGGCACGTTGACCAGGTCGCCGACCTGGACGTCGTCAGCGGCCGTCATGGTGTCACAGTCCTTTTTTCCCTTTATAGCATCAGACAAATGGCCACGAGATCGTCTCAAAACATCGTAAGCTCCCAAAACTGCCCGTCTCGAGGTTCGTCAGCCGTGATCTCAGCAGTAAGACTCGAGTAGTAGAGTGTAGTGAGAGAGGCTTCAAACAACGGTTACAGACTCCGGCTAGTTGGTAGGACTCGGACAAGAGGAAAAAAGGAGCTGAAACCGAGAACGAAACCCCAGAGAAGGTCAGAGAAGGTCGAAAAAGCAAAGACGGCAACGGGTGAATCCCTTGTGGCTTGCCTGGGCCGAGCAGCGGAGGATGGAGGGAGGAAAAGGAGCTGGCCTGAGGGTGCTGTTTATTTGTTTATGACCGTTTTTAGCGGCTGATCAGGGTCCAAGGAGGATGGAACACGCGCGGCAGACGGAGCAGCGGCTGAGGGAGCCCTCGTTAATATGATATGCAGGAGATGCGCTGGTAGCAAGGGAGTGTCTGTCTGTGTCGAGCGTTCTTGGGCGTGGTAGTTTATAATGTAGTTGGTTGGTGAAGTCGCAGCTTTTTTTTATTTTATTTTTTTTTTTCGACGGTGAGGAAGAGAAAAGCCACCTCGTCGGTTCTCGCGGCCTCAGCCACAGCCGCGCATCCTCCAAGCATCAAACAACGACTATCTCGACCTTCTCCAGCTTTCTCCAGCCTGCGATCCTGGCGCTGCCGACTAGTCATTGGACACGGACGAGATACTAGGAGGGTCAAGACTGCATTTGAAACCGCCGTTTTAGCCTGTTGGTCGGCGCTGGCCTCCTTTTCTGCAGCCGTCAATTCTGCTCTCTTGCTGCTGTTACTGCTGCTACTATTACGAACCCCCCGGCTTCATCGTCTATCCAGCGACAGCGAGGACGGTGACAATGGCGCAGTACTTCTTCGACCTCCTCTACACCTTCACGGACTGTCTCTGCTGCTTCCCGAGCTCGCCGCAGCTGAAGATCAACAACCGGAGCTTCAAGCTGCTGCGTCTTCTCGGAGAGGTACGACTTCAATTATGCAGATTATCCCCCCAAATTTGCGAGCATGTCTAATGAATCTGGGCTTCTAGGGCGGCTTCTCCTACGTCTATCTCGTCCAGGATAAGAGCACAGACGAGCTCTTTGCGCTCAAGAAGATACGGTGTCCGTTCGGTCAAGAATCCGTCTCACTCGCCCTCAAGGAAGTCGAAGCATACAGCTTGTTCACTCCTAACCGCAACATCATCCATTCCATCGACTACTCGGTCGTGACTGAGTCTGGGTCGAAATTCAGATCAGATGGCGCAGATGCCGGGTCAAAAACCGTGTACATTCTTCTGCCGTACTACCAGCGAGGGAACCTTCAGGACGCCATCAACGCCAATCTGGTCAACCACACCTCGTTCCCAGAGAGAGACCTGATGATATTAATGCTCGGAGTAGCCAGGGCGCTGAAGTGTATGCATCAGTACAAGGTGAAGGACTCTGCATCGAGAGGGAATGGCAATGGAGCCGCAAAGGGCAAATCAAAGGGCAAGCCGAGCAGACGGACGAGTCGACGGGTTGATGACGATGAAGACGAGTCTGAACATGAGCCTCTGATGGAGGGTGAAGTTGCAATCAGCCAGGAGGGCGTGGAGGAGGGTGAATACAGACCGTATTCCCACCGAGACATCAAGCCTGGTATATACGTCCCCTCAAGCTGTCATCATATGACGAGCATCACTAATACATATGTAGGGAACATTATGATAGATGACGACGGCAAGACGCCAATCCTCATGGATCTAGGATCCCTCAGCCCAAGTCCCATCGCAATCACATCTCGCTCCCTCGCCATAGCTGTCCAGGACACCGCTGCCGAACACAGCACCATGCCATACCGTGCGCCAGAGCTGTTCGACGTGAAGACAGGCTCCATTATCGACGAGAAAGTAGACATCTGGTCTCTAGGCTGCACACTATACGCTTGTCTCGTAGGCAAGAGTCCGTTTGAAGCCCGCAGTGAAGAGACAGGTGGCAGTTTGGCCATGTGCGTTCTTGGAGGCGACTGGCGATTCCCCGACGAGAAGGGCGGAAATACGGATGCTGGAAAGGGTAAAACCAGGGTCCCTTCGCAAGGGAATGTTGGTGATGCTGGTTCAACCGAGAGTGGAGGTATAAGCCCACCAGTAAAGGAGCTGGTTCGGCGTTGCTTACGAGTTGAGCCGGCTGAACGGCCAGACATCGACGAGCTGATTGCTCTGATCAAAGAGACCATACAGCAACTGCCGGAGAATTAGGTGGCAGTTTCGTGGGATTATACGGCTGCCAAAGTTGGCAGATGTGCTTCTACTATGTACTTTATTTGATGACCTTTATTTTTTTTTTTTTTTATATCCAACTTACTCACTTTCTTTTATGACCAGGTATACTCTGGCAAACCTTTTGAGGATACAGCATTGCGCCAGATACCACTGGCCCCAGGCAGTCTTCAATTCTATATATTTTCATGACTTCCATAAAGACCTAGCAGGCCCGTATTTATACCCAGAACTTATGAAACGGGAGAAACGACTTTCTACTAAATCCTCTATTCTACTTCCCTCGAACTCCGTTACAAATCAGTCCTGGAAAACCTCTGGATGCAGAGAAAGGAGCTTCTGCCTAGCTTCGACAACAGCAGCCTTCACCTCGGGGTTTAGACTCCCGTTCTCTGCCAGTTCTTTCAGTTTAGCTATCCACAGCTTGAGAATGTCAGAGCCCGATGGTTCGCCACGCCCTCCTGGTAACTTAGCCAGCTTATCATTGACAAGGGTAGGAGACAACAAGATATACTGGGCAGCGACCATAGCCCGTGTGTCCCGCTCAAGCCCTGGGGAAAGATTCTCCCCCAGACCTTTGATGATCTCGATAAGAGGATACCTACCGCTATCTGGGACGTGGCTTTCGATGCGGAGTTCGATACACCGTGCGATAAAGGATGATAGGGATACCCATGTTTCCTTCATAGTTTCCGAGGTTATTTCGTGTCCTTGATATGTTAGTAGAAACCAGACTGGAGGCAAAACTGGGCTGGATCATACGGTAAGCATCACGCCAACGGTTTGAGAGACTCTCAGTAAAGAGAGTATCCGTCACAAATAGATCACCCTAAATTCAAAGTCAAAAGCTGCCATCAGATATAATCAAGGGGGAAAAGTGCAGGACATACATTCCAGCGCTTGAAAGGCTTTGGCGGAATCCTATGCAGTTCTAAAACGAGATGCGCTAGATCTTCTTGCCTGTTATCTTTATAGGAGAGAAGTTCAACCGCATCGAGGATGATTTCATAGAGCGCTCCCTCGACTCCTCCCACTCCATCAGGATGGTATTTGAAGAGAGGGCCCGAGTCGAGATTTCTGTCCCAGTAGTAGGTGTCAATTACCCTTGCAGCGTCTACCGGGCAGATTGTAGCCAGAAGCAAGTCCTTGATAATGAGAGCAAAATCATGTTCAACAACCCCTTCCTCGCTGCCATTGGAAGAAATCCATTCGTCGTGGAGTTTGATGAGCCACGGCTCCTCTGTCTGGGCCATGCTGACGACTGACGGATATAGCCGAGGGATAAGTGAGAGAGAGGGAGAGAGAGAGAGAGAGAGGGTTGAACAGACGGATCGACGAAAGACCGGGGGAACAAGGCTCGGTTTGCCTGTCCGTACATATATACCCCTTTACCCCCACTCCTTCACAGCAGTCTTGTCTCGATATATAAATTTAGCTGACTTGCCGCCGCGGTGGAGACCTCGGGAAGAGCCTAATTAACTAGCTAAATGCTAAAATGAGCCGCTTCGCTTGACTCCAAAGGACCAGCCTCAGCAACCTTCGATATCCACACTGTTTTATTTCGCCAGCCAAAACCTAGGGCTCCAGCTCTCCGCAGCTCCTACTAGTACTGCCTTGAATACTTCAGCTAAGAGCATGGGCAAGTAAACATCTCTCTTACCATGAAAGCTGCAAGTTAACTAGTAACGTAACTACGCTTAACCCTTTGAGAAAACTTGAGGATGTGTAGAAATTCAAAAGCCAAAGAATTGGTTCCTTTTGCCATTAAGGGCTTGGAATTCAACATTCACCTCCTGGGCAGCCAATACTGGTTCCTAAGTGTGCACCGTCGATGCCAATGATGGTCAAGGCTGCATTAATTACGCCACCAATTCCTTCCCCGGCCATAAATCCTGCTGCTACAGCATACGCGTACGATTCAAAAGAGCCGCTGTTCCTTCTTTTCCATACCATGGCTATCACTGTACCAATAAGCATGGCTGTACTGTACTGCGTGGTAGGAATGAGAAACGCCATAGCCATAGTCATCATATTTGGATGGTAGTTACGCATCCATGCCCATTTGCCTATCCACAGATGATGCCGAACCAGGACCACAATTGAGCCTATGACAGACATTATTATGGAGAACTGTACGCTGGTTTTAGGAACGGGAAATTCGGGATCTGTTACGGCCACTGCTGCTGCACGCCACGCGGAGGCAGCAGGGGCTGTAAATGGGCACGTCTGACCCGTGGCTCCGTTCTTGCTATGTGGTTCACCACCTGTAGATAGAATGCAAGGATATGCACTAGCAAACACAGAGAACACCGCAGGGGCGAGGAAGACGGCGAAGAATGTTCCTATGGCTTGGGCAGCATACTGTGTGCATGGCGGAGTGTTAAGCAGAAATCCGACTCGGAAATCTCCCGTGAGGTCTATCGTTGATTAGCTCGGGTATTCTAGAAGCGGGAAAGTATAAAACCCATACCACAGGCTTGATTGGCACCTATGCTAGCTAAAGCTCCTCCGAGTAAGTTAACCCTTTGGGAACTCTCTAGTTTCCACTCCGGGCCCCGAGTTGTCGCTCCTAGAACTAGCTGGGAGGCCTTTGAAATGGCACTAAGGGGTGTAATATCTAGACTATAGTCAATATCACATTGTACCTTCTTCTGATGTAGTATAGGGGTGTGAATATATACCTGTTGCACCAGTTGACTGGATGGCAATGACTGAGAAGGTGAATGCCAGGACCAGTGAGAGAATCGAAGAAGCAACCGGGATATCGAACTGCAGCTTGCTCACCACACAGGTCAATATAAGGACAGCAATAAGTCCCGGTAACCACATCCACGTTTTAATTCCTCCGTCCATAGCCTGATTTGTCCTAAGATCGTCTTCTTCAGTAAGATGTTTATATTTATGCCTGCTCTCTTGCAGCCGTGATAGTATGTTCTTGCAGGCTTTGCATATTTCTATTCCTGTAAGCCAGAAAACCCTCCATTGACAGGCGAGCTCTGTCTATAGGTTAGTGACTGATAGTAGCAAATAGATATTGACACATGATATTCTTACCTGTGAATCCAACAACTATCATACACGCAACTCCAGGCCATAGAAGCCAATATCTAGGGCTAGGATGAGTTGCATTGGCGAACTCCTTTGAAAAAGAGATGTAGGACACCAATCCATCCCATTTACTATCTTCTGAAACCGGTTTACCAAATGCAAGTCCGTGTTTTGTAATAATTGGCCCGACAATACCCCTATCAATGAGTTAAATCAGAAAGTTGATAAGTAGCAATACAGTCCAGATGGACTTACCATGCTAATACAGATCCAAAAACAAAAGACAATGCAACGTTCATATCAACTAGCATTCCAGTACCTATAAACGCCGGTGTCCACTCTATAAACCATCCCCAGCTCTGAATGGCGAACATAGTCGAAGGTAAAACCCCTGAAAGCGCAAGCCAAGTGAAAATATGCCAGTCCTATAGTGACCACGATCAAAACGTTCTAAATTAGCCATAATCCCGCACAGATAGCTGATTGGAACTGTTGCTTACCCAAAGAATTCCAGGAGCATATTGAGACATAACCCTAAGCACCAGTGCAAATGCAAAAGCAAACGCTAAAGCCACCATCTTCTGACGAGCCAGCCATGATCCTCCAGCGGCAAGATGCATGCCGGAAATCGTGATTGCGGTCGCAGAAGAAGATGGAAAAACAAGATTGAGCTCCTTAGCAACTTGGAAAATAAAGAATTTGCGCACTTTGATATGTGCTAATTAGCATTGCAATCGGGATAGTATTTCGGCATAATTAATGGATACTGAGACCAAATACTTACGAGGCGTTGCAAAGAATAAGCCAAAATATCCACCGGCTGCAGTAAGCACGGTGACACGCAGGAAGTCTCTCCATGGGGTATCAAGCAAGTTCAACTGATACATCGCTGGGAAGGCAGAGACAAACACACTCGATAACCCCCCAGCCGCCGTAGCAGCGGTTTGAACAATGTTGTTCTCCTGTGGCCCGAAGAAACCGCCTAGTAAAGACGAGGGCGCAAAATAGGAAGACCATGATTTGAGCACTGCAAACCCTATAATCGACTATGTCTGACGTTAGAAAGGGGTATGCATTGCAAGTAACGCAAGGTCGAATGGGCTTACGCCAAATATGTTTGCTGACGAGGTCCAGCCAGCTCGGAGACCAAGGTATATGTTCGATGCATTCACCAAAGCACCACAGGAGATCCCAACAAGCAGTGCTCGGAAGGTCAGAATCTTCTTCTCGTTCCGGGTGCCTGAGGAGCCGGGCAAAGGGAACGGTCTAAACGGGTCCTTTGCAAAGCTCTCCTGCGCTGACTCGTACAAACGAGGTCCCTCCTCGTCCTCTTCTGGGATGCGACTGGAAGTAGAGAGTAGCTTGTCCTGCTCGGCATCGTCATCGCATATGGATGCACTATCAGCCGTGTCTATGTCGTCTTTCGGTTGTTCTGAAGGGTATCTGCATAGGTGGTCAGCGGTAGTCCTAGATGAATAGTTACGGGGGGGAAGATCGGACATGGAGCTCAATTCATGCATGGCTGCGCTTCTGGCTGGGCCCCTAGGAAGCTAGGAGGCTACGTATGTAGTCGCATAGCCATCACCACTCGGCTGAACGCAAAGCAGGCCATGCAGCGAGGTCGTCAGCTGGGCTATTTATACAGAGCCGGGTACCCGCGTCGACGGTGGCGGCCAATCATCTCGTCGTTGAGCCGGTTATTCTTAGCTAGCTAGCGATGCCTATTGAGTGCTGATAGCGGCCAAAGCACAAGACAAAGGCGAGTATGAAACCTGCTGGAGAAACAAAGAATCGGAGCATATTAGCAGAGCTAATAGCTGTTATACTGGCCTGGAGAGTTGGAAAGCGGTCGTCGTGCACGTTATAGAGGGACTTACGATCGATTATCTTCAAGGACTCGGGGAAAAGGGGCTGATGGAGCCATGCAGTTAGCTGGAGCAAACATAGTCCAGCAAGTCTCTGATAGCATGCAGCTCCGGCGATATCTAGTAGGGAGGAGTCGCCAGTCACCTAGTGGACAGACATCTGAAGAGGGAGATGCAGGCCAAAGGGACTAACAAATAGATCGAAATATATGGTAATAATAAGGGGATTAATCAACTATAAAAAAAAGAGCCCTGTAGCATTAACAAAGTACACACAAAATTCGCAGCATAATACACAGACAGTCCAGAGAACGAATTTAATAGAATAAGAAACAGTTGCAATAAGCTGGCCAAGGCGGTTGAAGGCAGAACGGATCATCGCTCTGGGGGGCTTCTCTGGTTTTGGAAGCAGGATAGTAGGAGACGGAGGAGGTCGAGTTGAGGAAAAAAGTGTACAATTTTTTTTTCCGCCATGGTGGCCCAGCTGGAGTGGTAAAAATAAAAAGTGAGCAGTTCAAAAACACGGGTATGTTTGGTTTCAGGCTTTTGTATCAAAGTCATTTGTTCTTGGAAATAACGGGCTCTGCAAGAGAATTTCATGGTGTATTGCAGGCCGGATAGCATGCATGCTAGGACAAACGAGCATAGCCTTCACAGGTATGGCTGTTTAGTTCATGTCTCCATGGCATCAGCATCCTTTACAGGAGTTCCAGCCTCCTCTTCTTTTTCCTTTTCCTCCTCGTTCTCGTCCTCTTTCTCCTCTTCCTTGGCCGTTTTCTCCTCCTTTTCAGCCTCGGGCTTCTCATCATCAGCATCAGCCATGGAGATGTCACCGTCCTTGGATGGCTCAGCGGTATCTTCATCGGCCTCTTCGGTCTTCTTCTCCTCTTCTTTCTTTACTTCGACCTTCTTTCCACCCCTGCCCTTCTTGTGCACGCCGTTGGATGTCGGCTTGTCTGCGGGAGTAGGTCCCTCGCCTGCTGAGGGTATATCTGATTCTAGGAGCTGCTTCCACTTGGATAGAATCTGAACGGATCGTCCTCGGAAGTTGTATTCTTCTTCCTTGGGGATGGTGGGCAGCTTGATGATGGCCTTGAGCACCTTGTTGATCTTGGTAGATCGAATGATGCTCACTTCGAGGTCGGTGTAGGCTTCCAGCTTGTTGATATATGTGGACATCAACTCCATTTCGGACTCCTCTGGTGCCTGGTCACGCGTAAGGAAGCCCTTTTGTAATTTGTATCGAAGATATAAAACTGGAAAAACGGGCATTAATATGAAGACTCATTATGAGATAAAACCTGGATGATACGTACTCTCTTTCTCACGCTTTGCCTTGGCCTCTTGGGGGTCGACTGGCTTCTCAGCTTCCTTGGGGGTTTCTACCTCCTCGTCACTGGCCTCTGTCTTCTTCTTGGACTTCCCCTTAGACGACTTTCCGGTAGTGGCGGCCTTTTTCACACCTTTCTCACCGGTAGTGGAGGCCTTGGGCGTAGTCAACTTTAGTTTCATGGCGGACTTGGGCGTCTTCACGGGCTACAGTGGTTTCTGGTTAGCATCCGTATTTCTCTACGGGCGATCGTACCACAGCTTTGCAGGCGGTAGTAGCGGGTTTATATCGGATATGGCATTTCGGCTTACCTTCTCCTGTTCCCCTTCACTTTCCAAGTCCTTCTTGCGCTTCTTTGAGCTCTTTTTCTTCTCTCCTGCATCCTCCATCTCTTCATCTTCCGCCCCTTCGACAACTTCCATGCTCTTTCGTTTCTTCTTCTTCTCTTCTTTTGCAGCCTTTGCGGCAGCCTTGGCTTCCTGTTCCTCTTGGGCTTGCTGCACAGCAAGCTCGAAATCGTTCAACATTTCCTTAAAATAGTCGAGATCGTGACCCTCGGCGGCTACCTGGTAGGCAGCAATCAGATTCTTAGATTTGCCCTTTTCTGAAACGTCTTTGCACTCTTGTGGAGTTATGGGGGTGAGGTCGGCGTTATGAATCCAGGCACTACGAGTAGACAAGTTGTTAATCAAGGAGCTTTACAAGAATATATCTCACTGTAGCCAAAGTGAGACCGAGGTGAAGGAGGATTAGTGAATGATTCACTCACAATTCGTTAGTGGCCATGAACATGACCGGGAATGTCCTCTCATTCACTTTCTTTCCTCCGTCACTGTAAGCTTCGGCGTATGTGCCGTCTGCTCGCTTAGTAGTGACTGGACGCGTGCTGAGTAGACTCGGAGGAAGCATCTCCTCGTCACAGACGATGGACGGCCATGGCGGATGACTCTTCATTCGGGCAAGGTAGACCTCTCCTGGCTGCACGTCCAGGTGGTATATCCGGTTCATTGACTTCTTCTTGCTGAGCTTCTTCTGGCCAGGGCCGGCCGTCGACTTGCGTTTGCCATTGGCAGCCTTCTTGGGAGCAGATGAAGCGCCATTCGTAGCTGTTTCGGCGGCAGCTTGCTCGGTTGTACCAGCAGCCTCGCCACCCTCCCCGCCATCAGCTTTGTCCGCAGAGGCATCTGCCTCCGCGTCAGCACTGGTTTCGGTTGGCTTCTTCTCTTCTGCAGCATTGTCTGTTGACTCGGGTTGAGGTTTGTCGGCTGCGTCAGTGGTGCGTTCCGCGTCTGTAGTTGAAGTCGCGACCTGGGTTAGTCCTTCGGAACAACATAGAAAACTAGAGATAAAAAAGGGGGCAAGGCGAACAAAAAAGGCCAGGACGGAGGTATGGAGAGGGTAATAGGCATTGGACTGACCGGCTTCCTTGCTGACAGGCTCGGGTTCCTGCTGTTCAGGACGCGATGGCTCTGGAATCTTGGTCGGTTCTGCAGGAAAAAAACACAACAACACACGGGTTAGCTCTCCAGCGTCACCATCGACGGGCTGGCAGGGAACGGGCGGCGCAGGGCTTACCGGTGTCAGCCATGGCGGACAGAGTAGCAGGCAGACGAGCGATGGAAGGACAAGCAGCGGTGGTGGCTGGCAGGCAGGCAGGCGATGGGTGGTGGTGATGGCGATGGGTGGATGGTCGGGTAGCCGAGGAAGTTTTGTGGTTGGGTTTTTTTCAGCGCTGGCTCGGAGTGGATGGAGTTTTTCTGGGTGCGCGAAAAATGGCGTGAAACAGGAAAAACGCGTTGTTGATTGACAGGCAACCACGCAAAAAAAGAGGCTGGCGGGCGAAGCAACAACGGCGACGGCCCAGCACTTGTAGAGGCAGCAGAGGCGGTCGGTTACGGGCGCAGAGAACGGTTGCAGGCCGGTACCAGCGCCTCAGAGGGTGGCAGAGGCGTTGACGCAGCTCGTCGGCAGGCCGTAGAAGTCGGTAGAAACCCCTGTCCTGCTAGTCGGCCGTCCACTTGGCGGGCTCAGAGATGGACAGATGACGGCCGGCGGAGGATCGTCTTCGTCTCTGCGAGGGCTGCAGGCAGAGAGTCCGTCTGTCCGTCTGTCCGTCTGTATGTCCTGTCGGTCCTGTCTGTATGTCTGCTCGGGGGTTGATGGTGGCTGGTGGTGACGCCCCCGGTTATCTCAAGAGACAAACTGCCCGCCCAACGCAGGTCACTCAATGTCTCTGGATGTCACTCCTGGTGGGAAGATGTATTTCCTTGTCCTCTGGAGTACTCTTCTTCTTGATGTCCGCTTGTAGCTGGCTGGTGGTGCAGCCTTTGGGGGGGGTATAGATGGCAGGCAAAGACGCCGCCGCGCTGCTTCGGATATATGAAGCCGCCCACGCTCGAGAAACACACACGGCCGAGCGAGCTGCCGTGGCAAGGGAGGAATACACAAGGGTACAAGCTCCTCCAGGACAGAAAAAAGCAGCAGAAGCGGTCGTTACAGGCGAGAAAGCTCGAGAAGCCGCAGAAGTTGAAGTTTTTCGACTTTTTGCAGTGACGAGAAAAGGCGAAGAAAGGCAGAAAGTCGTGGCTTCAAAGGAGAAGCGCGTGGCAGGAAGAAGCCGGAAGTAATAGTGGGTGGAGTTAAGGGGATGACTAAGTAAGTAGCCGTGGCAGTAGGATATCGGGTATCTCGGGGTTATTATATGGGAAAAAGATGATAAAAATGATGAATTGAAGGAAAGATGAGATAAATAAGAGGTCCAGAAGAGGCTGATGGACAGTGTAGAAGAATATTTAATAGTTGGTTGCTGTGCTGTTCATTGTATGGCTGTATGTATATGTTTATTGCTGAGATCAACTAGAATGGAGATAGATAAAAGACTGCTTCTATTGTTCACAGGATATGCATGGAATACTGCTAATATAGCTTGTTATTAGACGATTTATGTCTATTTGGTAGAGTACGTATATTATTTATGGGTGTAGATTGTTGCCTTGATACTTTGGCTTTGGTAGATCTAACATGGACTTGATACTAGAATCGATAGAAGATTTGATAGAACACCCATGGATGCCAGCAGCTATATAATAAAGCTCAATAAAGATACAAGACTGCAAAAGAATAATATACTACTACTAAGAGCCATCAGCTAGAGAGATAGACTGTCTCTCAGCTCGGACTTATCTAAATCCACCGTGTCCAACAATGACATCATGATGTTGACAACTTATCCAAGATACAGCTATTAGTTAAATACCAGGAGGATAAAGAGACTAGACGGCTTCTAACACATATTAAGACATACATGGAACTGCTCTATTCTATATACTGACCTAAGTCCAGGTTTCACTGCAAGATGCTGTCTTCCAAACCACTCTATACAGCCAGACAGGCGCTAAGACGCCCTGTACTCCAGTCCCAGGCACACCTGCAGAGAGGCCTTTCTACCTCATCTGCCCTCTCAAAAGGTACGGCTGGACATGGGCCAAAGGCACTTCTACTAGACAAGCAGCAGGGCCTGGGATTTGCAAAGTCAAACGCCCTCCCTCAAAAGCCAAGGAAGAGAGGAGTAACGGAGATCCGAGGGCCTTATTATGCGGTATGGTTCCCGGTTGAAAAATTGACCTCCTGGATACTCGCTAACTTTCGGTCTAGGTAATGGGAAAGAGATACCTCTCTGATATATTTGAGACGTAAGGGTGCCGCTACCTACGCCCAAGATACCAAATTGCTGACAACAGAACAGGATGGGCGACTATGTCGACGGACTCAAGTTCTCCGGAGGTTGGTCAGGTCTAAGCATCTTCTCTGATTCACTCATGCTGATATATTGATAGGATCGTTCTCACTCTTTCACGAGGCCAGGTTGAAAGAGTTGATTGACATTGCTCATGAGAACGGTGCTTATGTCTCGACGGTACGCCCCTTTTCATTCATCTAGTAAAACAGCATTTGATTAACTGGATAAAACAGGGAGGATGGGCAGAACACCTTCTAACTCATCCAGATAATACCACCGTTTTGGATAGATACTTCCGGAAATGCAAAGATCTCGGGTACTACTCTTCCATCCCAACCTTAACTAGTCAACCCAGCATAAACTAAGTCTATGCAGATTCGACGTCGTTGAATTGTCAGCTGGTTTCCTATCAATCCCGGAAGATGACTGGCTACGACTCATCGAAAAAGTGCAGTCATATGGCCTGAAACCAAAACCAGAGCTGGGAATCCAGTTCGGTGCCGGAGGAGGCACGTATTCCCCTTTTTGAAACCCTTGTGCATAGGCTATGAAGAACCCGTGTCTAACTGGTGAATAACAGACACCTCGACTAGTGAGCTTGAGGCTATTGGCACAAGTGACCCAGGAAAACTGATCAACCTGGGTAAAAAATTCCTTGATGCTGGAGTTGAGCGTCTCATGATTGAAAGTGAAGGCATAACTGAAAACGTCACGAACTGGAGGACAGATGTCGTTTCGCAAATCATGAAACAGCTGCCCCAGGAAAAGGTCATGTTCGAAGGTAAGACTTCTTTTATATTCTGTCATAGCAAGCTGAACTGATTTATTGCTTGTAGCCGCCGACCCGAAAGTGTTTAGTTGGTATATTCGTGAATTCGGCATCGACGTCAATCTCTTTGTTGATAATTCACAGATCGTCCAGCTGAGTTGTCTGAGAAGGGGTATCTGGGGAACTGCAGACACATGGGGAAAGATTGTCTCATATAGGCCTGACGATTAAAGGGGTATCATCGGTTAGATTGAATTCATTCCCGGTGTAGAATTAGGTTGTTGAAATTGGCTTCGTCTCTCGTCATAAGTTGTCTGTAAAACGGTCTCTATTTGAGGTCCAAAACCCTATTATAATATTTTATACATCATCTTGTCTTCAAAGGCCAGCTTGCCGCCCGAATAAATAAACAAAGGAAAAGCATAAACGCAATATACATCTTCACACAGTGAAGAAGATGAAAAAAAAGATGCCCCGTAATATGCAATTAAAGCCGATAGTCTAAGGGAGGCCCAAAAGAGGAAATCAAAGAGGTTTTAGTCGGTTGTAGACCAATGGGTAAAACGGCAGTAGATAGATTGATATAAATTCCTCGCGCTGGTTGACAAAGGAAAAAGGGGGTATCGAGGTGTATGATATAATTTCACGAGTTAGAAGCAGAAGATCGGCCTTCTTCGACAGCTACCAGGGCGACGACAGTGATATCGTCCGGCTTGCCTCCCCGGTAATGATCCCATGGACGATATCTCTGGTATTCTTTTGCGAACGGTCCGTCTCGTCGAAAGTCCATGCTGGCAATCTTAGCCTCTCCGGCTATGGTAACAGCCAAAAGTGCCTGTAGAGTATGTCCTTTGCCCTGCGGGTCCGCTTCCTCAGAAGCAGCAATTGCTTTCTTGGGTTTTATCCGGTTGTTACCGAATTTCAGACCACCGGGCTTCGTCAGGGCTTCCAGGTTATCAGACGCAGAGATGCCCATATCTGAGGTACCAGTCCATGCCCCGGTGGCCATCATCCGAGCAGTTACTAGCTTCAAGACTTCTTGGTTGTTCAGATTATCAAACACCCCGTCTGTGGCAAGGACCAGGACATCTCCATGCTGTAGCGAGCAATTGGTTACTGCTGCGTCTTGAGGCATGTCTTCAAATTGCTTTCCACCGAACAGATAGGACTGCCGTCGAATCAACTCTGGTACAGCCGCGAGTTGGTATGGGGTGTTAAAATCATGGGTCTGGGGGACGGAGTAATGGTGAACTGCAGCCAGGCGGAAGAGAAGTGATCCAGAGTCGCCGAGACTGTAGAGCGTGGTCAGTTTAGCATTCAAGCAACATGTTATGAAAAGAGCAGTACATACTTTGCGAGTTGGACCGAACCATCATTCCGAGCAACTCCAATACAAGCGGTACTACTCCCAGCAAATACCGCCTTATCCAACAGTGTTTTCTCATATCCGAGTCGCATAAGGGTCATAGCCCGTAAGCTCTCGGGAGAAGACTCCCAGTTCAAGGCCGTCTCAGCCATGTGTCCGCAGAAAGAGTGCGAGAAGTCCGCTGGATCGATGCCAGATTCGCTCCATCCTCCAACTCCGTCCGCCACTCCAAAGGCAAAGGCCTCATTATCGTACCCGATCTTGCTGATGAAGAATGAGTCCTCCCCGCTATCAGGCCTGTTGGCTTTCCGGTCATAGTAATTCGGGCTTTGTATGCCCAGCGCATCGTGAACCTGCGGGTGGAAGTTGTAGAAGTTCCTGTCCGGACTGAATCGTCGCCCCTTTCCAGAAGACGATACGGCCAGGCGAAAGGATATCTTCGGCCGCGATTCCAGCGGACTCCCACTGCTGAACTCCCTGCGGCCTCCGTTGTATTTTCTTCTCGTAGTCGTCACGCAGACTCGGGGTGTTCTTCGAGGCAGGATATTAATATTGTAGAGACCGTATCGTGGCACCTGGACAAGGCACGAAGCAGCCCTTGAAGAGAGCGCCACCGTCGCCATCAGAAGTGTATGCCCGAGTCTCCCTTGTCCTCCCAGTCCGCAGCCGTCCAGTAGCCAGATTCTTCTCTGCGCATTTGCACAGTATAGCCCGCGGTTGGGGAGTCCAAAGGCGCGCCGAGTGGTGTTTCGGCGATAGCAAAATTATTCGGAGAGAAAATATCACGGCATGAACAAGGGCTAATCCTTAGCTTGAGTGACTGATCTTCAGGTTTTAGTCCCTCTGGAAATTTCCCGGCCGTCTTCAAGGAGCGTGGTCAGCCTGGCCGTTGGTTGTTGGTTGCCAGGAGTCCTGCTCACCGCGGAAATAAATATCTGAAAGTCGCCTTCGTCCGCAGCCAAGAAGAAATCTCACACCAGCCGCAAAAGAAAGCTCACGATCAGCCTCAACCCGCTGCTACTGTTCGCCTTCAGAGGGATTGCGCCGCCATCAGCTTGCCAGATATACTCGGAATAGCTTTAGGATCTGGTCTGGAAGTCAGGGAGCCATGCATCCCGCGCGGCGCGCCTATGTGGAGGAAGCGCAGGAGGTAAGCAATGAGCCATGACCGACAGACACCACATAGATCAATTGATAGAAGCTGATTTACGGTCTTATTTGAGATGATTAGGATACGGACATGGGAGTAGACCTCGCGAATATTCGTATGTTCCCTTCACGGTGCCCTGGTATCCGCGCGCATTTACTAACACTTCTCTTCAATAGCCGTGGACCATGACTACGAGCTTCCCTCCGCTGCTGCGGGAATAGCTCCTGAGAAAGCTTCTGCCATATTATCTCAGTTCGAACGAAAACGACGAGCAGCTGCTATTGCTGTACCTACAGACGATGGACGAGTAAAGGCTCGGTTGCGGGAGTTGGGCCATCCAATTACCCTATTCGGCGAAGACTCTACGGACCGACGTGACAGATTGAGAGAAGTATTAGCGGACTTGGAGGAACAACAAGCTGCGGCTGGTGAGGCTGGTGCAGAAGATGTCGGCATGGGAGGGATGGAAGCAGAGGAGGAAGACCAAGAGCAAGAGGAAGAATTCTACACTGAAGGCTCACAGGACTTGCTCCAGGCACGGAGAGAGATGGCAAGATATTCAATACCCAGAGCAAAGGCAAGGGTAGAACGGCAAAAGGCCGAATCCACCATACCTCTTCGAACACACGTTAAGCATAGAAAAGCAATAAGGGAGAAACTCGGCCATTTTGAGCTTTATGGCTCTCAGATTGCTGGAGACCGGCCCGTGAGCATCACCAGGTTTTCCCCAAATGGAGAAATAGTGGCTGCAGGAAATTGGAGCGGAGGTGTCAAGCTGCTTACAGTGCCGAATTTGGAAGAAAAAGCGAATCTACGAGGACATACAGATCGAATTGGTGGCATATCATGGTTCCCCGGGGCTACACTGCCCGAATCGAATGTCTCCGAATCGTCTTTGAATCTTGCTACAGGAGGCGCGGAAGGGAATATCAGGCTTTGGTCCCTTGATAAAGATACTTCTATTGGAACTCTTTCTGGACACTCTGACCGAGTATGTCGCGTGGAATTTCACCCATCAGGGAAATACCTTGCCTCTGCATCTTTTGACACCACTTGGCGATTATGGGATGTACAAACGAACCAGGAACTTCTCCTACAAGAAGGTCACTCTCGTGGAGTCTACGCACTAGGATTCAACACTGATGGCTCACTTCTGGCTAGCGGTGGCCTTGACAGTATTGGACGTATCTGGGACTTACGCACTGGTCGAACAGTTATGATATTAGAGGGCCATATCCGCGAGATATATGCATTGGATTGGGGAATAGACGGACACCGTATTCTGTCTGGATCAGGAGATGGCTGGGTCAAGTGTTGGGATCTCCGGCAAGTTCGTGGTACCGGTGGAGTAGGTGCACACAAGAGCGTTGTGTCGGATCTAAGATGGTACAAGGGGAGCGACGCTGCCTCACTCCTACCAACCACTTCAGGACTTGATCAGAATGGGGATATGATGGATATAACACCCACGCCAGCGAAGGACCAACCAGACCAACCTCCACAGCCCAAAAAATCCGGAACTTTCTTCGTTTCTAGTGGATTTGACAAGAATGTCAACATCTTTAGTGCGGATGACTGGTCACTTGTGAAATCGCTGCAAGGCCACTCCGGAAATGTTCTCAGCACTGATATAAGCACCGATGCAAAGTGGATAGCAAGTTGCGGGCACGATCGAACTGTGAAGCTATGGGGTATTGAATAAAACGTTACTGAAGTTCCAGTTCTAGTTACAATACTCAGAAAGCCCAACTCCGTGTAACTCTTGGGGGTAAATGGTATATACCGAATTTCCAGTCAAGAGCATGCATAAGAGAAAGCGATGCCTTTCACTACTGTGCAGTAATAGCCTAACCGGAGGCTGATGCGTTCCAAACGCAGCTACTGCACCGTGACTCTTGTCCAAGCAAATGGCCGATTTGGTCGCTCCCACTCTACAGCCCTCACACTCTGTAGTGTTCCCTGGGCAAAACACAATAAAAAATGGATCTAATAATCTTATCAAGATTTGATGACAAGATATAAAGCATGGTAGGATGTAGAAGCACTCAGAATTATGTAGTAGTACAACATGAACATAGCCGAGCGGCTGTTCGGGTTTTGATTACCCGTACGGGTCGCCTAATTACGGCCCGTTCCGCTCAGCTTAACCGACACCCATAACCGGATACAGAAATAGTGTAAACACAGCACTAGTCAACTAATGCTGTTTGCTGGTTATTCTTTTGCGCCATTCTTTTAGGATGATTGTGGGTAGGTAAATGCACCATTGTATTTCTGTGGAAACGTTGAAAGTAATTCTAGGATATCATTAAAATCAATGTGGCCTAAGGTAGGATGGAGTATCGTAAATTCTATAAGTAAATCAACAAGATAAACGCCCAACGAAAGGGGAAAAAATAAGAAAACTAATAGAAACAACGATTTTTACGTCAGTCAAATTTGATCGTTTATGCATCAAGCCTGCCACTTTATCTTCGCATTCGTTCTCGCACAATAACTACAGCCAAGGCTGATATGTGCATCATTCCACAGCGTCACAAAATCTTCGTTGGGATGCTGTATAAGTAATTGTCGCCTGGAGATCTCTTCTATTGCCGGTCCAGTCCATATCTCGGTCATTAGTGGCGGATAGTGACAATCACCGCTCAATGCGTCAAACACTTTCAGAGCCTTGGGGTCGTTCCTGTAGTTGTCCCAGTCCAGCTGTGTTTTGCGCATAAATTCCTTCCTCATGGCACGCTGATTGCTTCCTCCCTTTTCAGCCGCAAAGAATTCCGTTACTCGCTCCAGGCCAGAGGTAGAAAGTAGCATGATAATGAACTTCTCGCATGACGTAGTGACAGGTGTCTCCGCAACAAGAACGCGATGGAGTGAAAATATTAGTAACCGGATACAGTGGTGAGCTGATATTAATGCCTGGGAGTCGAGGAAAGGGTAGGCTTGGAGTATCTTTGTTTGAAGAGCGCGGTACATGATTGACCGATCACGGGGCTGGACAGGTACGGGGAGCTTTCCAGCTTCGAATGCTTCATAAAGGGAATCCTGGAGCTCTAACCGTGCTTCATCATACTTTTTCAGGAAATACATCGTATAAAACCTAGTGAAGGTGTTAGATTATTTGCCAAAAGAGACGTTCATCTGGAAAAGGACCGTAGAATGGAAGTGTTGACTTGCATGAGAGGAGTCAGTTTCGACTTAAGAAGAGCGTTGCCCCGATCCATAATCTTCTGCTGTGTCGGTTTCGGTAGATGTGATAAGGACTTTACCCAGCCAGGGTTCTCCTCCATGAACCGGTCCAGAACATGGTCTGCGAGGTAATAAGATAATTTCGAGCAGACTTCCTGCCTCCGTCGTAAGTCCGCCAAATACCTGAAAGAATAATGCTCACGGCCACTGGTATCTTCAACAAACGGCGGGAACAGGTCTGAAAGCAATATCACATCATCTTCAGGCGCCCTTGTGTAATGGCTCGGCTTGTGCTTTCGAGACGGCAGTGTTCCATGCCGCCGAATACGCAAGTACTCTCTGGTGATGGCCTCCTCGTGAACCTGCAAAAGATACCAGAACTTCCGGCAAACAAGAAGCAGACTCCCTAGGTCCTGGAGTCGACAGAGACCGAATATATTGACCACTAGTTCGACCGGTAATTCATCCCAGCACGAGAATGGCTTGCTTATGTTTCTATAATGAACTGTTAGAACAAACGTCTATTCCATATCATCCTCAATCCCCCCCCCCCCCCCAGTCTTGGGGACAAATATAAAGCACTTGTAATGGAGAAGAGCTCATACAGAGGCTGGGTATCCTGTTGTATCACCCCGTTATGGTTCTTTCTTAGCCACGCTAGCTTCGCCAGGCTGGCCTTCTCGAAGGCCGATATTGATTTACGAGCTCGTAATTCGAATGAAGCAGCCATAGGTTAGTTATTAGCGGTGAGAGGCCGTGGGCTACAACAATGTCTCGGGATGCTGGCAAGCAGGATATGAATGTAGAAATATAAGCCTGCTTTTTTCCTTCCTTCAGCGTCGTACACGCCCGTCACGACAAGAGTCCATGAGAAGCTCGCCCTTTGGAGCTCTTTAAATATATCGGGAGCCCGGCCGGCCTGAAACAGCTGGTTGGACGTGGGCTGTGGGGTTGTTTGGGAGAGCCATGATGTATCGTACTGTCATGCATAATTATATATCACTGGTCCGCTATTACGTCTGTGTCTTGTCTTTTTTTTTTTTTTTTTTTCTTCTCGGTGTTTCTGGCTGCACAGCCACAGGAGGAAGACTACAGCGAGGCAGCTATATTATTATTTATTGTTTAGCTTATGTCGAATCCCTGGATTGCCAGGTATGACAGCGTGGTGGACTTCTCCATCGGCCAATAACTAATAGCTAACCAGTGGCTGCTTTGCTCTTCGCCCATGGCAGGCCATTTTATATCAGGGCCAGGGCCCTTGACCATATAATACGCCGCTTGTATAGTTGTTAACTAAATACTCTACTTATGAGAGTTGCATCGAACAGGTTATACCTGGGATAGAGCATGCTACATCACTGGGAATATGCTCATAACTCGTTACCTCTGTTAATTACTTGGTAAAATAGTTACCACAAGCCGTTTCAAATCCAGGCCTGTGAGGGTCGACGGGATAAGGATTCTCATGTTGAAACAGGGTTGAGCCGCAGCCTTTGCCGTCTCCAGCGTTTGGTCACAGCTATCCGTCGGTTCTAGAGAGGCTTGTGGATAGTTGTCCGTTGCTGTTGAGACACTTCAAGGCATACGGAGCGTAATAGTCAGGACCAGCTTCGGCCCGGGTTAAATAACCAGTGAAGTTATGGTCAGACGCTGGTGGCTGATTGTAATATTGGACATCCAATGCCCAGCCAGAGCTTTAACTTGAGCGTCAAGCCAACGGATTTGATGAGTGTCAACTGGCTGGTTAAGCGATCTTGAAGTTTCAATGTTACCACAGCCTTGTTCGTTTGAATTATTGCACATGAACAGGAGTAGTGCTTACGGGCTACTCAAGGCATGCTCGGTAGTGGTGACTCAGCAGCTGATGCATCACATAGTGAGATTTCCCACATACCAGCCCCGAGTACATACGTCTTATACTGGCTAATGTGCATCTAGGTAAGATAAGTGGCTGTAGAAGCTCTTGTATATCATTTTGGGTGTTGGTGTCAGAGATGAGGTTGGTTTAATCAAGTACACGTTCCCAGCAAGGGTAAAAGCAGGCTCATAATGCATCACTGAGCGTGGTCCTCTTGAGCTGCTTTATCAAGTTAACGATCATTTGTTCCGGCGATATCCAGGAATTCATTCCTAGGATAGATAGCGATGACACCGAGTCAATGCTATAGTGATGCACCTGTATCAAATCAGTTAGACTCCACTTGTAACGAAGTTCAGCCACAGCGCTCACCTCTTGTTTCTCCCTAGATGGGCTCATTTCTGGGTAGTGTTTCCGGACAATTCTGGCGATCTTTGGAAAAAGTGATTAGCTATGCTTTGTGATTGTAGATCGAGCCAAAAACGAAGCCCCCTACATCCGAGAAAAGCAACGGCCATGGGCCTAACATTAGCCTTCGCCCCCACGCAGCAGGGGTTATCAAGGCTTGGATATGCGCCTTTGCAACGTCTCGCACGTCGACCCAGTGAGGAAAGTCATTATGGAATAACGGTTCATTCCCCAATGCAGTTCTCCAGATCAAGCCAGTGCTGAAAGTTAAACTATCAGTACCCTTGGTCAACGGTAGAACGAATGGGCCTCCAATGAATGACGGTAATAGTGTGCTTAGAGCCCATGTAGGTTGATGTTTCCGGTAGAAATCCCATGCAGCCTTCTCCGCAAGCTTTCGCGAAGCCATGTAAGTTACCCAGGGTCGCCACATTTCCTGGTATTGACTCATGTCATGCCTTGGGTCCGCGGCCTCATCATAGCTAATCGGATTCCAGTCCGCAGAAGAGTAGGCGTATCCCTCACGGAAGCCATGACGTGCATCAAACGCCGCAACGAAAGAGCTAGTTATGACGACCGCTTTGATTCCTGTCTGTTTCATTATTGATTCCAATATGCAGATGTTACCTTTGATGGCGGGTATAAGGAGGTCGTTTTCAACGTTTTCTGGAGACATGTTCAAGGGAGATGCGATGTGAGCTACATATGTTGCGCCTTGGAGGGCATCATCAAATGCGCCATCCACTGTCAAGTCGGGTACAATGGCAATCTCAAGCCTTCCACTAGAAACAAAGGATTCGAATGCGGCGTATAGCTTCTGAGCCACCATCGAGGATCGGACTGTCCCACGTACGCGGACCGGGGCGTGGAATGACAGCAGTTGCGATACAACATGCTGTGCAACATGGCCATTAGCACCAGTGACAACGACTAAATCAGAGTTTGTAAAAGGCATGATTCTGATATCTCTTGCCTTAGAGAGGGCAGAGCCCGGGTATTGAGGAAGGGTTATATAGTCATTACTTGCGGGGTATGCATGATCCCAGCTGTATGGCTGTATCCCATTCCCGGTACTTAACAAGTACAGTAGAAATTTGACGGTCTATGGACTGCACCAAAACAAATTCCAAGTAGCGCATCTATAAGTATCCGTCTCTGTAAGTGAATTAATGATCAACATATTCCTTCATTGTGTTCATCCGAAGAAACGAATGCAGCCGGCAGTCCATGAATTCAGTATTGTATACGCCAAGTGCACAATGTTATCCATGTCATATCCCTAGATACGGGCTCTAATAACAAGGCATGGCATTTCGATAAGCGAGGTCTATCATTATAATAGCAGGAAACTCCAAGGACGATTTGATAATTGTCAGTCTTGACGCCCTAGAAAAAAAAAATATAAATAAAAATAAAGCGGAATTCTGATTGGCTTCCCGTTAAAATACACGGATCAAATATAGTGCGAACCCCCGGTGGCTATATTACGTAATAGACATTTCGATTATAAATCAAGTTATCTTATCTTATCAGATTCAGATTCTCATCAGATAAAAAAAAGCTGCTTTGCTCAACATCCGAAAGTTGAAACCAAAAAAGCGCCGGCCATCAACAAACACACGTCCGCCTCGAGCTATACCCTTTTACAAGAGCAAGACATCGCAGATATCGTTTTGCTTTATCATTCCACAACTGCTGTATACTATGCACAAGAGTATTCCCTCTTCCGCCGTCTTCCGGCGTATCGGACCGACACCTGCTCGACAACCGTTCGGCCAAACGTATAGCAAGATTGCTCAACGCAACAAGGAACAGTGTCTTCACTGTCAAAACGGACTATACAGACGACTCACACACTCCCAGTCTCGGAAATTCAACACACTACGCTCCCTACCGTTCCAGAGCCCACTACCGAGAGCTGCTCCCAACCGAGCCGAACCCGCCTCGCAACCAACCTCCGAAGACATATCGCCAGGTCTGGCGGCAAGAGTCCCTGATACTACAACACACTACACTATATTCCCTAAAACTCTGCCGAAAGGCCCTCCGCCAGAGGGTACATTCGACATTTCGCTACCCGACCTTCGCCGCGAATTCCTCTCCCTCCAGGGTCTTGCACACCCGGACAAGTTTCCCGAAGGGCCAGCAAAACGGAAAGCAGAAGCCCTATCGTCCCGAATCAATGAAGCCTACCGTGCGTTAGGGGATCCATTAGCTCGCGCGCAGTACCTTCTCGCCTCCCAGTATGATATCGACGTCACCGCCGAGGACGGTGCCAACAAACACCCGCAAAGCCCCGAGACCCTGATGCAGGTGATGGAGGTGCAAGAAGCCGTTGAGGAGGCAGAAGACGAGAAGTTAATTGCCGATCTAAAGGTGGAGAATGAGGAGCGAATTGCGCAGACGGTGAGCGAAATGGGCAAGGCTTTCGAGTCGGGAGACATCGACAATGCTACGAAGCTGTGTTCTAAGCTTAAATTCTGGTACACAATTCGAGCTGGCCTGAGAGAATGGGAACCGGGAACTAGAAGTGTCAGGCTGGTTCATTGAGATGCCGGAGGAATATGTCGATGATTATGGGATATAGATTGGACGCAGCCAGTCTTGTAAATAATTGTACTTTTTTTAGCTAGAATGTATACATATGTCTAGAATAGAGCTGGAATACAGGACTTATGCCATATAATTCCAGTTTCTGCGAAGCTATCCATTTCTCTGTAGATTAGCTATATTGTGGGTATGACGTATCAATTGCCTTTGCCAGTCTGAGATAATGCTTGTTATAACAACACCTCAACGTGCCAAACTACCAACTACACCCACTCTTCACAACTCTCTCGACATCTTGGATGCAGGAGTCTAACACCGGATGGATGGCAGTAAGGACAGGCCGAAACAGGCTGGCCCGACCACCTAGCATGGTGAATTGTTACGCAGTACTTTGAGGCATGCTGGCTGGCCTTCTAGTTATCCACCGCCGCGCAGCCGCCCATCAGTACCTATACCCGATTAACCAGCTTCACCGTCAAACCGGATTTGATTTGTCCCTCGAGCTAACTCATGTTCTCGAGCTGGAGCTCCGCTTGCTGCCTGCCGGCGTTTCGAGAAGCCATACCCTCGAGTCAGCCAAGATACGGCAAGGTATGGCTGCAGCAATAGCGCGCCCATTGGGCACACATCCGTTAGTGGATTGACACCGCAAGTCTGTCCGTCTCCGGCCTTGCACAGCCTGTCGCTGCAAGAATAGAGACGAGGTTTGCATTACTGTGGGCTTTGCGGGAGACCTTACCTACCTGAGACTCGCATCTGCAGCCTCGAGGCTGGTTCGAGACAGTCTTCGGCGTCGCTGAGCTACACGTAGGCCGGGCGGCAGAGAGCCCTCTATGCAGGAGCAAAGATCCTGAAGCGCCAGCATCCTTTATGCGCCTACCTTGCGGTATTCAAGGAGCATTCGAAACTGCGCCGGCCGGGGGGCCATGACCCGAACTTTTTATAAGAAGGGGAAAGCCGCTGCTGCATGCTTTCTTTTCTTCTCACTCGGACCATCGCCTGTTGAGAAAATTTTTCAAAGTCGCGTTTGTGCGATATTCCATTAATATTCCACTGATATTTCATTCGAATATCGACAACTACTTTACGCGCCGCTGACCGTTGGAATCGGGAGTTTGCGCTCTCTATTGACGCTCGCGCAAAATGGCTTCGGTTCCAGGCCCAGATTTCAGAAGGTACGCTTTTATTTCAGCCGGCGGTTAGGCTGTCTATAGGGATTTGTGTGATGGCTATTCTTTCCAGCATTGAAGAAATATACCCTCTGCATGGGAAGAGGCATACCGAATGGAATAATCCGCTGACCAGCCGTGGCCTTCTTCTGGACAAACAGTATTATCAACTCTCCCCAGTTCACCTTCTTGATCGGACCCGGCCACTCAAAAGTCACCATCCAATCTGGCCTTGCCAAACATGTCTCTCCCCGGCTCGATGGGCTGATGAACAACGGCCATACTCGCGAATCCCGGCACCGCATCGCAGTCCTGGAGGACGAAGATGTTGAGACCTTCACTGGTTTCTGCGAATTTGCATACACCGGAGATTATACCGTTCCCGTTCGTCAGACCAGATCCGATCTACCAGAGTCTTCGGAATATGGAGAACCTTGCTCCCCATCTGCGAACCTCCATGTACCGCCGCCGGCACCATCGCCCCCTTCCTCCCCAAAAGCACCACGGCCAGAGGATTCATGCGCCATCTGGGATGACGAAGATGATCTTCCAAAGGAAGAGCCCGCCGTGGTCCAGCCTCAGGCACTTGTTGTGAAGGAGGACCCTCAGCCCCAGCCCCAGCCCCAGGATGAAGAAGATGACTCAAAGGGGGCCGCTGACGCCGGAAAGAAAGGCAAGAAGGGCAAGAAAGAGAAAAAGGGAAAGAAAAAAGCAGTTGAAGAGCGTCCTGCTGCAAACACTCTCACGCCTCCTAAAACTCCTCCGCCCACGGAGAATAAAGAGAATGTCAAAGATATTGCCGTGATTGAAGAGAAAAATACTGAGGCCGTCACTGCAGTGGTTCCATTCCAGCAAGAAGAAAAGCCTAAAGAGAAACCTGAAGAAAAGCCGGAAGAAACCCAAAACACAGAGTCTGGCGATTGGCCTGAATTCCAGGCAACTCAAGCAGAGTCAATACTCGAGACATCCAAGTCCGAAGGCTCTGTTAGAGGAGAACCCTTCTTCCCCCTTCCATCTTCCCGACCCGCTGGTGTGTCTCTATGGGATGAATTCACCGCTATTCAGTACCCACAGTACGAACGCAGGGCCGCTCCATTAAGCCATTCACAAGCAAACAGCGACTCTCGCGACGTTCCTTACATTTTATACCATGCCAAAATCTATGTATTCGCCTCCCGCTACCTCGTTCCAGCCCTTGCCCAGCTCGCACTTACCAAGCTTCATCGAGAATTGGTCTCGTTTCCTCTGCGAGCATCTGGCCATGGCTATGGGGATAACGGCACTATACCCTATGTATTAGAATTGCTACACTACACATTCAAGAACACGAAGCCATATGACCCGAGATTTCCTTCGTTGGATGCTAGCGCAGATCTCCCGTCTGAGAGGGAGAACCGACTTCGCAAACTCACAACTCACTATGTTGCCTGCAAAGTGAGGCAGCTAGCTACTTATAGACCAGAAGTGCATCATACAGAAGGAGATGCTCCACTGACTTTCCGCGATCTCCTGAATAAAACTGGAGAATTGGCTTCTAACCTTGTCTTCCAGCTGATGTAAACGGGTCTCTTCGACTTTTTTGTGCACTCATCCTTCTTTCTCTCGTTATGTTTTCTGTTTACTTTCGATTCCTTTCTGTTTGCAAGATATCCCCTTAGCCAGCTTGTTCTTGAGTATTTTCTTGTTCATATACTTTATTTTAGGGAGTTGGCCTTGCTGGAAAACTTGTACGCTTAATGATGCTATGTGGCCCTGATATCAATGAGAATACGCCTTCAGTTATGCTATGAGATTTTACTACTGCACCCTGACAAGGTGAAGATTAGAAGTATATGAGAAGAACGGGATTTTGGGCGGAATTTTGCTAAAATACTGCAAGGTCGTGGCAAATATATTCGGCTTCAAGTGCGTATATGGTAAGAAGTCATGGTGGATGGAATATGAGATGTTTGTTGGGATTGATTGGGGAGACAAACAAGCATGCTAATAGATGTAGAAAATTTGCAGAAATGTTCATAAACCATTCAAACACTAAATTTGAGGAATATATAGGCGAAATTGAAAGAGCTAGGTATAACGATAGAAGGTAAATGAGCCCGATAAACAATTATCTGTTAAGAATGAACAAAGAAAAGAGCTTGTGACGGAGAAAATGCTGTCTATAAGTGATTATCCTAGTTGGCATGATTAAGCTGAATCATGCAAAAGGCCTGAGAGACAGAGGAAAGGATCATGTTGAAACAAACTATGGGCACAAGAAAGGTCAAGTCAGACAGGTATGGGGATGCCTCGAGGAGGGAGGAGGATGGACGGGGTGTTTGAAAACAAATGAAAAGCCGCAGGTTACGCAGCGGTATGGATCCAAATGGCAATTGAGCAACTCTTTTCGAGCAAAATATGTAAGAATGGGTTCTTGCTAAACCAGGGATGGAGAAGTTGTTTATTAGGGAGACGGAGGCTGGTGGGAGGTAAGGATGTGCGCAAATGATATCGTTATTCTTTGTGGAGTCATTCGTAAATAGATCAAAAGTTCAGATGGATTGGACCGTTCTAGGCAAACCCAAACGGATTGGATGGAGCTAAGCAATAGGTTAGTCAAAATCATCATAAATACCATACATAACCAAGGATTAGGATAACGTACTAGCTTGAGCAAGATTTGCCTTCCCAGTTGGCTGAGGCATGATCTTCTTTGGAGTATCTTTGTGGACACCGAAACGTACAGGAGGAGCAGGGCCTGTCTTTTGAGGTAGAAGTGGAGCAGCTGCAGGTTGCTGTGGAATTGGCGGTGGTGATGGTGTGAAACTTGTTGGAGGCACCCCAAAACCGTTTGCACCTGTGCGCTGGGGCTGAAGGGGAGGAGGAAGAACAGAGTTGATGGACCCGGTTGGCAAGGGTGGTTGTTGTTGTTGTCCAAATTGGGGGAAACCGGTGGGCTGAGGAGCCAAAGCTGGGAACGTTTGCTGCTGCACAGGCGAAGTGGTCTGGAATGGTTGCTGCTGACCACCCATGAACTGCTGAGGAGAACTCATGAAGGGTTGTTGCTGTGGCATCTGGGGTCCAAACTGCCCAGTCATCGCCGGAACCTGAGAAGGGAACCCTGTTGGCTGAGACACCAACTGCTGTTGCTGGAACCGCTGTTGATTAAGTTCTGCTAGGCTGTGGCCTGGAGGGGCTATGTGCGGAGCTGTGGACGGGATGCCGGTGAGTTGAGGTTGTAGCGGCTGCGTTACAAAGCCGTTTGGAGGGTTATTGGGCGCAGAGAGTGGTCTAGGGGGTGGTGGAGGAGTGAGGAATCCTTGACCAACTGCTGTAGCAGGAGGCTGAGGCCGTTGTCGAGGTGGCATAGCAGTTTGCTGGGGCTGCAGCTGGGGTTGGACATAGCCAGTCATCTGCGGTGCAATAGCCTGCATCTGAGGCTGGCCAAGTTGTGTAAAGAACTGAGGGTTTGCACCTGGTTTCTGGGGTTGTGCTGCCGGTGGTGCTTGAGTAGCTGGAGGCTGCGGAATTGCCGGCTCGGCTGGCTTGGTTGTAGGAGCTGGAGCAGTTTTCGTGGGCTCCAAGGGGGTTTGGAGTAAAGAGAGGTCTGCCATAGCGCCAGTCAATGCTGGCTGGCTTGCAGCAGTAGTTGGAGCAGAGGATGGGGCGGTTGAAGCTGCAGGTTTGGATGGCGTCTTGACCTCCCATGCGTCGTCCTCAAATCCTGCAGGCCCATCCTTCTCCTTATCTTTTCCATCAGCAGGCGCGGATTTGTCCTTGGGAGCAAACGCTTTTGGATCAACTACGTCACTGGCTTGAGCTGCTGGGGCAGGACGCCCCTTGCGGGTATTA